GTACCTAAAACTAGCTTATTTGAAGCAAAAAAAAAGAAATATACATACAATTTTCTTTATTTAATATTTCAGTAGTTTACTACCTTGATCTCATGAAGATTTATTGGTTTACTTACAATGGTAGAGTTTAAATTAGAATTGGTTGTGTCATTTTAAATTTTCATTTACTGTCCAATGAGGGTATTGCTACGCTTACAGCCCTAATAAATGAGAAATTTGACTGTAGACTTGTTGCCCCTTGCCACATTCAATTCTAATTGCTTGGTGAAATGTTAGTAAATCGATTGTTTCGTTTGCACAGTACTAAACCTATTACAATTTTAATATTTTCATGCAGAACCATAAATAATACAGTATTTTTCTTCCTCCTTCCCGTCATTTACTATTGATTATTGATGCAGAAGTAACCATCATCGTCATTTCAGACATTAATTGTTTCCTACTGAATAGTTACCTATCGCATAAATAGTTACTCAGAACGGTGCTAAGCATACATTCATTAAAGCCATTGTCTGTGCACTGAGGAACATAAGCCTTCCCCATAAAGAGGGAAGGGGGATGTCAGTAGTTGCCATGCTTGGCAGGCGGGTTGGCAACACCTGTTAGGTTTTGCTGATGTTTTAACGGGATTCTCTAATCATCCCTCACCCATTAAGTTCCCTTAGTTGCTTCTTACGACACCCACGTGAAAGGATGGGGTAGTCCATTCCATGCTGGGTCCACGGGGCTATATAACTTCTAAACGCCTTAATAGATTTGCTTGTATGATGTATTGTTAAAGTCTACATCATCGCGAGTGACATTGACTATATATTTTTTAATATTTATTGAGTAATCCTATTTTTTTTTTATTTGCGGACCAAAATGTACTTTTTTCTCCACTTGATAGGAGAGTTTAGTTTGCTGCTCATGACACAGTCGAGAGACGTACTCTACTCTTTTGACTCGATATGTAAATTTATTTTTATTGTACCACATCTGTACCTGTTGAACAAATTCTCATGCGATATATTTTCCTATTTGATTTAAAATTATAGCCTCTACTGTGAGCTAGTGTATCTTTTAGTATTTAACAAGAGTCAATGTAGAAAGCATCTAGTTTAGGATTCAAGAAAGTCAAATTGAAACGATGGGTTACATTGTATAGAAGTGATATGTAGGTTAGTTAAGGCACGAGGCTGGGTGTCTTGCGGTGTGACTCGTTAAGTCGTCGTTTCCGGGGCACAATGAGAGGTTGGGTGTTGTTATCGACAGGGCGGGTGGTGCGCATGTGCACCTCCGGCGCCCCGGAGTCTCGGGGGTGCCGTACTAACGCCCGTGCGAAGCCCAACCGTTGCCAGTTCTCTCGCGTTCCTCCACATAAGCGGTCGCGATACGTCTTTAAACATGATGAGCTCACACGCGCTAACTATCTCCAACACACGTTATAAAGTAGGTTCAAAATGTTTAAGTGTAACACATTCTTTTGGAACTCCAATTCTAATTGGTATCACGTCTCTTGTTCTAGGTCTAACCAGCCCGGTCAAAACGCCCGGACAAATTGGTGAGTGTTACAAAATCACAATATTTTAGACTGTTTTGCGATCTTTGTCTTTTTCGTTTTTATGATAGGCTTTTGTTAAAATTGAAAGAAACCCTTATTACTTGCTTGATCGCTTTCTGCGAACGCACCTTTTCATTTTCATCTCTTTCTAAGTTTATAAATTTATAATCACATTATTAGTTGTTATTGTTTTATTAACTATTTTTGCTTCCATCTTTTGTTACATTTCTCTATTCTATTTAAAATTATGTTACATTAAAATGGGGAAGTAAACTGACCAAATTGATAACATATAGAGGATGATATAAAGAAAACGAATATATCTAGTAACTATATTTACGATGGACGACGCGTATTATTTTTTGTCTGATTTCGCATGGTGGTGCGTATAAGCATGGTACGGCGTCTCCTTTGTGCCGCGAACACCTGCACCTGCCTGTCTAGTGCCGCTACCTACCGCTCGATGCGGCGCTAAGGCCCGAGCCAGTCATGCTGGTTCTATTCATACACCATACATTATTATACGTTCTGATCGTCCTTAACCTCGTTCAGATGTTCATAATCATAAAACTTTTTGCAGTGAAATCAATTGCTTTCAAATGTTTATTACTCATAAACTTACCGATTCAATAAACGGGTCCGATTGGTGTCTTAATTAATGATGGCTTGTACTTTTCACTTTATGATTTCGGCGAATACTAATCGGTTATTAATGCGGTATACATAATTCGAACTTCACAATAGGTTTTATTTGTTCTTGAATCAAAAGTACCGGAAATTAAGAAAATTGAGCTTTTGAAACGTTTGCAGGGTAGCGGTACCCTTTTGTGTCTCGCGCGAATTACCCGCGACTTGAGCGTTGGCGTACACCTGCGAGGGTGTCACTGACCTCGTTCACCTGCTGTCAGGCAGACGACTCGTGTTAGCATACACTAGGGTTTCATGTGTCTCACTGAATTTATTTTTGTACCATGTTTTTACATGGCAACACGACGTAGGTAACTCTTTTCTCCATAACTCTTAAACCATCAACATCAAGTTTTGTGTAGAATGTAGATAGGTGCATATTTCATGCCGAATATATGAGAACGATGTTATGCTTTCTACTTGAAATGTACTTAGCTAGTTCATGACTTACAAGTACTTACTCGTAAGTACCGCAGACGTTGTGTTATCAATCAACAAGCAAGCACTAACCGCAGCACGCTAACTTTGCAATCACGACAGTTAGCAAAATACGGAATCGGAATACCACTACACCACACGAAACCGACTCGATCTAAAATATTCAAGTGCCCCGGACATGCAATAATATGCTCTATGGAAATTTTTAATATTACAATAATATTATATTAATTTATGGAATGTGTACTTTTCAAAATAATAATAAGGGTACTGAGATATCTGAAGAAATCATTTCACTGCCTCCTCAAGATACATTGAGCGTGTCTGAACCTATCATTTAATGAATTTTCCACAGCAATAGGGGTCCTTATTCCTTTCCTCAATTAAGTCAAATGTTCTTTGAATGAATATAAGAGAAATTTTTTTAAATGGAAACCTGAACAACATGGGGTCACACGTCATAGTTGCTAGAAAGTTCATATTAAGTATTATGGAATTGATATACGAATAGGGCGTTAAAATAAATTTATATCAATTATATATCAATCCATCATAAGTATTATTAGCTACCATTTAATGAATTTGAAAAATTAGGATTTTTAAAACAATTTTGCAATATTGTAATAAAACGTCTTATTTATTTAAATAAGTCGTGTCAGTTTAACCGAAACTTAATATTTTCTCGACCTTTAGAAATGTTCGATAATTACGATCTCAATATCAGCAGACATTAATAACAGTTTCTTTATATACAGAAATTATGCTTTTGTAATTCTATAATAATCAGTCATCATCATATCAGCCTTTAACTGTCCACTGCTGAACATAAACGTCCCCTAGGGGGTTTTTACCAGTAGTTGCCACGCTTGGTAGGCGGATTGGCAACCTCAGTTAAGCTTTGGAGATGTTTTAAGAGGGACGCTACTGCCCATCCCTCGCTCTCTTAGTCGCCTCTTATGACAGCCACGGGAAAGGAAAGGGGTGGCTTAGTCTATGCCGGGACCACACGGGATAACAATCAGTGATGATACGTAATTGTATGTTTTTAATAAATCATAATGAATGGTAACCCTGCCAGTGCTATTGATAGTTATATACTATTAGAGTACTAGCGAGTGAATATAGATGAGAACGAAACCAAGTCAGTTGACCCATCATGACAAATCCATTAATTGACCATAATGGTTTCTAGGGGAACCGCGCGGAGGTCTACCTGACAGGGTATATTGGGGGCGCTTGTTCTAGCTACTAAAGATCTGGTCCACCCACGTAATTGTATTAGGTACCACGTAAAAGTCTTGACGAGTAAAATACAAAAATATGCATGAATTTTAGAGTTACGCGTGAACGGAGCCGCGGCAAAAACCGCTTGTAAAACTGTAACAATTCTTGGTGATAATGCAGGTACAGCAGTATGAAGCGTGACGCATACGGTGATGACGGCCCCGTCCACAAGAGGCAGCGGCATACAGATAATGAAGTCACTTTCTTGATACCCAGCAAGGTGAGAAATATTTGTGTTGTAACTGTAAGCTCTCTACGAATGTCACAGAGCTCCAGTCCTGTTACTGACTCTGTTTTGATTTGAATGATGGGATAGCTTTGATATTACAGGATACGGAAACATAACATACTGTATTCAATTTCAAAATTTTCAAGAAGACCAATGCCTGAGCGCTTCACAATATATTATATAAAATTCATGATATTGTTTATAGGCGACGGCTATCTCTTTCATGGGCTATCAGTTACTACTATTTCCAGTTGCATAGAAAATGTCCACGTTTATTTTGATTGGCATGTCTAAAGGCAAATTACTCAAATTAACCAGTCAAACTTGTATGAATGAGTTTAACTTACCAATTTAACAATGATTTGGTTTGCTGCATGTGAGTAGTATGCCAAATCTTGAGGTTCGTGTACAGGTATAAAATTGCATACAATTATCAATTAGGTAGAGTCAATACTCTACCTTATATAAACTTAAACTACTTAAATAACATAGTAGAATTAATTAGACCAGTCAATGTCATGGACAGTATATTGTTGATAGATGTATACAGCTTGCAATGGTAGAAGTCGCGTAATTCACTTTTAAATTATTAAAGTGTTTCTACTTTTATAATTTCTGGTCAATTCGGCTCCCATTTTATTATATTATTTATATTAAGTCCACGTGTGTTAACAGGTATACATGATTAATATTCCACAAGTCTGTTATTTTTCGATATTATAAATTTCAAAAATTACAGGTGGCTGGGTCGATTATTGGGAAAGGTGGCGCCAATATATCAAAACTCAGGGATCAGGTCAGTGTTTTATAATTTATACAGCTAAAACCCTAGTAGGTACTGAATCTCAAAATACAATACAAAATAGAATCATTATTTACTAGATGTGTCACGAACATACATTTATATTAGTTAAGTAATTAAATTATAAACACGTATATCTAAATTAATTGTTATACATTTAATCTACAGGTAGAAAACGAAATGGTTTCACACTAATTGGTATTTGTTAAGTATATTCGTATTTATATCAATAAAAAGAAAGTAATTCTATAAGTAAATTTTAGTAAGTCGTTTCTATAATTTTAATGTATTTTATTAACATTTTTCGCTTCAGGTACGTCTACCAATCTTATGTTTAACTAATAATTGTACTGCTGAGCCTCCATCGGACCCTATTAGAAAAAAATATATACAAAACAATGAAACCTAAACTTTCAGCGTTTTGCTATGATGGTCGCTAACATTCTCAATCTTGTAGAATGGAAAAGAATTAAATCAAGATTTTGAAAGAAGCAAGTGTGAGTTCCAGTGGTTTTTAGCCACCAAAGCTCACGCCAGCGGCCGGTCCGTAGGCTATAGACAGATTAACCCCCCGGCAGCCAGTTACAGGTCATTAGCGCCCCCGAGACGCCTCTGTGGCTTGTAGCGTGATGCGCCGCGCGCCTCCACGCCCGTCACTCCCTTGACCACCTTCAACAAGCAATGCGTAAGTTACTATACATACTACGTGAACGGAGAACGGATGGGCGTAGCGAATAGGTACAATGAAAATTATCCTTAATATTATATCAGTAGAAATCGTCGCTATTTCGCCGTTTGATCTGTCCAGGCGCAGAGGAATACTACGTATAGAATTATAGAGTGCAGACAGAGTTTAATTCAGCCAGTGCCATTATCAGTGAAAATGGTAATCATCCCATTAAAACAATATGAACAATGTGTTAATATTACCGTCCCATAAATGTTGATACCTAAAATAACGTTCATATTAATCATGTTGCTATGAGACGTTTACAATTTTCCAAATTCAGCACAGGCCGATATGTTTACACTCTTTCGATTTCTCTGTGTATGGGTCTGTACGAACGGGTGGCGGCTGTTAAAGTACTCAGTATCCATATAATGTCAAAGTATATATTACACTGCCCTCTCTGTGGTCGTTCGTTCTCCGGCTATAGTAGTATGTATAGTGATGACGTTGGAGCTGGTGAAAGGGAGGGGCACGGCGGTAGAGGTAGTGGAGGCGCGTGGCGCCGCTACAGCGTGTCTTGGTTGCCGGTCCCGCCCCGCCGGACGCCGCTGCCCCGCACTCGCCGCCCCGCCACGCAGTACAAAGCCTCTATAACAGTCCCAGATTGCCCCGGCCCCGAACGGTAAACTATATCGCCAACATCTACTCTCAATTATACATCCCGAGTCGAGATCTTAATACTCTGTCAACAGTCAGGAGTCGGATCGTGTTTGAACTGTCATCAACTCCCGGCGTTAGGCGCTTTATCCCGTATGTCGTATACCCGTCCTCATCACGACACTTGGCAGGACGATGCACTCTGTCGCACTAGACGACCCTTTATCTTGTATTCTAGACCTCGGTGTCATCATATCTCACTCATTAGTCGCTACGAGAACTGCTCTCTCAGGACTGTATCCTACCACTCAGTTTGTCCACCCTGGACATTTCCGTCAAAGTAATATAAACGCGTTCTATCGACATCACTTCATCGCCATCATGCTTTGAGTACAGTCTGGCAAACAGTCCTCCCTGACCGTTGATTTTTACCGTTATCAATATTGTGTTGTGATTTTTTATCCATATATTTCACGATCATATGTGTGCTAACGCGTTATATGTCTTTCAGTGTACTCTCGATAACGGCATCAGATATCGACACGATTTTGGAAATCGTGAAAGATATTCTTCCAAATTTGGCTGATGTAAGTATTTATATACAATCTTAATTACTGTAACTTGATTTTACAATAGCTTCTAAGATGGTCACAAGTTAAAGATATGCAAAATAAACATTTAAAATAAAATGTAAAATTTGGATAGCGTTTTGTGTAGATAAATAATTACATACAATCTGAATTACTGGTTGTGTTTACATTTGAATTAATTGTATAATTATGGTCAAAACTATAATAATATCTGCTTATAGGCTGATGTATCTTTTAAAGTATTGAGTAGATTTTTAAATGAAAAATAAATGCTCACTACTATAATTACTGAAGAGAATCGACAAACTCTATGCCGTTGTGATAACATTTAATATGCCCAATATTTCACCGAGCATATCTAAATGTAACTTTGAAGGGACCGATAATATGTATGAAAGAAGTCTAAGGAAAAGTAAATTAAGCTTACTTATTTTTTGTTAGGGAGGACCTAATAAAGGAAACAATGATGACCTCGATGTCCGTCTACTGATTCATCAGAGTAGAGCAGGTTGCGTTATCGGCAAAGGTGGCGCCAAAATTAAAGAACTGCGAGAGGTAAGTTCAATTATATTTGTCTAATTGTTTGCAGATCATGCCACGATGGCGGTTTTGATATTATTTACGACAGGTCTTTCTTTTATTTTCTAACGACACTGGCAGGTCGACCATCGAGGTCTGACTTCATTCTCGCCTATCATTACTCGTTGATATCCTACCAGCGTAAACTGAAGGCGGAATTATTCCATTATTATTCTATGTATAAAATGCTGTCAATTACTTACGAACCTTCACGAACTGTCAACCTCTAAAAACCCCATTGTACTGGCTGGCTACTTTATCGCCATGCACAGTTTTTCATGTAGAAACAGACATTAAATTAACAAGTAACAACTCTACGTCTAGCAAGCAGATGGAATAGGCTTTTAACAGCATGTTACAATCATCTGCTGCGCGGAGATACAGTTAAGTCAAAATTATTTTTTATAGCAAAGGTATTCAGGCCACGTGGTGCCGCGCGTCATTCGGGGACGAAGCGCAGATGTGAAAGCAGCTGCCGCCTCGGATCTCTCGCTTTATATTTTTATCGAACGGATATTATATTTTAAGCGATCAACCTATTTTTTATCATTATCATACTGCTATTTTGCATACTCGTTCAACTACCATATGTTTATATACATCAAACTAATTATATCAAAGCATATTCCAGTTCACGTAGTGTAATTTGCCATTGCCTGGTTTCAGAGGAGCAAAAAAGTTAAGCTCGCATTACTGTAGAGTGCATCCAACTTGGATCAATTACTGGCCGCCCAACTTCATCGTAGAAGTTTTAAAATGTGTTGCGGCGGCCAGTAACTTTGCAATCATACCAGTAGGGGTGTTATATTTCATAACTTGAGTTAGTCCAGGTCACTTGGCGCTTTACTGTTTTGTGAAACATTTTGTCAACGAATGATGTTGATATTTCACCAAAATATAATACAAAAAATTGTGTTGTACCTCTATCATTATTCCAGCAACAAGTCGAGGAGTTTGGGTTTGAATATTATAATTAAATTACCAAACATAATTTAAAATACAAAGTGGCAGAGGACGAACTTACCACCTTTAATCGATTTTAAAGCTGTTTAGGGTAGCAATAATATTGAAATCGACTCGCAAGGTTTTGATATCGGCTAGAAACGGACCCACAACTGTCTTGTTGAATCTTGTAAACTAAGTTAGTCGTACGTATGAACTTACAATCCGGAAATTCTAAGATCGAATTCCAACTCAAGGCCTTGAAATTTTCAAATTCGATATATATTCATATATAATTAAAAAGTTTTGTAATAACGCAGCAAAATATAATTGTTTTCTTTTACAAATTGTGAGGGTTTCGCACTTAGAAGACATTATTAAAGGATTATATGGATTATGTTATTATTCGTAAAAAAAAGTATTCTTGTGCATAATTTCAATAATAATTCATAATAAAAAAAGTAACCAATATCCTTCTCCGTCTCACAGTGTGTATGTGTACCAAATCTCATACTTAACCATTAAGTCGCTATAAGGTACCAAACGAACAAACTCACTTTCACATTTATAATATTAGTGAGGATTTCTTTTATTGTTTAACATAAATAACAAAAAATATTTTTAATAACGTACTTCGTATACAGCGACAATGATTTCCAAATATTAGATTTAAATAAATAATTAATTATTACTTACTGATTTCATCATCTCTATAACAGTAAAAATTGGAATTTAAACTTTAATTATTTTGACGCCCTTCCTGCCCTTTACCAATATTATTTATGTACGATTTTTCAGTCGTACTTATTCAACTAAACACTACAATCATGTTTTAAAATTATTATCTACATCTATATATATGAATATATAGAGGAAATGTCTACCGGGTACCGGTTACCGGTTACCTGAAATGTTCTGCTTAAATTTTTTTTTTATTTCCCTTTTTATCTTCGATCAGCTGTTTTCTCAAATCCTTTGTTTGATATTGTACATATATCTAGTTTGTCGGGTCAATAGCCGGTACCTGGTGTGGGACAGAAACACAATGAGCGCATCAAATTCACAAAATTTAATAGATATAATAAAGAGTTTCATTGTATGTCAAAAACCTTTCATACGTGTTTTTGTCATGTATCGTAATACAACGGCTTACATACGGTTTAGAACATTCATTTACTCTAACCTTGCACCTTTTTCTATTATCTTAGATATCAAATAATAATAGAATATAGACTTGCCTTAATTTTAGAACAACGATGAATTTGTTATGTATTAAATCAAGTAGAACTAACGAGAAAATGATTGTAACATTTATACCAAACGATGTGAGATATAGAGGAACAACGAAAATTCGGCGCGAATTTTAAAAGTTCACTTTTAAAATTCGCGCTAACTACTTACCTTCAACATAACAGTAATAAATTCTTCTCATCACATATTTTGCGCTATTTCAAAGTGATATTTGTACTTAACTGTATAATTTAACAGCCAAAAAGAAATATTTTTGGGGAACCCTGCTAACTTTTCTACGGAACCCAGTTTAGGAATCACTGGTCAATAGGATGCCATTATGACTCTTAGGATCTTATTGGACTCCCTTTGATTATGATAAACATCTCTTGTGTCGTCTCGGGTCACACGCGGTGTAAGTAGAGTGTAACTATCAGCCAGGACGAATGTTGTACTGTAGGTATGTGTGCGGAGTGCCAAGCGGCGCGTGCGCAGCGCGGGCGGCAGCTGTCGACGGGCGGCAGGTGCGCGCGCAGCCGCCGGAAGGCCGCACAAAAAGCGCGCGCGCACCTGGGCCTCACCCAACCTACCTACTTGCACAATGCTCGCCCGACGCGAGGGCTTCTTTCTTATATAAATAGAAATTTTGAACATATGGTTCCGACGGCCTTTGATTACCGTCTCAGCGCGGCTCCCCGCACCTGCGGTCGCCAGGTAGTATCGAAAGTGCAGTTGCGCGCCTGCTCTGCGACTGCGCCAATGCAGTCATTAAAAAATAATTCTTATGAGTCGTTGTTAAAGGTAACATCACCGTGATAGTGATAGATCTAGAACCCTTTTACATCTTTACATATGTCTTATAATGAAAAGTCTACGACTGGTTACACCAGTAGGAACTTTACGTGAAACTGTTTCAAGCCCTACTTGAAATTTACGTAAAATTAATTTTATAGGGGAACAATGGGAGAATGTATTGTTTTTGGTCACGTGGTGATAGGGTTTCATCCGTCGGAAGTGAACGGCGCCGCAGCTAGGTTCGGATTACAGGAGTTACGCGCACGTGACGAGGGAGCTTTTTGTGAACCTCTTTCCTCTATCAAACGGATAAACAAAAAATCTAAAGCGGATGTACGCTGCGTATCATTCTCGGATAGGAAAGATTTTATATAAATAGGTAACGCTGGATTTATAGTTAGATCACTGTTTGCTTCATCGGTTATCAATATTTGGCAATAAATTTTGTCGTTCTAAATAGCGTTTAGCTTATTATTAACATAACGTTTAGACTTCTGTTATTTCTATTCTATTTAAATGAACAATACCTATACATCTTAATCACAGAAAATTAAAGACATTTTAGTCATTCCTAAAGGGGGGAAATAGGGGATGAAAATTTGTATAAGAATTCTGTTATTTTTAAAGCTGGAACTATGAAAATTTGTTTTTGACTTTTGAATAAAAAGAGAACGTTTTTAGCAGTTTTTGGAAATTATATCCTAAAGGGAGTGAGATAGGGGATATCATAGTGAGATATGATTTAGATAAAAAAAATTATGTAAATTTGTTTATTTTATGTTAGAAAGACGAAGTTTTAAATTTAGTCTTTTGCTAAGAAATGAAGTGTTTCATTATTTTTGAAAATACCGTTCTCCTAGAAAGGTAAAGAGGGTGAAATATGTAAAATGGGGGTTGGCAGTATAACCGAACTCCACGGACAAAGTCACAAGCAACGGCTATAATTTAAGACAGAAAAGTGATTCCCGCGTGTAATCGAGTACCACATGCGAGCGTAGCCGCGGACAAGTCACTATTCTATAAAACAGGACAGCGCAATCATATATGTAAGCGTACAAAGTATTGATTTTTATATCATCATCAATACTATTTAAATATGTATTAGTAGTACATATCAGTACAAGCAAACAATCAATTGTACAGGCCACGTATATATATATATATTGGGCGACTGCGTGTAATTCAAGGTGCGCACATGTCGTCCATATAGTGTAATTAGCGGTGGCGGTGGTGGAGGGCGCAGGGCCGCGGTGACACCACAATTATGGTAGCACGCGAGCCGCTTCCGTTTCCGATCGAACCGCCGCTCGCTGTATGGCTTCGTGGGTATCAGGCTGACGATCTGTCTGCTACCCTCGCAGAAATCGTCATCAAATGTGAATCAGCAATCTTGTTATGGAATTACGAATAGGATTGTGTTTTTTTTAATGAAATATAGTTTAGACTACACATTTTGTTGCTGGTACGGTTTTACTGATAGGTAGTTTATCAAACTTGATTCACCTTTATGTTAAATACTTTTTAATCGTAATACGAGTACATTAATTATATGTGCAGATACTGCCACCAATCAATTCGTCGTCACTTATAATTTATGATATATCACGCAGACACGTCACAAGAATATCTTCGTACGATCTGTATAGATGATACTAAGTGTGATGACCTTTGTCCTTATGATGTTGATGAACTATAACATATCTTACTAATGTAATAAAATTGTAATTAGACAGTGTCTGTCCATGGAAGATATTTAAAAATATGATGTAAGGGATTTTAAAGGATCTGTTTGTATATTTGTTTCGGCATCATGCAAAAACTACGGCTTCTAATTCAATATGGTTTTCACTGAGAAATTGTTCAGATTGATACCTGCTGGTGTTTTTCGCTCCCGTATAATCCGCCACAAACTAAAGTTCCATCCCAACTGTCTGTCTGGTGGAATGGCAGACCTCCATCATGCATTTTTCAAGGCACTTTCTTCCACGCGCAACCGTGCTTTGTAATCAACTTCCAGCAGCAGTATTTCCGATCTGATACGATATCATAACCTTCAAGAGCATATTCCTTTTTAAAAGGTCGGCAGCACACCTGCAATGCCTCTGGTGTTGCGGGTGCTCATTATGAGCGGCGGTAGTCACTTACCATCAGGTGAGCCGCATGCTCGTTTGCTCCTTGTGTTATATAAAAACTGTTAACTGAAACTCTTAAAAACTGATATGTATTTTATATCTATGCGCCATCTAGAAGTAATCTATTTCATTTATTTTCCTCTTCTTAAATTCACGTGTATGAAATAGCGCGCTAAAAACTAGTATACTAGCTAGTAAGACTTTCCTAGAGAAAGCTGTAATAGACCTCCTTTGTATTTTATCATACGCGCTTATATATTGTCTTACAGTAAAATAGTACTTGAGAAATCTTTGTTATTAAACTATTATAAATACAATGTAACATCACGATTACATGAAAGATTCTTTGAAGATCGAGTAACTGTTATATATATAAAAAAAACGCTGAATTTTTAATGATTACGTACTTGCATGTACACGTACGTTGTAGCATAAAATAAATTCGCGCGTACTATCTAGTATATAAGTACACGGAGTCCCTCTGGGATTGCAAAATCGCGATCACAAAATTTCATGTGAAAACCGCATTTTATCAACTAATAGATAGTTATATGATAATCGTAGCAATACAGACAGAGCGTTAATGTCAATTGGGTTTCAGGTATTCGGGGCATAAAAATAATTGGCATGAATTGTACTTCAGGGCTGTATTGAATACCAGTCGTCATTGTGTTGACAACAAAGACGGGGGTAGGTACCTACCTATCTGTATCGAAAATATACTTCAGCAAATATATTCATGACGTATGTGTAAAATGAACTCTCCGCGCTTTACCATAGAGTAGGGTGTACAGTATTTGGTGTGCAATGTAGAATTTCGTAGCGGCTTCGTAGCTCAAACGAGTCGTACAGTCGAGGCCGGAGCCCCACAAGTGCAGGGAGGGCAGGTGGTGCAGCGGGCTAACAGTTTCTTTACGGCTCTATCGTAGAACGCCTCACTCCGTCACCGACCACCAACGGGTGTAGGTCTCGCTCGCGCTCCACACTTTACGTGTACTTCTGGTAATAGTATTTCACTTAGTAGTGCACATTGTGATTCTGTCGTATATGCGCCGAGTCGCAGTTGTGTCGTGTCGCTCAGTGGCATTTGTGGCGGTGCCGGTGTCGCTGTAGCAGTATGTCATCGTCGAGTCAGTGTCCTCGCCGTCGCCGCGATGTTGTTTGTGCGTGTCGGCGCGGCGGCGGCGACGGCCACGTGCGCCGGTCGATTCCTTCGCGCATGCGCACCGCTGCGCTGTCAAACGTCACCGACAAACGCCCTGCTGGTGCCCGTGGGCGAGTACTCGCATCACCACGCTCAGGATACTGTGCACGATGAAGGTCCCCGGCGACGGTAATATATTTTACATATTATTGCAAATCAAAATTAAACGAGAGTTTACAGTTGAGACTAGTGTTTATACTATTATGTAATACATAGGTGCCATTGCACTTTTGAATTTAGGTCAACTTGTGCGGTTTTTTTTTTTCAAATAGCGGTTTCGGTAAATACGTATTATTGATTCCACGTATTCCCTTGTACACTATCCATATGTGATTAATTTGCACAAAACTAAATTGGTAGATTAATATTTATCATTTAGTGCTATTAACAATACAAAGACATTGTAAATGTATTAATAAAATCGATTTCTGCACCTTATTAGCTTTTTGTTGAAATTTGATTTTTACTTTGTTTTGGTATCATACTAATCTAGTCCATAAGTGTGACACCAATACATAAAGACAGATTTTGTGGACAGATTTTACACCAAGAAGTTTTTTATTGTATAGAGTTCTTAAATAGCATAAAATAAAGATCGCGTATGAGACCCCACCCAATTGTTATTAATTATTATTTAGAATTTGTACTAAAATAAATAAATTCTGCTTTGAAAAACCTTATTTATTTATTTTAAATTTCTTTATTTATTTTAAATTTCGAACTCTTTTGAAAAAGTCAAAGTTGTTGGAATTATTTGTGTTAATGTTATTTAATAAATATTGTAAAAAAAAAAACAAAGATTATTAGTCGTGTAATAGTTTGCTGTTCTAGCAGGATTCTCTTTAAATCAGTGACTTAGAACTACTAAAACTAGATTTTTTTTCTATCAAGTACAGTTTAAATAATCTGCAATTTATCTGAATTTAGCTGTTTTTTTTTTAATATTGTGAGAAATCAAGTGATAAACATCTTAAAATAGGTATTGTAGCTCGACAGTTGTCGTGTTTTTATTATGAAAAATGTTCTGCCTTTTTAAAATTATGATGTAGAGCGTACTGCATTTGCCTTCACGGAGACAATTTACTTTGTTGCCGGAATGTAAAATTTGAATTTATAATTATGTATTACGTTACAAATTTTTACACTGTAGTATCATGTCTTTATTTCGATAAATGATATTGAATAATTAGTTTTTGCCCACGGCTTCGCTCGCGTAAGGTATACCATTTGTTGCAGGAGTCATTTTTCCGTCTCAATCTTATAAATTATAGACGTTGCCTGCGACTTCGCATGGAGTTTTATTGTAATCTCTCTTTCAAATGTAAACGTTTTAAAAATAGAAACTCATAAAATTCACTTTCTCAGAGGGTAGATCCAGCAGTGAATTTTTATAAATGTTGGAACGCAGAATTCTTATAGATGAATTCTTCAAGTCAACAATAAAAAAAAAAAATAAACCCTAAATATAAATTTCAAGTGTCAAAATTCTAAACTTAAAGTTTTTACACATTTTAAAGCCCCGTTTTACCCCTGTAGGAGTGGAATTTACAAAATTTTTATTGTTCGCCTATATTACATAAATAACCTATTTACAAAATTTCAAGGTTCTAGATTCAGCGGTTTCTGTTTTACATTTTATAGAGGCATATGACATGTACGTGTTATTATTTTAAGCAATTTTTAAATATTTCATTAAAAAATATCTTAATACAAAAGTTGGAATTATTACCATTTTATATTTATTTCTAGCTCCACTGAGAACTGCAATTGCTTTTTCAAATTTAGTACTTCTACACTAAAGGCCTTCAATATAAATTGTCATTTAACAACATTACTAGCAAGCATAAGCAGGATACAAGTGTAAGACATTGTTACAGAAAACTGGCGCCCGTCTAAAGATATTCTCGAACCCGGCGCCTCAAAGTACGGAACGGGTGGTACAGCTGGTTGGCAAGGCTGATGCTACAGCTGCCGGAATTCGAGAGGTGCTGGAACTGATACGACAGGTATTGTGAAAATCACAGCAGTAATTTTACTACGAAAATTAGATATTTTGTTAATATAATTTTTTCACACTTGGACTTAAACTCATATTTGAAACATTTAAAATTGTTGCTTGCCTCTTGTTTCGGGGGCACGTAAAGCCTTTATAGGGTAATCTACCTTAGAAGTCTTTTTCGATAACAAAGGCAATTCAAAAAGTCTTGATACCCAGAGGCCAATATCCCGATGTTAGTAGTAATGGCAAATAAGCTGACGGCTATAATGAACATTACAATATAGGTATGGCGTATATGCCTCATGCATTCCTGAAAATAAATACCTTGAAATTGGCTTTATATATAGAGGTTCATCACCCTTAGTCATCCTTTAAATTTAAACAGTCAGAAACACAGCTACTTGACGTTACTATTATTGTTCTAGTACTGGTATCACCTTTCTGTTTAATAGTCGAATTTACTCTATCATACTTAATATTTTCATTCCGAAATCCTTAAGAACAAAGATGTGATATTTTTACATTTACCTCCAAAAGCGGTTGCTTATAGCAAAAAAAGAACCAAAGCTAGTTGTAACTAAGTATACAAAGATTTTACAAAATTCATTCAAGAACACGAATAAATACGAAAGGGTTCTGCGTAAGCACAATCTCGCTGTGTATACTATAGGGAATAGATTTTAAATTTACAATGTGATACAATTATTATACCGTTACTTACTGTAACTTATTATCGTCTCTACAAATTTCAGGTGCCGATAAAAGGAGCTATTGAGAACTATGATCCGCACAACTACGATGACTTTTACGCGGACGAATATGGCGGCTTCGGTGGTGGGCAGGGCGGCGGCGGCAGAGGGGGGCGCGGTGGTCCCGGGCCGCGCGGTAACCGGCCGCCACCACCTCTAGGCCCCGGCGGCCGCGGTCCTGGACCCCGAGGCCCCATGTCCCGCGGAGGGCCCCCTGGCCCGCCACCGGGTCCACGTAGCAACTTCAACGACTTCGGGGGTCCCCCGCCTCGTGGCAACTTCGGCGGGCCCCCGCGTGGCAACTTTAGCGGCGGCAACTTCGGTGGCAATTTCGGCGGCGGTCGTTCCAGTGGGGGCGGCGGTAACTTCAACAACAACAGCGGCAACCAGCAAGAAACTTCCACACAAGTCACCATTCCAAAAGATGTAAGTGGTGTTTTTAAAGGAAATTTAAAATTTTTCAAAAAAAGAAAATATAAAAATATCTATAAATTGTAGTTTTACAATATTACAAATAAATCATAAAGATATTAAATTGTAATTTCCAAAATCAAGTAGTACATTTTGAAAGTCCAATTTTATATGAATAGTCTTTCTAACTTGATGTTTGTTTGAGAATCAATATTCTGCAATTTATGTACTTAGTAGTAATGTGAATGATTTATTTTATTTAGTTAGTTAAACTTTATTTTCAATGGTAATATAAGCAGACAATACTTTTTAATAGAATACATACATGTATTGATTTATAACTCATACTTCATGGTTAGTCCATACGGGGTAACTTTAATAAAAAAAAAAAAATATGTAACTGTTAAAAATTTTATTTATAGTTGGCGGGTGCAATAATCGGCAAGGCCGGCTCCCGAATCCGTAAAATCCGCGCGGAAAGTGGCGCCGGCATCGAGATAGCAGAGCCGGTGCAGGGCTCTAATGACCGCATCATCACCATCACCGGCACTCCGCAGCGCATACAGATGGCTCAGTATCTCTTACAGCAGAGGTAATGAAACACGCCGCTAACTGTTATACTATTCCGTATATTATTACTTACAATAACAAATACAATTAAAGGTGACGAATCAGTTATAAATGCATATGACTATAAAATTTCAAATCAACAAATTACCAATTTAATTGTCACCTCAAAATTATATTTTTTATTAAATTTAATATGTGCATGTACTTTCATGGTTGACTAGTCATTCTATAAAGTCACCGCTAAAATCATCGATCTGTTGATGTGTTCAGTTAACATTGTATTTGGTTAAGGATCCTCATTAGGTATTTCGTTATCATTACTAACACAACATTATTTTGACAATAGAATGTTTGAAGAGTTCCCTGACTTGGCACCAAACAAAACTAAGTTATAAGTAGCTTTGTTGTGACCCCCTTTGACTGTGACGTCGATATTATTATTGCTCAGGTAAAACTCGAAATAATTCTTTGTAGATTGTTCTCATTTCATAGTGGTGTATATTTAACCTGTTAGTAGTAACCACTATTATATCGTATGGTCTCTTCTTGAAACATTTATGTCCAATACAATATTTGTATAATTTAACTACGTATTAAATGCAATGGCAATTTCTATATTGGTTTTAAATAAAATTCTTGTATTATCATTACATGTTAGATGTAGTTTTAGTCTCCATTTAATCCATTCTATATTTTCATTAATTCATTAAAACATTTAGAATTCATTTTTAAAAAATAATTGCTGATCAAGTTAATATTGTTTTTCACTATTAAAAATAGGGCACTTTGACTAACTTTATCTTATTGTATATGTTCTGGTTTTGCTAACAACACATTCTGTAAATAACATTTTTAGGTGGTCTACAACTAACGGGCATCGGTAGCGGCGCGTTGTGTGGAAGACTAGTGATTTTGTTGTTTTGGTTCATTAACAAGGAATCACTAATCTGCCTACAAAGCACCAGCAAACACTTCAGATCAAGATAACTCTCTCTTTTACGTTGCTGTCTTGTCTGTCTGTCACTAACTTGTATAACAATTATATATACAATTGTTTTATTAAAATTTTTTGGTGATATATTATTAATAAATGGTTATCTGTTCGCAGTGTACACGAGAGCAACCCGAATCTCGGCCGCGGAAACTTCTGATTCCGGTAACGAACTGAAAATGAGATAAAAATTCGTAAAGTTTTTGCAAGCCACACCTCATATAAACTTCCTGTACATTTTTAATATACACTATAATTTATATGTGTAATTCTGATAACTAACCAGAAAAACGAAATGCTAATTATAAAATAAAAGTATGATTTTATTTTGCAATCTAATTAGATAATTAAATAATATACAATACATATTACATAGATATGTAATACGGAAAATATATGTTCCTTTTAAGAAGCTAATAAAAACATTCTTGAAAATATTGTAAATTTTAATCTAGATTATATAGATAGAGCATAGAGCCTCGAAAACGGGTCAACTTTTTGTCAGCTAATTGTCAAATTAGCAGACTAGTTTTTTTTTTTTTTATTAATGTTCTATATACTTACACTTCAGTGTATTTTGACGTGTGTGTATTTAATTAAAATGAGCTTATGCGCATTAAAAGGAGCAAAAATTATAAGAGGAAATATAGAATTAATGAGGAATCACTTATAACCGGTACCTATCTTCAATTTTAAGCATAAATGTAATTATAAATATTCACATTTTTTTAAGAGCTCGCGCCATTTTTAGTTGTTGCAAGTATGCGAAAAAATTCGATGATTAAACTCCACCACTACAGGTAATTACAATTCTTGTACATGTCAAGTTATTTACTATAATTAATACTAATAATTAATTATAAAAGATATGATTATATTTCATTTTACATGAAATGTCAATATCAATTTATATAGATATGTACATAGAGATACTAATGAGTAGGTATTATGTGACTATTGGCCGATTTGGCCGATTGCTTTCAAAATCGATATCTAAGGATCCTTATACATTTCAAATATGAATCCGGTATAACAACTAATAAAAATTGCCGCCATTTTTATTTCTTATTTGATCGATTGCTTTTAAAATCCATATCGGAGGATCCGTATACACTTCAAATATGGATTCGGTGTCAGAATTAATCAAAATTGCCGATATTTTTATTTAAAGTGATAAAAGTATTTATTTAAACAACGATTAATGAAATAGCATTAAGAAATTAAACTTAAGATAATATACATGATTATTATGTAATATTTTTTTATATTTAGTCAATTACAATTAATTAACTCATTTTCAATTCTCATATGTTGGTATTTCCAAAAACTCACATAAAATTTAAATTAATCCTATTTAATTCTAACACCAATACATGTTTTTAATCTACAAAAATTCTGAGATATTCGTATATAAATCTGTTAAGTCCCTGTAAATCTGTAAAGTTGTCCCTTTTTTTTTTTTTTTGAAGCATTTGTATGGAGACACTATCTATATAATCTATTTTTTTAATTGACAAAATTGTTTTTCTGGTCCGAATTTATACTAGCATAAGAATGCATTTATCATTGTAAAAGAAAGATTTAAATAAGATTGTATCAATAATTTACTGATTATTTGTTACATCGATGTATTTTTAAGTAAATAGATGATAGATTTGAAATAAATAGTTTATTTTACGAAGATGTGTTTTATTGTCAAAACTAAGAGAATCGATATAACAACAAATAAGGCAGACTGTCAAGTACAGATTGTCCCGTCCTCTACGTGTACGCACGTGTGTATCCACGTGATAATGGATTATTCTATCTTATATAACCATACGTTTATGAGTTTACGTAGAACTTGACTACGTTTCGCCAAATACCTACTATCTAACATGAGACGATTTTGCCAGAATTCTGCGCCAAACTATAGTTTTTAAAGGCATTGATCATAATTCGGAAGATTTTTTTTGTGTGGCCCTTGATATTTAAATATAAGAACAAACCGATGGATTAGGCGCGAAAGAAACGAATGTTTTTCCCGTTTCATTTTTGAATCGGCTGTTTGTTCAATTCCGGATGAAATTGGAATAATAACTGAAAACAAATGAAGGGGCGTAGAACCATAGTGACTTGACGAAAATGCATGTGCCATTCAATTTATCTGCGTAACTCGGGATGTATTTTGTCATCTTAATCTAACATTCAAATAATATGAATAAAACGAAAAATCATTGTTTACTAAATATATAATAATTTTGTTTATGTTGTAACTTTTATTGATATGTGCCAAATAAATATTTTTCTTTCTTTCTATTTGTATAGGTGTTTTTATGTATAATATGTATTTACCACATAAAGTATTATATCTTATCAAGTCGGCTTTCGCGAGGTTCCCTCTGGAAACCATCATGACTAATCGTTAACTTCATCAAAATGGGGTAACTGACGTGCCTTTTAAACCTTACTGGTGTCCCGCCAGTGTATACAGATAACGCAAGCGGGGTTACCATTCCATATCATCTGTTAAAAAAAACCTATTAGTTATCCAGTACTCATAATTCAACCTTTGCTAAATGCATAAAATGTCCAATGGTATTTATATATACTTAGTATAACGTACTAAGGGTATTTATTGTTATAGAAATTGCGTATTTAGTATTTTTCAACAGAAAAATCTTAATACATTGCATATAATTCTTCTGGTTTTTTTTTTGATGGATGAAAATGGAATGGCAGCCCGCCCCGCCTACGCTAACGGTATACGCTGGCGGGGCAACAGTGAAGGGTGATTGATGAGAATGAAAACAGGCCAGTTAATCCATCATGATGAATTCATCAGGAATTAACCATGATAGTTTCCAGGGGGAACCGCGTGGAGGTCGACCTGGTATGATATTGCTAGCAATGGAATTCTCAGTTTCCATTACTAACAATCCCTTTCCTCCTAATTGCTCTGGTTGTAGCCTAGTCACAACACCTACCTTATTATCAACCCTAAAAAATACAAAGAGGCACTCAATACGGTTAAATTTTTTTTAGGTGTATTAAATCATAACTCCGTCAGTTCTAGAATTTTTTATGTAAAATGATAATACAGATTGGTTCCATAGAAATTTTATCGAAATCAGTTCAGTAAGTAATTTAGTTTTGAAATTAAGACTGGTTTTGTTACAATTTGCTCGCAAATAATCAACAAAATAGATACTTCTAGAGGGTGTACCAAAATGAAAGATACACCAAATTGAACTTTAGAAAATAATTGTGGAAACTATAGACGTAATGAGGCGAAAATGTTAAATGCCAGAACAAACATACAGACAAAAGCCTAAATCTGTCATATATCATTCTAAAATACGTATTTTGTAACTGCATCATCTAGTTTATTGTCTAGTTGCATTTTTATTATTTACCTATAGATTAAAACCTAGACATTAATTTGTGGGCACTTTCTAATTTTGCCTACTAGTAGAAATAAAAGAACTATACATATACAATGTTTTATTACAATTGCTGTAAAAGCAGACAAGTCTGATGTGGTCTGCAATATCTAAAAGATTTTTAGTTCTCAGAGAATATCATGTATTGTTAATAACAAAATGATATAATAAATAGAATTTGATTCTATTCATTAAAAAAATATTTTAAATTGATTCAGTATAAAATTCCATATTAAAAATTCCATCACCATTATTTGTGATAGAACAAAATATTGCAGTCATCGATTTGAATGAAACGATTCTTCAGTGTGGTCTGGTTTGTCTAAATAGAACATAACATATACAAGAGGTATCACAACACCTAAAATGAGCATAAAACCCACTAAGTGAAACCATTTCAGTCCAAAATCAGCACCATGTGATGTCAACTCCTTTACCACTACTGCTTCTACTGGTTCCTTCTGTTTATTTGGCAATAATTGTGTACCTTCAGATACTGTTTCATTTCCTTCCATATCTGTGTATGGGGTCACAGATGGTGCTACGGTGCTATTTAAAACAATGCTATTACAGTCTATTGTATGATCACCATTCTCCCCAGGATTTATACTCTGACTTTGTAAAATATTATGCTGTGATGTAACATCATTTTGTACCAAATCTTGTCCATCAAGATTTGCAGGTGAAGTATTAGAATTAGATGGCTGATGTTCAGGAAGTTGTGATGGTATTATTTCAGTTAGAACTGAATATGGTGTAACAGGCACTTTAATGGTCCGTCTTGCAAATATTTCATTATCTTTATGTATCTGATTTATCCTCTTTAGTTCTGAAACCTAAAATGGTATTTCAAATTATTAGATTTATATATTTATTAATTATTAATAGATTATGATAGTAGCAGAATACTAAATGTATTGCTGGCCTTTTATGAAGATATAAACTCTTTTCTTAAAGGGGACAGTTTATTTCACAGTTTTACATGTTGTAAGTCTCTAAGTATGTTATAGGAATGTTATTACAGTAGTGAATGCACAATTTGTTAAGGTTACATTCTATTTTTCCTCTTAATATTAATAATATTTAATTGTTTTCAATTAATTGTTTAGCTAATCTTTCCTCATGGAAGAAAATTGATAGTTATGGGGACTAGCAATCCAACTGCTATCAAGATACTTAGAGATCATCTTCAATACAAACCAGGTTGGCCAACTGACCTGACTTGATCCTCCTCTATCATTTCTTACTGCTACCCCACCATCATATAGTGTAAACGGGGATACTATTCCATTTTGATCCTATTAAAACTCCACTAATATAAACTGATAACACATAGAGTGAGGTAAAGAGGATTGCAAGTAATGAGGAGTCATAAACGCATTGCTAGCAATATACCTTATTAGGTCAACCTTCATGTGGTTCATCCTGGAAATCATATTCAATTCTTGTGAAATTCCACAAAAATTAACCATAAAATAATATTTAAATTCCAATTACTTACAGAGCAATAAAATCTTAGGGCAATGGCTTGTAATGTATCGCCTTCCTGTACTTGGGCCTCGATGAAATGGTCGCGTGTTCTTATTTTATGTAACATAATATCGGTAGTGCCATCAGCGTCGTCCTTTTTATTATTTACAAAATTGTAATTAATTAAATCATCTCCGCTGTGCATTATTCGTGTCCTATAAAAACATACTGATGAGTAACACGTAAACAACAATACACAATCTACACGTTTCAAATGAAAATGACACTACACTTACCTTTGTTTCATTTTCAAAAACAATACTACAATGAATATTTTCTAGCATGACCTATATAAATAACTTAATTCTACCTTTACTAACTACTTCTGACGAATTTTTCTAGTTCTTAGAATAAATTTAAAAGAAAGAATATATAGTAAAACAAAAACAGCTGTGGAAGAACTTTATAATCGTATTGTAACTTTGATCGTAACAAAGAATTTTGACAATTACAGATTAGAAGAAAAGATAATCTGTTCCTGTGTCAAAAGATTACGTAGAAAAGTGACGCAACATTCTTAATCTAAGAAAAATTGATAATGTAATTTAATTTTTTGTAATTTATTTTACGGCTTTGGATGTTAGCCTTTAGCCCACAATTGATAAAGTTTATAGTTAGCGCGGGACTTTACCCAATCTTAAACTTTTATTATTCTTCACTATGTTTGCCATATGGTTTTGTCACAACGAAAGATATAAAAGACAATTCCTTCTGTTTCTACTTTTACCTTATCTTATATCTTCTTATTCTGTCATCTATTTTGCTACATTGATGTATTTGCTACCCTCATTCGATATTTTATTGTATTAATAATTTTTATTGTATAATTTAATACACTTTACTAGTACTTTACCCAACTAATATTTATTACTAATATTTTAATTTCATAAAAAAATTAAAATATTAGTATTAAACTAGTTTAAATTAAAATATTAGTGTCATAGTGAAATTTTTATTGTAAGGATCAATATGAACTAATTTTTTAATAGATTTTAGTCAAAATTAATAAAATTTTATTTTATTTTGGCCCATAAAATACTACTTTCGTAAAATTATCAAATAACAAATATTAAGAGATAAGTTTAGAAAAATGGTGCCTCAGAATTGGCTCCTTTGGTTAAAAAATCTAAGAACAAGGAAATCTTCGTAAAAAATAAAATTGGTAGCTAATCCTTAGAGCAGGTAATCACTTTGAGCTGAAATCGTTTTAAAATATGTATTTTTTACATAAATTTTTATTTGAAACTAAAATGCTTATTCATTTTATAAAATTGCAAATGTTTAGTATGTCATTATTAATACTTAGTAGCTTACAAAAAAGCATAGTAGCGCAACCACTGTACAACATGAGATAGTAGTAGAGCGGTAAACGACTTAAAAACTAAAATTATAATCATGAATTTGTTTACTTTTGTCACTAAATCGCAATTTTATATGCATTTTTTAAATGATAATTTTTAATTAGGTTAACCTATAAGGTAGTTCTTTATACTATGCCGTTTTGATTATATAGACCGTGTTTCTTTCCGGTTCCGGAGTGTATGCATAAAATGAGTCATTAGTGCAAGAAATAAAGAAATGTCTGCAGGAATAGTGGCGACTTAAAACAATAGTCCGAATAAAACTTAGATTATGTATTCCACAAGGCACTCTGTTTACTCCAAAAATATAGTATTGCCAGGGGAATCAAAAGTGGTAATCGTCTACTATAAACATGGACAACAAACACTGTAGTCACCTACCACTAAAATAATTAAATCTGCTTGTTACCCCTCCTGGATAAGGGTCTATGCTTTACACATGAGGGATGTTATACCTTACTTCTTGTACATTAAATATCGTCGAGTTCTTTTTTAAATTTACCACAAAAGTATGAAGTTAAAATAAAATTCAGTAACATTTTAAATAATTTCATTGTAATTTTAATAATTCAGAATATTTTACACAACAGTTACAGAACATAAAATACCTTTGGTATTGCGCCGTAGAGGTGGTAATAATAATTGCACATAATTTATTTGCTCTAACTAATATTATGTACAAAAAATACATTATTACAAAACCTGTCCTCGCCATTATTAGCTACAGATAAGTAACATCACTTTATATTTTCTTATAAACAAATATTTACCAATGTATGAGAAATTATAAAATACAATTGTACATATTGAATGGGATTTTGTTCATGTGACAAAATTATAATATCTATGTGTATCTGATGTAATGTAAAGCTCAAAAATGAGGATGATACTTGAGCTGTTATATTACATGTGAACACATAAATAATTTATTTCTATTCAATAAATTAAATTTTTTTATTAATGTACTTTATCTGAGCTCACTGTATTTTGCTCATTGTATTAAAAAAAGCGCATTCAAAACATATAAAGATTTAACAAATCTTTTATTTCTACTATGTTTTTCTGATATAAAAAATTATAAATTTACTATTTAAAATACAAAATCACCAATGGTGGAATATAGTTATGATTGGAGTTCTTTGAGGAATGACATATGGATATTATTAGTATAAGGCTATATTTGTTATACATAAGCACATATTTTAAAAAATAACCAAAAAGATCCGTATTCGAAATATATATAGTAAATTAATTTTGAAGGCAATATGAAATATTTTCTTTGAAACAAAATAAAATATACATGTTCATGGTAACTTTTATCGCTTCTATAAAGGCAATCATTATATTTTACACAATAATTTTACATTGTATAATTTTACATTATATAATTTTAAATCAGGAAACTCAGGAACATTTTGACATGAGTTATTTAGTAATATGCCTACACATTACAAAATGTATTAAAGTACATAAAGTGACAAAATATGATATAGTTATATAAAAATAAAGTGACAGGAACAAATATTGAGTATATTAATATACTAATACACACCACTAGTAATAATAATAAGCACCTACGTCGTCATAAAGACAAAATTTAATTTTGGCCATGACTGCCCTAATATGTTTTGCAAAATAAATAAACATTCCTAAGGTAGTGATTTAATCGGACATAATTGTAAGATATGACATATTTTTAACGTCAAATAAGAGACAAAAAAAAAGTATCACAGTAAATATTTGAAAATATTAAAATAATATGTATATAGTACATACCTAGTATTTAATAAATAAAACACAATGAAAATATGAGATAACTATGAACTTAAAATACTGATTACATATTAATCCTGTCATTCGAGTTTCGTATTTTGGATGTCCAAATTATTAAACATTTTGAAATCATGTTACCACAGTATAACTAATAATAGTACTACTTGTTTATAGTCATTACATTTAAACTGTATATTATAATGTTTATGAAAATAATAATAAAAAAAAAAAAACTTGCACAAAAGCTAATTGATACTATCACATAAACAATAATCCATTTGAGTATTATAAAGCATATCATAAAAATACAAGAAATAAATAAGAAAAATATGTATATAAAAAAAGTAGCCGCTAGTATTCGGAAACCCTTAGCAAGGGAAGACGTCAGGGAATTTTCCTGTCTGTCTCTAGATGCATAATCCTAATAATATTTTATGGACTTTGACATGTCACATATTATTTCGAATAACAGACATACCAATACAGTTTCGTCAAGATTCAGAGACAGATCTCATTAATAGAATTAAATGTGAACAATTTGTGAATTCTATTGTGGTCATCAAGGATGTTTACGGATCCTCCATGTGTAATACTTAAATTTTAACACAATGTTTAAAGTAACATGATAAATAAAATGCAATTATTTAATTATCTTAACATATAAAAATTGCATAAATGTGTCATATTCTAATTGTTAACATGGATTTTTATTTACTTGTATAATGTTTCAGCTAGTGGTATCATACAAGACTTGATCTACTATATTATTTTAAATATAGTACTCCATTTTATCAAAGAATTAGGAAATACGATTTATGATATTAATATATTTGTATAATATTTTAAACAATTATTTGATAATATTTACATAGCAATATAAAAAATTATGATTTCGTAGCAAAATATTTACAAATCCAATTAAAACAACACTATACAGTTTTGTGCCCAAATTTTTACAATTTATGTTGAGCATTCGATCAATTAGGATGTCAATATTATTACATTGTTATATAAGGGATTGATAAATGTGATAAAAATTAGAACAATTGCAATCCTAATTGAGTGAATGAAAACATTTCCTCTAAGTATTATTAATATATATAAACATAAATAAAAAGAACTAGCAAGCAAGCATAATCCCTTTTCTCAAATTGTTTAAAGTAATTTTTATGATATAATAAATGACTACTAGTGACTTGGATTTATGTGCTTTTTAAGGTAATTTATGAATAGATGTAAGTATACAAGAATTCAATGGGAGTAAACAGTGTCTATAGTACAGTATGTGATTTCAGTGTAAGTATACATAGTTGAATTCAATTATGTGACTGCTCCCTTTTTTAGGTACTTATGTCATTTCTATAAAAAAAAAAATAAACTTGTCTGTGTTCGAAATCCCGATTATGTGTATAGTTTGCCTTATGACAAATAAAATTTAGTTTTATCAGGTTTTCATTAAAATTAAACAATTCTAAGAATTAATAATAAACACACGAAAATATAAGAAGGAAATAATTTTAATATAAATTAAAATTAGTTTTAATGAAATTGGCATATTTACAAACACGAACAAACTTGACTTGGAATAATCAGTCTGGTAATAGAATTAGGATCAATATGAATTGAAGTTTGGCAACATATAAAAAAAAAATATTCCATTATTTTTTTAATCTACAAATTATAATTACTTCATATTTTGTTTTGTTTGTTTTCAATCACTTTTTTTTATTATAAAGTCCAAAATTTTTGAGATAGTATTATTACATAATTAACATGTTAGAAAACATTTAAAATTGTTTATTTTGAAAAATGATCATATTTATATTAAAGATTGCCAGATATAGTTAAAACATAAAAGTCCTTCAATTTTATATAATATTGTTTATGCATTTCATATGTTATGTTTGAACAACTATTGTATATTTTATTAGTTATGTACATACACAAGCATATAAAATTATTACATGTTTAGTTACAGTGATCAAGGTTTTTATTAATTACTTATTGGTGTTATCGTCAAAGAATAAAATAACATTAAAATATTACAAATTACTAATATTACAACAATGAAGGTTACAAAAACCTAAAGAAATAGCGTTAAACTTAATACTTTCTCTCTTTACAAAATATCCAGCACTTTAATTATAATACATGTTTATAAAGTGCTAGTACGAGTTATGTTACAGAATGCTGTTATCAAAATAAATTGCTTACCATTTTGAATAGTTATATGTGGACTCCATAACTAACACATTATTTGAACAAAATTATTGATGAGCAGATATATCACAAAATCACATCTACGCACCACTAACTTTGCTCGAGTAAAGCGCTGGTAAACAATTTGAAATTACCTAGTCTATTAAATGCTGCGGTACGCCATGACAGTTTGCACCACAAAATGGCGCCAACAATGGCAACACAATATGTGCATGTACTTAAATTGTAATTCACGGACTTTGACGATAACAGCGATTCGATATCACAATATTAGAAGCGTTTAACAAAATGTCATTAGGGCGTTGCTTATACATATCACAGGTTGCGACTCAAGGCCTATATAAACTTGGACCGAATCTGTCCAAATTAATATATGTCTTAACATACGTATACATAATACTAGGGTGACAATGGTCAAGGGTATACAGCCTTAGACGACTAGTTAATCAATAGCGGCACGTCACTTATTACTATCACTTATTATACATTCGGGGAACATCGTGGGATTTTACTAATTTAAAACAAATATTATTGAATTGAAATTCTAAATTTTATTTATTATTATTTTAGTGAGATGAAAATAACTTAAGTTGATATTAAATTAAAAAGTTTGTTCAGTTCTAATTATTAAGTATACCATTATCATTATATTATAGATTGCCATTTTAAAGTAACTAATGCCGTTATTTAAATAATAAAAAAAGAATTTTTATTATATTCATTTGTTACGTTACATAAACCAGTAGCTGAATTCTGGTGTTTATGATTATCGTGATTTGTTTAATCAAACTAAACCTTATGACAATGCAGTAAGGTTTACGTTGATTAGAAATCCGTCGAATGGTTGTCGTTGCACTTTATTTAGAATTTCAATTTCAACATTGAGATTGCAAGATTACCATTAGCGAGATCTATAAAAATGTATTTAACTTATAGTATTTAATGGCAAGATCCGCTATGTCCGTCATTTACAAATTACCATAGGAATAATTGCATAGTCGCATAGACTTCACTCTTATAAAGAAATTTCACTATGACAATTAATGCTAGTAACATTTTCACGTTTATAATACTATAAGACAACAACAAACATACAAAATAATTGCAAATTATATAGAAGGCAATCTATGCGACTATCATTCGACTTTTTATATGCATACATTCACAGTCATATATTACGGATATTCTCAACAGGTATAAATAGTACAATATGTACCTATATACACTGACCAGAAATGTTCATAAGCATTTGTCAATTTTCTAGCGTGATCGCAAATACATGTGATCAGTGTGTCAATAAATGGCAAGTTCATGATGGTCACAGAGTAACAAAACGGACAGAGCGCAGGGCTCACGCATTGTCGAAGCCCTGGAAGTCTCCGGGCCAGTTGTCTCTCCGCGCCGCGCGGTCAGATCCAGTGCACGCGAAGAACGCGTCCCCCTCGAACGGGTCACTTTCCCGTGTGAATATATTTACCGACTCTGATTTTTTTATATCTCTGTGAGCCGTCTGGGGCTTCGATCGGAGCGGTGGGACGTCACTCTCGTCTTCCTCGGCTATAGAAGCGGTCCTGCCTCGAGGCGTGGACGCGGCAGTGAAGTCGTCTTCGAACATAGAGCGTGGAGATATCGAATCGGAATCGAACCGGAATCGGGTCGCCGGTGAATCCGGGTCCCGGGCACGCGAACTGCTTGCCGACTGTGGCGATGCACCCATCTCCTCGGGGTCGAATGCAAACCTAAAGCCACAGTCATTTTTTAAGAATCTAGATAGCCGAAGTCATCTGCGCAAAGGTATCTAATTTTATTTGGAAAGGACAAAATCCTCCAATTATTGTATCTTGTTTACGTAAGCTCTTAAACCCTTTACAAGGCTTTGAGTATAAAATATAGGAGGGACTATTGAACAGATTGAACCATTACGGAAGATATTTGATAAGGCTTCGTGCAGACTAAATAAATTGAAACAAAGATAGCACTCTGTTAATATGAGAGTATTTTGAAAGACAACAAAACTGACCTGGTTCCTTCCAGTGAGGAGTACGGCCCTCTTTTCTTGGCGGCGGACGTGGGAGTGTCCTGGAAGTTGTTATCGAAGGGCGAGGGGTGGTCCCGGGGGGAGAAGTCGTTGGAGAACCTGTAGTCCCGGCGCGGCCGCTCCTCCCGCCGCGGTCGCCGCCGTGCCTCGCGATCGTCGCGCGGCTCACGTACTTCACGCACCTCGCGTCTTGAACTTGCAGTTGCCCTACGCCCGGGCCATCCTAATGTTGAGCCGTATCTGTACAAAGGATTTAAAATTTGCAGATATTGTATTGTAGTAAAACTTAAACAACAAATACATTCATGAAAATTGATTCTTTAAGTCTGTGACATTTATATATAATTCTTTATATTATTTAAAATCTATTGTTACCTTTACCATATAAAAAAGGTAATTTCTTAATATACTATAAATAATATACAGTATGTATAATAAAAAATTTACAATACAATACCAAAAAATATAAATGTTTACATACCTTCTATCGCTAGGATCATCATTTTGCCTCATTTCAGCCCTACGTCGCGACTCACGCCATCCCAAGGAACCATAATTTCTTTCTGTAAATATAAAATTATAAGATTAAACTATTGAGTATTTATACATCATTACACATTCACATCATCATCATTATCATATCAGCCTTTAACTGTCCACTGCTGAACATAAGCCTCCCCCTTAGGGGGTTTTTCCAGTAGTTGCCACGCTTCGCAGGCGGGTTGACAACCACAGTTAGGCTTTAGAGATATTTTAAGGAGGATGCTGTTGCGCATCCCTCATCCTCCCTTATTCGCCTCTTACGACACCCAAGGGAAAGGAAGAGGTGGCCTATTCTATGCGGGGACCACACGGCAATTATTACAGTTAGGCATTAAAACCTAGTATCTCTATAGGGGGGAAAGGGATTGTTAGTAATGGAGACTGAGAATCCCATTGCTAGCAATATACCCAACCAGGTTGACCTCCTCGCGGTTCTTTCTGGAAACTATCATGATTAATTCCTGATGAATTCATCATGACGGGGTAACTGGTCTGTTTTCATTTTCATCTATCACCCTTCACTGGTGCTCCGCCAGCGTATCCCGTTAGCGTAGGCGGGGTTACTATACCATTTTCACTCATCCAAAAAAAAAAAAGTATCTCTTTAGAAAATTACTACTTTATACTGTTCTCAGATTTGTAGTAAAAATAAAACCTTGCGATTGCAATACCTCTTTTCTTATTAAAAAAAAAAAATAGGTATTTGCTAGATAATGTATAGAAAAAGCTATCTATTAATAATTACGAACCATCTCGCCTCCAGCGCTCAGGCCATCGGTCTCGCGGTGACGATCTTCCCGAACCGCAGCCATCACTATAACTGCAAAATTATGATTGTATGTTAGTATTATACACTTTCGTAGTATATATTCTTTTTATACAACTTAGAATGCCAAACAAGCTGACGGCCTACCTGATGGAAAGTGGTAACCGTTGCCTATAGACATGAGCAGTACCATGGACATAACAGAGTATACTGTTTCACCCATGATACCTCCCATGCGTTGCCATTCCTAAGGACTCAGGTGTTTGGGTACAGAGACCCAGTAAATTCACGCCATATCCCATCCTTCAAACCGAAACATAGCCATGCAAACACAACTGCTTCCTGAACACAACATTGAGTTATAAAATTTATTGCCATTCACTATAATAAAAAAGCAATGCCTTAATAGTAAAATGCTTTATTCCAGCAAACTGCTTGTGTGAAATTAAAATATGCAATTTCTTCAACTTGAAACTGGTTCAACATAATGTTTGTGATAATTTTTTTTATCACAAACATTTATAAAATGATAAAGATTTGTTATAGTGAGTATTCACTTGTAAAAAAACGAATTTCCTGCTGGAGAAGTGTCGCACGAATGCAACCACCTTAAAAAAATAAAAAAATATATTTTACTCACTCTTCGTCCTCGTCGTACGAATGCCTGGACTTTCTGTGTCGATCTCTATCTTTGTCCCTGTAATCCTTGGAGCGGTCCCTGCTGCGCGAGTCCCGGTAGTCGCGGTCGCGCGCGTAGGGCCGGTCGCGGTCCCAGGAGTGGTCGCGGTCGCGGTCACGGCGGTCACGGCGGTGGTCGCGGTGGTCGCGGTGATCGCGCTCTTTGCTGCGGTCGCGGCGGTCGCGACCGCTGCCCGAGTCGCGGCGGTCGCGGCCCGACTCCCTCCCGTCTCTGCTCAGCTCGCGGTCGCCGCGGTCGCGTTTGTCCCTTATCTTGTCTTTCTCTCGACCGCTGCCGGAGTCGAGGCATTCTCTGGACCCGGATGAATTGTGCCTGTAACGAGGTGTTTTTTTAATATGTAGGTAAAAAAGGAAATGGTAATCCTGCCAGCGTTATCGGTATATACTAGTGAGGCACTAGTGAGATGATAGGTGAAGGCAAAAGGAGGCTAGTTAACCCGTTGTGACGAATTCTACAAGAATTAACCACAATGGTTTCTAGAGGAAACTGCATGAAGGTTAACTTATTATATCTTATATTGCTATCAATGGGCCTGTTAGATAACATTGCTAGCAATCCCTTTTCACCTGTAAAGAGATATCAGGTATCTTATAATACTTTATGTATAATATTTATTACACATACACGATACATATACACAAAAAAAAAAACACTTTCACACATATGGAAAGAAATTTCATTGCAGATAGATAGATACTCTTTATTATTTCCTCCAAAAGTAATTGTAATCAAATTTATTACTGCATTTGGTATTATTTCATAATATTTTATGACAAAAAAGGGAATGAACTGGATGTCCTTAATATAGATCATTATATGACCTAGTAAGGACGACAGTAAACATCGGAAGTTGTAACAATTTAACATGTATCTTATGCTTAACGTAAAAACTTTATATGTAAACTATTTATGGAAAAATAAACTATTATAATTATTATTATATAATATTGATGTTTATAATTATGGTTATTAGGGGGAAAGGGATTGTCAGTAATGGGGTAAAATAGCCCTATTACTGGCAATATACCCAACCAGGTCGACCTTCTCGCGGTTCTCCCTGGAAACTATCATGGTTAATTCCTTATGAATTCATCATGGTGGCCTAACTGGCCTGTTTTCATTCTCATCTATCACTCTTCACTGGTGCTCCGCCAGCGTATCCCGTTAGCGCAGGCGAGATTACCATTCCATTTTCACCCATAAAAAAAAAATACATTATAGGTCTTGATGCCACTTTCCTAAGATGTATGTTCAAGTGCAAATCTGTAGACTAATGAAAAAAGTGCAGTGCAATATGAGGATGTAAGTATGACCTGGAGTCCCTGTCGCGGTCGCGGTGGTGCGCGGGGGGGCGCTGCAGGCGCGGCGCGGGCGGCGCGGGCGACGCGGGCGACCGCTCCTCCTCCCACGGCGACACGTCGCGCGACGACGACGACGTTTGCACTGCAACAGATTAATGTACGTCAGCGCTTATGTATACATACGCGTACTTAGTTATTTTATAGCGCCGGGTGAAAACGAATATTTGCAGCTCTTTACAAGAATAGAATAAAATAAATATTTATTGTGAGCATTACAATTTTTCGTAAGATGTTATTAACGTCTTAAAGGAAAACAGCCTACTCATACATCGGGCATAAAATACGATTAATTACATAACGTTAAATATTTTACAGTCATACATTAAAATCGTCAATAAAGTTGAAAATAAAATAAAGCATGTCAATCGACAGTCACAAACTAACTCATGGTCACCATTAGAATATATTAATTATCATCTTATATAGGTATTAATAAAAAAAAAAAGTCAAAGAGCAGTACAGTTCATGAACATGTTAGTTCGCAATTTAAATTGCACAATTCACATATAATATTGTTTAATTAAGTTATGAAAATAAACAATTACATTAATAAACAAATGAGACATCAACATATCAATTATAAGAATTTGTTTTCTTCATAATTCCTGCTGAATTTTTAGAAGCTTACACTGTATACGAGAGCTTTCCTATATATCTAACATACGTATCACTGTGTGTATGTTTTTCCTTTTTTACATTACCAAAAATTTATCGTATGGTCCCGGCATAGAGTAGGGCACCCTTTCATTTCCCGTGGGTGTAGTAAGAGGCGACTAAGGGACGGCGAGGGATGGGCGGTAGCGTCCTTAAAACATCTCTAAAGTCTAACTGTTGCCAATCCGTCTGCCAAGCGTGGTAACTACTGGCATATGTTCATATTTGTTGAAGCTTATGTTTAGCAGTGAACACTTAAAGACTGTTATGATGGTACTGGTTACGCTTCAAACACTTTTCTCCTACATTCTTCACGACTCTTGAACGCGCTTCTTGATGCCATTAAGAGATTACCGACTAAACTATCTTTCAAAAAAAGCATTCACGCTCACTTTTTATCTTTATCCGAGCAGTAAGTGCTTTATATTATTCTCAATTTCGAGTATAATATAATATATGTCATATATGTGTAAGTATATTTGTCATTCATATACATTTATTCGTTTATATATGTAATTTTAGTATGTATGTATATCAATAATTAGTAGCACCGCATTCGAGTATTTTGACGCTTCCCTATGGTTGACTGAGAGAGAATATTTTTAGCATTAAATCCGCCATGTACACATACATACATATATGTACTAATGAATAATAAATAAATAAATGACGATGATTACCAAAAACGAATGTTGTTTCTACAAAGTTGCATACATTAATTTTTTAATTTCGCTAATGTAGGGGCAGTGGCGAGTGTTAAAAGCGGAGTGATTAGTTAGTGTACAGTACGGACCTCTGTGCGCGCGCTTGTCGGGCGGCGTGTGCAGCTTGCGGCGGCGCGGGCGCGGCTCCGAGTCGCGCGAGTCGGACGACCACGGCGACGCGGCCGCGCCCAGCGCCGCCCAGCGAGCACCGCCCCCGCCCCCGGCCCCCGCGCCGCCGCCCGCGACACGCCCGGAGCACCCGCCGCCGCCCTCGCCACCGCCGCCGCCGCCGCTGCCGCCGCCGCCGCCCGCGCCCCGCACGCTCACGCACTTCTCTATACATATCACAAATCGAGCTATACAACAATCATGAAACAACTACAAATCACCAGAGGGACCCAAGCAATCGACTTTGTACAAGAGTCGATTGCTTGAGTACCTCTGTCCCATTCGTGTTTCTACCGTGAAGCAGTTGTGTTTGCATGGCTGTGTTACGGTTTCAAGGGTGGGATATGGCGTGAATTTACAGAGTACGGAGGAATAACACCCGAGTCCTCAGAAATGGCGACGCATGGGAGGGTATCATGGGCGAAACAGTATGTGTGTGCGTGTACTGTTATGTCCATGGTACTGTTCATATCTATAGGCGACGATTATCACTTTCCATCAGGTGGCCGTCAGCTTGTTTGTCATTCTAAGTCGTATAAAAAATATATATATAAAACAACTATGTTTAAGACCGAAGAATTGCAACGTCGCAATTATCTGTAAATTTTTAAAGTCAATTTAAACATTTCTAATGGGTCTAACTGATCATTTAACGAATAGCTAGCGATTAAAAAATGTCAATTTATAGAATACGACGCATATAAATTTACCATTATAATAATTCGCACTTACTTCGTATTTTGCTTTGGAATTTTTCAATTACAGTTTTGCCAACAAAGTCAAAATTTTCAGTAACAATAAGAATTCCATTGCATGATTAATGTTTTAGTTCGCTAGTAGAGACATTTTGAATTAATGAGTCAGAGACATTGAAAGTTGTTAAATTGTTTTTGAAAACTGACAAATAATTGCGACGTTCATACTTCCAAAAGCTAAAATTATGGGCGCTCTAAATCCCTTTGTTTATAAACTAGTTATTTTAGAGTCTACCCAATTTATTTATAAGTTTATAGTTTTTAAAAGGTTAGCTGTAGCCTAAAAACGAGCATTGTAGCGAGGTTAACTACAATTTTTACCTCTTTTTTCGTAATATTTTCTTAATTTGAAAGTGATGACAACATATACTAATAGTACGGGAATAAAAATACATACAAATAAATATGTCAATATGGCATACAATATAGAATAGTAATGAATAGAACAAACGTTACCTTTAGTGTCAGGAGACGACCCACTAGCGACGTCGCTGATCGACTCTGTCGATAACCGTGCTGGAGGTGGCTGCAATTCCCTTACAGGTGCTAGTTCTACCTGCACCTCTTTCTTTTCCTCCAATTTCTTTTCTTCTTCTCTCTCTTTCACTACGGGACTTTTTCTAAACGCGTCTTCGACGTGTGAGAATGAAAGTGAGCTGTTATCGATGCAATCGAAGAAATCAGAATTGTCGAAGCCATCCGATTTCTCATCAGATTTCTTACGTTCCTTTGGCACTTCCGGAGGCAATGATTCAAACTCATCTTGAGGCGGTTCAGTAATTGTGATCTCGCGTAACGCTGCGTACCTATCACTAGCATCTTCCTGCTTCATATCAACGTTACCATTATCCCGAGGTGACACGCTCCTTCTAGATTTCTCTATCTGCAAATTCTTCATCACCGACTTTATATCTTCTATTTTAGCGTCGATCTGCGATGGTTTCGGACTGACTGAATTTCGGAACATATTAAAAGAATCCATTGTCAGTTCGTCTAGGGTTTTCAATGGACTTCTAGACGTTTCTTTCGCCTCCAATTTCCTGTCCTCTTTCGCTCGCATTAAATCATTAATAGCCGTGAGTTCCTCTTTTTCGTCGGAGTCCTGTTTGGAATCTATTTCACCTGTGTCTACAGGATCTAATATTGACTTCGATTTCAGTTCCTGCTCCTGTATTTCTCTGAATGCTGCGTATCGATCGTAAGAAGGATTGGCTTTTTTGTCGAAGTCGTCAAAATTTGCTACAAAAGTATCGTTAGATTCCGTAGGAGCGAAATTGTCTTCAAACTGTGGTCGGAACTCTGATATAGGTGGTGCGGACGGCGCGGGCTTCTCTGGTATCGTTACAGTGGATGGTGGTAATATTGGTTTATCTTTGTCTGTTCGCAATGAAGGCTCTACGTTGATGTGCTGTAAATCATAATATAGAGAAATATTAGGAATAAAATACATAATACGAAAAAGCTATGAACATTATTTTTAATTTACTTACTGCTCTCTCATTATCGGCTGCCAAATATGAACGAAGGTATTCTGTTAACTGAGGTAGTGTCATGGAAGAAAGAGTTGTCGCTGGTACTCGTAACCTGAAATATATAATTATTTTTAGTGAATTAAAAAAAAGACTGTGGGGTACGATTCTAAGAGGCCATTTTTCTAACTCTATCCCTTGACCTAATATTTTAATTTAATAGTTTGATAACTTTTTTTTGATAAATTTTGAATTAAGATTTTGCTATAATATCAAATAGAAATTTTAATTTTAGTGATAGGTTTAGAGAAATCGCGCATTAATTCATACCGATACCATTAATTTACTTTTCCTTTGTGATACAAGTTTTGTATCTTGACGAGAATTATATACTTTTTTTTATGCCACAAAAGCGGTAAACAAGTAAACAACCCATTTAACAATAAACTATTAGCGTAATTTAAGAACGTATGCACCACTAGGGGTGTCACATACATTTTGGGGATCCTGAAGAAATAATAATGTACTTAAATTCATTAAGTACTTACATAATACCATAGTGTTTAGAAATGCTAACGAATGAGCATCACAGTACATTCTGTTATGTCTATGGTGTTATTCACGTCTATAGGCGACGGCGGCCACTTTCAATCAGTTGAATCGTGTGTTTGTTTACCATTATAAGTATCATAATGGCAATAAATTTACTATTATTATTATTTGTTTTCTATTTTTTTTCAAAATTAGCTGGTACATACGCTACTAAGCTAGCGTATGCTATACTTATGGGTAGTAACCAAGTGTAGTGTGTGTGTTTGTGTGCGTGCGTGCGTGCGTGCGTGCGTGCGTGCGTGCGTGCGTGCGTGCGTGCGTGTGTACGTGCGCGCGGGAGCGCGCGCGTGTGATGTATGTATATAATTATATTCTATGTAACTGTAATACTATGGGAGGCTATTTTATTTTCATTATTATAAAAGAATTAATTTATGGTTTTTTGTTTTTGTTGCGTGGCAATGTGGGGTGTGCGAGCGGCAGTACCTGTGCGCGAGTTCGTCCATGGTGCAGGTGAGCAGCTGGCTGAGTGTGATGTCGAAGCGGCGCGCGGCGGGCAGCGGCGGTGGCGCCGGCGTCAGGTATTCCTCCTCGCTGCTGTTGGTGGCCGCCGACGCGCACGACAGCCGCGGCTTCGTGCTGCGGTCCGCCTGCACACCGACATACGTCACACACAGTGTCAGTGTGGTTGTACAGTACACTCACACACACACTTGCCTTAACACGCGATTTATATTTTGTTCATAAAGATTAAAAAAAATGTACAAGACTATTATAGATTAATAGTAGTCAAAGGCATTTTCGACGGACTGTTAGACACGTGACAAACCCACATTCCTAGGGTATGTTAAAATTTAACATGTCACTCATCAACAGGCGACGGTTAACACCACTAATCAGGTGGGCTGTTTAGTCAGCTTGTTTGTCATTACAATTTGCAAAAAATACCTTGGTCCGGACAGAGGGTGATTTAATATTTTCATCTCTGACAATTGTAGACGGATTTAACAAATTGTTTTTTATTTGAAAGAGTATACTTCTGAGGTGATCCCATTGTCACCAAGTTAAGATCTGATGATGGGATCACAAGGAAATTGAGGGATACCCCCAAATTTTATAGGCATATATATGGTGTTTCATATTTTTTCAAAACTCTTATATTTTTAATGATTTTTATGACATAATGTTAATATACGGAATGTTTATATAATGTGAAATCTTGAAAGTTGCACTCACTAAAGGTTCCTTCTTCCTAGCTGGCCGCGGTAATGGTGGACCGGCGGAAGCGGAAGCGGAGGCGGACGGAGGTGCGATGAGCGACGAGAGCGGCGACGGAGCGGATGACTGGTCGTCGTGCGGCGGGCGCGGTGGTGGCCGCACTGTACACACGTCCGCTGGCTTCTTGGGAGGCAGCGGGGGCGGAGGCGACCCGCCTGCCGCTCTCGCTCGACTACTCATCGACAGTGAACTCGAATCTAAGCCCTGTATCATATACTCATACATAAATTTATATATAACGACATCTTTAAGGGTTTAAAATCTGTCATTTTAGGAATTGTTGCCAATTAAAAATAAAGGTATCATACCTGTCTCTGTAGTCTTGGTGACTTCGGCGCTGGTTCCGGTGGTAGCGTCACTTGTAAAGGTCCGTTGAACACGTTTTTGCCGCTCTCCAAACTCTCCGATTTGTCGTGTGACAGCTCTCTACTCGGCCTCTTTGCGTCATCCCCTCTCATCGACTTCGGGAACTCCTGCATACTCGTGAAAGGGTCGTCCTTGAACGAGTCCGAGAACGGATCAGTGTTATCGAACGGGTCAGTCTCCGCGAAAGGATCCGCCGGGAAAAAGTTCCCTGTGAACATGGCGGGCTGCGGCTTGGCGATCGCCACGGTGCCGCCGGAGTGGCGTGACAATGACGTCATCGTGGTCGCCGGGCCGTAATCGGACTTAGCCTCGGTTGTAACCGGCAATATGTCAGTAAGGAGCGACTGAGTGGTCGGAACGAGGTCTTTGAGCACTTTCTTTGGCGGATTTTTGAGCTCCTGAAAGAAGAGTTTTTTGTCAACGTAAGGTTTACTCCGGCCGGTGCCGAGGGGATCTAGTTCGGTGAATACGTCGTAACTGAGCGACGGCGTCGTGGACGGGCCGGGCTGGCTCACCTGGAACAGTACGCACCATGAGACTAAACAGTAGCATGCTCCGTACGCAGACATGACACCGTACACTATCACTCTACTCAAGCCCATTAGTAGAGTAGGAACACAACACATTACCATTGCCGGGTCATCCTTGCTGGGTGGATCGGACATGCGAAAGCTGATTGTGTAGTTCTGTTGTTGGTGCAAATCCAAATATGTACTTATTAGATTATATAATTTTTTATGAAATATTTAACTATTTAACCTTTAGGAGATTGGTTTGTAATTTTAATACAATATACAAAAATAATGAATAATATGTAAAATAATCTATAGCACATAATTCTAATATAGAACTTAAATATAGAAAAACATCAAAAATATTATACATTTGTTACAACTAATCCATCGTCATAATTATGTGAGGAATTGACAAAGTCAAATTTCAATTAATTGACAAATCAATTTTAGAAGTAGTTATACCATAACTTTAAATAGATTTTTTTTTATAACAAAATAGAGCCCAATATTAGCCCTTAAAAATTAGGTAAACAAGTTCGCTATCATGTCTATTCATTTCATTTATTTTATTTAAGTGCATAGTGAGCGTTGCACCAACAAATAATGCGTCAACAGTGGCATGTCTGCGATTAATTATTTAGTCTTATGGTAGTGTTATAACAATTCTAAAGCAGAATTGTAACACATACAGAGACGTCACAGACAAACTACAGGCTCACAGTAGACCAGTGAGTTGAGCGTGCACTTGAAGTATTTGCAAGACAACAGAAGCGACAGCGCGGGGGACAGTGAGCCATGCTTGTGGTACTACGGGTTCAAGACAGCCTCGGCCAAGGATTTACAGTACCTTTGATTTCATTATTAATAACGTGCCTTAAATTAAACATATGAACTCACGTCTTAATAATATTACAGCTTTAATATAGATTTACAAAAACCCAAATTGGGCAATTGGAATATAAACGCACATATAAATGTATTATGCACTCATTTCTAACTATTAATTAATATTAATTTATTGTGTAAAATGCTAAAGAGTTCATACAAAAATATGACAATTTATACTTCTTTAAAAATAATTTCCAAATAAATAATATACTCGTATAATAACAAAGATTCTATTTATTCTTTGTCATATGATAAAAAGTTCTTTTTTTTTCAGCGAGTGTAAATTTTGTATGAGAATCTCTCTTGGGATTTTTGCAAATCTATGGGTTAAAATTATATTTTGTAATTTGCTTAAGTTTTACGTTTAACTATTGTATTGTATTGTTATTTTTTAAAGCCTTTTGCATATTATTAGATTATTAGTTTTTATTTCATAGCTATTTATTCTCCTACTTTGAATTAAAAAATAACTGCATTGTCACACAGGTATCACCTTTAAACGTTCGACTTTATTTTTTTTTTTTATTTAGAATAGATAACAATTGTATTTCAAAAATATTATGACCACTGCTAAAGGCATCATTTCTTCATAATCTATCAGTAGTAAGATTTAAAAGTAACAACATCCTAAATAAAACAGTACTGAAAATCTCAGATGTTTCTTATTTAAAGTTTGATTGGTAATATCCTTGTTATATTGTGGTAATTTTTTTTCATGTTTACATTTACAAAATGATTGTAATAATGACAGTGACAGTATTATGCTGATGTGTTATATAATAAATAAAGACGAAAGAAGGGTAGGGACTACATATTACGACACGTTTATTGTAAAGTTTGTGATCAATATTTAGTTGTCAAAGTCGAGTGTCGGCACCAAAGCGGGGACTAGAATTAGGGTCGGCTCACACTGGAGGAGTCGCGGTTGGGAACGTTACTGGTAAGACTATAGTTTACCAATAAATAAGTAAAGTTTGCACCTACATTAAGGCGCGCTTACACCGGAGGTAACGATTAAATCATTAAGTCGTTCTATATTGTTCAGTATTGATTTAGTGGTGTCTCTATTGATAAATAGTATATGCAGTAAATGATTTGATGTTGACATTTTAAAATGTTTACCAAGATTGTTAAAATCGGCTGTAAGAGCGCATCTTTAGACGTATGCTGCGTGATTTCGCCACTCCTCCCGTGTAGAGCGAACCTGAAGCGATACACAGATGTGAAGGAAGACAAACAAACCGGTGGGTCGGTAAGGTTGTCAACGGGGGCTGGCTCGAAGTCGCCAGCAACGGTTGCCAGGTCAAAAGGCAGGGGTGTAGAGCCAGCGGGTGCGGCAGGCACGGAGGCCGGGGCCGGGCTGGAGCCTTTGCCAGGGCTTAGCACGGAGCGGGTACTCGGAGTGCTGCGGCCGCGGCTCGACGTACCCGACGGTGGCGGAGGCAACAGCCCCTTCTATTGCCATGCAATTGTTATTAGTGACCACTCAAAATGAAGGTTAGTTGTTACATTAATTCAAATTACCTAATAGTATTTCTGATCTTTTTTTTTTATTTAATATCATACATAATGGGACACTAATAAATTATAGCCATCGTATTCATATATTCTTACTGGTACATCAGCAATGAATAAAACAATAATGATACCTGTATTGTCACTATTATTAAAAAAAAAAAAATAGCGAGGATACAGAACAATTGTCGGTAACGACAAAAATAATAATTTAATAAAATAAATTCTCGTTGTTTAGTTTATATATTAATGTATCAACATTACAAGTATGGATAATAATTACTTCATAGGGTACTTCATGTGTAGTGAATAAAAAAGTAATTATTGTAATTTATTTCTGAATTTATCATTGAATATAAAAAAAGTTAGTAGTCACAAAGTGAGAACTTGTGTCTCATTTTAAAGTTGAGATAAAAAAAGAAAAAAAAAATGTTTCCGTGACTTCAGTTGTCAATGACTTAAAAAACGTCATCTAGAATATTGTCGGTCAATAACCTGAGAAGATGGCATTATAAAAGAGTCGCCAAAAGGGTCTGTAGAAGGCGTTAGCCCCTCCACCTGCGTGAGCCCTCTCCGTAATGAGCTCAGCTCCTGTTCCAAGTCGACTAGCTCCGCCACGCCGCCTTCTGCACCAGTTTCAGCAACTTTAGGTGTCGATGTACTTGTTTCGCCAGTCGATGTTATACTCTATGGCAAAAATATTATATATTTACATAAGGGCCGCAGTCACTTTGAAAAAAAAATATACTTAAACGATATTGATATTTTACTCAGACAGTATATTATAAATAGTCGTACAACATTGTGAATATGGGGGAGAAAGGATAGTAAGATACTAGTTATTGCAAGTAATAAACACTGCTAGTTTCACCTTTACGCGGTTCCTTCTGGAAACCATCGTGGTTAATTTTGATGAATTCGTCACGATGGGCCAACTGACCCGCTTTCATTTTTACCTGTCATCACTCACGGCCCCGTCAGCATATACCGATTGTACTGGCGGGTTTAGCAATTTAAAATATATAAATATATAATCCATTAAATATAACACTGAAATATTAATTTATTTTATTATGATGATACTTCTAATGGTTGCATAGTTTTATTTTTTAGTTTACTAATGTAACAGCAGTGTCGACTTTTAAATTTTAAATATCATATTGATCTCTTGCTTAGTAATTAACATGAATTGTACTAAATACGTGTGGTTGACTTTTATAATAGTTGTGAGGTTCTTTTCCCATATCGTGATAAATATTTTAGGATATCGTTAAACTATCAAATTTCATTCAAACCATTTAAGCAACTTCAGCGTGATTGAGTAAAATAAAATTATTCAAATAACTTGAGAAACTTTCATATTTTTTATTTAGTAGACTTATTGCAGTCTTATTATCGGATAAACACTACGACAGAATAATGTGTAAAAGTTATTAAGTTTATTGTAACAATTTTTGCGCAAGATTGCGTTCAGTGTCATGCAAGGTTGACTTTATTAGAGCAAGCGGAGTTTAAACTCATCGCTTGTGAGGTCAAGTATAAAATATGCATTCAAGGTTTAAATGCAAACTGTTTCGAAACAACTTAATAAATATTGATTTTGGTTACATTAACATCATAATAGATTAAATTATCAAAAAACTTACTTTTGCACGTATGTTGGCTTTAAACATATTACGATTTTTTTTTTATTATAAAGTATTTGTCTTTGCTAAGAGAACACAAATCACAGTTATGACCACTATGCCCAAATGCTAATATTGTTTGTTGACATTGCATAATGTGTTTGATATTTCGACGCGCGTCAACAATCGCTGTTCACATACAAAACACTCCCATTTATAAATTACGAGGTATTGAATGATACTCACAGTCGAGTTACGATGATGATCAATATACAAGTACATAATTGACATTCCGAGAGTTTTTTTTAACAACATTCTAATTTAGTTATTTTAACTTTTAGGCGTTGAATTTGTTTTGATTGTTATTTTTATATTTTTAACGAATGAAAATAGAATGGTAACCAAGCCTGCTATATTGGTATGTAGTAGCGGAGTATCACTGAGGAATTATATATGAAATGATGAAATTAAGTCAATTGGTCCATCGTGATGAATTCACCAAGAATTAACCATGGTGGTTTCCACGGAGGATCGTGTGGAGTCGATCGACAGGATATTTTACTAGGAATGGGGGTACAAGTCTTCATTACAAACAACAATAATAGACTAATAGAAAGAAAGGTGAGATATTACCGTGAAATTAATGGTTTCTTTTATTTAAGATTAATGTTACAGTTAATATTGCGCGGATGTATTTTTAGGGCACATATTGATTTAACCGTCTCTCTATATGGAAACAGTATAGGTTACACTTACCTTGACTTTAGTTTCTACAATGCTTGTTGTGTGCCTCGCTAGAGTGCTTGTTACTGTCTTGCCTTCCAACTGTTGCTTCGCCATTTCTACTTCTTTCTTCTTTAATTCGAAAACTACTTGGAACAGATCCCTCATTGCTATTACTACCTGTAATAAAAATAATATATTTCTTTTACATGTTTTGTTTACATGTACAGTATGAAATTGAAGTCGTTAGCCATACGCAAAATTAATAGAAAAGATTAAGATAGAAATTTCGTGATTCTAAATTCAAAAACGAGTGGACTACACTCGTTTTTGAATTGAAATCCCAAAGTAGAAAACTAAAGTATTTTCATTTGGGTTTATATTTTCCAACTGACTTCAAAAAGAAGGAGGTTCTCGATTCGGTTGTATTTTTTATGTTTTTTACCTCTTTAAATTCGTCAGTTATAAGCTGATTTGGAAAAATATTTTTTTATCTATAAAATTTATTAAAGATTGGGCCCAAAGTTTAACAAAATCAGTTCAGTAGATTAGTTTTTAAATCGGTTATGTCACAAGGTCGGTTTATTTTATACCCACAAAACACAATCTTTAATTTTATTAAATAACCAATCACAAATATTGGCAATTGAAGTCAGTTTATTTTTATGAAACGCAATGTTAAATTATTCTGGCAAAAATTTTCCAGTAGTAGTTGGACAGTAGCGTCCCACTTAAAACATCACCAAAAGCTACCGCGATTACCAACCGGTCTGCAAAGCGTGGCAACTATTGGCACCCCCCCCCCCTCCCCTTATGGGGGACGCTATATTCAGCAGTGAACATTTGACATAAATGTCAATCTATTTGCTCTGATTTTCATATGGTTCGTGAAAGATTACCAAATGTTCTATACAAATTCCTCACTCCAGCTGTCAATATAAAACATCGTGATCCTGAAGTTACGAATATAAATCAACATAATCGGTCACGAACCGTACGCAAAACCAAAAGCGATATTATTATGATAAATGTGAACCCGATATCATCTGTTCTCCTGAGTCTTTACATGAGTTATCCTATTTTACTAATGGCAAAGAGTATTATAAATGTCGAAACATGTGTGTCTGTTACGATTTCTTTATAAAACTATTGAACTCATTATAACGAAATTGGGAGTGAATAATGAAATCATAACTTGTATATGAAGTATGGGACGTTCATATAGATCGAAAAATGTATAATTATATATAGTAGAGTAAAATATTGGGAGTTGTTTTCAAAATGGCAAAACATTACCGAAAAATTCTAGACGGAATCGCATTATATGGATTCTTTTGTACCATTTTGGTACGGAACTCTAAAAAATAGCAACTTCGATCCACAGATTAATTGAGCACCTCCTGCTTTTGAAAGTAACTTTAGAATGACGTGACTTTTTCATTTTATACTCGTATTTCCATTAGTAAGGATTTACAGTATGTAATTAAGTCTATATTACCTCTTTTATACAATTATCTAAGTTCTGTACGTACAAACTTTCCGGAACCTTTTAATTAAAAAAAAAGGTAATTTTTAATTCCATTCGATAAAATATAGTTAAAAAAAAACATCTTAATAACGAGTGCGTCTATATCTATTCACGTTAACTATATTCTAGCACAGTAACATGAGTTGCAATACAGTAATGGGGTGTAGCTACAAGGTTTCAAGTTGCCGCGTTATTTTAATGGTATCCTCATTTCAATTACAGTAAAAGTAGGGCAAAATTATACCGACATATAACTATATGATGTACATCTATGCTTATAGTATCACCAATGTGAAATTTTATATAAAAATATGTGTGAATTTCTGTTTCACTCGTTCTGACGCCAAGCAGCAATTTTTGCATGGTAGTGTTTCGTATTAAAAGGTGGAATATTATTAATATTGAATTTTTAATTTCATATTTTTCAGCAAATATGAACCAGATTTAAAAAATACAACTTTTACTGGGTTCCTTAAACTATACTTAATAATATAAAATTGATTTTAAAAACCAGTCAAATAGTCTATTACAATAAGCAGTGAAATTATACTAAATGGCAACGAGTGGGTGCCATGACTGTCACACCATATTGTATGATATGCACGATTCTGTTCAAGCTTAGAGGTGATGATTAGTATATCCCATTAGATGGGCTGTCACGTCGTCAGCTTATTTGTCATTCCAAGTTGGATAAAACATTATCATTTACCAAGAAAATAATTTTTGAATTATATTTTTTCTTATCCAATCTTAAAAAAAATAATATATTAATGAATGAATGAATGAATGAATGAGTATACTGTATTTTCATTATACAATATAGGAAATAAGCAAGACAGTACATATAACGATAAAATTTGTATAAGTACAGTAAGGCTGCAGTACAGTAAGTTGTTGTGGAGAGCAATATTTTCAAGACAACCTTAGGGTAATGGACTAATTGCTGTACAAGTAGGTATGATAGTATTATATACATTAATATGTTATATGTAATACGAAGACTTAAAAAACTTCTAGTATAAAAGAAAAAAAAAATAGAAATTTCTATGCATTTCTAGTATAATAAAAATGTAATAACAATAGCCAAAGTTCAATGAACATCTGACCTGTTAAGAAGTCAAAATAAAAAAAAAATACTCACTTGACTAGCAGCTTTATCAGTCTTGATGCCAAAGAATCGGTGGCTGGTGTCTGGTGAACCGAATATGTACCCAAACGCGCGCGAGTCCGTCATGTCCTGCGCGATGAACGATATTTTGTGGACTGGATGATGGTGCAGGCAATCCTGTGAAGCACCTTATGATGAATTTTTCGAAACACATCACCTGATATTGTAAACGACAGGTTACTACTGTTTTAGCTATCACCAGATGGATATTTAAATGTTATAATTATGATACCGAAGGATATTTTTGGATCTACCTTATAAATAAGTTTAACACTTATTGAACAAAGCCTATTACACACTAAACTATTACTTGAATGACAAATGTGCATGGTGTTAGTCGATTATGTACGCGCATTTAACGACCATCCAATTTTAGATATAGTACATTTAAATCAATACACATAATGTTAACAGATATATAAGAGTAACTGTTGAGTTTCTTGCGGGCTCTTCTCAACAGATAACATTTTTTTTAACCCTGCATTCATAAAAAAATACGATTTAAAAGTGCTTGTAAATAAGTCTATTTGAATAAAGATGATTTGAATTTGAACTTTGTACAGAACTCGTTGTCAGAATATATTCAAACTCATGTTTTTGATTAGACGGGTAAGGAGCTACGCTAGCATGATTGTGTTTTAAGTTTGTAAAGCGAGATATGGCAGTAAAGTTATTAATAAAGTCACTCTTCAAATGCCATGTCAATCAACTCATGGAAGATGCCTTGCCCCTTAAATAAAGTGCAAATGTATTCTTAGACATGTCTGTACTAATAGCTGACAGCTCCGATCCTGATACTGGGTGGGCACAGCCCATCCGACTACCCCTTAAATACACCCATGACTTGCGCCTATGTTGTGTATTCTGTGATGTCTGTGCTGTTATTCAAGCGTATTGGCAATTGTTACCATTTGCCGTAAGGTGTACAGTCATAAGATGCAATGTATATGAATGTGAATCCAAGTAGTATGAAGAAAAAATGGTAATTTCGTAACGGTGGGGTACGATAGTTTTGCAATCAATAAATGGGCTTTTGTAATATCATTGCTGTTATTTACATAATGGTCCATAAAGTTTCATATAAAAATGAGGTGCTTGCGTTGTCTATCACTAATTTTTTATCAATGGTTTTGGACAATAATTTCGAAATTCTCAATCTCTTCCCGAGGATAATTCCAAAGATGGTGTTGTTAAAAAACAATGTTTACTTCTATTTCACGTTAAATTCTATGCAATATTCTCGAGATAGAGCGGTTTCGTGCTAATATTGGTTTGTATCAAATTGAAAGTCACCATCTTTCTTAGCATTAGATACATCTGAGGGAAGAGACTATTAGTAGTAGGGTTTAAGTCCCATTACCAGCAATATCATATCAACCATTATGTGGTCCCCTCTGGAAACCATTATAATTAATAAATATACATGTACAGTAAATATATTTGTCATTATCGGCCAACTGATCTAACTTCATTTTCACCTAACATCATTCATTATTACTCCGACAGCGTATACCAATAGTGCAGTCGAGGCCACCATCCCATTTTCTATACCTAAAAGTTATATCTCATAACGTGATACCAGTGTTTTTGAATAAACTATTTGTATTTGTAAACTTACACCAGTTTTGTCATCGCGCAGTCTTAACCCATCAATGGCGACGTGAACCTGTATTCGTTGTTTGTGCTCGCCAGCTGCCCGGATCGCCATTTTTAGATCTGCAAGCGCCTCCTGGCACATCCTGTCTCCACGCGCTTCCGGTACCTCCAAGACACCAATCAGTTTGGCGCGAAACGACACACCTTCGCCGAGGAAACGGCCCGGCTCGTTCTTGTCTGCACAAAAAACATTTTTTTTTTATTTGGTTTATTTTTTATTATTGTTTATGGGCAGTAAAAATAAATAAATAAATTATGCTAATTTATATCTACAAAATAACACACGACTGCCGCTTTAAAAATCTTCGATGTCAGTTCCGGCTATTTTAAAAAAAATATTAAGTAATTGTAATTGAATAAATATACAAAAATAGGTTTAAATATGTATTGTTTAAAACTTTTTAGTTTTATAGATCTTTAAAACAACAATACTCATTATTTCATTAAAATGTGAAAAAGTATAATATTTTCTGTGTCATAAAATGGCACCTAAGTAGTATTTAGGGGGCGGGGAAAGGGATGGTTAGTAATGGGGTCTATTAGACCCATTGCTAGCATGTACTCTGTCAGGTCGATCATCACACTGTCCGCCCTGGAAAACATCGTGACTAATTCTTGTGGAATTAGTGCACCAACCTGCTTTGACTAATTCTTGTGGAATTAATCACGGTGCACCAACCTGCTTTCATCTTCATCTCTTACTGGTGCCCCGCCAACGTATACCGATAGATCAGGCGAGGTTACCATTCCATTTGCACCCATTAAGAAAAGAAGCAGTATTACCATAAAGTAAAATAAAATAATTTCAAGTTGTTATTCTATTACACTGACAAATCTACTACGCAAGGCAACTAATAAAAGCTAATGTTATCGAGCATGTAAATAATGCGGTATAAAAAACAAACAATTTGGCAAAAACACAAATTCACACAAATACAAGCCGAATATAACTACGTACCTTGGCGAAGAAGACTTTTTAATTCGGACTTTTTAGGCGTCATGTGTGTATTTATTTTGCCACAAGAAACAAGATAACCGGACAAAGTGCAAAATAAAAGTGAGCATATTGTGTTGTCCTATTTCGGTCCCTGTTTACGGTGCATCATTGCCAGTTTAATTGAATTTCCTGTTTTTAAATTTAGAATCTCGGGAGGCGGGGTCTCTATGGTAAGTACCCACCGATCATAATATGAGTATGAATTAAATCCTCAAAAATAAAAGTCAATTCTACCCCCAATCATTTAATAAGCATTGACTCGATTTTGCATTAGTTTAATAGACATTACAAGGAAGTAAACAGAGCAAAAAATGGTTAATTATTTACACACGCTTTGATCACACATTATTATTAATTAAGTAATAAACAATTTATAATATCAATATTGTAAGTGACTAAGTTGTATAAATGATAAAAACGCCTACATACATATTTGGGTGTTAGTATCGTTCATAACTCTTGGTTAGAAAAATAAATGTTTACAATATGTCCTTTGCTTTTGTTTCTATGTCATTTTAAGTCAGCTGAGCAACTTTTTACACATCCTGCTCTAAAGATATATAAGTATTCACGTTATAGAGGTGTAACAAATCGAAAACTAGCAATATTCATAATGCTAAACAATTTCTCCAAGGGTTGAAATATTAAAACAATCTTTGAATTTATAATACCTCGTATATCCGCGTGTAAAATGAATTAACAAAATTAGTGAATGCTCAGATTAGTATACTGTTTGATATGAACTCTCTTAGCTTTTAACTTCATTACTTTATTTGATACTGCGTGAAACTGTTTTAAAATTCTCTCTCACTCTGCCTCTAAATGTTCATACTCATGGCCACTATAATAATAATAATGAATAAAAAACACCGCCTACGAAATTGGTATGCGCTGGTGTGGTCCAGTGAGGGATGAGAGGTGAGGATGAAATTGATGTATTGGTGAGAATTAACCTATTGAAAGTTGAGCTGTCTGATATTGCTGGCATTAGCACTGCTGGTCTTAGTCAATCCCCTTTTAGCTGATCTCATTCATTTGTAAACCCTTTTCTGTTGCCCCGCCACCGTCTGTATCAATTAGCGAGGGTAGGGCTTCCAGACATAAATACAACTAACTTTAAAACCTTTTTTTGTTATATCCTGTACAGGTAAGTACTAGTTGATAAGCGACGTCGTATATTCTAATTGATCGAAAGTGTATTTTTTCTGTCAAATTTTATAAAATTGCTGTTTAGCCGCGAAAACGTAACAAACAAAACGAGAAATACTAACAATAGTAGCAAATATCACAAAGATAAAAGTGGAGACAGTTTAATCTTAAGCTAAATCTTATTAAAATTAACTCTACTTGTATTCTTAAATTAATATTCCGTAATAATGAAACTCATAAAGATCATCATATTTTTTGTGTTTAGTTATTTTGGAGAGGTTTGTTTATTAACTAGTCTAAAGGGACTAGACTAGATTGTGTCACTTTAATAGGTATTGTAACATTCCGGAAATATAAAGAGTAAATATTACTAACTAGATAATAAATAAAACGATACTCTAACGTACGTACAAATGCAGGAAAGTCATTCGTCAGTCAAAATACGGATTAACGCTCTTTTTCATTAACTATTTAATTAGATTTGGAGTGTCTACATTTATAAAGTTCTGTGATAGAGAAAGTATTTAATACATACGAGTAATTCCATTTTGTTGCACATAATTTTTTTAACAATCTTGGAAAACATTTTAATATCTATTGGTTATACTCTAAATAAGTCCTAGCTTGTGTCTGCTAATGTAAATTCAAGCATGAATTTAAATTCTAAATGTAATTAATGTAGGTATATATTTTCCAGTTTTCTGGGTGAACTATTCAGCCATCTTGCTGGTACTTAAATGAAGAGAGAGAGCTACTAGATTTTCTTATTAGTCTATTAAAGATGGCTATATTTTCGGATTGAATACTATTTAGGTAATTAATATACATTACGAATATTTCGGTAGGGTGTGACAAACAAGCTGGCAGAATTTGATGACAGTCCTATATATCAAATATGAACAACACCATGAATTTTACAGGCCTCGTGTGAATTGGTTAGGAATCTTATGTTAGAAATTACACTGGATTTTATATCGTAACAAAATCACGCGTTTTCCTGATTCGAGAGAGAAACATAATACCGGTAAGTAGATGTTATAGCAAACTTAGGCGAGTCACGCAAAACTTAAAACCTTGTCAAAGCTATTCTATATAGCTTATATACTAATTAGAAGTTGTAAAAATTTTATATATGGTATTCAACGGGAAGGTATGTTAATTTTGTACATGTTTCCTAGGTAGGTATAGGAGAAATTGATGTATGGTCATGACTGAGATATTAACATTACAACAATTAAATTTGACTAATATTCTAAGATCCCTAAAGCCCAATAAGCAGATAAAATATTACAAGGATCATTACCACTGCATGCGACGTCAATCTAGATACAACGGACAACAATAAGGATGAAATGTATGAAAATGCAGAACTACTCACCGAACTGCCGCAAGAGATGCTGGAAATGACACACCTGCATAATTCCCCGTACAAACCGACAAATAGCAAGCTACTCCCCCCGCTGCACCACCGCTGCACATTCGCCACGGGCCCACAACACACCCTCTGTCCAAAATATGAGGGGTCACTAATTATGATATGGATGGTCTAGCTCGGTGAAATGATAAAGTACGGTGCTAACTCGGTATCATATAGTAGTAGGGTGAACTTTTAGCTGGTTCATGCATGTTACATGTTACGACAGAAATCGCAAAATATAGTAAAGCTAAGATGCGATAACGTGGTCCAATTTACACTTATAGCGCTATCTAAACACCGCATTACCGTATTATCAAAATTAATAAATTATAAAATAAGTAGTATTGTAAGTGAAAAAGCTTAGTTGGAACTAAACACGTTTCGAACTCACATTTGCAAGGGCTGGTTTTCTTACGGAGGGTTTGCATTGGAAAGTCAGTCGGTAACTTGTGATTAAACATCGAGAATGTTTAATCTCTCTGTATCACTGAAACGGGAATACACTATTGGTATACACTATTTCGGACGCGATATTTGACATAGGAGGCACTCGTAATACAAATGTAAAATGCAATTTTTTATTTCACAACGAGATTTATTGATTTTTACGGTGCTGTTCACGATCCTGATGGGACGTTTCGACGCAGCGGTGATTTAGCTCCGCATACCGTCGTTGCTCTTTTTTGGGTAGTTTTCTGGAGACGGTATGGAGTCTTTTGTAAAATTAACATTAGTCTTAATAATCGGTTAGTTCGTATGGCACAAGAGACCCGGCCGCAGAGTTCGCTAGCACATGGGCAGTGGGTAGCAAAACGCACGCACTCACACAGCGCGCGCACCGCGCACACTGTCGGTGTGAAGGGTGCCGCGCACACAAGCGCACTAGCAACCCCTAATCAATATTCGTAGCTGTCTCTTACTTTGTGCAACTTTTGCCGTTTACTCAATGAAACTATGTTATGTAGTCTGTCAATATGTTTGTAATAGTACAGTTTTTGTCTGTTTGTGTTTAGCAGTAAATAATTTTCAAAAACAGTTATCTATATAGAAAAAATATTTATAAATATTATTACGATACCTAATGTCATTATTAAAAGTCATAAGTTAATGCATGTATATGCACATATAGACTAAAAATTGACCTTGAATAAAATAATTTATTTTATGTGATCATTTAGTTTTTAGAATAAGTTCTAGAAATTAAACAAAAAGTTGTTCTAAACGCTATTTATTTTCTATTTAAATATTTCTTGTAATATTATACAGAATTATTTATTTAAGTATTTAGAATATCACGAGGTAAACTAGAGATATGACATCCTCTATCTGATATGTTGAAACAATAGTATATGCCACTACATATTTATATAAAGATTATAAATTTATTCAGTTATGTTTGTTAAATATAACCATGATAAGTGTTGTCATATCAGCTCAAAGGGCATAATAAAAACTTAACGAAATATTATTTACTACATAATAATTAGGAAATAAGTCAAATTATTTGAGATTTTTAATAGAAATAAATATGATCTTTAAAAAATAAATACGACGTTTAATAAATAAGATTATTAAGTAATAAAAAAATATTTATTAAATATCATACTTATTTATTTCTTAAAGATTTGATTTATTTCATTGAATGTTTCATTTAAATAAATGAGATATATGGATTACATCAATAACTGCTTAAAATGGCATGTAGGCATGATATGAGTTATAAACTGGATGAAAAGGTGTATTACTTACATGTAAATAATAAAAATAAAGGATAAAGACTATTCCTGGTCAGTTCGGGACCTAGTATAAAATTAATTTTAAATGTGAAATTTTATTATCTTTGTAATTAACAATGCTATTATCTTCTTAGTTACAAGTTTGGGAGTATTAATTCAGTAAATAAGTAAATGTATATGAAGTTATGAAACAAAATATATTATTTTATATATTAATTATTATTATAAGTTTATACTTTTTTCCTTCAGATAGGCAGAAACCAATGATATAAAGCACAGTTGTAGTGGAAAATGGATCATTTTACAAATTAGATTACTAATTATAGGGATAGACTTCTATAAATGTATGAGAGAAAATTAAGCTAAAATTAGCTCTCCAAAACTAGCATAACAAATTGCCTTGGTTTTAATTACTATATTCATGACTTCATCCATAGGATTATGATATAAAGAAATTAGCCCAGTGCCTATCGTTATTTACAAGACATTTATTAGAAAAGTAAAAAACAGAATTTAAATATGTATATACCAAATTTCATAACAATCAAATATGTTCAATTTCACATTTTTAATAAGGATTTTAATATTGCACTTACTGGATATAGAGAGAATACACTTTCAATTACACTTTTAGATCAAATTGACAAGAAAAAAATAAGAAAATAAGTGTGCTAGTCAGAACTACTAGGAAATGAAAACATAGATTGATTGACCATACTTAGAGCAAGACCCAAAATAAGGATGTTCTTGATGAAAAGAAGCTACCTAAGTGGAGGTGGAAATATTTAAGAGCAGTAGCTAAGTTAATGTGGAGTGGAACCAAATTGAATGGTAGGTTTATATTAATTTACCAACCTAATACATAGACCCTTATAATTATGATAATATAAGAGAACATGCAGACTATTCAAATTTTATATACTTATAATAAATAATACATAATTAAAAGTTAATGTTTTTCAAAATATACACTTATAATTAAGGAGCTTTTATTTATTTATATACTAGCAGTGCCTGAGAATTGGTCAATGTAAGTGGGATATAGTGATTGAGTAGGATAAAAGTACATAATCTTTTTTGTGCGAAATATAATGTGTATACAATTTATAATATTTGAGGTTTTAAGGAATTAAAGAGTATCAAGAAAACAAATAAAGCAAATATTTATAATAAGAAGAATATATTTGTTAATCAAACCTTACGGAAAGTGATTTATTAAATAAGATGCAAATAACATGCCAAAGTTCATAAATATCATAATAAAATTTGTTGTTATTTAAAGAATAACAATGGAAAATATTCTCAGAGATAGCATCAAATTTATTTTATTTATAGTTGAATATTTACATTAAATCATAGATAAATTCTAATATGCTGTAAGGATTATAAAACTTACAAAAGTATTATTTTACTAAGTATCTCGTACGTATTCGTATCTATATATAAATACTATTGCATATGTTGGCTGACACTAATTTAATATTTAAAAATTAAATGTAAATAAGTGTTTCTGCATACCAGTTTCTACTGGCTTTAAAATTTATTAACTTTTATATAACTAATCTTTATTATAATAAATCCGCATATTATAATTTAAATTTAATATATTTATAGATAGGCAATAACTGATATATAACCACAAATATAACTAATAAACAGATCAGTATCGGCACCGAAAAGTTTTGTAAGGTAAAAACAGCAAAAGAATAGATGGAGTATTTGAAGTAAGAAGTATACTATATATTATTTGTAAAATTTAGGTATTTTTTTTACTTAAAACAATTATTTAGAACTTTCAATAATTATTACGTTTTATTAAAATTCAAACTTACCTCGGTATATAGCCATGGCTTAAGTAATAACATTACTTTACCAATTTTATTGTTTATATAGTATTATTTTATTTGAAATTTAAATTGTAAAAATAGAGTACATTCATAGATGACAGAAAATAAATTACGAAAATGAGTACGAATCTTAAAATTGATGAGAAAAACCTGTAATAATAAGACTACAATATAAATACAATATAAATATCTGTGAGTACTGGTATATGAAATTGTGATGACAACTGATGGAAATTGATGGAATTGATTTTTTTTTTTTTTTTTAGTACGTTTGTTCCGTTTGGAACAGGCTAAGGTCGGAGACCATGCTGCCTAGTCTTCAAAAAGATAAATTGTCTGGAATTGATGGAATTGATGTCAATTGTCACACTTTACTCGAACTTAAAATGATGGATAGGTAACTATTAAATATAGTTATCTATCTATGGAGGAGATAGTTTTATAGATAAAGATTAAAGACAATTGAATAATTTTTTAATGTTTCTGATTCATAATTTAAAAAGTGCTTTGCTATCAAAATAGAATGTTTTTGAAAATTGACAGATATTTATAACGTTGTCCAAGTGCCCAAGTAAGTTAAAGTTGTAAATGTTTTTAAAAATAGTAAATACAATAACATCAGTACGAGCATTAGATTTTTTTAGGAGTATTTTGACCTATTTATGTCAAGATACTCCGAAAAAACCTCTGAGATGAATTACTACGTAACTAGACGAAGCATTACGTATCGACAATGTGGTTAGATTCTTTATCTAGATCAAAATCCTATCTGTGGTACGTTTATCTGTTCTGTGGTGCTTTTTTAAATGTCATGTTAAAAGTCAAAAGTATTGTTATTGTTGAAAATTCCAGACAAATTATCTTTTTGAAGACTAGGCAGCATGGTCTCCGACCTTAGCCTGTTCCAAACGGAACAAACGTACTAAAAAAAAAAAAAAATGTTATTGTTGATTGTTAATGTACTGATTTATAATTTTATTAATTAAACTTTATATATTTTACATACCCATACAAAAAGTCATAAAATTGTTCTCAACGAATATATGTAAAATTAATACTCACGGATAAAATATAGTATTCATTCTCATATTTTGTTTTTATCCTAATATGTACCTATTTAAAATAATAATTTGTGAGTGTTTAATCTCTAAATTAATCGTATTTATATTAGGTAGTTATCTATAAAATAAAGTTAAAAGCGTCCTTTCACTATTTTTACAATTATGAGTATAATTTTCAAGTCAAATGGTTGCAGTTTTCTAGATCATAATAACTATATTTTTAATATCTACAAAAATATTCCTAATAATGCAGAAACATATTCTTACGCGTTATCTGCGAAATTATTCTATATTTTGAACAATGTACATACGGTCAATAGAAAGAGATCAAAAAGGGACAGTTCTGATGATCTCCATGAAGAGGTTTGTATTTTCATTATTTCTTCTTTATTTTTTTCTGTCTTTACCTGCAGATTTAAATATATACTTGTTATTGGTTGGCCAAAAATCTAACGAATAATTGTCGATGTACATTTTCGGGAGTGATAATAGTACAGTATATCTGTCCAAGTAACAAGTACTATGTAACTTATACTAAGTAAAATTTGCCTTCTATGGACAAAATGTGTATATATAAAATGTAGACTTCAACCATTGTTTCTTTATGTATATAGTTAATTGCAATCATTTTTAACATTGGAATGTATATATAAATGATTGTTGTAATAAATATTCAGTGAGACATAAAAAGCCTTGTGGCTGTATTTGGCTTGGCTAGATAATAGGATTAAAAATTTTGATATGCATATGTGATAAAAAAATGTCCAATATAACTTTTTCAGGCCACAAAAGTTAGATTGAAGTATGAAAGGTTTTTATTGGAAATGGAGCCTGGTTTAAAGGATAAATTATGCAATAATAGTGATATTTCAAACATGAAAGCTGTCAGAGATTTCTCAAGAGAATTATTGGAAAGGACTGCATTTACACATGTTGGCACTAATGGTGGCAATAACTCTGAGAGGTCTGTTAGGTGTAATGTGGAGAATGAAGAATTTTTAATTCCATATAATTCTAGGTAAGTTGAATATATAAATTGAATTTTATGGAGAATGTTATTGAAATAAGTCTTAAGTCACTTTAAAAAGAATGAGCTTCTCATTTCACCTGTATCTTTTTAAGTAAGTTTTATTTTCATCAATTCTAAATGAATTTTTATATTTTGCAACTTATTTAGTCTTTGCACATGGTGGGCATTTTAATTTCTTCATGGTAGAAAAATCAAGTGCCAGAGTGAGAATCATAAATATTGTTAGTTTATTTTTATACTAATAATAAATAATACTGGACATATTTATTGGCATATTTAAGATTATTTTTCAGGGGAGGGGGCCTGGCTCCTTAAACAAGGCACATATATATTCTTAGATATGTCTTTGCAAAGCTTTACTTGAATCCTGGGGTGGGTATAGTCCACCCAGTTTACCCTCTAAATATGCCTATGGACATATTACATAGCACTACCTAGTTCCAAACTAAGCAGAACTTGTATTATCAATAGGTAGTAGATAATTGATAGACATATTTAAACCTTAATGTCAATAATTATAGGCTTGCATGTTGTATCTCAAATGTATGTTTTATTGTTTTTTAGATTCTACTGTAGTTGTGTCATAAAACAATGTCATGAGTTAGCTGGCTATAAATATGACATAGTAATAGCAGACCCCCCATGGTGGAATAAGTATATAAGAAGACTAAAAGGAGCTAATAATAAATTGAGGTATTGTTTAATTGTAATTTTCTCATTGAGTCTCTTTATTTTTACAGAGATTGCAAGCATTTTAAATGAAAATATAAATATTTAGATTTTGTATTATAGAATGTAACTAACTTTTATTTATTCTATACAATGTATGTGGCAAGGGCAAACATGCATTAATCTTCTTTGTGCAATTACTGATTCTAAGTATTTACAATAGACTATGGGCATCTGCCATTCATTTTCAAGAGCTGTTATCCATGGATTTATTCCAAATAAAAAATATCAAATGTTAATCTATAGTATGAACTCTCCATGTTTAATGTAGAAATAATAAATTCTATAGAAACATTTATTAATAGTATACATTTAAATTCTGAATATATATATTTTATATCTAGTAGCCTAGATCAGGGTAAAAAATGCCTGGGGATCTTCTTGGACATTGCTAAGGCTTTTGACACGGTCTCTGTTACTACACTTTTACATAAACTGGAGAAAAGTGGAATAAGGGGTACTCAGCTTGCACTATTTGAGAGTTATCTTTCAAATAGAACACAAATGGTTGCAATAGGCAATTATAGGAGTAAACCTCTTCCCATAACCTATGGTGTCCCTCAGGGCAGTATTCTTGGCCCTACTTTATTTTTAATTTATATAAATAATCTATGTAAACTGAAACCCCTCCATGGTAATATCATATGTTATGCCGATGATACGGCTCTCCTTTTCACTGCAGATACTTGGGAGGAGGTATTTCGTGCTGCAAATGAGGGAATTAATGAAGTCACACAATGGCTTACTAATAATACTCTATCTCTAAATACAGAAAAAACTAAATATCTTGCATTTTCCATCCGGGAGTCTACTCAACCGTCTGTTAATTTATGTATTACTGCCCATACTTGTTTACCATTACATCTAAAAAACAATAGAACATGCTCATGTAAATCTTTGGAAAGAACACAGCTAATAAAATATTTAGGTGTATCTATTGATAATAATTTAACATTTAAACAGCATATAAATAAATTAACTTGTAGAATTAGGAAACTTATTTACATTTTCAAACGTCTGAGGCAAGTTGCAGATATGAAAATTCTAAAACTAACTTATACTACATTGTGTCAGTCCCTTTTGACCTACTGTATAGTTGCTTGGGGTGGTGCTCCTAAGACAGTTCTAATAAATCTTGAGATTGCACAGAGAGCTGTTTTAAAGGTTATTAATTTCTATGATTTTCAATATCCCACAAACTTGCTATACCAAAAATGTAATGTTCTTTCTGTCCGTAAATTATATATTCTTAATACTATAAGTAAACAACATTCTATATATCAGTTTGATGCAAATATTTCTGAGCATAAAAGAAGAGTTAATGATGTTCAAGCTTTAAAAAGTTATAATAAATTTCACACATCATTTATTCGGAAGTTTTTATTATTTTTGGGACCATATTTATATAAAAAGGCAAATAAGGAATTATTTATATATTCAAAAACTAAACATATATGCAAAAGAATTGTTAGTAATTGGCTATTAAGTAAGACATATGATGAAACTGAGGATTTGTTATTAGTAGTATGTTAGGTTATGACTGCCATTTTAAAATAACTCATCCATTCCATACATTCACAAATTACACAGTCAAGATTTCATTTACAAAATATTATTTTGGGCAAATTAAATTATTACCGTATTAGTACCTTAACTTGTATTGTTTCTTTATTTGTATAATTTTATGTCATTGTGCCATATAGGGAAGAGCACTGCTTATCCTAAAGTAAAGTAGATTTACCTATTTAGGGAGCAGAGTTTTACCTATATTTAAAATGTAACATTTATTTTTGAAATAAATTATTATTATTATTATTATTATTGTTTTACAGCTATTCCATGATGTATAATGAAGATATAGCTTCAATACCTTTGAAAACTTTACTAGCCGACAATAGTATAGTGGCAGTTTGGTGTACAAATTCACCAAGTAATATTACTGCAGTGAAAAATTTGATATTTCCCAGTTGGGGTGTAGAATATGTAGCAACATGGTATTGGATGAAAGTGGATATACAGTTGAAACCTCTGTGTCCATTTAGTACAGGATCTAAGAAACAGCCATACGAAAGACTGATTATTGGAAAAGTCGGTGAAGTTAATCATGTTCCTGATGATTATTTGTTTATGAGTGTACCAAGTGCCTTGCATTCACATAAACCTCCTTTAATAGGTAATTATCAGTTATTTATATTGTCATTTTTTACTTATTTTTATATCTACTTATTAGTAGATATAAAAATATAAATAATAAACAAACATACTCAATGCTATTGCACTGATGCATAGATTTATTTTACACTTTGATTGATTATTTTGTCAATTTGGATAAGAAAGTGCATTAGTTCCAAATGTTTTTTCATATCATTGAGTGAGAAAATTAGATCTGCTTATTTGTGTGTGTTCTCTATATAATATGCTTTTAAAAGTAAAAGGCAGAGATTTTATAAACAATCACTCTCAAGCTTCTTAAACTATATTTATAACATTGTTCTGACTGTCTATACCAGTCAAAATTACTAAGTAAAAGCTAAGTACTAAGGTAGCTGAAATTGGGGAAAAATAGAAAATAGGTTATATAAGAATTCACTGAAAATATTTTTAGTAGCAAATACAACATCACGCGTGTAAAGCTTTAGTCAATAGCTATTGTGTGCTAAGAATAGAATTTTGAAATTCGACTTTATTGTCGGGATCTTTCAGAGACTTTTTGCACATTGATTTGAATTAAATATGAAAAGGGGAAACCATTTTATTTCTCATTTGTTATAAAAATATTTTAAACTCATTGACATATTTTGTAATATTATAAAAAAAATATTGTATAATATTTACTATATTTCTTTTTTGCAGATTTACTCAAAGAGTATGTTAAGAAGGAAAACCCTGATATATTGGAGTTATTTGCTAGATATCTCCTACCAAATACTACTAGTGTAGGCTATGAGCCTTTAAAATTGCAACATATATCTTTATATGAAGTTGTAAGTTAAAAATAAATATTTCTTATATTTATCGTTATTTATATGCGTTTCTGGATACAGTACCTAAACTTACATGCACCTACCAGGACTCATTGTTTTGCCGGGAAAAATAAATAAGTACTGAAGTTTATAATGAATGACCATATTATTTTAACTTCATAGTGAACTCATTTTGCCGTTCTGGATATATGCCTGGTTGGAAAGCTGCTTAAACGGGCCTTGAGAGCATATTATGAGCTCTCGAAACTTGTCAATTTTACAGACTAACAATTTTGTGTATAAAATTGCCAAGTTTTAAGAGCACAACTAGACAACTCAATAATAGCCCTGCATATTGCACTGAAATCACAGACAAAACAGTGGGATCACCCTTGAAATAAATTCCAATAGTTCAATATTGGAATTGAGATATTGTTCTGACAGATACATATTAATATAATTTGCCAGTACAAACGATTGTAAACCGTTTCCAATTTTAACCTAATTCGTAATGAGTACAGTACAAAATTGTCATTGGCAATAAATTGGATTGATATCGATATTAGATTCAAGAGTAGGCCTCCATGCCGGTTTATAGCTACGTAATCTAAAACTATCAAGTTTTTATAAGTTTGTAATAAACACCTTGAATATGATTAAGGTTAGAGTTACAATCTGTTTCCATATATGTATAGAAATGAAACAAAATACAGCGAAAAGAAAATATCTTCATTTCCTTAAAAATACTTGACATTATAAATAGTATACTAATTTAATAATACACAGTGAGATATCATTAAGGTAGCGTTAACTTTTGCCATTAATAATTACGCTGGCTTTTATATTCTTCTTGGGGTACCCGTCAGGGTTCATTGTCTGCCATCTCCAGAAATCGCTGCCTGTAATAGAATTAATTGTATTCTTTAAAATAACGTAATTTAAAAATATTCCAGTGTATGGAAATTATCTTACTAATACAGTTAATTTGTAACTACACAATATCTATGCATGGGAAATATTTAAGAAAAATTGTTTTAAAGGACCTTAATAAGACTAATAGATACGAAAACAATAATTTTCAGAAAAAAAAAGTATTTAAACTTGTCCAAATGAAAATCGCTGTATTTTTTTTTTTGCATAAAAATCCTAAAGTTATACTTACACATCTCCTCGATGGTATATTTTGTTGTCCAACCCAGTTGTTCCTTAGCCAGCGTCGCATCAGCCCACATGGCGGTAATGTCCCCCAGCCGCCTCTCAACATACTTCAACGGTATGTTAGTGCCAGTGACCCTTTCAAACACATTCACTAACTCTTTCACTGATACTCCTTTGCCGGTACCCAAGTTGTATACCTGAAATAGAATAAAAACAAAGGGTGGGTTATATCTAGCACAAATACAAGCTATGAAGGTGACAGTCCTCAGGAATGGCAACAGTGGTACCGTGAGCGCTATATTCTGTGATGTCTATGGTTTCTGTAAAACGACTAAAATAAGTATGTTTATTATCACTAAATGTATCGCTGCCTACCTATTTTATCAGGTGTTATAGTCAAAAGAATATTTATGTATTACTATTAGAGATGGGTAATATCCGATATCTATATATTGATTTGTTCTGGATATTGATGATCTCCCATTGCGTTATCGCTGAAACCAGTCGGATATCTATATTCATTACGAGTGTTTTTTTTTCGATATTATATATTGGATAATCGTTATTTATCTGTTATAGGACCAATATATGTATAGATATAGTAACTAAAATATATATATATATATTTTAATATTTTAAGGGCTTTTACCTTCTTCAGGTATATCAGTCCTATTGTACCCTGAACTGATTTCTCCAACAAAACTTTATCTACCTTCCCTAGACGCGGAAAGAGAAGAATTAATGGGCATCAATAATTTACAGAGATGTTCAAAAATTTCTGGTTTAAGTTCAGCTAACATAGTTTGAATAATCGCTATATATTACCCACCCTTAGATACTAATTAAACTTTCTTCGTTTGTCTAACTTGACCTAATTTCTAAACATGATGTTTTTAGTTTTACATAATATAAAAGTTTTCGATTTCCTTCCTACAATTTACGCCACTTCATAGAAGCTCGTGTGACATAATCAACTCCATCAGTTTTGATAAAAACTACGACAATTTATCTTTACATAAATTCCCTTACAAGGTGTATATCTTAGATTATATGTATTTCGTTTTATCCACATATAAACCCATCTTCTGCATGAGTACTGTTTTCGAACATAAACCATTGCCATTACCAACATTCTAATTATATTAAAACAAAATAAATATAAAATGCAAGCTGTACCTTGAGTCCAACATGGTTCTCGCTAATTAAATTCAATGCTGCCACATGACCGCTCGCTAAATCCATTACGTGGATGTAGTCTCTTATGCCTGTTGAAATTAACAAATATTTTGAGTAAATATGACTTTATTTAATCGAGACTAATAATGTTTTAAAGTACTAACGCTCGTTAAGTATTTTAGTATCGAGATTAGACTGTTCCTTCATCTAGTTATACAAGCATGTACACACATATCACGGTTATTTCTCATTGGGGTAGGCAGAAAAACTGTAATGCCAAATTCTCCAATTAAACACACCTCCGTTTCCTCCACATTCATCAATCAATTCCTACACATTCGCTGGTTACAAGTACTTTTATTTGGTCCCTTTTTAGCATGTCACATTCAAATTTGTCATTTGGTAATCACATTTTTTTACTATTTTTATTTAATCCCACAAATATTTCTTAAAATCTCTCATCTCTACAACATATATTCTGTTCATGTATTGGCCATATCCGCGTTAAACTTCCATACATGAGTGTCAATATCCTGAATTATAGCAAGATCATCTTTGCTCCATATATTATTGCTGCCATTATTCGCCTTCGTTTTTCTTTCAGTATTTTCCTAATTTACAAGTAAAACAACATAATATACTACTTACCAGTACCGTCTGGGGTATTGTAATCGTTTCCGAAGACCGTAAGTACCGGTTTCTTCCCCAAAGCTACCTGTGCCATAAAGGGCATTAGGTTCGTGAACTCTTTGGTGGGGTCCTCGCCGATTAACCCCGAAGGGTGAGCGCCCACAGGGTTGAAGTAGCGCAGTGATATAATATTCCATTTCTGCAAAAATATGCATGAAAAAAGAAATAAAAAATAGGTTTATTTATTTTATCTATATAAAAGTCAAAAACGTAAACAATATCGTTGTCATAAAGTTCCATTCTTCGATAACTATAAGTTCCTAATACGTGCGAAAAAAAACCTGCTAAGCAGTGGAAGGGTGATCTTATGGTAGTGAGATTATTGGGTGACTCAAGGGCGATTAAAAAAAACGCTTATTTATATGTACCAATATTATCATCCCTAGCTCTCTGCGCGAGAGGCCATTATGCAAAACAAAACCTATATTATCATTCCTGTAAGGTGAGATTTTTAATCTCCAAAATCTGACAAATGTGACAAAGGTCCCAAATCGCAAACGTCTCTTAGGTGTATATATAAAAATGTTGGTTACATTGTTACGGAAAAATTAATCGAAATGTGTTAGAAGCTCGTCACATCTAGAGGTTTCTGTTCCGTTCTATTTAGAAACAAAAAACAATTGGAGGTATAAATTTTAACGAAATATGTTGACGTCGGAACTTCAATTATAGAACAGCATATCTGATTACCGGTTCTGATGATAGTAACATGCTAATAGTACATACTGTGACCGCGTTCAATGTGGCTTAGTTGACCTTGAACCTCAAAATAGTAGGTCATTCCAACTGGTTACTGACACATAGAACGGCAATGAAAATAATTGTTTAAATTTAGGATTTTTTACGAGCATACCGAATAGATATTTTGAAAAGGATATTTTTTTTATATTACTAGTGCTTCAGTTGATCCGTTAGTGTATTGAACTTTATAAGAAATATATAGTTATTCCGGGAAACCTATTTTCCCTTACCGCCACTTGCCGAATCTATACACGTTTATAAAATAATATATAACGTTTATAATATAAAATCTATTGAGCGGTCTCGAAGATTGATGTGAACGAATATATTCTATTTTTAAATATTTAAAAGTGGCAAGGATAGTTGTACATATTACTTTTGGTTATTTCCAATTGTTACCTTTTCTGCTGCACTAAGGTCCTTCAACATTTCTTCAATAAAATATTTAGTCCTGCCGTATACATTAGTGATGTTTCCGGTAGGGTGCGTCTCAGTAATAGGTAGGCTCTCTGGTTCACCGTACACCGTACATGATGACGAGAATACTAATTGGTAGCAGTTGTGGGAACGCATTATCTGTAACGGCATTAGAGTAAGGAATTAGCGGTGTTATCGCTGTGCCATATTATTTTTTAAAACCGCCATCGAGTATCTGCACATCCTAAAGGTTGATTGGTAGAGAATGCCTATAGCAGTCCGTCAGTCTTTTGTACCACATTTTATTGATCAATAAAATTTAAATAAAGAAATAAATTATTAGGATGAAGATAGACAACGAAATATCTCAATTTGAATGACAGTAAACGTGCCAATGCTTATAAAAAATAAATTATATCAAATTATTAAATTCTATTCATCACCAAATTCTTTCGAAAATGAAGCTAAAATCATATCAATATGCTCTTTTGAATCTGTTTAATTTTTTAACTCATAAAATTCTTACTACTATAAATATCATAGATTTTTTTTTAATTTATTCATAGAAAAAATATTTAAAAACTTCAAAAGTAAAATATGAAGCAGTTCAAAATTTTTGTTTTAGATTTATGTGCATTATTCTATGATTGATATAAGTATGGTTATCAGAACATTTTCTAAATATTCAATCTAAAAATTTGCAAATTGTTTAACAGTTTTTTAAAAGATTGTGCATTTTATCACTTTTTGGTAAATTTTTGATATGAACGCTTTTAAATTCCTAATAGCAAAGACATCACATATCCATCTCTGATCGCCAAGAGGTATATGACATGTGATGCATTTATCCTATTTAAAAAAGGTATAATAGTGTAATTATAAAATAGTGATTATTTTACCTCTAATAAGTTGAGCATACCAAGAAGATTATTTTGATAGTACAACAATGGTTGTTGCATAGATTCACCAACGGCCTTCAATGCAGCAAAGTGGATCACGCAGTCTATTTGATGCTGGAAATTTAACACTTTATTATTTTTTTAATTAGTTACCTGTTAAAATTTTTAAATGGACTTTTGAGTTTATAATAATAATAGAGATCTTAAAATTGAACCTTGTCCATCTAGACAAGGCAATTTTTTTAACTATTATAACGTAATATAAATATGCATTAAACGTAATAAGTAAAAATTCGTTATTATTTTTTTTTATTTCAATAGAAATGGACATTTTTGTTGAAATTATCACAGGAACACTATTTAAATGAATTAGTAACACATCAAAACATTTTTTATGCAACTTAGAATGGCAAACAAGCAGACGGCCCATCTGATGGAAAGTGGTAACCATCGCCTATAGACATGAGCCATAGTACCATGGACATAACAGAGTATACTGTTTCGTCCAGGATACGTTGCAATTTCTGAGGACTCAGGTGTTATTCCTCTGTACCCTATAAATTCACTACCATTTCCTACCCTTCAAACCGAAACACACCCATGCAAACACAACTGCTCATTCATTACATAACTTCACAAACATTCGATCAATTAATAGATTTTTTATTTGAACTACTATTGGACATCGTTTATGGTCGGGTCAACTATTCGTTTCTTGTTTATTTACCTTTCATTAAATTTCAATAGGAAACAGATTAGAATATTAAATATGAAATGCTATTCAATAGGTATTCTCAAGGATTTTCGTACCCACCTTATCAAAAATATCGTTAATCTCTGATTTATTCAATAAATCAGCTTTATAAAACGTTATTTTCTTGCCAGTGATCTGTTCGGCTCGTTGTAAAGCTGGCGATCCCTCCTCGTCGCCCACAGCATTCGCGAAGTTGTCAATGGCAACCACGTCGTGGCCAGCCTCCAACAAGTCCACCACGCAGTGGCTGCCGATGTAGCCAGCACCACCCGTGACTAATATTGTCTTAAATCGTGGCATAATTTTTATTTATCTGTGAATTAAAAAGAAATAAGAATTTAGTCCTCAAGGGGAATAGGGTTTGAAATATTCATAGATCTGAGAGCCCAAAATAATTGCTCCAAGAAGAGATGTGGAGAAGTCTCGATTTGTCGATGCGATATCGTTAGCTACTTATGAAGTCTGTGCAGTTCCGGGATCGCGATATCCGTAGAATAAAGAAATGTGTGTATTGCTTGATAGTGGTAGATTCGATTACCACACAATATTGGTTTGGTATAAATAAGTGTATCAATAGATAATTCCCATAGTAGGTACGTAGAATTCTCTACTTAGTTTGGATCTAGATGGCGTTTTGTACTATGTCCATACGGCTATTATTTATTTACTATATAGTCCCTTTGTTCCATATATTGTACATGAAACGCAAATAGATACAGTCACTGCAAAAGTTTGCTATCATTTCGACTGTATTCCTTCGGAGAACAATGCGCCATTAGCTTTGAATTTTGTGGCCGTGGGATGTCACGTCTATTGCAAAACACGACTCCTAGCCGTCAATTAAAGATAATCGTGTTTAACTTTAATGATGACAAATCATCAAAATTTTATTAGAGATTTTGTAATGTCATACAAGTTCACAACAGTCTTTAAACTATTAACTAGTGACGACATCAATTTACATTCCCTGAGATATATACATACGAGTATATGAGGTATAACCAAAAACCAGTTAAGAGTAGAAAAAATATCTACTAATTTAGTAGAAAGGATTTTTATAGGAAAATTAGTTTTTCAACAACAAACAAACGAATCATCACAGACCTAAATGTTATTTCAGTCTAAGATTTTGAAATAGAGTTAGACCTTGTTCTTAGTTTAATCTATGAAAGTGACAACTCCTCTCTTATTTTTAATATTAAAAAAAAATAATCCTTTTGACACAAATTACCAAGTCAGTTTGTTTTAAAAAGAAAAAAAATATGAAATAAAAATAATATAAATTTCCAATTATTAAAATAAGGCACGAAAAAGTATGTCGTGGATTAAAATTATAAAATGCAGGGTTGAAATAAAGGTAACGAGCATTTCTGTGGTTATATCATACTTTTGTTCATTTCACGATTTTTAACTTTAGATGGCACGACTCCGGAAGTTATTGGTGAATGATTAGTTTACTTATTAAAACAATCTTTTGAAAATTACGTATATTGATGATCAGTAAATATCTACTCGGCACATCCTTATAAATTTTCTTGGTATTATGATTTCACTATATGGATACCATGACATCATTGATAATGTATGTAATTCACTATAGGATGAAGGAATGTTAGATTATGATGTTGAGTAGTATCAATGTATTGTGCTATGTAATAATATGTTTTGTTTAACATTATGATCAGTGAGCCCACAACCTGCTTTTATCATAGCACCTTTGCGATTTGTAGAAAATTTATGCTAACACCATAAAATCTGAATGGCCACGTATAGTGTGATTTCAGAGGAGTTGCATTTTGCGAAATAATGCTCAGGTTGTAGAAAGAGCTTTCTGCCGAAGTCTAAAGTTTTGTACAAGAGGCAAGTAATAAAAAATTATTTAGGGTGGGAAACGTATGCAAATGTCTTTGATAATAAAGGCATCGTCAGATAACCAGACGGGCTGTAGGTATGTTTATTTGCTACTAACCAATTTAGTATAAAAAAAATATTACATCTATTATAGTTACAATCTTTTACCATTTTATCCAGTCTCGGAAAGGTAGATTGGACATTTTATCTCAGTTAATGCAAACGCCCTATTTACCGAAAGTATTATGCTTCAAATAACTAAATGTGATCAATTTAAATAAAAAATTAACCTAAGAAATAAACACTTAGAAGGAATTTTCAATGTTAAATGTCTACAGGACATTTAGTGTGTCAGAAAAAAAACACCAAGTGTACCCACCACCAGCTTGTGGGCTAAACTTCAGCGAATTTGTAATTCATGCACGTAAGAAGGAAAATAAAACATGACTATCAAAAATAAAGATAATTGATAAGATTGTATTATAAAATAAATAAATATATGTCATTATTTCTGATCGGTAGATAGAAATGCACTGATCAGATAGTAATATCTAAAAATGAATGTCGTTATTGTCATTGATATAAATTACTTATGGCGAACTTATTCGTAATTTCAATTACATTATCGCAGACATAATATTATAACCAGAGGGTGACTTTGTACAAAAGTCGATTGCTTGGGTACCTCTGTCCCATTTGTGTTTAAACCGTGAAACAGTTGTGTTTGCATGGCTGTGTTACGGTTTGAAGGGTGGAATATGGCGTGAATTTATGGGTACAGAGGAATAACACCTGAGTCCTCAGAAATGGCAACGCATGGAGGGTATCATGAGCGAAAGAGTATACTCTGTTATGTCCATGGTACTGCTCATGTCTATAGGCGACGGTTACCACTTTCCATCAGGTGGGCCGTCAGCTTGTTTGCCATTCATAGTTGTATAAAAAAAAAATAGTCCTCAGGAATGGCAATCAATGATTGGTACCATGGATACCACAGAGTATTCTGGAATATCCAAGGTACTGTTCATGTCTATTCAATTCTTTCCACCAGGTGGACCGTCAGCTTCTTTGTTTTAATTTAACATTATTTGGCAAATGTACCATGTACTTAGCATTCATTTTTCAATGGATTGCAAATAGTAAGTGTAAAAATTAATCTTTGAAAATGCCCTAAATGGCAAAACCGGTCATATATTTATTATAAACTTTTTGTATGGAAGAGTACAAGTGTTTTCTAACAATATTAATATGCACTTAGGCCATTATTTACTTGCAGTGAAAATTTTCGATAGATTCTTGTGGATTGCTCATCTCGTGTTACAAATCGTATCAAACGTGTACTAGTGAGTGGCAAATGCAAGAGAGTTAATTAGGCAGGTACTGAAAACCTTTCACTGGGCTAATAGGATTTTGCATGTTCACATTTCAGCTTATATAATCTCTATAGGTGTGGCTGATATCAATATATCAGTGATACTAGAAAAGTTATTTCTATAAAATTCTATTTTTATTAAATCCGACAGATAAAAGACAGATAAATATTACATTATTAATCTATAAAGAAAGAAAGAGTAACAGATTTTGCGGGTTTTTCTTAAGAGATAGCAACATTCAAAACTCTGCAGTTGATTGATAAAAAGTTACGATTTGAAAGTGTTTGTAAACAAGTATATTTGAATAAAGATTGTTTGAAAATAAAAGGACTTAGAATTTGAAGGATATTATATATTCTTATAATGCACATTGTATTATACGAACGCGGAGTCAAACGCGTTTGATTCTTGGTATTCCCGCATTACTCAGCCGGTTGCTGATGGCCATAATTACTTATGAGTTTACTGCCACTCGATCCCACTACATCCCGACACATCAAGCCATTCCTTTTTCATATCTTGCTATTTGGGGTCATACACCTGCAGTTAGGGTTGTCTAAATGACAAAACACGTATATATTTTTTTATTATTAATAAAAACGTAGTGGTAGGTATTTCTAGATATTGAAATACCTTTTTATAAAAAAAATATATTTATTTATATTAAATAAAATATATGATATAGATAACAGTGTTATTTCGTATAGCTGTCAATAAGTCTAAAAGTAGGTATTATTGTCTCTGTTAAAACAGATACTGGGATATGGCAAGAAAATCTATTTAAATCTATTTTACTGTCTGTACTGTATCTTACTGTGTATTAAAAGATAGATTTATTTAAATAGGTTCTATCTAGTTATTAATTTATAATTAAGTTTATTATATAAGTTTATGATTTATTCATAAAAAAAATATCGATACATTTTAAGTTTTTCCGTGGGTATGCTACCCACGGATACCAATAGCTATAAAAAAATATTCAGACTACCACTATAAATTGATAATATAGTGTTTGTTACAATACATTTGTAGTTACGGGCGTTGTGGTATTTTGAGGTCGGATCATAAACTACTAGTGGATACTACTGACTACTTGACTAATTTATTAATGTGACTTAATTCACATTAAAAAAAGGATTTTTTATTTATTCCGATCACGCTCGTAATTAATTGAATAACTTAAAACAATCTAAACCTTAAATCACGTTTCATAGTAGGTAGTTTTATATAGATTGTTAGCTATATAAAAAAATATTTAAACATTTAAACCTTTTTAAATTCATCCTGTTCGAGAAAAAATAAAACGTTGTTTCGTAACTGTATAAATTTAAACATTTTGTACGTCTGTTAGAAAAGCACATAGATAAGTAGAATATAGATATCTCTAAACTTTTAACTTTATATGAGATTAACAAATAATTCGAAATACATAACTGTTGTTATAGAAACCGCTCACTTTCATGACACCACGCCACACCGTTAGACGAAAGTCGTACTTACCTATCGATGTCTAATAAAATACACAGCACGCACAGTTCTTAATATATTATAAACAAAAAAAAATTAATGAATAAATAAACTTGACAGTGGCCAGCGCGTCGGCCCTGTTTCTAAGTTGTAGCGCATCTGTGGCGTTGCGCAGGCGCAGCTTGCCGCGATGTCGGTGGCATGATGTCTTTGGCATTGGTGTACGTCACTGATGTAGTTTGCAAACTGGTGAGCTGTAATGACACCGATGCGAACGTGGATCGAATCTGTATACTTAATAATTAATAGTCGAATTAAAAAGATTAAGAATTTTTGTCGAATTAATAGATAATTTAAATATATTTGGTCTAAAAATTAGTAACTTTCACAGGATACTTGATCGCATCATTCAGTTCCTTCTCCGTGCAGGATGAAGGACACGAATGACGGGATTGTTGCATTTCGACAACGTTTATTCATAATTATATATACCACAAACTAAATTGTCATATTTCCATAAATTTTAAAAGTTATATTCGATATAAGTGTACTAATCTTTAGAAGAAGATGATGTTTGAATGACTAAGTTAATAAATGATTTGTGTAGATATATTAATTTCATTACGTTGTCTCCCTTGAAAACCGTCGCGAAACATAGTTACCTATTTGCAACCAATACAAATATGTTGCTCGAATTGTAATTTATAAATTACATGTTGAGTAAATTAAAAATGAATGGTAAAACTGTATATTAGGTAGGTACCTATATAAATACATAAGGTTATCAACATGCAGTTTACTATCTTTAATCGTATCTGTCTGCTCGCTTGTATGCTCATGTCTGTGTAAAAACGGCCATCATCTCCGGCCGACAGTGACCTCTTAAGCGGACCCACATGTTAACACCGGAATCACTGGAATACCGTAACATGTCTCGCATGCCTAAACACAAATAAATCCATCAATCTAACTTAGGTTTAGGAGGTCGGTTGTATAATAAAAAGTACGAGGGCACTTATTATGACTTGACAAAGAACAATAAAAAATTTCGATACTACATTGTTAAGTGGGTATCTTTCGATGTTTCTTCTGCAGCGTATGATAAATACACCGTAAAATCGAAGTCGTCAGCATCCTTTGATGTAATATTCTACAAGTGAAACTGAACATTTTCACCAAAGAGACATTGATCGAAAAACGACAAAAAAATTTAATCTACCTACTAAAATAGGTGCGTTCAGCTAATGAGTTTATTATAGGACATAATTTTTTTTTTAATTTGAGAATCAAGAAATTTCCTCATTGGAGTTGAGTTGACAGGAGTTGACCTCCCGTCAACGATGTGGCCTGGGAAGAGCTGGCTGGAAGAAGATGCATGAATTGGTTGCACCGACAAGAGGAAAGTCTTTAATGAAAAGCAAGAGATACAATTAACTTCTAATTTAAATGTCCTAACAGAAAAAAATATAAAGGTAATATTTAAAAAAAAAATCTAGATTCTTTTTAATAAGACTACACTAAAAATAATAATTAATATACTTACGTACTTAATCCTCTTGTATAAGATTCTCAGATAGCATCCATTTTATTGTAAGCAATTATATTTTGTTACATGTATGTAGGTACGCAGTAAACATTTAAAATAAACCTAGCCTATACTGATGATTTAGCTGCTTTTACTTTAATTATGAATAGTTTGATGGGTGAAAATGGAATGGTAACCCCGCCTGCGCTAACGGGATACGCTGGCGGAGCACCAGTGAAGGGTGATAGATGAGAATGAAAATAGGCCAGTTGGCCCATCATGATGAATTCATCAGGAATTAACCATGATAATTTCCAGGGAGAACTGCGAGGAGGTCGACCTGGTTGGGTATGTTGCTAGCAATGGGATTCTCAGTGTCCATTACTAACAATCCCTTTCCCCCATTATGAATAGTTTAATTTAATAAAAATAATTGCATTATCTTAATGTGTACATAGTGAAGGTGAAATATAGGTACTAAGTATTTTTTTAATCGGTGATAATGAAATGGTAACCCCGCTTGCGCTATTGGTATACGCTAGCGGGGCACCAGTGAGAGGTGAGTATTGGGGGCAATGGGTCAGTTAGACCCTATTACTAACAACCTCTTTCCCCCCGGTACTAAGTATATAGGTATATTAACACGAACACGATTATGTAGTATCAACACAAACGTATGAAAGTTTAAAGGGGAAGAAAAGAACTGATTTTGGTAATAAATACATTTGTTGAGTATTTAAAAATAAAAAAGGGGACTGGTCTCTTAAAAAGTTGTTATCAAGGTAAATAGACAAAAGTGGGTATCAGACAATTTTTAGGGTTGGCACGAGCTTTGCCTACTTCCGTTTAAATACGCCTATGCCTATGTATAAACCTGGTGTGAACGAAAGGACTCGGAGTGTAACCGGAATATATTGACCAATCAGGTTAATATTAGCCTCTATATCTCCATCCTAAATACTGCGTATTGGGGGGAAGGGATTGTTAATAATGGGGAGGTTATTCCCCATTGCTATCAATATACCCTATCAGGTCGACTTCCACGCGGTTCCACCTGGAAACCATCTTGACTAATTTATCGTTGAATTCTTCACGATGGGCTAACCGACCTGCCTTATCATCCTCACCAATCATCCCTCATTGGTGCCCCGCCAGTGTATACCGATAGCGCAGGCGGGGTTACCTTTCCATCAACATCCATTCAAAAAAGTACTGCGTATCATCATCATCATCATCATATCAGCTCTTAACTGTCCACTGCTGAACTTAGGCCTCCCCCATAAAGGTAGTTTTGCCAGTAGTTGCCATGCTTGGCAGGCGCATTGTCAATTGCAGTTAGGTTATTGGTGATGTTTTATGAGTTGCTGTCGATCCCTCGACCATTAAGTTCCCTTAGTCGCCTCTTACCACATTCACGGGAAAGGAAGAGGTAGCCCATTCTATGCTGGGACTACACGACAATATACTGTAGCAATATAAAATACTGCGTATATTTCAAATAATTGATAGAGCCATTAAGAGTGTTTATATAATTGTTTAAATCAAACAGAGGACAGCAATGTCTTACGATAAGACAGTAAAACTCATATCTATACCTACTTATAATAAATCTGTAGAGAGGTCAATTCTGTACATGAAATATATTTCCAAAATAACTATTAGGGGTTGACTAGTGATCGATACTGATGCCAAAAATGCAATCGAGTTAAATTTTTGTGTCTGTCTGTATGTTCGTTATAGAAACAAAAACTACTCGACGGATTTTAACGAAACTTAGTACAATTATTCCTCATACTCCTGGACAGGTTATAGTATACTTTTCATCACGATACGATCAATAGAAACAGAGCAGTGAAGGGAAATGTGGGGAAAACGGGAAAATTTATTTCATTTTTAAGCTTCCGTCGTGTGTGCAGTAGTCTATATATATAATATGTATACAGTGCACTATGAATATACCATACATGGATATATAATAATCCAGATGTATTTTACACAAAGACGTTTTTTAGGCCCTAAAGGACAATACAGGGAATCAAAGGTTGATAAGAGTACGAGGTTTGTCCGGAAAGTACGTATAAAAGTTTTTTAAAAATTTTATTTTACAATTATTCAGGTAAATCAATTTTATCCCCTTCAAAGTACTCCCCCTGTGACATAATGCACTTGTGCCAACGCCGTTTCCACTGTGAGAAGGCTCCTTGAAAGTCCTCTGGTTGTAGGTTTCTCAGCTGCCCCGTCGTAGCTTTTTTTATCTCATTTATGTCCCCCAAATGCCGCCCCCGAAGTACCAATTTGGTTTTTGGGAACAAGAAGAAGTCACACGGGGCCAAATCCGGCGAATAGGGGGGTGTTCGGTCACCGTAATGGAATTTTTACTCAAAAACTCACGGACAACAAGAGAGGTGTGGGCAGGGGCATTGTCGTGGTGAAGAATCCAACGCCCCTCTCGCGCCAATTCTGGACGAACTCGTGCCACACGAGCTTTGAGGCGTCTGAGCACATCGACGTAGAATTTTCCATCAACTGTCTGGCCTGGAGGGACGAATTCTTGATGGACAATCCCCCGAACATCGAAAAAAACAATCAACATTGTCTCGGCCCTCTCTGAATCTTTTTAGCCACTTGTGGACGGTTGGTTCCTTCACAGCATCATCCCCATAAACTGTTCTGAGATCGGCAAAAATTTCACGGCCATTCTTGCCGAGTTTCGAGAGAAACTTGATTACGACGCGCTGCTCTTCAACGGAAGCGGGCTCCATGCCGACGGGGTTTCGTTAAGAGGTAACTTCACAGATGGCGTGACAAGCCAGTTCGCACCGCACGGCGGTCAGACCAGAACTGAAGCAGAGTTAGGGACATAAGGAAGGGGTCCTGCGCTTACCTGGCCTCCCCACTCCTCTTTCTCGCATTCCAGAACACTTTTATACGAACTTTCCGGACAGACCTCGTATACGACCGCCGATAAAGAACAGCGATAACAAATGAAAGAAAAGATTAAATAAAACAATTTATTACTTCCTTTAGTATGTCCAATTATTTTTTAATAACAATTTTAAAAATAAATAACATCGTTTTTAGTATGAAACGAAATGCGTGTTCCTCATCGCTTGCACCCCGCGAATCGGTCAGGCGTTTCGTGTTTACTTATTAGGTACTCCAATTACAATAATATTAATTAATCAAAAATAAATAGTTTTAAAGATATTGAACAAAAAAAAATTATTGCTTTTTGGTATAATTTCACAATCACAAATTGCTTGTCTATATCTACTTGACACTGGGATATGTATGGAAAATTATCAATTGATTGTACAGTAAGTAACCTCAGGTTTACTGTAATATAAAACCATTAAAATACTATTTATAACTTCTCTGAGTTTTTAAGTACATAGTATTCCTTAGTTTACTTGGATTGCATTTTGTATGAATATTGCAAGATGTGATATTGACTACCAAAAACTGAAACCCCAGCGAACTATCGGGACTACAGGTGCTCAAATAAATCCCTTACCACTCGTTCCATTTGGAGAAATAAAACCACTTTTCCACATACCGTGTATAATTAATATAAGTTATATTTTATAAATTTCTTATAACTACATGTTAAGTAATATTTTCAGGTACAAAAGCGGTCTTATTTCTCGAAATTTATATGGGTAATTGCCCTAAATGCATAGCTTTGGCACCTGTCTGTAGACAACACTCATTGTCCGTCTTGTCCACTGTGTGTCATTAGTTAAGATGTAATTTATTAATACTTATTGGTATTAATTGAAACGAAAAAATACTCACATAAAGGAAGTCGTAGGTCGATTGTCGTTTCGAATGCCTAACTTAATACAATTTCAATGCTCGTCTTTTTAAACACTCATAGGCAATAGGAATTTGTATTCTAGTTAAAAAGAAGCATTTATTTGGTGTTTAGCATAAGTAAATTATAATATTCTAAAAACATTTGGCAAACATTTAGGAACAATCAAAACGAACAGATAGGCAATATATTTACCTACAAGAAATTTTGTACTTACATTAAATAATTTAAAAAATCAACTTTTAATTATCTTCTACATTATTACTACGGGCAAATAAAATTATAACATAAAGGCCGCAAGCATGGAAAGGTAACAATTGTAGATTATATATAATTATATAAGTATAAATTCATTCACGCACTTAACAAATGAATAGATAAAATTCTATGACTAGTAAAAATCTTACTTAAATGAAATCAAAAACTTTGGTCGTTGTGCCATTTTTTTAGGATTTACAGGATTTTGCTATTTTTTTATTTGTTTTTTTCTTCATTTTATTTAGGTAGGTACCTACTTAAAAAGATAGCCGTCGCATTTTGCATTGTCGGTGTCAGTTGATTACGTAGTGTAGATATTTTTTTGACCTGCGAATAAAGAATTCAAAATAAAATATTCAAAATAAAATATTAAAATGTAAAAAGTATATTTATTTTATTATATTATTTTATCCGAGATATAAGAATGTAACTTAGGCTTTGAATATTATTCAACTAGCCAACTTAGTCCGGGATTTTGTCCGTATGGTGATTGACAATTTCGAAAAATCATCTTGAAATAATTATCACTTTATTTAGTTTTTTTTTAAATATAATAAAACAAAAATATAAATCCGATATGTGATGCTGTCTCTGTGGGAGAAGGGGATGGTTAGGAATGAGGATTACCATTCCCTTTACTAGCAATACATCCTATCAGATCGATCTCCATGTGGATGCCCTGGAAACCATTGTTATTATAATTCGTAGTGAATCGTTACGATTGAGAACTATCCGAGTACATTCTCACCTATTATCCTTCACTGCTACCCTATCAGCGTAGACCAATAACACTAGCAAAGTTATTGTTCCAGTTTTATCCATTAAAAGAGCTGTCTCTCGCAAAATATATGCGATAGAAAGGGAAAGGTAAAAATATAATCAAATATGTAAATTATATAAATCATACTTAAATGGGCAACAGGAATTCAATGAACTTTGTGAACTTACTATGTTTGTCGTTTCCGATAATAGTTTCGACGTCATCCCGAAGTTTTCTTTAGGGTGAGTACAATGCTTACGTCGCAACGTCTTACCTTGTACTGACGATTTAATGAATTTATCAAAAGTTCATTAAATTCCCATTGTCCAATAATATGTACATATATTATGGTTAAAAATGATCATATGTTTTAATAATAATAAAACCATACATACGTATCATAGACATTAATTTGTCTTTTTAGCATCTTTAGCCTCCTCTTTCGGTTGGCCCTTTCCAAGTAGTTTGGCGAGCGAATCCCAGATACCACCCATGAAGAGAGCGCAGAACAGGTTCTCGAAAGGCACGAAGGGGTCGTGAATGCCCAGCAGAATCGACGACAGCTGAGGATAGTCGTTAATTATTTATTATTTTTTCACGCAGTAATCGGTCTTAGGAGCGCGTGGCAGAACGACGATCGGACGATGCCCTAGAGATCAAGGGAGGAGCCATGCACCCTAGTGGCCTGTTTCGTTATCGAGGGATCCGTAAAAATTGCCTAGGGGCTCAATCAATTAGTACTCAGTCAAAGGATACAAATTATAACTTTATAGGAAAGTGGACGAAATAGAAAATTTGTTACGTACATACACCTATTGGTATTCTATTGATGATTACATATAGAACAAAATCTTTTTAAAGTAATAATAGCCGTGTTGCCTAATCTCTAAATATTTAGTAAAAAAATAAAATAAAATAAATCAACATTTCACAGCACGTTTTCTTACACTCTTATCATCTCTGATTATATTGTGTGAATGATGAATATGGCCGCTTTCATTATGAACCATTGCACTATAAATAACAGCGCGACACTATTTAAGCATAAAAGTGATACTTGTAAGAAAACACTTTGTGTTCATACAATTCCATATAATTTATTTTTCTAGAACATCGATGATAATTGAAATTTTAAAATATTGTACAATACAGTAAATTATAAAAGCGCTTCGTATTATGAAGAATTTTTTGCGAGCAAATATTATACCTACCTACCAATCTTGAAAACGATTAAAAATTTATTCGACTAAGTTTTTGAATCTAGAAATCATGTATAGTTGTAACCTTATATTGTATAAGCCATTCTTACCATAGGCGTATTAAAAGAGGGCTTGGGTGGGTTATGCCCACCGAGCGGAGCTTACAGTTATATTTTAGATATAGAAAAACTCAATATATAGATATCAACTATACCCCACAGCATTCAAATATTAGTAGGATTCAAAGTCTCACCTTGAAGTAAACAAAAAAGATAACAATCCCGAAGTATACTAAGGCGTGGGGTGCGGAGATGAGGTCAGTCTTTTTGTCCAATACGAAGATAACGGACGCAACCAGAGACGCTTTTGTATAGCTAAAAATTAAAAAAAAAATGCATTAGACACAACACTATATATAAGATACCAGAGGGAGACTTTGTACAAAAGTCGATTGCTTGGGTACCTCTGTCCCATTCGTGTTTCAACCGTGAAATAGTTGTGTTTGCATGACTGTGTTTCGGTTTGAAGGGGGGGATATGGCGTGAATTTACTGGGTACAGAGGAATAACATCTGAATCCTCAGGAATGGCAACGCATGGGTGGTATCATGAGCGAAACCCTGTTTTGTTCATGGTACTGCTTATGTCTATAGGCGACGGTTACCACTTTCCATCAGGTGGGCCGTCAGCTTGTTTGCCATTCTAAGTTGTATAAAAAAAAAGTTTTTTTATTACTGTAAAAGACGTGATATCAGGTCAATTATCTAATAACCAACTAAATCATTACAGCGTTTCATCGTTCACAGGATATAGGCTCATGCATCGAGTCGTCATTTCATACCTATTGTAATTTATATGGGTTTTTTATAAAATCAATTACTTAATTTGGTTTTTCACAAACCATATTTACAGGGGATCTTTACTGCATTTGTAGAGCCCGTGGCTCCGTTGTAGTCAACTGCCGCAGAAGCGAAGATACCAAACGAACTAGAGTAATTGTTACGTCTTTTATACAATTTAGAATTGCAATCAAACTGACGGCCCACCTGATGGAATGTGGTAACTGTTGCTTATAGACATGAGCAGTACCATGTACATAACAGAGTATACTGTTTTACCCACGATACCCCCATGCGTTGCCATTTCTGAGTTATTCCTCTGTACCTTGTCTATCGGTTAGATCGATTGGCCTATTGGTTGGTCTGGTTGGCCTGTCAGTTAGTCTGACTGGCCTATCGGATAGTTTAGTTTGCCTATTGGTTAATTTCATTAGCCTATCATTTAGGTTGTTCGGCCTAATTATCGGTTAGCATGGCTTATATTATCTATATATTTTATAGTTATACTTACAAGCTGGGTTGCATAGTTTCCATGGCGGTAGGAGTCCACGCTCCTCGTATAAGTCGCTCCACCAACTTTGTGAAGCCAGCACCGTTGCCCTTTAAGGTACCTGAAAGATATTTTAACATTAATAGAGTTTGTGCACGTTTATAATTTAATGATAAAATAGTGTATTTATACCTTATTACCCAATATATATTTGACAGAAAATTGGCGCTAAATGTGACAATAAAGCGGTTTTTTGTTTTCAGAATTACATCACTATAAATGACATAAAAAAATAAAATAATAAAATTAAAATTATTTAAGTGAAATTAAACACCTATTTTTATTTGAGCAATATAGTGATCCTAATTAACTTTAAACAAGTTATACGCACAATACATTAAAATGTTATGCAAAGAAAATAATATTATTTTATTAACGAAAAGTAACTCACCAATTATAATCATAATAACATAAGCATTCGGGTACAGCTTTGCAGCGTGGGTGACACCGTCATATACTTTCTTGGCGCGATATATTTCTTTCATTGCTGATGCTACTACTTTGACTGGTAGAAACTTGGCTACCTTGTAACCCACGTCGAATGGAGTGTAGAATACCACGTACCTGTAATACATCGAATTTAGGATTCAGGTATCTTTATTCTAGGATTAAGGTAGGTCTTAGAGAAAGAGAGATAAATAAAGATAGAGTCAGCTTTTTTGTCCTTCTAAATTGCATAAAAAAAATTATAGTGGAGTGATGATGTGGTGATTATAAATGGTATACTTGATGATCTGTTTATTTTATAATAGCGATCTAAAAATAGTTCAAACTAGCTGTTTCCCACAGTTTTACTCACGTTCTTCAGCATATTAACATACTTATGTATTAAGATATGACCTATCAAATATTAAATTTCTTTCAAAGCCGTTCAACTGTTTAAACGTGATTTGAGTAACAAGCATTCAAATATCTTTAAAAGCTTTCATATTTATTATATGCACTAGTCGTTTCCTGCGGCTTCGCGTGACTCAATACGTAAAGTATCCTAATATAACATATCTGTGAACCAAATTTCTTTCAAATCTGTTTACTATAAACTCAGGTGTTCTAGTTTGTACCCACCAAGTGACAGTTCCGATGACAAGCTGCGGTGTGTTCTTGAGAGGCGCGAGAATTGGCTCCCCTAATAAACCGTTGACCACCATGCCGCCCGCGAAGATCACCAGCATTGTGGACAGCCAGCATGACAGGGGGTGCTTGCGGGAGAACGCTTGCGCACCTATAATGCCATAATTAATCTTTTTATAAATTATTATTTTTTTTTTGATGAGTGAAAATGATATGGTAACCCCGCCTGCGCTAACGGGATACGCTGGCGGAGCACCAGTGAAGGGTGATAGATGAGAATGAAAACAGGCGAGTTAGCCCATCATGATGAATTCATCAGAAATTAACCATGATAGTTTCCAGTGGGAACCGCGTGGAGGTCGACCTGGTTGGATATATTGCTAGCAATGGGATTCTCAGTCTCCATTACTAACAATCCCTTTCCCCCCTATAAATTAACATTGTCGTGTGGTCCCGGCGTAGATTGGGACACCCTTCCTTTTTCCGTGATTGTAGTAAGGGGCAACGAAGGGAACTTAATGGTCGAGGGATGGGCAGTAACATCCCTCTTTAAACATCACCAAGGCTTAACTGCGGTTGTTAACCCGCCTGCCGAGCGAGTTAACAACTCGCAAAACCCCCCAATAGGGGGAGGTCTATTTTTAGCAGTGGATAATTAACAGCTAGTATGGTATGGTATAAATTAATATGTATCTACATATAGGTAATAAAATCGTAAAACGCTATGGGTAATTCATGCATGAAGCTTATTTTTGTTCTAATTTTTTACGCTATTACTCATCTGAGTAAATCTGTTTTTTTTTTTATTGTTTATTTTTATGCTAAGTTTTTGTGGAATAGGGAAAGTAAAAAAATCGTATCAGGGATCAGATATCTAATAATAGTATGTTATTATTAAATGTTCTAAATTGTAAAGACTAAAATGCAGAATAGATTTCATGTGGCAAAAATAATTTATTTATTGTGTTCTGGTATGGTAGGTAAGTGTAGGAAATAATAAACAATAACATGTCATAATGACATAATGACTTTACGACCACCGGCCCGGACGTCATCCACAGGAGTAACTGGAGCGGGGGGGCTTGCAGTCTTAACTTTTATAAGTACATCACATATTGTTTAATTATCTATAACGGGCGGTCAGTAATTATATAGTGAGTTTTTTTATAGTTTAAGATGTTTATGGAAAGTTTTAGGGTAATAAGTTATTTAATTGGTAAATTTGCATATAATTCTTTCATATTTTTTATAAGTATATATTTCAAATATAAAACATAATTTTAATGACGTAAGCAATCACAGCAGCAAATCTACAATTTCGAATTGTCAAGGCATGGCTCGTTGGTCTAGGGGTATGATTCTCGCTTCGGGTGCGAGAGGTCCCGGGTTCAAATCCCGGACGAGCCCACTATATATTTTACACTCGAGTATTCTGGAAACTTTATTATCAACTGACTTTGTTTTATACCACATTTTATTTAGAAACTGAATAGTTACCTACTCTATCGATATTTACAAAAATACCAAGTACGCGCCATCTATTATTACTGGAGAAAAATAAATACTCCACATCTACTATGCTTACTGTTCCTGTAGTGCTAATTTGAACACTTGAAGTGCTTTTTTCTAGCAAGGGATGGGGTCTTATCATAAAAATAACCTCTACGTGTTTATAATTCTACTTTTTATCTTTAATTAATCTGATAAAATAAATATTATTATTATAAGTAGACATACATACATTTCTTATCAGTTGATTAAGTATATATGTTTACTGACTATTTTATATATGTACCTAATACTTCAGAAAGAATACTTATTTTTTTATTTAAAACATTTTTCATATGTTTTCAATTAATATTAATCTGACTGAGTAATATCTTTTAATGAATCTATGATATCTATATTTTTCAATACTTGTTTATAATTAGGTTATTTGCATACAGGTACGTACCTATTAATCAAATGTGTTCCATCAACATTAGATGTTATTTTAGTACGTTTGCTGTCGACTGTGATCTGCAGGGAAGTTATAATCTATTTTTAAACTGTTTAGGTGTCTTTATTTTAGTACATTCCGAGAGTAGCTCACCAAAAAATATAAAATAAATACGATTTATATGATGGAAGTATGTGCTTGTATTGTTTAATTGACGGGTATCATTTAAAACCGGTAATTTATGTCACTTACCAGCTCCCAAATCTTCTCTCACCGCAAGAGCGCATAATAGTGAATGTGCTACGTCAAAATATGGATACATTTTAAGTTTTATGACCTGGTTGGCCAAATCTAAGAACGATTCGGGATCCATGGTGATGGATTGTAGTGGGCCTCGCGATTATAATAGTCAATTTATGATACAACTAAACACCGACAATAGCGTGACACAGTGCTACGCGTCCGCGACTATCCGCGGGCGATGTAGCCGCGAGACTGAGTCTGAACCCGATTGACTGGATTTTATGATTATTTTTGTTAAAGCTGTGGACTATAGAATGGTGGACGATGTCGAGATGTGACCGACATACTCTTGATTACAAGTTGTTCTAATCACAAAATTTTATTACTCAATGAAATGTTGCAATATATGTATATTTAAGTATAATATCGTAATTTCAATAGTCATTCTCAAGTTTCCGTAGTGTAGCGGTTATCACGTGTGCTTCACACGCACAAGGTCCCCGGTTCGATCCCGGGCGGAAACAGTTATTTTGTAAACTTTTTACAGATTTTTTTAACATAAACATAGTATAAAAAAAATCGCTGTCGCTAACTGTCCGTCCCTATGTATGCTTAAATCTTTAAATTTACACAACGGATTTTGAAGCGGTTTTTTTAATAGATAGAGTGATTCAAAAAGAAGGTTCATATGTATAATACATGCATAATATTGTAGAGAAATATTGATAAAGTTAGAGGTTTCTAATGTGATGTCGAAAATAAACTCATTTTTTGAGCTTACATGCAAACGCTGGCTGAACCCCACGAGATAAATCAAAATAATGTACTACAGTATTGTATGGTACACTTTAAAAAGGTCAACAAAAGTTCGCGATGGTATATGTCTATCTCTTAAGGATAACTCACAATAACCATTTTTTATCCTTTACATTATACGGGAAAATATGGCCTTTTTACGAAGTGATTTTAAGCAATACAGTATTAACTTTTATCCAATTAAATACATTGTCCATTTAATATAGATCAATATGGCCCTTTACAGCATGTAATTTAAATGAATATTTCCTAAGTTATTACAGATTTAAAATACAGGGACATAGCGATGCAGCATTGCACCCGTGCGAAGTCGGGGCGGGTCGGTAGTTCAATATCTTATATATAAAATTCTCGTGTCACGGTGTTTGTTACCAAACTCCTCCGAAACGGCTTTACCGATTTTTATGAAATTTTGTGTGCATATTGGGTAGGTCTGAGAATCGACCAACATCTATTTTTCATACCCCTCAATGATAAGGGTGACCCTCCCCAAAATTTTTTTTTTTATTTTTTTGACAAATTTATCCATTTTTATTTTATTATGATTTAGCATTGAAAAATACATACAACCTCAAATTTTCACGCTTTTACGTTCAACCCCTGTTTTCTAATCGCTATTTTTATATGCCGCAATAGGGTTGCAAGATGGCAATCGAATTGTAGTACGAGAAAATTTCATGTATAGTTCTCGAAATAATGTATGTATATGGTAAAACAACGTTTGCCGAGTCAGCTAATATATTTATAATAATTTGTTTTAAATTTTATTTTTTAATTTTACGATTTCTAAATTTGAAATTACATTTTACTTTATTGTAGTGGCCGATTGTACCGAAAATGGATAGCAGATTAGGCAGTCGTGGAATAATAAAGCGCGGGAAGAATTTAGATATTGAAAATCGACGTTACATATCTTTTAATATAGTAATAAGAAATTACAAAAAATTTGCTCATATACGAAGGTCTTGGGTAGAAGGTAAAATAAAAACAACAAAAAATATTCAGTAAGTGTATTCATAATAATTAATAACAATAAATTTTCATAATTAGTAAAATATTAAAAAATAGGGTCGAACATATAACATTAAGCGAACGATTATTATGATAGTTCGGAAAGTAAATATAGGAACAGTACATTTTCGCATCAGTCTTCTCATTAGTTCGCAACCACACACAGCCAAATCTTTGGAAATTCGTTTAGAGAATAACAATTGTATATTTAGAAACACTCTTACAAATGTAAATGCCAACGTATTTGATATTCTAATAATTAATTTTCAATTTTTTTCACAATTTATAAATAACACGAATAAAATAGAGAATAACAATTCCTTTAAATAAGAACTCATTCACATATTTATGAAACAGCCGTATCTTTGGGTATACATTTTAGAATGATATAATTCCCATTATTACAATCTTATTTTAGAGACTTACTGAAGTTTACATAACAAAACACCGAAAGTCGAAAAAGAAGTTACTGGAAAGAACAAATTCATTTGGCACTAAGCACAATACCAGATAGTAACCATAATGCAGTCTTACATGAAAAAAAAAGGAAAACATTCATTATTAAATTAATTTATGAGCAGACTCATATAATTTAGATATAGGTATAATTTATTCAATATTCGACTAATTTTCTTTACCATCTAATAAACAATTATAAGTTTGTGTACAAAAATTTTATAATAAATATGTGTAATAATAAAAACATTTATTAATCAATTTAAAATCTAAATTTTTCAATATCAATAACATTATTTGTATATATTCATAACAGATCACACAACTCTACATTTAAGATTACATCGTTTGATTGATAGGTCATTTTTAATGACCGGGTTTAAATTGGGTAAAGTTGCTTTAGTCGTATCACATCCTAAGTCCAATCCCGGTAGTATATCATCTTATAAATTGCACCATTTAGTGTAAACAAGTAGATGGCCGGTCGACTTTGTAAAGCAAATTAAAAAGTTATAGATTATGACAGTGGTTTTAGTTTTAAATTTAGAAGCTCCCGCTGTTTATGTCTTAGGTACATGTGTAAAACTTTTTATTCGTACCGGTACGAGATATGTTTTAATAAATTATTAATTTACTTATCTTTTTATCAGATAATATACATGGCGAAGAGAAAGTACATTATTTGGATGATACAATAGTTGCATTGCTATCAATAATGGTTGTAATTTCACCATCATCACCATCACCGTAAAAAAATACTTCACCAGTAACTCGATATTTAAAGCCACTCACTTCATACAATGACAATCCATTATCATTTGATAAAATTACCGATAATCAACGAATAAAGCTTCATTTAACTATTTTAAAAGTTACTAAGCCAACAATTAATTTCAAGTCCTTACAAAAATTAAATGGAAACCAGGGAAAAATAAAAGAAAAAGCCTACACTAAATTTAACAAAAATCTAGTTTTTTTTATGTATTCACTAAAGTCTATTTTCTAAGTCTAAAGCATGACTAAGGTTATAGGTGGTACGAATTAGGTGACTAGGCGCTTTAATCGTACCGAAGGAATATCATTCAAAAATGTTAAAATAAGTATTTTGATTTTCAAATTTCTATGTTTGTTAATTAAAAAGCAACCAAAAAAAAATAATAATCTTTCCTACTGATAGGTGCAAGGTGTTTGTTTTATTTCAATCGCCTTGAATATAAGATTAGGTGATATTAGATTTCTTTAGGGGTACGACTTAAGCAACCTTACTCTACCCAATTTAAATGATTAGAAACCTAAACTTTTCAACGATATGGAACTTTTCGAATTGCTTTTATTGTATACCTCGCTCTGACTCATGATATTAAATTAAAAAAAAAAAAAAAAATTATATGAGCTGCCTTATGTGAATGCTCATAAGCATTTTAGAACATGACTATTGGAAACCCACTTTAAAAACCGTTATTCTAAATCATTATTGAAAAATGTATTTAAATTCAACAGTGAATTCTTTTGACAGTAGTATCTATTTAATTACTTGTATTAAACAGTAATAACTATTTCATTTTTGCATAACTGGTCAGACATGGCGTTAATAAACTGATTTACCTCAGTGCTAATTAAAATGGGCATGTCAATATAACATCGATGAGTTGTATCAAGTGGTAATCTTATAATTTATTGTTCGATTTAATTATTAAATAATTAAATAAATATTACTTTTAAAACATCAGATTTTTTAGTTTTACAATAATAATGGCTTACACACTAAGTAAAAAGTTACGATTTAAAACAACATCATAATTATAAAGCATTTGTTATCTTTTTTTTTTTTTTAATAATTTAGAGAAACATTTCATTACACATAGATCAATGAAATATTCAAGAAATTATTACTATTATTTAATAACAAGCTCTCTTATGTATTAAATGCAAATTATAATATATCTAATGCAATTGTCACTTTTGATAACCCCTTCATAGTTGTTATGCCTAACCTAATTATAAATTACATTTACTTATTCTTTTTTATTCTTTGTATATTGATTACTTTTCTTTTTAAATATATTGTTTAGTTTTTTATATATATTTTCAATGATAAAGCTCACAGTCCATCTCTTAAGAAATTCTAACCGGCTCATTAAAATTAAATCGTAAAATCATGAACCTTTACGTAAATAATTTTCTTTCTGGATTACTAGTACTTAATAAGATTAGGAATAAGTATAAAATAAAGTGTCGATGGTTTCTTGAACTATACATATGAGAGCTTAAATCTATGTTATAAGTAAATGTCAGATAAAATTTATAAATGTATGCTAATATGTTTGTTTTTAATTATGCATGTTCATATTATTATTCTATGCTATAATTATATAAATTGATTAACAAAATATTAAATTTTATTACAATTGAAACTCGACATATATTAAATGATCAAGTTTTGTTTCTCATATCAAAACAAACATCATTTATAATTGTAGACCTTACATTGTATAATCTACACTTACAATAAATATTTGAAAGTGAACAGTCTTATGTTGGTATAAAGTTGCTGAACGTAGTGCAAATTCTCATATATTCTCATGTATATCTTGAAGACAGGTTTAACTCTATTATTTATAAATTTTAAAAAGACAATTAATCAAGTAATGACCCTTAATGCACGTCTATAATTACATTTAAAATTCGAAAAAAAAATCTGGGTTACCATTGAAAAAATTGCTGCGACCTTCAAACTTGCCATATAAAAATATGAAACTTTGTTTTATTAAATAAAAAAAAAATCAGACTTGAATCTCGACGAAATCGGTAAAAATAATTTTCTCAAGATCATGAAAAATTGGGGCAAATATTTTACATTATGTTTTAATTTTACAAGTTGTACACATCATTTTCATAATTTGTTCAATATGCATAATTTAAAACACGAGCTTGCTAGCAATTACGACTTAACCGAAAAACAAAACGAAGCATAATTTTTTAGTAAAGTTTTATTATTGTGATATATTTTCTTAATTACTGCTGTATATTTGTTCGAAAGAGATTCTAAAGAGATTATATTAGACAATAGTATAACATATAATAGTTAATAAAGTTATTTTAATAGAAAATGAACAAGTGAGTATTAAATAAATTACGCTAGAACTATCTGTTGCGCAGATGGCAACACTTTTTAAAATTTTATCAATTTTGAAACCGTCAATAAGTGACACTGTAGATATGTGCTGGTTACGTTCAGTTCAGTGAGTTATATATAAAAATAGACAAGGCAAGGCTAATTATTTATAATTTAACGTTATTACTAAACTTTATAGCTAATTACTTAAAATGTTAGTCAATTAAAACATTTTCATAAAAACAATTAATGTATGATCATGTGTACAACTCTGTGACTGTATTACAATTAAAATTAATGAATGATTAAAAAAAAATCTGAGAGCTGGTACGACAATAGATAACGTGGCGCTGGCAATTGGCCTGTCAACACATTTTGTGTATTTGTACGAATCGCTATCGATGCATATGATGAAGCTAAATTTACGGTGTTGAAATATACAGAGTGAAATAGAAATCATAGGACGTTTATGATAAGAGAACGTTCTATTGTTAAAACAAAACATTTTTCTCAAAGAAAAATGAGTCCAAAATAAGGTTTTGAGTCTCCCATAGTAATATGACGCGATCAGTAAGCAAGGTTGAAGGGAGACACATTATTATTTTGATTTCACCCTGCATAATTATCATGTCAACACGTCGTTGCCAGCGTTACGTTGTTAACGCGTTACAGATCAGCCCCGTAGTCACTTCCTTTAGCAATTAGTAACTGCTCGAGATTTCCTGTAAATACAGAGAACTGGTAACTTATCTACTATTTGATATATGCAATATTAAGAATTACAACCGAACTACACGGACAATTTACTGAATTCTCAACTTTAGATTGTTCTTGTCGATCTTTAAATGTTAGCGCATTTACAACAGGAAAACAATCTCTATCTATATGGTGTACTATAAATGGGAAAGTTTATAAGTTTAGTTGTGGATAATTTTAAAGTACGTCTACTGATAATTTCATGATTTCAATAGTTACTTGTTCACTGTAGGCCATAAACATAGGCCACTATAAGACCTAACATGATTATGCTCTTAGCGATAAGGTCGCCCATTGTTTTCTCATTGTGATTATTTCTTGTAATTGTTTATATTTATAATAAGTTTACTATTGTAATCTTTTGGAGGAAACAATAAAGAGTATCTATCTATGATATTTATTTAAATGTATAATTCAAAAGTTTTTATATTAATGTAAATACCACTAATATTTGATGCCTATCCTGTAAGGACCTAACGTAAGAAATAATAAATAAGCTAACTAATTCGTATATGTTACCTTATGTCTCTAGAACGCTCTGTCTGCCGGTTTCTTGTTTATTGACCCGTCCCCATCTCGCCTCTCATTCTTGACTCCTACAATGACAAGTTAACTGTTACTTCATTGTAGTTACTTGTACTTTTTTTATATAAGGGTGTGGCAGACAAGCGTATGGTCCTTATGGTAAGTAGCCATCGCATTATACATACAAAATCAAAAATACAATTTTAGTGGACGTATCTAGTAATTTCACTGCCGTATACCACCCATAGCATGCAATAAGCTTATTAATAATGACTTAATAGGCGAGACGGGTGCGATTTGTACTGCAATTTTTTTGTTACTGTGATTTACATACTTCAGTACTGGTAATAAATATGATAGCAGATTTCCAATACGTACAATGAATACGATTCATGGATACGATATCCGTTAATGCAATAAAATAACGCTGTCGATGGAATCCGTAACTAGTTTCGGAAATAGAGGTTTCATTTTTATTTATAATATTTTGAGAAAACCATCATTATAAAAAAAAAAAAACTTAACTTCAAGCCATTTACGGTGTAAACAGTGCGAAACGAATACTAAAGACGTTTATACTTTATTACTATATATAATTTTATTTCATGCACCACACGCAGTCTCATGCATGCCAAATAAAAATTAGACTAATAATAAAAAAAAAAAAAAAAATTAGATACATCCGCGATGTTTCTTAGCAAGTCTGTATAACGTGCGAGAGGAGAGTTAGAACATCCTCGCTCGGGTTGTTACATACAGATCGACCGAAAGTCGGCTTGCTTCTCCTCTTTAACATGCCTATATACAGTTAGAAATCTGAATAAAATGAAAAATAATGTGTTATAAAACTCAAATCATAACGACCCTTAATGAATAACGATAGCTGATAACTTAAAGAATATAAATAAATAGAAGGATGAATTGAATAAGCTCTCACTCACTCTTTATTTTTTTTTTAAGATGAAATGACTACCCGTTGTTACTGATGAATATTAAATATGAAAAATGAATTTACAATAATATTAATGCGATAAATTCCCATTTTGTTTAAACATCTCAATACCTCTCTTTTTCTTTGGGGCGGTTATTACTCGGCCGTTGGCTGAAAATTAAGAGAAGCAGTACACTATTTAAGAATATGTGAGTTCTATATCACTGTCGTTGTAGATAGATCCCACTGTTCAGCACGAGATGTCTTGCCATACGATATTAGTCTACTGTTATCACGCTAGCCACACGGCATGGTATATAGTTTTAATTTTTATAGGAAAATGCTTTGTCGCTTCTGACGACATCCTTAGAACGGAAATGAGTGGTAACTTATTGTGACTTCGTCATCACATACAGACGTAGTTACAATAAAAGAGGTGGGTTTTGATTTGTATTACGCAGTATCAGTTGGAATTACATTCGATCAAAATATACGTATAGTAACAGTAATATGAATTGTAATGTCGTAGATGCTTTGATTGTGTATGAAGCAATGGTGATTTATGGTGATTTATTTTAACGCGAATGTTTAAAATTATTCAAAAATGACTTCTTTACAAGTATGTTGTGTTAAAATATTATTGTGTATAATTTTGATATTATATATATGTAAATTGCAATAAAAAATGTGTTTATATAATTTCAAAAGAAATTAATAGGGGAATTCGATCGGTCAGTATTCACCACGAAATGTTTTATTATCCCCTATCTCTATATCCAAGTGTAAAAAAATAGTATTGCATTTTTTTGATCCTTCGAGCCAAATTTAGAGCAACGATTTACAGACATAATAACAAGAAGTTCATAACCTCTTTAACATTATTTCTAAAACTATTTAAAAAAATTAAAAATATATATTTCCGTATTCATAAGTTCCATATTCATAGGTTTTCTTTAAAACTGTAAAATGTACCTGGTTCTGTCTGTGACTTTGTAAAAAGCTTGTTAAAAACGTGTAACATTTTCCTACCGATTTTTTGTTCGTTTTTCGCTGATGTTTGATTTTGCATTGTGTTCTCGTTGTCTATGAATGTTTTGGATTCTGTCTTGGGTGATGCTATCTCTTGCTTTTTAGGAGATGACAGAGCTTTATCTTCTGGCTGAGTCCTTTCTTCTGATGGTGAAAGTTCTCTCTCCTCTCCTGTTTCCTTCATCACCTCCGCAGAAGTGTTTGTACTCTTTTCTTTTTCTGGTGTTGAGCTAACAATCTCGTTTTTGTTTGGACTAAAGACGTTCTCATCAGTCTGGGCATTATCGTCTGGTTCGATAAACCCTTCGCTTTGTTTCGTAGGACTATTATCTTCATTTAGTTTTGTCAGAGTTGAATCACTCTTATAGCCATCTTCTTCTTCTTGGTCAGAATCGATGGAAGAATGGTCGCTTTGATTGATACTGGCAGCATTAGTTAACTGAAATGAAAGTAATAAATTTTAAAACATTAAAATAGTATTTTATAAACTGATATTTATAATAATAATAAACAGATTTATTTCTCTTCACAATTCATTACAGTGAAATACAATGCTTATATTAAACAAATTATAAATATATATAAAAAAAAAACCTATAACAAATTTATCATATTATTAAGTGTACATGATGTGTGATAGGATTCCTAAAGTGTGATGAAAATTACTGTAATTATATAATATGTTGGTTTTAGTACTCACAGTGTAACTGGAGTCATTATCGGATTCCACATCGAGGTCAACCATCATTTTTTCTATGAGCCTCTCCATAGGCGTCTCGTTAATTGAATCCGTCGGGCTACCTTCCTCGTGTCCAAGCTTACTATGCTGTACTACCTGAAAGTCATATTTTATTCAAATTGGAGTTAAAGTTCATGGATGAAAGAAATTTATTTTCTATTAAGTATGAGCAATATTTTTTTTTTGTATGCGGATACACATTGAGGTTATTTATACACTTGTAACATTGTAACTTCTGAGATCTATTGCGTATGAGCTATTTTAGAGTGGGCTACTATTTTTTTTCTTGCTTTAAAAATATTGTACCTACTACATTTAGGTCCACTTTTAATAATGTAAGTATTGGGACTATTGACGCAGATTAAACAATTTGCTATCAATTGTTTGTTTATTTTGTGTCGTGTTGTTGTAAAATCATATTTAAACACATTATCTTGTATAAATTTGGAGAACGAACGCAAATCACTTCGGGAAGAAAGGAAGAATTCCAAGTTATGAAAATAATTAACACGGGTCAGTCAGACCTTCATACAATATGAAAAGTCTGACTTGTTTTATCGAAATACTAAATAAAATACAGAGTTGTTTATTTATCATGTAAACTAAAATTTTCGACCGCTCAATTACTGATAAGACTTTAATAAATAATCGATTTATAGGTTGCTTTACAATGCCGCCGTTGATTAAGTACCTATCACGAATTCTGTCGCTCTTATTTGCTGTTTCATTTATTTTTTTTTTGTAAAATTGTTGCTCAAGTCTTATGTACCAACTTACAAATCTCTTTAACATGTAACAAAAATATATAGATGGTCGCTTTGTTGTGAAAGGAAAGATATAAGCAATGCGATCTCAGATAAGACAAAACATGTTCACTTTTAGTTATAACACACTTTTGTGTTGGGTTAGATCATATACTTCAAAATGAAATATCGAATGTCTAAAGGTCAAAATTCAGTTACAAAAAAAAACACTTTGGACTGACACTAAACTCGGCATACTGGACTAAAAATTAACCAGATCAAATAGATTTTTTAACTTTATATATATATATATTTTATGTAAATATTACTATTCATATATTTGTTGCAAATGTGGACTGTATGATTGCTGGTAGAAAGGTAGGTAGGTAGGCTGAATGAACTGTTTGAACGATGATATGGCCAGAATGGGAGTGAATGCAGAAATTACTGTGAATAGAAAAGAGTGGAAGAGAAAAACATATTCTGTTGATTCCAAATAATAATTGAGAGGTAGAAAGATGATGATGAGTAAAACAGTACGCGACATGTACAATTAAACAATACAATACTAAAAAGGAGGGGGGGGGGGGGAATGTCCCGTGTTACACAAAAAATAACACGTAATGTACATGTAATTTAAATGTAAATAATATATATTTATAAATTCATATCTGTGACTATCCTTATACACATAAGGTGTACAACGCCTAATTAACACTTCTAGTTAGACCAAGTGACTATAAGCGATTAGATTTGTGTGAAACTTACCAGAACTTCATCACTGTTGCTTTGACTGGTGGTATTATTGTTGCCGTAGTGCGACTGCCGACGGAAGCACATGGTGAGCTCCAGCAGGGACTGCAGCTGGGTGTACCAGGGCCGCGGCTGGGACACGCGAGCGCGCATCGCCCGCGAGCCCGTGTACTTCAGCGTGCGGAGGTAGCGGCGTTTACTTTGGATATACATCACCTGTATGAGGAAACATAGATGAATATAAAATATGGTGAGAATATAATAACGTATATACAGGGATAAAAAACACAAGTGAATACGTGAAATAAATAATATGTACATAGTAAAGAAAAGGCAGTGCATCGCACTGGGGTCCATTCAAATGCAGAGTATTTCAGGGAGTTATTGAGTATGGGTGACTTAGGACCGTTCAATAATGGAATAGATAACATGAAATGATGATAATGAAGGAAAAGTGAGTTTATGTTTACAATGACTGAACATTGTGAATCATCGTCATAGTCGTAGAATACTGACGGATCTGACGAATATTACATATATAGATCCGTCAGTATTCTACGACTATGACGATATATGAGTCTTAATATTTATCTGCCTATATATACTGGCATACCGAAGTATCACACCTAAATCATATTTTTATAAGTAATATAGTTGGAAAAACGAAATCATATTATTTATACACTATACTTTTACGAAATATATTCAATCAGATGTATTTATGAATAACTGAATAAACCGCTTAACAGACTCATAATAAAGGACTAGGATCGTATCGGAAATTAATAAACACATGTGTAAAGTTAATATAAATTATTACTTATTTATTGAAACAATATTATTATTATAACATTGTACCGAGCTGTGGATCAGTTCAAAACTCAAATACATGAAGCAGAATTACGAACCGGTTCAGAGTTCGTACAGTTCATACTTTGTTATATAACAGTTCAATAGCTCAACGGGATAAGCGTTATCGCCCGTTATACCAACAGATAGTCATCGTCGAATACATTTTTCGCTTTTACTTGTTTAGGCCGGGCGCAAAACTAAATGTCACAGAGATGTTGCAGAGAGAGCTTGCACTGAGATGTAGTACTATAATACTAGTTTTTTTATGCGACTTTTTGCAAACAAGATGGCCAAGGATAGCCCATTTGATGGAAAGTGGAAATCGTCGCTTATAGGGGGAATTGATTGTTATTAGTGCGGAGTACCAGTCGCATTGCTAGCAATATACCCTGTCAGGTCCACCTCGACGTGGTCTCTCCTGGAAACCATCCTGCTGAAATCCAGGTGTATTCATCACGATGAGCTAACTGACCTGCCTTTTTATTGTCACCTATCGTCCCTCACTAGTGCCCCTTCAGCGTATACCGTCAGCGCAGGCAGATTTACTATTCCATTATCATCCATTAAAAAAAAAACTATCGCTTATAGACATGAACAGTACCCTCCACGCATCGCGCCGCTCCATGCTTTGTTATTTTTGAGAACTAAGGTGATGGTATGCCTCTATACACTGTAATGGAAAGTGGTAACTGTCGGCCACAGATAACATAGTATACTGTTTCACCCATGATTACGCCTTGTTATTTCTGAGGTGTTATGCCCCTATACCCTGTAAATTCACTGTTATATCCCATCCTTCAAACCGAAACACAGCTATGTAGACACAACTGCTTCACTGTAGAAACACGAATGTGGTAGGGGTACCTAAGCAGTCGGTTTTTGTACCAAATCTCCCACTCGAGAAAGTTCCTATACTGCATATTTAAAATTAACAATAATTTTTAAATTATCCATATAGTAACGTAGATGTAGATTGTAACAGCTAATCCCAGATAGTAAAATAAGTTATAACTGATTTTGTTTTAATAAATACGGTTTTATTTGAATGATACGCTGAGATATTAAAATTTTGATGTTGATGTAAACTTTAAATGTCAGACAGTAGGTAGATTTTACCTACTATCCAAGAGTGGAGTCTCGAGATAGCTTAAATGCCTTTACATGTCTTACTCCGGCTTTGATAACAATGACGACCTGCAGTTCTATTGGTAATCTCACATGTTTTCGACAACAAACATTCATTTATAATACTTAGTAACAATAGAGACAAGTAATTGTTGTAACTAGCAACAATGAACTTTAAACTCTCTCTAGTTAGAAAGATAATTCCAAATTGAAGGTCATGTCAGTTCTAACAAAGAGATGACTTTTCTATTACGCAAATATTAAAATAAACTGTCAATAGATATCATGCTAACATTAAATGCGCACTATGGTTAATGTGTATTAGTGAATATCTCTCAGGTTAAACAGATTACAATATCAGTCGCGCGCCCAAAATGTACACACACTACGAGATAACGAGTACGACGTTTATTCAAGTATGTTTATCAATTATTTCTCACCACATCGGCAGATCTAAGTGGAGGCTTCCCCATTACTAAATTGATGAGCGATATGGACTCTCTGGTAATCCGTAATATGACCAGTAGCGTCAGGAAAAATACCCACGGCAGAGGGCGCAGTAGTTCCGGCTGAGGACGATCGTCTTGGTCCACTGTAAAATAAGACAGATTATAATTGTTAGATACTGTACTGTATCAGCCGTTAACTGGCCACTGCTGAATATAAGCCTTCTCCATTAGGGAAATTTTGCCAGTAGTTGCCACGTTTGGTAGGCAGGTTGGCAACCGCAGTTAGGCCTTTCCAAATGTTTTAAGAGGGACGGGTAGATGTTTTAAGATCCATCCCTTCACCATAAGATTCCTTAGTCCCCTCTTATGATAAAGAGGAATCTCCTATGGAAAAGAAAGGGGTGGCCAATTTTATGCAGGGAGCTACACGGCGACCTATATTTCTATTTAAAAGACCGGAAGCACACCTGCAATGCCGATGGTGTTGTGGGTGATCATGGGCGGCGGTAGTCACTTACCATCAAGTGAGCCGCATGTTCGTTTGCTCCCGGTGTTGTAAAAAAAAAAGATTTGGTAGATAATTACACCATATATTGTGATTTCTTTATTAGATTAAAGAAATCACAGAAGAAAGATAATAAATACCACTTAATTATACATAGCGCCATCTGTTATAAAATAAGTACAGCTTGTAGCATAGGTTGTAATAAATCGATAACAATTTTCTCAACTTATGAGGGTCTGATGAGAAGAAGGATTAATATTGGCCTTGTCGCATCTATAAGGTATTATGTGTGTCACTTTCCCAGTGTGCTAATTCTAAAGGTCGATTAAAAATGTGTGTGGCTGTAGGTGTTATGTATATTTTGGCCTATGATTTAAAAATTAAAAATGTAAAGTACTTACAAGGCGGCGGTACTGCCCACCGAGCGCATTTTTCCACTATCCATAGTGCACGGTCTAAGTGCCGTAGCGCGGCTTGTCCCAAACGGTAGCTCGCCAAGTGTTCGAGGGCGTCTTGCAGCATTTCCTTAGCAACCGCGACCACTTCCATCTATAAATGACGAAAAGCTTTTAAGAAGAAGAATATTGCACTAAAATATGGATGATTTTCTAGTTTATTAGTAAAAAAATATGGATGCATCTAGTCTGGCCTGGTATATAAGAATCTATAACAAAATATAAGATGAAAGCAAGAAAGAAAAATATGATGACATGACCTTTATTAAAGAGCTAGTGCATGATGTGTTTTCAATCGACTTCAAAAAGAAGGTCCTTAATTCGGTTATTTGTTAGTTGGTATTTTAAATTTGTTAGTTCATAACTCTGTTACAAACAAATTCAGAATTTTTTTTTTATCTAAAATGATATACATGTACTTATATTATAACTTTTATCAAAAAACAATTCAGTACTTTAGTTTTGAAATCAAAATAAGTGGTTTTGCCACATTTGAAGTCGGTTCCTTTTGAAGAAGACAATTTTATATTATCATTGTAGGTAGATTCCATTTAAATTGAGTAAATTCCACAAAATAGATTTACCTACCCTACTTTAAATTATTTTACTTAATTATTTACTTGCTTACATATTGATAAATGAAAATAGTTTAGTGCACCTGTTATGCTATTTGAAGTTTTTCTTATCACAAAATAAATAAATAGTTCATTTAAAAATTATTACAAATCGCCTGCAATTTTGCAAACGATTATCCTCGTGAGACTATTATTTTTATTTTTCACAAATACTACCTACATATGTCTATAACCAGAATTTTATGAACTTACTAATATATATATATATATAATAAATTCTAAATTTTGTGTGGTCCCGGTATAGAATAGGCCACGCCTACTTTCCCCCTGGGTGTCGTACGAGATGACTAAAGGAACTATTTGATCGAGGGATAGATAGAAACGTGCCTCCTATAACATCACCAAAGCCTAACTGCGGTTGCCAATCCGCATGCCAAGCGTGGCATCTACTGGCTAAACCCCCCAATAGGGGGAGGCCTATGCTCAGCAATAGATAGTTAAGGACGCATATAATGAAACAAATACAATGAAATACAATAAAAATAAATAAATAAAATAAATGTAGGTAGTGCAAATGTGTATAGGTGCAAACTGAAAATCAGCGCTGAACGCACATCAGTCCAGGAAAAGCAGAGTTTGTACCTATTACCAGGCATAGGGGTACTGCACAATGTATTTATTTATTTATTAATATATGTACATTATAATTACTGTACCATATTTGTAAAGAATGGCAATAAATTTATTATTATTATCTTTTTTTAACAAAATTCATATCTCCTCTCTTAAGGAGAGGAGATGGCATCTAACCCCCGGCAGAAGTACAGTCGGCCGGGGTTCAGGGCCCCGAGGAGAGAAACCGGGATACAATACTATTATTATTATTACAAATAGATAAGACTTAGTAACCACACGCAAATGAACTAAGAACCAAATCATGTATAATTACTTTAAAAAAAATACTATAGGTAATTCACGTTACTATTCTGGCTTCGCTGTCGTTGATAAAGTATTATGTATCGTCTATGCTGATTGGTATGGCAAAAACTCGAGTTTGTTACCTATCTGTAATGATATCTGTACTTACAATTGATCACGAATTTTTCGTTTACTTTCTGTTAAAATGTACATAGGCAAAGTTATACATTTTTATTTAGATTTGTCTATCGTTTATGTCGATTTTTTATAAAATGAATTTCTTTAATCAAAGCACAGCGGTGACGCCGGGCCACGTTGCGGGTCCCGGAGTTTATAACGATCCGTATTATAACTATAACAATGGCGGATACTCATACCAACGGGTAACGAGGTTCTCAATTTTAGCAATCTTCCCTGTTACACTATCAACCAATGCCTGTTAGTACTATTTACGGTAACAAAATACGGAATACATTGTATATAACACATATAGATTTATTTATTAAATTATACTTATAATTAATTAAAATTAATCGCGATTGAGACAATTTTGAAAGGAATATCTGAGGTCATATATGAGCAAGCATATCTTGTCTTATATATATTTTAGGGCGTTGTGATAAAAATAGTTGTCATTGCAATTGTTACTAATTAGAATAATTATTAAAAAAATATGTAAATATTACAGCATTTAGGTGCTAGTTAAATATATACTCTATATACATAATAACTATACTAGTAGTATCGAATCAAAGATTTCTAAAAGGTTTTAGATTAAAAAAATAAATTTAGTCAGTATTAAATAGTAAAACAAATACTGCCTTTTTCCATACAAATGTTAGAAAGGAATAAAACGGTTAAAATCTTAAGTTATTCTACAGTAAGTACATAAGAATAATTATACTAGTTAGTAACTGTTAATTATAAAGAAATAATTTATTTACCAATTATACCTAATGTAGAACGTCTGAATGTATTAATTGCCTAATAAAAAAAACTATTTGCTTCACTATTATTTCTCATATTACTGCTGATGAAAATTATAATAAGTTTATATAAAACAATATTTATATTTTTAGTTTAATTTCATTGTATTTGAGTAGATAATTATTTACAATTGGAAATAATGGTATCTAATAATAGTAATCCTATTTTTAAATACACTTTTATATACCTAAGTAACTAAAATATTTCATTGTATCCAATTGTAGATACCAATTTTATTCTTTAAATAGATTTTAATTGATATTTCTAATTATACCCTTAATTGTAGTATGTATGTAGATATATTAAAAGCAAGCATTACAAATCGATATTAAAATTTATTACTCCAGTTGCCCTATTGCAGGTAATATTAATTAGCCACAAATTACCTTTATGCAATACAATCCAATTATTGCTAAACACTTATGTTAATTAACTTCACAATCACACATACCGGTGATGCGTGTAATAGTATCACCTACACAAAAATCAATGTGTTATCAAAAATTTTAAATAAGGCGTCGCACTAATGAATGCAGTATCCGACATAAACATCGTTTTGACTTCTTTATACCTTATAGATAAAGTAAACAGCGGCAAGGAGCAGAGGTCAGTGCAATCATAGGCAGATATGCCGGGGCTCCGAGACACAGATACCCAATGTATCTAGTTGATTCCATTTATAAGTGCATTACCTACATCGACAGTTCGTTATGAATTAATATATCATTTGTATCTATTTATCTTGAAAATTATTAGGTATGAAATAATAGACAAACTATATTATGTAGTAGCTACTGATGTTATTGTGTACTTTGAATCGACGGTTTCAAGGTCATGACAAAAATATGTTAAACTCATTTAAGTATTTGAATTATGGAAATCTATTTTTAATCTATTAAACACAGAGGAAAAACTAAATTTACTATAAATTTTAATTGATATATAATATACCTAAGACTTATAGATAGTCATATCTACATCTGTCTTCGATTTTTCATGTCAGGTTCTTATGGGACTATCCTTACTACATATACATCTCTGAAATATTTCATTTTAGCAACTTACTACATAAATTACCAGACAGGAGACTTTGTACAAAAGTCGATTGCTTGGGTACCTCTGTTGGGTATTCGTGTTTCAACCGTAAAGCAGTTGTGTTTGCATGGCTGCGTTTCGGTTTGAAGGGTGGGATATGGCGTGAATTTACTGGGTACAGAGGAATAACACCTGAGTCCTCAGGAATGGCAAGGCACGGGGGGCATCATGGGTGAAACGGTATTCTTTGTTATGTCCATGGTACTGTTCATGTCTACAGGCGATGGTTACCACTTTCCATCAGGTGGGCCATCAGCTTGTTTACCATTCAATGTTGTATAAAAAAAATGTACCTTAGTTCCAGGTTTCCTTAGATCCAGTCCGTCAGATCAGTCAGTTTTATATTACAATTTATAAATTTAAGTTATTGTAGGTGAAAAGATCGAATAACAGCTCCTATACTATATATCTTATAGGTACTTTGATCTTTCTGCCTAAATAAACAACTTAATTTAGTATTAGTAAACTAAAAATATTTTCTAAATTATTATCATGGACTGAGTTAGAAGTTTTGTTTCAAAATTGTTTATCCATAGTTTAATTAAAAAAAAAATATAAACAAATGGGAGCAATTTTTAATGATTGCAAATAATTATGATGATTAGTATATTAAAATGTGTTCACATCATGTTGATATCAGTGTGACAACATTGCAATTATCTGTTAATTTTCAAAAACAAATGAATAATTTTAATTTTAAAAAATAAACTCTCTAATTAAATATGATGGGAGTTATTATAGACATAGTATAATATAATTGAAGAAAGTTACATATAATGTGAACTTTAAAGGCATAGACATGTACATGTAAAATTGATTTTTAATATAAATGCACAATTACTGTTTTGATATTATTAAGCTGCAAATCGTAAATTTGTACTAAATTTGGCCATAACAAAGTGTTATTATTTTCTTTCTTGAAGAGTTTTACATATATGCTACTATAGTTTGGAGTCTGTGATATACATTACATATATTGTATTGTATTGTAAAATCTTTATTGTACATAATGTACACTTATACATATAGTTAATAAAAGAAATGATTGATTTTTTATTTATTCCAAACTAATGGTATTCTGCAGATGTGTTAATCAGTAGTGTTAATTTAACATATGATCTAATTGTGTACTAAATATAATTTTGTATATTTTATATCCATTTATATTAAAAATATATTCCCATCAATCATACATAGTGTATTGTATATGATTTTTGTTTATATACAGACACATGTACAAGAAAAAAGTTGTTTTCTACATTGTATAAAATCCCGATAAAAAAACTGAATGTGGTGACAATTGTGAAGTGGATTAAAATAATAATTGGTTAGTCAGCTGATTGTGCTTAATTCACCTGGAATTAAACATGACGGTTTCTATGGACGAAAGCTAGGAGGTCAACCTAGAAGGATATATTGTTAACAATGGAGACATTGCTAACAAAATCTGTCACTTCAGTTACCTAAATATATGTGATAAATACTTTAACTTAGATTTTTAGATATGTATTTTGATGGAAATGGGATGAATGATTGATCGACTATACAGATTAAAAATAATGTTTATTAAGATTTTTTAACTCTAGATTATAATTTAAGGAAGCTGAAAAATTATGCATGTACTAATTAACGTCTAACATTAATATATATTTAGTTATTTATATCTTCTTGCCAAGAATTGTTTTTGTTAATGGGTAAAAATGGAATGGTAAACCCATATGTGCTGTCGGTATGTGCTGGCGGGGCACCAGTAAAGGATAACAGGTGAGGATGAAGGTAGGTCTGTTGGCGCATAGTGACCAATTGAACAAGAATTAATCACTATAGCTTCCAGGAAGAACTGTGTGGAGATCGACTGGATAGGGTGTATTACTAGCAATACGCCTGTTAAACCTGATTACTAACAATCCATTTCCTCTTGCCAAGAACTGTTGATAGAAGAAATGAAGTACTATAACAAAGATGATAAGACTGATCGGCTTATTAAGTATATCAATAATATCTTTGGTAATTGGTCAACACTAGAAATAACCTTTATTTACATTACTTTCTTAAAAAAAAAATGCTATTCGTGGACTAAAAGAGAAAAAAAAATTAAATATTGTGATAGAAAAGTACCCTCAAAATTAATATATAGCACCAATGACACTAGTAAAATTAGATTATTGTGTTACTTCTTATTTATTCCTACTATTGTCATTATTAAGAAGAACTACTAGGTTTATTTAATAATTATAATAAAACACATTATTTAAAAATATCACTTACCTGTTAGTTTTCAGATACCTACAATATTATGAGCAAATCGAACGTCTCGTATTTGTTTAAGTAACTGCAAAGTTAAGAATTATTTAAATTACAAAAATTTGATCATGATAATATTTCTAATAGAAAAAATAAAAATAATATATAACTAAATAAGAACCTTTCAACTGAAACCGGCAAGATTTTCTTTCACCACAGATGAGAGAGAGATTCAGAGCAATCTCTATGTAATTTGCAATGCATTTGAGTTTCTGACATTTTTGTGCTTTTTTTTTTCTATCCTGGCTCATAGATTAAGAAAAGGATCTGTGGTATTCTTTTTCTATAATTGGCTTTAATATTGTAACTACAGATAATAATAAAGCAGACTAAGCATAAGGGATTAAAATACAATAAAACTCTTATCTATATACATGCACTAACACAAATGCAGGAACGGAGTTAAGAAACATGATTACATTAATAAGCAATTTTTTATTAAAATTTTCTTTAATGTAACAAAACAACATGGATACTTATTATTACAGTATGGATAATAAATATTTTCGTTTAAAAATTACATAGTATTATTTACGTCTTACATTTAATGATAATATCGTTATGATTAATAGTGTCCATGTTATTCATTAGGAAGATATTTAGAAAAAATAAGATAATTAATTAGTCAAAAAAAAAAAAATAGGAATCATTCATTTACATATAGAATTACATCTATCGTAAGTATAACTAGCCAGTAACGGAAAGATAATCATAGTCTCATCTACATAGGTTGGTATGTTGCCAAGTTTAACATCTTTTCTTAAAACTCATAATTCCTTTCCCAGGATCTAATATTTTTAAATTATGTATGTATATAAATCTTAAGAGAAACGGGTTGATAAATGAAATGCTTAATATTGTAGTTCTCTTTTATCACGTCTTCATCGGTAGGAAAACATAAAGACTATTAATGACAGAATTGTAAAACATAAGAACAATAGAAAATCAGTATAAAAATATAAAAGACGGAATATGATGGCCAATAATACGCCACAAATCTATTGGCATAGCATTGCCAATCTAGGTTTGTAGAGAGAATTGGTGAACATGTCCGCAACTTGAATTTCAGTATCTATCTTTGCAATCTTTATATTCCCATCAGCTATGCCTTTTCAAATTAAGTATTGTCTTAGCTTAATATGTTTGGTTTTATTGTGGTACTCATATGGTGGATTTAATGCAAGTTTCCAAGACAGATTTACTATCTAAGTACAGAATAGGAATACTCGTTGGTTGTTCTACGCTTTCAATAAAAAAATTGAACCATTTTATTTCTCTGGTGGCTACAATTTTGGCTTTAGTGCTTAAGATCGCTACTGATGTCTGTAGTTGACTTCGCCATGATATTAGACCTCCATAAATATATACTAAGCCTGAAGTCACCTTCCACAATCAAAATCACCACTATGATGAGCATCACTGTAATAAAACAGTTTGTTCCTTATATCATAATACATATTTATCCCTTATATCATTCATATAGCGAAATATTTAATTTTATTTTTGTAATATCTGTTTTTGTAGGAGCTTCAATTATCTAGAGGTAACACCAGCTGCGTAGGCAATATAGGGTCTAATTCCTATCTTAAGATATGCGAGAACTTTGTTTCTCTGTAAGGAAATAAATTGTAATTATACTCATATTGAAAACCCAGATGCTAAATAATTATTCGTCTTTAATGAATTTAGAATAGCAGTAATAATATTTTCTTTTTAAACTTGTCATCATTAAATAAAATTAAATCTTGTAGGCTTAAATGCGGCCCTATTTACAAAAGTATGTACATAAAATGTCAAAATCATAACTTATCCTTATTATAAATAAGAAAAATAATAATTTTGCACCTTATTTCTAAGTTCCAATACAATAATATGCTGTTTCATGGAATTATCTAAAGATTATTTACAAATACACACAGTAACGTGTATTTTTTTAATATTAACTCATGATAGGATGACATAAAAAATATATATATATATATATACCGGTGAAAAGTTTAATTTTGTATATTTCCATAAATTACAAAATCTCATAAATTGTATTTTATAATTTTAATATCCTTTATTTTATACTTGTAATGATGAAAATCGTAAAATTTTTGGTTTGTAATATGATTTAAGCATGCAGCTTCTACAGCTTATCAATATGGCGAACTGGCGTGCGCCACAATACGATAGAGTATTATTACTCGTGGCAGTAAAAGATAGTAACATTTATTTGACTGTAGGAGCGAGCAAAAGAGAAACATCTTACTCATGCTTTGGCTGCTTCATTATTATGTCTGTGATTAAATAATTTTAACATAAAATTTGTAATCTGTGTCTATCGAGCTTTAATATGTCTGTGGTTTTAATGTTGGTGTTATGTCAGTCTGTAGTTTTGTTGAATCTGTACCTCATGGCTGATCATGGAGCTTGCCATACATATAAGCAAAGTTTGTGTTTAATTGTGTAGAGCTTCACTAATGAGGCTCTATTAATATTATAAATTTAGTTATATCAAAAAATATTTACTGCAGTTATTGTCACAAAATGTTGATGTGTATAAATCAAGTGTTATAATTTAACCAGTTGTCATTATATTTCGTGAAAAATGTTACGGTGATGGAATCCCTCGAAGAATCAAACTGTCACTCAATGAGCGACAGTTTTTCTTTATATGAGCGTTATTTGAGAAGCTTTAATGTTGTAGACAACTTCATTGATGAAAATAAACATCCTGAACCTAATGAGCCGGCCTCTGACAGCAATTGCTTTTACGATAGTTCCGATAGTGTAGGTAACATTGATTTGTCGCTTGTTGCATCAAACTATGTTAAAAATAATTACTGTGAAACAGCTGAAACTGAATGTAAGTTGTTGACTCCGATTGCTTGTGATAACGCCCCTGAAAAAAGGTCATTGTTGCACAGTGACCCGAGTATAAAAGTAGAATCGCCTTGCACATCTCTTGCGGCGTCTTTACTCGACAATTCGTCCGGTACCGTGAACTGCTTACACAGCGATAAATCAGATCCTATTGAAGTTCCTGTTTCATCTGACGATTCAAAATCTGGACTGTTTAAACATCCCGTGTTCATAACCTCAACTATGGAAAACAGCAACAATGCTGTTGATAGTGTACCAATGTTCTGTGACGTACGAAACTCTGAAAGCATTTTTAAGTTACCTATCAGTGAATTGTCATTTAATGGTACTATAAAACATGTTAAAAAATTGAAACCTATTGTAGATCCCATAACTGCCTTGACATCAAACAATGGATTAGTTAATTTAGATGAAAAAACAGTAGATCACTGTGTGGATGCACAAGCTTGTGGCAGTAATGATGCTCAATTAGTTAATGAGCAAAAAGACAGTAGTGATATTAAATCAAGAAGTTTAACAGATAGCCATAGTAGTAGTGAAAAGAACATCATGGAAAAGACAGCTGAAAGTTCAGGAGATTCTCAGTATGAAGAGTTTATATTAAAGCGAGACTGTCAAGTGAATGATGAAGGAAGTAGTGTGAAATGGAATTTAGAACAAAGTTACTCATCACTGGAAGCATCTTTTGATAGTGGTGTGCGGTCTCCAGATTTATTTTCAGATGAAGGTGATGAGCCTCTTCCAGAGTCAGAACCATTTTGGACCTTTCTCAAGGATTTTGAAACTTATGATAAGATGAAAGTTAAGAAAATTGAGGTTAGTACTAATAGTGTCTTAGTGTTGTTTACATTGTATAAGTAAACTGTCTGGTGCTCCAAGGCATGTTTATGTAAGAAATTAATATTGATGTGTTATATTCTATGTCCAAGATCATTCTTCATAAGTCTATGGGGGAAGCCTATGTTCAGAAGTAAACAGATAATGGCTAAAATGATGATGATGATTTTCTATATATTTTGTTTTTATTTTTTTATTTAACTAGAATGGCAAACAAGCAGGTGGCCCACCTGATGGAAAGTTGTAACTGTTACCTGTACATATAAACAGTACCTTAGGCATAACGGAATATACTGTTTCACCTATGATGCTATAACTAAATTGATTATGATGTGTTATATCCCCTATCTGCTGAGGAAGGCCTATTTTCAGCAGTGGATAGTAAATGGCTGATATGATGATGAAATATTATAATGCTCATAAAAATCATAAAAAAATATTGAATCTTTATCTATAGACTCAATAAGTTATGATTAATAGATTTATATATTTTTGATCCAAAGATCTCAATACACTTCTCTTATATTAAAAACTGATAAAATGCGATATAATTTATCAATTGATTGAAAAAATTACCTTTCTACAATCCAGTGATATATGTCCCCACATCTCTTAACTTGGATATGAGAGAGATTTGAGTATGAATAGCACCGACTTAAAATTTTTCTCCATTTATATCTGTAGCTTGTAATATTTTTGGATTGTCATATTTTGTATGATTATAATGTACAATATGAATTTATTTTCACAGAAAGCACTCCAAGGAGTGTTGCCTCCGCCTTCAGTCACAATCTTAAAAACAGATGTGACAGAAATGCTCAAGAAATACTACTGTTTTTTACCAGCTTTCACTGAGACCGCCAGTATTGATGCCCCAGATCTCAATTCAGTAACACCAACGAAAAGGGTGTCCCTTATACAAATACCTACAGAAACAGATTCATTGCACTCATCAAATGATGATATAACACATAGAACAAAGTGTGGCACATCAGAAGCTGAGAAAACCAAAGGAAGTACAAAGTTTGATTCACAACTAAATATTAGTACAAATTGCAAAGGGATAAACATAAAAATGTGTACAGAAATTGAAGCTGCTGAAATGGTCTGGCCAGATGTGTTAAAATACAGAAGTCATGATGTTTAGTAAGTATTTAAGTTATTCACATTTTATAAAATACCATGTGATTTAAATATTTATTAATATATATGCCTATTTAAACCTATTATAGTATCTTTAATTTACTTGTATAATTAATACTAATGTGTAATTGCTTTGTTAATATTATGCTAGCTCATTAAACTATGGTAACTTGTTTATTCAATTATAGATTTAAATTAAACTTTAATACATTATTATTATTATTATAGCTTTTTATCCACTTCAGTGGTCCCCAAGGGTAAAAGCCTCCTCCATCTTTTTCCACCTCTCTTTATCTATAGCAATACTTGTCCAGTTTTTTCCTGCTGTCTTTATTATGTCATCTGCCCATCTCTTTCTTTGCCTTCCAACATTTCTTTTTCCTGCTGGACCTCGCCATTTTATTGTTTGGAGAGTCCACCTTTTATCTTTGTACCTCACTATATGACCTGCCCATCTCCACTTCTGTTTCATACTATACTGAAGAGCATCTGTTATTTTGGTTTTCTTCCTAATATCAGTGTTTCTTATTTTCTGTATTTTAACTTTAATACATACTATGTTCTAAATATACAAGTGAGTGTGTTTATGTTGCTTAGGTTATTATTAGGTCACTTCTGGAAGGGATCTTGATGATCTCAGGATGCACACCATTGGTTGAAAACACTCTTGCACTTGCTTTTAAGTTTTAATTTAGGTTATGATATGGTTTACTGTTATTTATTTATACTGTATTGAACAATAAAATCTGGTACAAAAGGCCAACTTAATGCTAGAGGAATTCTCTACCAGTAAACATTTAGGATGCGCAGAGATACTTCTCATCTCAATTAATTGATTGTGTCTGTCATTCTGACGCAACTATAAGAACAGCTACACCGCTAGTTCAACAATATTCACATGTGTATTACTTTTTTATTTGTTATAAGTATTATTTTATTTTTTGAGTAAAATGGCAGTGATATCTTTATAAGACCATACTTAATTGCAGTCCATAGATCCTAAGATTATCTTTAGATTAAACTTTTCAAAGTTGTGTTTGAATCATTTTAAAATTTGTGGAAACAAAGAATGCCACTCTTAGACAAGTAACAGTATATTCTGACTTGTTATATTGAATACTTTTAAATTTTTCAGTTACAATGTGACTAACTACTCTGAGAAGGTTGAACTGTTAGCGCTACGTTATGGGGAGAGATATGTCGGCGCGGAGACAGACACCAGTGTCAGTATTCACTCTGGGGGCTTGCAGTCCCCAAGTAGTGCTAGCAAGAGGAAAGCACTTAGACTCAAGTAAGTTTACTTATACTTTTAATTTCTGTAATAGTCATTAATATTGAGTCTTTTCAGTCTAACAAAAACAGATAGATAATTATAACAAGAATGAAGTTGCAGAACAATGATAAAGTAGATAAATACACTCCTTCATATGCACAATTGTATCAAAACCATCTATAGGATGGAAAGAAATTATCAAAAGCATTGTTATTTAACTCAAAATATTGCAGTAGTGAATCTACAGACCTTTTAAAATATTATTTTGATCTAATTAAAATAAATATCTTAAGAATCTTTAGTTAGTCTATTGATACAAAATAGAAAAAAAAAATAGCATTGTTTCCTAATAAATTGCAAAACAATTATTTGATTCATAATAATAATAAAGTGTGCAAATTATTACAAGTAGGCCCCCTAATCACTAATTTATAAACGCTTTTAGAACTATATGGTATAAGACCCTGTAAATCAAAGGTTTAAACCAAATGCTTCTAATATAATAAATAGAAAAATATAGTAATAATATTTTTTTTTTACTTCACAATCCATTTGATGTTAGTACAAAACTAAGAAAACTGTTAGTAAAGGTAACCTTTTATTCATTCATGTATAGCATAATACACACACACACACACACACACGCACACACACACACACACACACACACACACAAGTCTGTGTGTGTGTGTTCTTTTTCATGTCATCTGGAAACAGCTGTTATTCAATAGTCATTGACTGAATTTGAGTATTCTGATTCATGGTTAAGTTTTCAGAGTGTTTTGTTTCTTAGTATGAATAGTTTGAGGGCAATTGGTGTGATATTGTAGAAAGAAAAAATTGTAGTCATGATATTAGTGGGATTTTTTGCAAAATTAAATAAATTCTGCCAGTTAGATGATTAGTTTTAAAGATCATCTTCAATTATATTTGTTATTTACCTATTGTAAATTATGAATGTGAATGAATATAGAATGTCAATGCATGAGGGCTATCATTCTGTTCTGTGACATTCATGGTACTGTTTTTTATATCTATAGGCGACAGTTACCACTTTTCATTGAAAAAATTTTTAAAAAGTTAATGTAATTTATTATATTAATATCTCACTAATATCTATATTTCATTATAACAGGATGGCACAAGCGACGTCACCAGGTAGACGTTTGTCTCACTTGGCTCGTCGCCGACAAGCATTCTGCAGTGCAGCCACCATCAATGAAAAGGCACAAGCAACCAACTCAAGAATGGTGCTTATTGATAAGAAGTAAGTAGTGTTTTGAGTTCAACTTTAAATATCATCATCGTCATCATATCAGCCATTAACTGTCCACTGTTGAACATAGGCCTCCTCCATAAGGGCTGTTTTGCCAGTAGTTTCCAATTTAAACATAGTAAATATTAATTAGAACAACAGGAATATTTATTACTGAATGGATAGATAAGGTAGATTTTGGGAGAGGTATAACGGGTAAACTTTGTATAAAGTTTTTTATTTGTATATTCCTATCTCTTCCTAAACAACTTGTAGTCTCTGTTTTTGTTTGAAGAGTGAAAGTTATAGCAGTAAAATTACTTGTTTAGGCTCAAAATATTATATAATTTTATTATTCAATCTCAGTCCCCTATATACTGCTTTCATTATATTTTTTTGCACTATCAAATTTCATCTTTTCAAAAAACTGACAATGGAATCTTTTCAAGTTTCTTCCCACACAGAAAGCTGATAAACACATCTGAAAGAAAAAGTCCGCGACTGCGACGTACTCCGGGTAAGAAGACGCCCATCCGTAAATCGCTCGGTCAGAAGACACCAATTAAAACCCCAAAGTCGCGCAATGAAGGCTCCAGCCGGAAGAAAGCTATGAGGAGACTACTTATGGATTCAGAATCTATGACACGGTCCCAGCCATCCCGAGAAACACTGAAGAGGGCATTATTTATAAGTCCAGAGAACCGAAAGACTGTTCCACCGGCTCCCTGTTCTTCAGTACCACTTCAGGCAATGAGGTCTAAAAGAGCTTTGTTCGGATCTCCAGATTTAGCTCAAACTAAGAGTTCAGATGGATCTCTAAGTGACCAATTCTTAAAGAGGAAACGTGATTCGTTAGATGATGACCCGAATAACAGTAGGAGCAAAATAGCAAAGAGTTTGTCTTTCGGTGGCGATACAATAGGTAACACACAGCCGCAATCGTTCTCTCGCCGAGCGTCTGAAATGTTGGTCTCGAAGACTGCGGGTAGTGCTCAATTGAACGAGAATCATAAAAAGGTAAAATATATTGCATTTTTATACTAATTAGTTTCAATAATGTCCATTGATTGTCCAATTGATAGTTTTTATCACACTGATTGGCTAACATATCTGTCACACCTGTCCATGAAAAACATTACTGGAATAAAGTGTGCCTTATGAAGTGATTCAGGATTTTGTATAGCAAATTTCAATTATATAATGTTGAATTAAGTAACAAAATGTGATTATTCAATTACATTCTGTTACAAACATCATTATCACTTTACAAACTTTATATATTTTTATAGTAGTATACAAATTTACTATACAAAGTAGAAGTGAAATAATGCAAATACTAAGAGAGAGAGAGAGACGTAGACTGATTTATTAATACTATATATATAGCAGATTTAGGCAAAAATGAATAATTGGTGTTATTTATAATAACTAAATGGTCATATTAACTTTAAGTGAAATTATTCAAACAAATGTCTAGTTCCTTCCTCTTCTCCAAAGGTTTCTTTTAGACTTGATAAGGAAGATACAGATAGATACTAATACTAGAACTTAATTTTTTTTAGAAACTTTTATGGGCTGTGTGTGAGGCGTTACGGCCGCACGGATGGTCGATGTCCTCGCCTGGTTTCCGCGAGAAGGCGTCGGCTCTGGCGCGACTCACCCGCAAACTGCTGACGCTGGCGCCGCACGCCGCCAGGCTCGCATCCCCCAACCTTTCTACATCTGACACAATGCTCAAGTAAGTTTATTAAAAAATATTTCTAAATAAATGTAGTTTGTCTAATTGCAGCTGCTGTTTAAATGATTTAGTTTTAGTTTGAAAGAACATCAGTTTTCAGAAATGGTAATATATGAAAATTAGCGTCATTTAGGATAGTTTTTTTTAATGGATGACAATGGAGTGGTAACCCTGCCTGCGCTAACGGTATACGCTGGCGGGGCACCAGTGAGGGATGATAGGTGAAAATGAAAAGGTAGGTCAGTTAGCCCATCGTAATGACTACACCTGTAATCCAACACGATGGTGCCTAGGGAAGACCACCTGGAGGTCGACCGATAGGGTATATTGCTAGCAATGGGACTGGCAGTACGCATTATTAACAATCCCTTGTAAATTGATTTTCTTGAACTTATTGATTCTATACTAAGTTTGTTAAAATTGAGATCAGATTTTTGTGGAACTTTAATGTGTTATTTGTAGTTCTATAAAAGTGTTAGGGTATATGAATGTTTAAATAATAAATATACTTTTTCCAGACTCGCTCGCCGGTACGTGTTTGCAATAATACAAGGACGTTCAATCGACGATTGTTTCGAAGAGGAACAAGTGAAGGTTAACAATGAATCCAGTACTAAAATCACTGGATACATATCGGCAACTGCTTACCGGCAGCTGATGGCAAGACAAGCGGCTACAAGTACTTCCACCTCGCAGATCAAAGAGAATACTTGCAACAATAGTTCTGTGAAGTTGGAACAACCCAGGAGCACATCGAAAAACATCTTACAAGACAAGTTAGTAAATATCGATGCAAATTCAAGTAGCAGTAGTGGACTCAGTTTGTTGGATAAAACGAGTGTCGGTTTGTTCAAATCACACTCGATGCCTTCGTTCGAAGAGGCAGCTAAGATGAGAGCCAGGAGGCAAATTAGTTTTGATAATGTCGATTTTCCAAAAAGGTGATGTGCTCACGCAGTCAATGTCAATTCTGTTATGTTTCAATAATATTAGGCAATACTTTTTTATACATTTGAAAAACGAACAAACAAAGGGACTCATTTTTGAATGCTTTATTAACATTGTTACTAAACCCACGCCGCGAATATCTTAACTGCGATAGCAAAAAAGCCATATATGGTAATACATACAGAAAGAGACGCCATTATAGGAATTTATGGATATCAAAAAAAAAAACACACACACACACAGTACTTCCACATTTTCTAGAGTTTTGCACATGTTGACATTTTAATTTGTATGTGATTTCCTATAATTGCATCTCGGTATGTATGGTTTAGTTTCTTCGCTGCCGCGTTTTGTGGCGTTATTACAGCTTAATGGTATGATCTGAGTAATTAAGTAGTGATCGTGTAAACAAAAACAATAATCTGATAATTTTACAAATGGATAAATAAATTAAATAACGAGTCGATATTTAAAAAGGGGCAAACTTGTGTTGGATCCTAATCAGTAAATTAATATTCACTGTTATCTCTTCTCTCATATTGTAGTTATTGATACCTGATACATATTTTTTTATAGCTAATTAAATATATTGCATGAGCTATCATTCTTTCTACTTTGTAATTTTATACGGTATTTGTGCAAATGAAAAATTGATTGACATTAACTTGTATCATAATTGTATATTGGTGTAAATTTTCTGGTATATGTTTATAGTCTATCTCCCATATATACAATGTTAGGTTTTAAATATTAATCTATACATAAAGATATTAATTGCTCTTAATATGCATTCTATTGTAAAATATATCAGTGTTGTGTGTAGTCAACCTTGGTATAAAATAGATACATCTTGTATTTTATACATATAACTAAATGTGAGCATACATAACATCCAAATAACGATAATTTGTCTTTGGTTGTTCCTTAGCAATTGTAGAAAGAAAATAGATTAGTTTGAATTGCTTTATGTCTATGGCTTGTCTTGTTTATAGAAGGAATAGTAACATTTATGAAAACTTTTCAATGTCGATATTAAATGTTGCCAAGCCTTGTAACTATGGTTTATTTTTTCTGCAATTGACATATATTTGAAGGAACGTTGCAAGTCATTCTTTGCTTTTGCACAGTACTATGTATATTTAATAATTGTTATATCGATAAATAAATCTTAAGACTTCTAAGGGATTGACAGTTTATATTACTTGCTATGGAACCGATCCTAAAATTATCTCTAAAATGACGGAATATTAGTTGAGTGGAACGACTACAGGTTGATTCAATTAAATGTGTTTAATAACGATGTAAACATTTCTTTCATTCTTCTAAATTTGTTTCGGCGTGGGTCTATCTGTTATTACTGTTTGCATTAACTATCTAAATACTGCTTTAACTCTGTGGCTTCCAAGAATTGACATTTCAGAAATAAATTGACAAACTTGTAAATATTAGACTTATTGACTATTTATTTAAGTATAAATGAATAAAGGGGATGTTCAAGTATTACGTAACGTAATTTTTGAAGATTTTTAACCTACCCTCGTCCCCATATAACGCGTTGTAACATTTTACCGTACCCTCTCCCCGTCTTTAAATTTTACGTAATTTTTTACCTAAACTTCACAACACTAACAAATATAGACAACAAAAGAAAAATAAAAATGACGTACAATACAGTCCAAGGATTTCCTGTAAAACAAACGAAAAGGATTGCCAACTTAGGGGATTCTAATTTCTTAGTTTTTATTAAAATAAAATGAATATTACGTAATGCATCGTTCGAAACCTCCTCCCATTCCTGCAACGCGTCGTAACGTTTCACGAGACGCCTCCCCTCCCCAAATTGCGTTACGTAGCACTTGTATGCCCCCAAACTTGTAACATTTAAGTTAAACGAATTACTTTTTTTTTAGTTGCTGTGACTTATTGACTTATAAATTAATATAATTTTATTAGTGATACTTGAAATATATTGAAGTAATTGAATGAGAATGCATAATTATAAGTTAGGTAATAAATATTGTCCAGCCAACATAGCTCATTTGTTCGCAATGCTCTTTTTAACAGTACATTGTTTTTTTTTAAATAGTTTTATGTTGTTATTCAAAGCATGACTTTTCTAGTAGTTCATGAATGACTTTTGTTTAATATATGTTATAAAAGTAAGTGTTACATGCTGTGTGTATTACATCTAATGTATTCGTATTTTGTGCACTGAATATAATATGAATTTGACTTCATGTATATTGGCGGACCTAATGTGTTACTATTGCTGAGCTTGATCTCGGGTTTTAATAAATTATTTTGCTGTCAGAAAGCTTGTTTTATTTATCACTACCTCTTGGTAAAACTGAAAAAACATCGTTGCCGTTTGAAATGACAACATACGTCATTATAGTTGTACAATGTTATATCGAATAATAACTGTAGTGAGTCATGCGGTATTATTTATATCAGCTTTACTTATAATCGGTTGGAATTTATAAATTTTAATAAGCAATATATTTATTATGTATGTCTCCAGCAATATCGTCATTTATTTAAAATTGCGAATGTGTGCACATACTTGTGAAAAATATAGACACTTTCCGAGAAGACATATAAAAATGTATATTAAGTGTTGAGACATAAGTCTCAACATTTATATAAAAGATAGATATAGATACTCTTTGTTTCCTCCAAAAGATTACAATAGTAAACTTATTATAGATACAAACAATTACAAGACAAAAGGACAATTTCCGTTAGCAATACGTCTAGTTGTTAATCTTATTTATTTAAAATTATCTAAGATCTCGAATTAGTAACAAAATTTACTTATGCATTTATAATACAAGGTATATTTTCGTTCTGCTTCAATCCGCCTATTTATATTAAATATTTAATTCTTAATGAGCAACTAATGCATTATGACATACCTATATGTATTATATTTCGTTATAAATTAACACTATTATGATTTTTGCGTAGATTAGATTAACACAAAATTACTATTTCGGTGTATTTATTATATCTATATTAAATAGAATAATCCGAAATAAATTAAAATTGAGTTAATTTCTAAAACGTCTAGTTTGTGTTGCTAGTAAAAAATAAAAAGTACTAATAAATTAATGAAATAAAAAGTATTTGATCCTAATTACAATTTGTGTATTGAAGTAAGGTATATCCATTGAGTTAAAATTTTTATCCATAGAAAGAAAAATCCATATTTATAGCGTATACATGGGCTATATTTTATTTAAATAAAATCGTACGAAATCGAGTTGTTCAGTAGTCCAAAGAACATCCAAAGATGTACAACAGGCGAGCTTTACTCTCTAGTACTGTTCCAGTAAACTAGTGGAATGGAGCATTAATTACCAGCGGGCAGTGTGCGTACAATAAGAAGATGAAACAGTATTGCTGCTAAGAAATAATAAATATGCTTAAAATACAAATTAATATATACTTACATTCAAAATACACACACATATCTGTATATAATAATAAATATATATATAAAATATTATCTGTGGTTATATGAATAAGCCACGCCCGTACGCCGCAAGAATATATGCTATCGGTTGAATATTTTCGTCAGTGGCATATTCAACGATGGGTGCGAATCCGTCTCATCCGGAACTTACTGAAGATGTTTTGGATGAATATTCTGCCTTGACATATTTGAGGAAAGAAGAGATATTATAGTGAGTTATATTTAAAATGCAACTAATAATTGAGATCGGATGTTTTAAAAACACAAATTTAATTGCAGTTTAATGGATAAGTTCCAATCGATCGATGTACAAAAAGTGCAAGCTGATTATCATCATAGGTTCAATTCAAAAGAAATAATCAATAAATTCGATGTTTTAAAGGTAAGTGCCATTTGTTGCTTTTTATTCTCCCACCCGTAGGTGTCGGCATAGAATAGGCCACTCCATCCTTTCCCATGGGTGTTGTAAAAGGAGACTAAGGGAGCTTATTGTTGAGGGATGGTAGCAGAGTCCCTCTTAAAACATCACCAAAAGCCAAACTGTAATTGCCAACCTGCCTGCCAAAGGCAACTACTAGCGAAATTCCCCTTATGAGGAGGCTATGTTCAGCAGTGGACAGTTAATGGCTGATACAATTATTCCTCTAAGTTGGATAGTATTTGAAGTGTCAAACTCTGAGGTAATCATTAATTACTCGTACCTACTTATAATGCTTTCAGAACAATCCGTTCGTAGACCGAATATTCCATGTTTTCTCGTCGAAGAAGGACGACTGTTTTTCTTTTGAGGATTTACTCGATTTATATTCCGTTATGAGTCCCGAATGTCCACCTGAGGTGAAAGCAATTTGGGCTTTCCATTTATTCGGTTAGTATGAGTCCTGTTTTTTTTATTATAGATAATTAACAACTTAGATATATTCGTAAAGGCGCGTATCGATTTTTGTTATTCTAAATTATAAAAAGAATATGCAGTAATTTAATAATTCATTACGTCTAGCAGAAAATCGCAGGGCAATTATTTAAAAAAATATATCCAAGATATAAAGTCCTTTAGAATATTCAGCTGCGGGTTCTTGCCTGTTTATGTATTGATCTTAGATTATAGTATCGATCTTTTAAAAATCTATTATTAATTATTATTCCGGAAGTTGTGGAACGTAACGGAAGTTCGGGACTAGAAGGTTAACGAAAAACTTATTGCCTAGATTTTTTTAAATAGAATATATAAGTACATATATTTTTACACTAACTCCATTACGAGGCAAAGCAAAGAGAACCTACAAAACGGACAAACATAATGTACCTATCTTCTATTAGGATGAGTTCTAAAAACTACTACGCAACTTAATAAGCTCGGGGTAGACAATGTTAGTAATGCCACATTATTGGCAATATACCCTATCAGGTTAATCTTCCGGCATACCCGTCTGGAAACCATCGTGATTAATTCGTGATGGATTTGGATGGTGGATAAGGGGTCAACTAACCTGACTTGATCTTCACCTATAAACGCCCATTGATGCTCTATTGGAGAATGAGTTGCCTACAATTGGCGTGATAATTAACTGATGATGACGATTACATGAATGATGACTGAGATGCTAAAAGTCTTTAAATGTAAATCATTTAAAGACTTCGGCTTTTCTTTAGTTTCAGCTGTCTAGGTCCAATTAGGTAGTTAATTTGTATAGTGACAAAAGAGTGATTATTTTGTTGTAAGTTCTATAGCTGATACGTACAGAGTTTATTAATATTATTTTATTTAGATCTAGATGATGATAATGAAATTACTTATCGGGATGTCATGGAAATAATAGACCGATTGACTAACGGTTTCCAGAATCCTAATAATTTCATCGGCAAAGATTTCAAGAAAATAATCTTTGAAAATGTAAGTACTGTTTATCTTGAAATAAATATTATATATTTAATTAGAAATGACAGAAAAGACATCATCATCATCATCATCTTCCTACCCTTATCCCAATCAATTGGGGTCGGCGTAATATGATTTTACCCATATTTCAAAAAGATTTGGTTTTTAGTTTTACGACCGGCCACCTGCCTGACGTCAACCCTCTTTGGGAATGACAGAAAAGACATAGATTATTTAATATCTAATCTACTTAAGAAAAGGTTTAGTTCATTATTTTAAGAGTTATAACGGACGTCATGATTTCTAAAACAGGTGGTTGTCAATTAGTCTGTATAATTTTATGTGCATTTTACTAATTCTTAACCGATTTGGATAATTATTTTTGCAACCGACGGGAATAGTTTGTGAACATTTCTATAAATTATTGATATCAATTAATTCCTTTATTTCTGTGAGTAGGGAAAGTAGATAAAACCTTATCTGACAAATCAGTTCAGGGTACGATAAGCCTTATCTAAAGAAGGTAAAAGCCCGAAGTTCGCATTGGTCTCAATTAAAATATGTCTAGTAGCGAGACGTGATGGAAAGTGGTAACCGTCATCTATAGGGAGGAAAGGGATTGTTAGCAATGGAGTTTAACATTGCTAGCAATATACCATATCAAGTCGATCTTCATGTGGTTCCCCTTGGAAACCATCGTGAATAATTCTTGTTGAAATCGTCACGATGGGCTAACTGACCTACTTTATCTTCACATATCATCTCTTACTGGTGGTTCGCCAGTATATACCGGTACCGTAGGCGAGGTAACCATTTCATTATCACCCATTAAAAAAAAGTAGCGAGATGAGGCTGTAAAGTAATAATAGGAAACTAGAGAGACGTATCTGCCCGTAACGGTTTAAGTTCTATTTTATAATGAAATATAATAGACATAACTCTATTTTGGTTTGGAATTGATGTCGTAGTAGTTATTTATAATAAAGCATTTATAATTATTTCTGTCTTAGCGATGACGTAGGCTTTATCCATGGGCAGTGGCGGGAATCCAGTAATGGGATATGTGCAAGATACATTTTTCATTAGTGATGTAAAAAGTTGGTTTAAATATAGATTATGCTCTATAAAAATTCGACCTCAGTTATGACAAAATAAGTTATTTTGATATAAAAACTAAACTAATTAAGCGATTTTAATAAAATTTCCATAGAGATTCCATACCGAATTGAGAAACTCTTTTTTTTAATCGATGTAAAATTTAAATAAAAATCCGCGTCGTGCCTAATCATTCAGGCCGCGAGGCCGTCGCACACAACTTATTACGCTTATGTCCATTGGAGTCCTAAACCACAACATACCTATTAGGTATATAACATATACTACTTTCAAATATGTTACAGTAATAATAACAATTATTGAGAAAAGGGATTGTTAGTAATGGGGATCTAACAGCCCCATTGCTAACCTTTCCCCTCTAGAAAATATCTTGATTAATTCTTTATGAATTCGTCGTTACGTGTTAACTGACCTGTTTCATTCTCACCCTCATCCCTCACTTGTGCCCTGCTATCGTATACCGATAACGCAAGCGGGGTCACCAATCCATTATAAACCATTAAGAAAAACTCAAATGTGCTTATTCAGTATTACTGACTACGTTTATCTATATGGGGTTGTCTTTTTTTCGTTGGTTATATCGTGTTCTTCGAATCATATAACCAGTTGATTATCTCAGCCGGTAGTGTGTATCAAAGACATATCTAATAACAATTAGTACTTTGTGTGGGAAGGAGAAAGAATTATTATTACCGGGTGACAATGGAATGGTAACTCCGTTTGTGTTATCGGTATACGCTGGCGAGAGTAGTGACAGATGAAAAGTGAGGATGAAAGTAGTTCAATTGGCCCACCGAGAAGAATTCGACAAGAATTAACCACAATTGTTTCCAGGTGGTACCGCGTAAAGGTCGACTTGATATTATATTACTCGTTATAGGTTCTTGGAATCCTTTACTAACAATTCCTTTTTCCCCAGTAACGGGGATAAGCGATCACGTGACTATCAATATGTCATGTTGATCTTATCGCGATTTTTCCTTTTTTTTTGTTAAATTTAGATGAATTCGTCACGATGGGCGAACGCAACTGCTTTCATCCTCATCTATTATTTTTTATTGGTGGTCCGTCAACGTATTCGGTATACGGATTGCGCAGACGGGGTGGGGTTACTACCATTAAAAATACCTTGTTTACTTATTTTATTTGTCCTATTCTATTTGTTATTTTGTTATATACTTTATGTATCTTTAACTACTTTGCAGATTTTAAAGGAAGTAAAATTAGACAACAGCAATAGCATCGGCCTACATGAAATGGTATTAATATTGTCGAGATTGCCAGAATTTAAATCGACTTTTTATTTCAGATTGTGATAACATTTATAACATGGTAGGCATCAACACTTGTTGGTGTTATGCAATGTTATGTTACAATTATGTTAATTTAAATACATTAAAAATATATAATATGCATTAAAAAAGTTTTGTGAAGCATTATGAATTCAGTATTCAGTACGTTATAATAAAATACTTACCTATCATTGTTGATTTTTTAAGTTCACTGCTGGACACGGATTCTTATAGCAGATATATTCCATAAAAAAATCTTATTATGAAAAAACCTTATTTTTTATCAATGAGAGATTAAATGTTTAACATTTAATCTTTCTTTTCAAAGTTGGTTACAAAAAAATTACGTAATTTATTCATAAAGAAGGTAATTTTCACAACGTATTTATCTCACGAACGCCTTGCAAGCAGCTTTATTGTAACGGCCGGCGAGAGTGCGGTCTGGCAACGCTGGGAGTCCACTAGTTCTGCCCGTACTACTTGGTAACACCAGTGGTTGTTTATACTTTACGAAGTACATTGGAAATCCGAGATAAGTCCTGAAATAGTATATAGGCAATATATTTCTAGGTACATACCTTAAACATATTGCAGGGAGTCAATGGATACAGGTGGCTTCGGACCGGTTTTAGTCAGACAGTCTATGGGCGAAGCTTATGTTCAGCAGTGGACAGATAATTGCAGATATATTGATAATGATGATATACACAGCTACTAATTTTTGAATTTCTCATACTAAGTTAACCACTGAACGCGATACATTAGTATAGGATGCCCAAAATTTTGGTCGTTTTTCGATTTTTTTTTTAACGAAAATGTTCAGTTTTACTGGCAGAACATTTTTTGAAGGATGCTAACGATATCAATTTCAACCTGTATACAATGCTTATCAAATAAAATTTTTTATTAGTTCATTTAATTGTAGGTAATCTATATACATTAATAATATTGTAAATATTTAAGAAACAATTGATGTGAGAAGACATTAAAAGTAATACAACTTAACAATTTTTGAAATTTTTGTCTCTGTGTTTATTTTCCGGCATCATGCAAAAACTGCTGCACCACATTGATTGTGGGTTTCACAGTTGTCTTCCTGAAACTTAAAATCTGATGCATGATCTTTATTTGCGGGGTCTTTATTTACATTGAGAGCAAAAGCTAGTTATTTCTAAAAGTATATTTTCTTAGAATAAAATAAATTTTAAATATTTAACCAACTTTTCCCTTCAGTTTCCACTTTTTCCATTATGTGCCTATAATATTTCTGTATACTTACGGGGTCATTTCTGCTGGACACTGCCAAAGGTACTCTTGGTCTTTGAAGTAAAGCAAAGGATGATGCGCCTTGGTATACCCTCGATAGTAATCTCTGTGCCGTTGGCATGCCTAATTTGTATAAAATATTTTTTTTATTGGAAGACAATGGAATGGTTACTTCGCTCGCGCTAACGAATGACGAATTCACTTGTCTACTTGCTCATCATGTTTATAGGTGAGAGTAAATTATCAGTTGAACAGTCTGTTTGTCCTTTTAAGTATCTTTAAAAAAAAAAGAAATAACGATGGCTTCCGAGAGGGTGGGGGGGGGGGGGGGGAGTCCCCATGGAAGTCGATCTAGCAGGACGCTGTTGCAGTAATAAGGCCGCTTATATTAATTAGTCTCTGTACTAACAAATTCCTCTCTCACAGATTAAGAATATGTTAGGTAACGACTGAAGTGCTACTCATCATAGATTATTTGCCAAGTATGTACTGTCAATGTCTAAACTTGCCTCATGAGGGGAAGGGATTGTTAGTAATGTAGACTACCAGTCCTATTGCTAGGAATATATGTTATCAGGTCGACGTCCATGTGGTCCCCCCTGGAAACCATCGTGCTAAATTCCTAGTGTAGTCATCATGAAGGGCTAACTGATCTGTCTTTCCATCCTCGCCTATCATCTATCACTAGTACCCCACCAGCGTATAACGATAGCGTAGCGGGGTTACCATTTCATTATTATGCATGAAAAAAACTTGCCTCATAAAATGTTTCGATTTCTTCTTGTCTGCCATTATTTACAAATAGAATGTTCATTTGATATTAAATTTCAATTAATCTATATAAACTTAGAGATCTATTGATTGCTGTAAACGAAATGTGGTTACTTTACGATTTTGACGAGCAATAAATAAAACTGACTAAAATATATATTTTTTTTTTTTTTAGTACGTTTGTTCCGTTTGGAACAGGCTAAGGTCGGAGACCATGCTGCCTAGTCTTCAAAAAGATAAATTGTCTGGAATTTTATTTTTCTAATGTCGCTTCAATTATTGTCATAATCTTCAATATTTCATTTGTCAAATCCGGTAAGTACATTTTCATAAATATCTTTTCTTGAGTTTTCTTAAACCAGTGGATTTATCAAATTAAAAATAAATAATTATAAAAAATCATTGTCTTGCAATTCAATAAAAGTATTCTTATAGCTCCTTGAATGTTGTAGTAATATAAGTGAAAATAGCTTTGAAACAAGAAGGAAATCTTAAGAGAAGCGGGATTGAGTGCGGGATATTTTCGGGTTTTTTGAAGATAATCCTAAGTTCGTCAAACATAATGTGTCTTTGAATGACAAATTCAGAGCAATCAAAAAAAGGTGATGTAGAGATTGGGCTGTATTTGAGTTACACCATGTGCATGATGGGGAAGCGATCATGCCCATTCGGTGCAGGTGTTCGTTGAAATGTCCGTGGCCGATTCGTAATCTACAAATATTGGTGTAAAATTTTCTGTTTGTGTCCTTTCCTTTGCAGAACCACGGTTTTCCAATACGCCAATTAATTTTGCGGTACCATTTGCCTTTAGTCTGTAATATTTGAGTCCAATGCTCCTCCCATTTAGTTGTAACGATTTTATGTATTCCAATACTACAATCTGAGTAACAAAGGGGTAAATCTTGAACACGAGCAGCACTTGAATTAATAATTTTAGCCAAAGTGTCTACTTGTTCATTCCCAAACACTCCAATATGTGAAGGGGTCCAGATGAAGATAATATCTTTTCCATATATAGTACAGAGATGATAATATTTATTACGAATTTCTTGAATTAAGTAGTTTGATGATGAAATGATTGTGTTATTTTTTAATGCCATAAGAACACTCATACTATCTGTAATTATAATCCATTTCGAATATAGTACCTGTTTTTCTATGTATTCTAATGCTAAAAATATAGCTTTTGCTTCTGCTGTGTAAATACTAGCCAAAGTTGAAATTTTATAACCGTGACCAAATCTATTTGACAAATCGTAAAAAGCCACTGAAGTGCTAAGTGCATTTTTGGAACCATCTGTATATATCTGCCTGTAGTCAATAAATTCTGATAAAGTCTCATACATATCGTGCTTTTCTTTTATGTCTTTATGTATAACAATTTTGATCTTACAGAACTTACTCTCATAAAGGCCATTATAACAAGGAAGTATCTTACTACTATAGATGTTATATTCATCTCGTAAATTCAAATCATTGATAATAGTTTTATTCAAAAACATAGAAATGGGGCAATTTAATAATTTGAGTATGAGTGGGTTATTGGAAACTGAAAAAACTTTGAAGAGAAATTTGAGTTTTAGGTATTCGAAACGAAGAAGGATAGGAGGCAAATTACATTCTACTTGCATTGAGATAATTGGAGAAGTATACATAGCACCTAAAATAAGTCTTAAATTCATATTTTGAATTTTTTCGAGTTTTTCTACTAATTTATGTTCTGAGGCATAACAAAAGAAAGCGTAATCAAAATTACTTCTAACAAGAGATTTGTAAAGTAAAAGGATAATTTTAGGATCAGCTCCCCAGTTACGACCAATTACAGATCTTATTATATTAGTGGCTCTTAAAGCACGATCTACTAAGCAATCAACGTATAGATCCCATTTTAAATTTTGATGAAAAATTACCCCCAGAAATTTAACGCTACAGTCTGTTGGAAGAGTTTGATTATTATATATAATATTCATTAATGGAACATATTTATGAACTTGATGAAAAACAACTACTTTACTTTTGGTTAAACTAATATCGAGGGAAAGAAGAGAAAAATATTTCTCAAGTCTTTTTAATGACTCATTTAACACTAATTGCATATCAATAATATTCTTTCCTTTTATATAAATTAATAAATCATCGGCAAATTGCAAGTTGTTCACACTGTTTCCTAAAACTAAATTAAGTTTATAGATATATAAAATATATAGTAGCGGGCTTAAAATACCACCTTGACATACTCCTTTAGAGCTTAACCTAGGTCCTATTAATTTACTATTTACTTTAACATACACTTCTCTATTACTAAGAAAATTATAAATCCATTCGATAAGTTTCATTGGAAGAAATGAGGATAGAATCGAAGATAGAACTGTTAAATTTACATTGTTAAAAGCTCCTACGACATCTAAAAAAACAGATAGAACATATTCATCGTTATTCAAAGCAGTACTAAGGTCGACATAGAAGTTCGCTAAACTTTCGCGCGCTGAATATCCACGGCGAAAACCAAATTGATTCGATGGTAATATACTATTACTTTCAATAAAGAACTCTAAACGCTGTTTAATTAATTGTTCGAATAATTTGCCTGCACAGGACGTCAATGTTATAGGTCTATAGGAGTCGAAATTTGTAGGATCTTTACCGGGTTTAATTACTGGAATCAAACAATCCATTTTCCATTCTGGTGGGATAATACAGTCCTTCCATAAATCGTTAAAAATTTGTAAGAGTTTAGTAAGGTTTATTTTATTCAGCAATCGAAACATATTGTATGTTAAGCAATCAAGGCCACTAGCTGTATCTTTTCTAGATTTTACTGCACTGGATATTTCATCAATTGAGAATGGGTCAGTGAGAAATTTTGGGCATGAATTAACAGAATTAAACTGTTTGTCATCAAAAGGTGAGTGTACAAAATCAGGAGTATATTTGCGTAAAAAATCATTGACCCATGATATATCTTTAAAATGATTTTGACGATGTTTTGAATTTAGTTTTCTCATATTTTGCCAAACAGTGGAAATTGGTGTTAATCTATTAAATTTGGAACAAAATTCCTGCCACCCCTGTTGTCTTACTTGCTTAATTACTAACTTTTTAACAGCTTGAACTCTTTTAAAATTTATGTAATTATCGAGAGTTGGATTTTGTTTAAACCTAAGGTAAGCCGCTTTACTATCATTGACAGCTGTCGCACACCTGTTATTCCACCAAGGTACTGCAATATGTTTGTGCCTCTTTGAAGTATTTGCACCGCTATTTGATAAGTTCCTACGTGGAACGGAACGTTCCACAGCTGTCAAAATAATTTTACAGAACCTATTGTAATTGTTTAAGGGTTCATTGACATCATACTCGAAATCCAAAAGTAATCGATTAACAGTTTCAGAATAAAGATCCCAATTAACGAGACGTAGGTTTATACGATTTAACAAAAGTTTATTAACTTCATCTATAGGAGCATGTTGTTCACCTGACGGAGTTGATGAAGAGTTCTTTGTGTTTATTTTAGTAAAAGTCGGCAGGTGATAACTTCCTAACGGATCATCATGAACCGACCACTCGCATTTTAATGATATGGATGGGGATACCATAGTTAAATCAAGGCCATTGGGTCTCCAAATATGAGAGCCAACAGTAGTAACTTGCTTATCATTTAATAGTACCAAATTACATTCATCTAAACAATCAAGAATGTCTTTACCTCTTGTATTAGTGGAGGTACAACCCCACATAGTATGATGTGCATTTAAATCTCCAGATATGATAGTGGGTTTAGGAAGAGACTCCAAAAAGAACTTAAATTTGGCTTTAGTAAAACTAGGTGTACTATTGGTAGGACAGTAAATACTGGCAACTGAATACCAAGAATTATTAACTTCAATACTAATAGCTATAGTTTGCAAAGAATTGTCGAAAAAAGAGTGAAGTTTTTTATATCTAATACTATTATGTATAATAATCGCTACTCCATTGTGGTTATTACCACAATCATTTCGTTCTATACAATAATCTTTAATTTTTAATTTGTAATGTGGTTTTAGCCAAGTTTCTGAGATGAGAGCAATGTGAATATGATGTTCATTTAAAAATTGTGTAAAAATATGTCGATTGCTCAGTAGGCTCTGAGCGTTCCACTGTATGATAGTTAATTGGTCTCGATTGAATTTTGTGAAATAGGTCTATTACCAAAAGTATCATATAACACATTCAAAACACTTTTAGTGTTAATAGATGTGTTCTTTGTGTTATGTAGTGAAATAAGTTTGATTATGCTTTCTATTAAAAGTGATAAACTCTTGTTATCAGAATTTAGAATTGAAATTAGGTCTACATTTTTTTTAGGTTTGTTACCCAGTTTAGGAAATATTTCAGTGCTAAGTATATCTCCAAAAGAAGCAGGTCTGAATTTAGATCTATTTTCAGCAATTTTCTTTTGTTTAACAGGGCATTGCGGTGATACACTTGTGTGATTTCCATTGCAGTGTACACAAATAGCGTTTTCCATTCCAGTTGTACAAGTTTTATAATTATGCTCACCTTTGCAGATGCTGCAACGCTCAGAATTCTTACAGAATTTAGCTAAATGTCCATACCTCAAGCACCGGTAGCATTGTTTAACTGGTGGTATATATGGAGTGACATTGTGGCGCCAACCTCCAATATCCAGATATTCAGGTAATACAGATGCAGCAAAAGTAATTGTCACGGTTAGAGTTGGCTGTAACACATATCCATGAGTCAAGGTATTTTTTCTTAAAATTCTTTTAATAGCAATAATTTTCTTAGAACTCGATATCATAGTATATATTTTTTTATTAGATATATTTGTAGGTACATTTCTAATAACGCCTGTAACTTCTGTTGAAGAAGCAGGAATACTGGCCTTAAAATGGTAGTCATTTAAAAAAGTTTTATTATTTAAAAAAGCATTGGCTAAGTCTGGCTTTTGAAAGTATACTCCGATTTTGAATTTATTTATAGATCTAAGATAAGTTACCCCTTTATTAAATCGTTTTAAACAGGAGGAGAGTGAGAGCAAGTCTCTGGATCCAATGGTTTTCTGACTATCTGAGGATTCTACAAAGACAACAAATTCTGTCCCAGGGGATTCCTCGGGATATCTTCTAATATAATCTGTGACGTAGTAAGGTTTATACTTATCGGCCTTATCAATTTCAGATTCTGAGTCAGTAGAAGTATCTTCCGAATATATATCCTTGTCATTACAAGGTTCATGGTCTACATCACCTGAATCGTCATCTTTTTTTTTCCTTTTTCTACAACTGCGCTTCCCCATGAATGCTAATTATATTACTGTCGCTGAATTTAGTGAAAATATAATATTTTATTAAATAATAAGAATTGATAGAGATAGTTTTAATAAATTAATAAAAAAAATTTAAAAAACCCGCTTGTTCTTATTCGAGTTTCCCCCTAAAATATATATTTTTGTCAGTTTATTGCCATTGTTGATTGCTGTTGTTATTTAAGGTTTGTCAAAAACGGACAGGTAAAGAACATAACGCATACAGTTCAGTCATTGGTTTTTATTTCTTTACAAATACCTAGGTCTTTTTAAATATGAACCAATAAAAAAGATTTTTTTTCGTAACAAAAAGTAGTAATAGATATTTTTTTTATTATGGATGATAATGGAATGGTTACCCCGCCTGCGCTATCGGTATATGCTGGCGGGGCACCAGTGATAGAGGACAGGTGAGGATGAAAGCAGGTCAGTTAGCCCTTCGTGACGAATTTCACAAGAATTAAGCACGATGGTTTCCAAAGGGAACCACGTGGAGGTCGACCTGACAGGGTATATTGCTAAAATAATAATGGGGCTATTTGACTCCATTACTAACAATCCCTTTCCCCCTGCCCGCGCCGTGTCGGCCGCGTGACTAGCTAGCTAAGCATTTTTTTTATACCACTGAGGTGGCAAACAAGCATACGGCACACCTGATGGTAAGCGGTTACCGTAGCCTATGAACGCCTGCAATACCAGAGGTATTACGCGCGTGTTGCCGACCCTTGTAGCGGTGTAGGAGAGGGTAGGTGGGGACGGGCACATCTATGAAATAAGTAGCAAGGTAGGATCAGGTAAAAATGTAAAATGTAAAAATGTCCACTCGTGCGAAGCCGGGACGGGCCGCTAGTTTTTAATAAAATCGCAAGATTCAAAATGTATAAAACAAGTAGCTCTAGCTAAGGATAAATATTATATATTATATATATATTGAGACTCGATTCTTATTTTTTGGTACTAGGTAGCTATCACAGAATATATTATTATGCACATATTAATCCAGTATACCAATCTACTTAGAATCATAGATCAAGCATAAAACCTGACATCCTCTTTCTACGTTTAACAGCTTAAAATAAACACTACAAATTTATTCTGGTTTCTCTTTGAAACAAATAAATTTTTCGCCTTTTATTACACATCAAGAGATTTCGGGTTACACTATAAACCTAAGAACAAGGAATAACATTACTGTAAAGTGAGTAGTAGTGCTTAGTAGTACTTTCTATAAAACTATACGTGTCACAGCAATGACAGCTTTGACAGCTATATCATTTGACTGACAGCTTACCCACTCCTGCAATTCGTAATCAAACGTCAAAACAAGGTTCCTAAAATTTTGTTTTACTATTTTTTATTTAATTGGTATTTTTTACGTATTCCCTAAAAGTTTTTAGCAGCTTAATATTAAAGCTTTAAGCAGAAAAGTGCGAAAATTGTTTAATTATGTAGTTAACGTTGAGTTAATAACCAACCCTTTGTTATTTTTGGTGTACTATTTTTGTCCGCTCTACATTCGGTGCATTGAAATAATTTTGACATCCAGGAAAAGAATGTTCTTCCTGCGTGGTAAGTTTATTAGGACTTTCTCTTTTATTTAATCTAATATTCTATTTAATTAAGGTTTGGTGAAACTGTATTATAAATTGCACGTAAAATGATGTCGCGTGGGAGTGATGGTCATTATCATATTTTTTGCTAAGTGGTCGTTGTCGTGTGCTTTACATACATTAAGTAAAAAGAGTTCTGTTGGTGTTCAGCTTGAGATATCATCTAAAACAATTGTTGCTTTCTATATTTGTTCGTATAATAAATTTTATCTTACTTTTATATTATGTTTATCCTATTCTCTTCCACTACGAAAATATTAGTTGATATCTCATGCTGAGGATCAACAAATTCTCATTGCATGTTTATGAAAATAATATGCAATATTTTTTTGGGATTGAAAAAAATCTAAACAATTTTCGACATATCAAACTATTGATAGGTATGCATTTTAATTACTACAGGTTTACTAATAATTATAGAAGATTAATAACATTATGCTAGTGTTATTCATCTTCTATAATTTTCATATTTGCACATAGCTGATGTATTAAAATTTAAATTGTTTCTAATATTATTTCTCATTACACATATATTTATTTTGAGTTGGGTATAGAAACAAATATTTCAAATTTGAGTAAATCACATTCATGGAGCTTCACTGATATCTTCTAAATAAATTTATTTGATGGAGAACCAAAGTTTCTGCTGAATATTTAAAGTAACCTTAAATAACTATTTATTTTTATAAATTACTTGTGTGACATCTCCAGAAGTTAAACAGATTGTTATACTGTATTTACTTGCATCTTGTATCAGAATATGAAGTAAAAAAAAAAAAATACAAAATCATCATAACAATTGCTGAACATTACAATGATATATAAAAGTTACTTAATTATGTATGATATAAAAATAGTTTCTGTGTACATTTACCTTGTTAAGGTAAATATACTAACATATATGATATACTTTTATTATAGCTGATTACATTTGAATTTCAATACAAATAATTGCAATTTAATACAGCCTAAGTTTAAGTCAGTTGAAAGTTATCTATGTTGTGCATTATGTAAAATAATCAGAAGTAGACACAAATATTGTAATGGTATTAGCTTCTGTGATTAATTTGTCATGTGATTAAAATTTCAATAGCAATGTCTACAATGCAAGTTATATCTTATCAAACTTAAAAAAGGTTTAATTTTGCATGGCTCTTATTATTATAATCTGATAAATGAAAATATTGAAATCAATGTTCAGTGAAGTTTTATTGTTATCTTATGTTATTATTATTTTAGCCTTGTTTTCATTAAAAAAAATGTCCAATAATCCCAAGGTATGTCTTTTGTGATGTGATGAGTTGTTGCCAGATATTTCCTCTATCAATGCTGGGAGAGGAGTGTCGCCCTATGTTTTCTGTTCGGTTTTGTCATTTAAGAACTTGTTGGTTGTATGCACTACAGCTTGCTGATCATTCTTTGTCATATGTTATTTTCCTATAATATTATAATAAACTAGTAGACCTGATGAACTTCATTTCACCTACAATACCATCTTTTTAAAGTAATCTGAAATTCTTATACAAAATACTTATGATATTTTTTTTTATTTTTCATCTAAACTTTAGAGATTTATGAGTGTTTTGTTCTTTTAAACCACCTCTGTATTATATGAGAACAAAATAAAAAATCTTTACATTGGTCCACCCATTTTTAAGTTTTAGCAAGAATAGCAAATGATTTATATATACATATTTATATAGATAGTATCTTAATCAACTACAGCTTTCCTTTGTTTCTTTTGTTTTAAGTTTTATTCTTTTCTTCAAGTTACAAAATGAGTATTGACACATACTTTTACTAGGTACAATATTCAATTTGCCAGTTTTATAAAAAATATCCTACAGTGCATACTTGATAATGCTTAATAATGAAGTATTGTATATTCCAATGCATACTAAACCATCATTGTCCACTGTATAATAGGTGATAAAAGTATCTGGATGAAATAAATAATACTTATTGAATACAATAAAGAACTCGGTCCCGGAACGAACTGTATTCATGGTCTATTGGTTCATGTTGTTGATTCACTATTATATTTAGTAAAATTAAGGGCTAGCTATAGCTAATATATCTGTATTTTTAAGTTTATTAATTTAAGTGACTTGGAATGGAATAGATATCTCAAATGTAACATGAAATAAAATATAGAAAAATTTCTTCATTTGTTATAAATGTGCTTAATATATCTTAAATATATGATATTTCGAAAGAAAACATGTTGTGTAGCTCGAATCAGAGTATGTCATGTTAATATTAAATCTATCTACATCAGTACACTTTATTATTTAATAAAGTATAAAAGTACCCACTTTGATATATATGACAGTGAAAAAATTGCTACTAATTTAAGAAGCCTCAGTATTATATAAATTAAATAAATTTCATGATTATAATCCCTAATGAGCAGCTGTTGCCATTATAGTGACTGTGCCACTCGATATCCACACATAGGAATAACACCTGAGTCCTCAGGAATGGCAACGCAGGGGGGGGGGGAGGTATCATGGGTGAAACACTATACTCTGTTATGTCTATGGTATTGCTCATGTCTATAGGCGACGGTTACCACTTTCCATCAGGTGGGCTGTCATCTTGTTTGCCATTCTAAGTTGTATAAAAAAAAAAAAAACAACTTTTGCAGAATATAGAATTTAAGTGAGTGAGTTTATCACCATGATATTCTGTATGGCAATGGTACTCTATCAAGTATAGCTCTCAAAATGTTTTCAGTTGCAAATCATTAGTAAAAATATGTTTGGAAGCTTAAATGAATATCACTTAATATAATGTTGTTGTCATGGATACCAGAAATAATGTAGTTCTGTTTATCTCCTATATGTTTACTTGTAGAATGTTTATCAAAATTGCTCTATTAATTTCATGTGCACATGTTTATGATATACTGGTGTAGTACTCGTATTTTATCAAGTTATCAATAGTATTGCCCATTGATATGATATTAAAAAAGAGAGAAAACAGTTTTGTGTGTTTCGTTGTTTGTTGTAATCTCTTTTGTGTGTTATTAAATAGGTTGTTCTGGTTAAGTGGTCAACAATATACTAATTCCAATCATATAGATAAGCACTAATTCAAGTACTGTTTTGATGTATAATTACATTTTTAGTATTGGCATTGCCCATAGACAAAACTGGAAAACGAGTCAATATTATATTCCTTGTAAGATAAGATCCTGAAGTGATTCTTTTTAGGTACATGGTTGATTGAAAATCTACGGGATTTATTGGTATGTTTTTAAATGTTATTAACATATTTTTGAATCTGTGACTAAACAAATTGGATTTTTATCATCTGAAATAAAATTGTGGTAGCTGATCCAGCAAACATTTTCTTATTTACTGGGTCTATCGGAATAAAAACTATTTTATCTCTGAAGTTGGAGTAAGAAAGCAATATTAAAATTTGGGAAATGTGTATTGACAGGAGATTTTTATATACTAAGATTTGAATAACTTGTCAGCAGGTGGCGCGTGAGGAGCGTGCGTGAAGTGATGGTAATGACGTGCGCGACAGGCATGGGCGACGCGCTGTTGCGCGAGCGTCTGCCGGCGTTGTGGCGGCGCATAGAGGACACGCACTACAGCTACCTCGAGACCGACGACAGCCCGGAGAAGCTGCAGCAGAAGGAGAAGTTGGAAGGTAAACATTAGTTATGCTAACTCGCAGTTTGACGCGTAACAGCGAAAATCTTTTAGCCAACACGTACATACTTTATAAGAAACAGAAGAAAGCATCCCAAATACGATGAAAACAAAAAGCATGTAGTATATATTAAATAATTTTCCATTTTTCTAATTGCATTGTCAAATCTTAAAATTAATAAAGTTTTAATGTAGATATTATATGAATTTATTATGTACGTAGGTAAGTATTATATTTATTTACGAGGCCTACACTGAAAATTTTTAGAACTGGCTACTTGAAAGCAATAAATTAATAAAAAAAAATTGTAAAAATTTTGAAAATGGAACTTTTTACGAATAATACTGAATAAAATTTCAGACAAATTATCATATTGAAGACTAGGCAGCTTGGTCTCCGACCTTAGCCTGTTCCACAACGGAACAAACGTACTAAAAAAAAAGAATAATATTGAGTATAACATTTATTCGTTTGTCATTTGTTTTACGGTTTGGCGGCAAATTGAAAATAGTCTGTGATCTGTGTAACGTTATCATGAACTTAACACTAGAAAATTTTCGTGCGATGATTTTTTATGACTTTCAATGTCATCTAAGTCAACAAGGAAGTTATGATAGACTACGATTGGCCTTTCACGATGAAGCTTGGTATGAGTCAAGTGCACAAAATCCTCCATGAACATTTGGCGGTCAGGAGGTTTTCTGCCCGGTGGATACCTCATAATTGGACTGAGGCTTAAAAACTCCGTCGTGTTGATTGGTGCCGTGAAATGCATGAAAGATTTAATGGAGGTGACTCAAATTCTGTGTTTGACATAGATACGGGAAAAGAAAGCTGGATTTATTGTTATGATGATGATCTGAAACTAAAAGACAGTCAGCTCAGTGGGTGTTTTCTTCCGAGGAGTTGCCAACTAAAGTGAAGAGAGGTCAAAGCGTGGGGAAAAAGATGGTGGCCTCGTTCTTTGGAAGGACAGGTCATTACGCGACAATTGTTTTAGAGGATCGAAAAACAGTTACTGCAGAGTGGTACAGTAACAATTGTTTGCTACGTGTTTGTGTAGCTGTGGCTACGTTTCAAAAGGCCGTCGAAGAGATCTCTAAGGACGAGTGGGGAAAGTGCTTTTCTCAGTGGTACTATCGGATGCGTCGATGTATTGACGTGAATGGACACTATTTTAAAAAAGTAAAATAAAGGTAAAAACTCGCTAATTTAATCAGTTTTTGATTTTCTAAGGACTTTCAGTTTGACCTTCGTATAGTTTTTATATTTATTTATCTAATATTCTAATATAGTATTAATATTTAATTTTACTGTTTATCTGTATATTTGTTTATGTATATATTAGTTACTCATATTCAGAGTATTAATAGTTGTTGCAATTTAGCAGCTCCCTAACGACATGCTTTCCAACTGTATTGGTTTGACTGGAACATATCTCTTTCAAGATAAGTCCACCCTTGCTCACAATATTTATAAATGCATTAACAATGTAATTTACAAGTGCAATAAAGAATATATATAGGAACTATATCGGTTAATCATTTATTTTCTTGTTTTTTTTACTCTATCGTGCTCCCGTAGACAAAGTGCAAATGAATCTATTAATAGGATCATAATATTAAAATAAAAATAAAATAGTTATAAATTTAATAGTCGACCAGGGGTAGGTTTACAAATTGCACTTTGCTGTACTTAATTAGTTTTTGAAATATGTTACTTTTAAGATTACTTTGGTGGTCGGTGGTTTAATATACGACCTCACTTTTGGGTTTGGTCGTCGTACAATATAAATATTTAATCAACGGCCGCATTTCGAGCGGCTCCAAAAAATTATAAGGTACAACGGAACCCTTATGTTCCGTCCGTCTGTCATATATTTAAATTTCGTTATTTATTATACCCATGGATTGTACAACAAATTATAGCCCGATTTAATTCTACTACAGCGCCATCTAGTATCAATTAAAAATGTAAAAGAATATAAATTATGTACTTTTATTGCACCATGCTAATTTTCATTGTTAGATATAATTTTTAGGGTTCCGTACCAAAAAGATAAAAAGAAACCCTTATGGTACGACCTTGTGCGTCCATCCGTCTGTCACAGCCCTATATCTAAAATTTCTAAAAATTAATGTTTTGACTTCTGATGATGATGATGATTATGAACCTTAATGATTAAGATATATGTATGCATTGTGTACTATATCTAAGTTTCACACGTCACTCGACAGATTACATCATCGAGTACCTATCACTGGTGCCTCACGAATGCAAGTTTGGACTAGCAGAGACCGGCAAGGTGTTCCAGCGGACCATCAATGAGTTGTCAGAGTTTAGCGCGTACCGTGCCGGCCTCGGTTGGGCGGCACTGGCGCGCTACGCCGCCAATCTACTCGCACAGCCTTGGCGGAAGGAGTATAAAGTCATAAGGGTAAGTACGTAGTTATAATTTATTCGGAAACAACCTCCTACACTTTCCTTTGTGATTAAGATTAGTTCAGATATGTTTAGAAGGAAGCTGGCTACAAAAGTCATATGCATATGTACTTAATTATTTAAGCACTTGTACTTTCATGACTGTATTTTAGTTTGAAGGGAAGGTTATGGCAAAGAAATTACTTAATATGTATTTTTTTTTTATAAAATGGCTAACAAACCGATGTTTCACCTGATGGAAAGTGCTAACCGTCTCCTAGAAATATAGCCTTGTATTATGACCTAATAGTCCTCAGGAACGGCAACAAATGAGGGGTGTCATAAGTGTTACATATGTGTTACTTTATGGTGTCCATATAAGCCACGACTTGACCTTCAAAATTATATAAAGAAGAGTGGATTGTGTTCATGGTCCTTTTCTGCAAAAAAATCTCATTTTCATAATTATATTTTTTTCAGTTGTATTGTGGTTACTATAAACATGAGGTGGAGGCGAACATGGTGGGCGCGGAGACACTGCTTCATGCAATGGGTTACAAGTCAATAGGCTCCGGCCGGCTAGCTCTCGATGCGCCCATTTGCCCTGACATGGTTGCAGCTGTTTCTAGGGATGCCCTTATTGCACAGTGTGAATGTCAGGTAATTGCATAATTTATGTATATTTTTATAGGTTACCGTTTTCTATTGTCAGCTTGTTTGATATCAAAACTCGAATAAAAGATACCTGTTAAAATCCGGTTCGAGGGATCAGATAGGATTTTATTATAGTTAGGTACAGATAAATTTAGTAATTTATGTATATATTAGTAGACCATAGTTAGTCTTAATAGTTCTGTTGTAAAATAAGTATTCTTTCTAATAATTTAATTATTTTTAACAATAGGCATGTCACCTTAGTCAATAAAAGAGGAGAGTGACGTAATGTTTTAAATAATGTATTATATATTTGCGTCGTAGCTAAATTGCCAGTTCTATAGTATGCTATGTCCTAGTACATGTTTACTTTTTTACAAAAGAAAGAGGTTCTCAATAGTTTAAATTTTTGCCACTATGTTACGTCATCAATTTTGAACTGATTTTCACAATTCTTTTTATAGTTGATAAGGTTTATTCACGATGGGTCTATTTCGATTTTGTGATGTCAAAGGTGCTCTTTTTTTCTGGGGTAACATATAGCTTGGTGCAAAGCAAAATCTATAAGTAAACATGCAATATTTACAGTGTAAGGTATTTATGAACCAAGTCGCCGATTATTGTTGCATTCACCAATGAAGTAGTTTTTTTTACGGAGCAATATACATTTGAGTATTCAATTACATACTATTAATACGACAACTAGCACTGGGGTTTTATTGTTAAATATTTTATAAGTACATATTATATTTTAACTATAAGACTAATCGAATTGACTTATGTGTGTGGTCTACTGCCACGTACGTTAGGCTCACGTTCATGCTATGTTCTGTCATGATTAGGAGTCCCGAATGATCTTAAAACTAGTTGATTAGTTTCTAATAAAAGATACATAGGTATATAGGACAGTTCGGTTAGTTTTATAGCACATGCGCATTAAAGTTTATTTTCCAGGGGGTCTGGCTCCTTAAAAAAGGCACATTATAGGACATAGTCTGAGAGTAAGACTTGTTATTGAGTATAGTTCTAAAGAGTATAGTTCAAGTCTGGGCTGGGCACCAGATAAATCGATCCTCCCCTAAATGCGTCTATGTAAGTAGCGAAGACAAAGCTAACCGAGGTTTTTCTATTTTTCCACGTTTTGTCCCCGACTTTCAAAAAGGCACATTATAGTACATACTCTAAGAGTAAGACATGTTCTGAGTATAGTTTAAATTCCTGCTCGTAGTTTAGGGTGGGCACCAAATAATTTGATACATAGACGCATTTAGGGGACTAAATGCGTCTATATAGGTAAGTAGCGAAGAGTAACTGAGGTTTTTCAATTTTTCACGTGTTGTTCCCAGATAATGTCCCAGATCTGGGAGGCTGTGTGGAGCAGCGGCGCGCGCGTGTCGTGGGCGGACGTGGCCCGCGAGCGAGCCGCGCGCGCCGCGCCCGCCGCCGCCGCCGCCGCGCGCCTCGCCGCGCCGCCACACGCCCACTTCTCATACGTCGACGGTGAGTGGCTTTTTATTTGTCCATTGTACGCGCCACGTCTTGGCCGTTTTTGGTTTTTTTTTTGATGGGTGTAAATGGTATGGTAACCCCGCCTGCGCTAACGGGATACGCTGGCGGAGCACCAGTGAAGGGTGATAGATGAGAATGAAAACAGGCCAGTTAGCCCATCATGATGAATTCATCAGGAATTAACCATGATAGTTTCCAGGGGTAACCGCGAGGAGGTTGACCTGGTTGGGTATATTGCTAGCAATGGGATTCTCAGTCTCCATTACTAACAATCCCTTTTCCCCCTCAGCCGTATTTGGTTATATTTGCGGTAAGTCATTGCGCAGTCTGTCACAATTGTATTTCGCTACAACAAATACAGTTCGTTACAGGTATCACTTGTCACAAATTCAGATTATCACAAACGTTACATACATTTGTGATTTGTTATTTAAAATAAAAATAAAAAAATTACAAAACGTAGACTAAAGATTAAAGTAATCCTTATTATACATTATTTTTAGGTTTGTTTTAAACCTCGACTTTTTAGTCTAGGTTTTGTCCGGGTATTAATGAGGTTTTTGTAATAAAACTGTTCAAGACTATAATTTATTTACTTTCCCGATCAGATGAAGTTCAGCTTGCCAATACATTAAATTATTTGTTTTTTTTTTTAGGTTCAGAAGTATACTCCAATGTGCCAGTGACAGTAATAGAACCACCCACACGGAACAGGTATCATGCATTCACCACATCACAGTGTAACCGTATGTGTCCTGAAGAGACTTCACTGGACGATCCTATCACGCCGATAATACATCCTCCATACATGATGCCTACGAACGCCATCCCCCCTCAAATGATGTACCCTGTGCCTCATCAACATATGCACCCAGACGTACCTGTAACAGTTACCAATGTACCAATAATGGCTCCGTACGGCGTGCCTTATTACTATCCCGTTCAGTCGCCGTACATGATACCTACTCCCGTATATGCACCTATAAAACACGCAACCAACGTTCCAATAAACGGTTATCCTCCTATACCACAATATAGATATCCAACAGTACCAACAGCTCAATTAATCGAATTGGACACTCCGTCTGTATATGAAAATGGAAAATTCGAAAGGCACAGAGACGAGGACCGAGGACACAAAAAGAGTAGACAGCCCGACAACTCGAGACGAAATAGCACGTCGAAATCAAATTTCAGCGATATAACGTTGCCGAGTTTGCCTCGTTCCGACACCCAACCTGTCTTGAGTAAAGCGAAGGAGGACGGCATGGGGACATATGAAAGCTGGGACTATGTATTTAGGAATTTGTCTAGCAAAGAACAAGACGGAGACAGTAGGAGTCGATATTCACCATCTCTCGACAGAGATTCGAGGACACTGGACAGATTGGACAGGGAAGAGAGGAGAGCTAAGTATCAACCTACTACCCTCGATTTGGAAGACGGTTTACAAGCGATGAATCTCGACCGGTCTTACGACGACGAACTTTATCGAACGGCTAAAGTGAACGAAAATTTAATGAAGATGAAACAGGAGCAAGAGGTGAAGCGAGCAAAGCAGTTAGCGAAAAAACAGGCGGAAGAAAAAAGGACCCGGAAACTTGAACCGATCGGTAATCCTAAAGCGGATGCCCTGATCCCGACGAAGGTCGCTCCGGACAAAGTAAAGTTACTGACGAAGAAAGATATAAAAGACAGGAAAGAAATAATTAAGCAGCAAAATTCAATGAATGGCACAGTTTCGAGTGCGGCTGAAGTGAAGAAAGTAAGAAAGCCCACGAAACACGTGGCCGTCGAAGTGGAGAAGCCAAGTAAGAGCAAACCCTTAGAGAATGGAATAAATAGCGTGCCGCACAGTTCCAAGAATAACACAGGTATGTAAAAATATTTACATAATTGTTTTGTAAAGTAACTTGACACATACGTATCAGTCATTAAGGTCTCATATTTAATGAATTTTAATCAGTTTTATTTTGAGATACTGAGAATGACAAAGAAGCCTTTGGGCCTTCTTTTGGATAATGGTAGCAGCACAATAGACATAGAATACTCTGTAATGCCCATGTTATCATGCCTTATAAGTATTGAAAATATGTATACTCCAAACGAAAAACATTATTCGCGTTAAACCTAATTTTTATTCTTGTTCGGAATAATGTTATCTGTCAAGACAAAGTTTTAAGAAACCCGACAGGTAATCATTAATAACGCTTTCAGGATCAAATTCCGCACAACCAAATAATGAGTTAAAAGCGCAACTAATAGTATCACTGGACGAACCAGACACCGTGCGGCCTGCTAGCCGTTCGTCGTCTCGGCCCGAGCGGGAGCGGGAGCGAGAGCGGGGAGACGAGCGGTGGGAGTGTTCAACTTGTACGTACCTAAACCGCGGCACTCTTGCCGCCTGTGAAATGTGCGGTAAGTCACGTCGTGGACCTGAGATCCAACCACTGACGTCTGGCGGCCGCGAGTGTCCCGCTTGCACGCTCGTCAACCGCCGCGACGCGCGAGTCTGCGACGCGTGCGGTACTAGCCTTGAACACTGTCCCACCTACATATAGGCCACCGTGTTGCCTCTACACAGCGATTCGCGGAATCCCTACGGACAGGACTTGAAGAATAAAATTGAACTTAATATCCACTATATTAGGGTTTAATTTAAAAAGTCAACAGCATATTGTTGATATTTAAAATTAAACTCTGTTGTAAAACAAATTGAGTGCAATTTTATTTTTAGTCTATGATACATTTGAGGTCATTTGTGAAACGTATCTTATCGCTTCTCTGTCCGCGGAATTTCCGAACGAGTGGAAGTGCATTTGAATGACCGGCGGAGTGAACTTTGTTGCCGGTGCGTGTGAGCGGTGAACGGTGATCGTTTGTGGTAGAGCCGCCGAACGTTCTTATGATCGGAGAGTTTCGATAATCGGGTTGCCAAGTTATTTCTAATCATTTTATTTATTTATTTGCACAAATTTAGTTACGGTAAATAATCTGTAATAGTGATGTGTTTAATATTGTTAACTAAACTACTATATTTATTAGTTATTAAATATGGAAATTATTAAGTCAAGAAGATCCTCACCTCAAATAAGTACATTAATATTAAATTATGGATTTAATATTAATATTGTATTATTTATTACTTAAAATATCTAGATCTTCTAAACTTTATTAACATTATTTTAATTTTTTACTGTTATAAAATTGTATCCATATAAAAACCTGTTTATATTTTACTAATGAAAATAACCCAGTTATGATAAAGTTTTGGTTAGTGGATAGGGACCGTATTATGCGACGGTAGTTATGGAAAAAGAAAAAACGTGTCTAATTGGGGACTATAGTGGTATAATAGTGGTATTAATTTAAATTACAGCAGTTTCTGCAGTGCAATGTTTGATGAAATTTAACAATGAAGTTTATATGATAAAAAATTGCAATGAAAGGTAATCTATTACTTATTATTCATTAAATTAATAATTAAAATATATATAAAAGGAAGATTCCAAATATGAAAACGTAAAAAATTAAAAGTATCAATCAATATTTCAACTGTGATTAAACTGAATTATATGTTTACAGTTCGCGGCTAGTCGATTTGACAATTAATAATAAAAAAAATATTTTCCCGTTCTTTTTTTTTTTAAAGAGTTCTCATTGTAAACTAATATCTATGTAACGCTCGCTTTACTTTTTCCTTGCTGCACTAGGAGAAAATATTTTAATACAAAACCAATAATATGCCACATTATTCTCAAAACCACTTCTCTCCACGCTACACTCTGATCGCAATTGGACCTGTTCTGAAAGTTCACAGTATTAAAACTCAAGTGCAAATTTTGATAATTTATGCCTTTTTTTTAATTGTATTTTCTTTGCTATAGAAATATGTCAATACATAATGTCTCTTTCTGAATTAGTTGCGATGAAAAATATATACTAAACTCTTGTTAATTGTATCGATTGTTTTATATTTCTTGTTACATATAGACGTTAAATTTGCTCATGTTAATGTTAGAATTTATATAAAACTTAATAATTATCTCAGGTTCTCATATGTGACTTCACACACTGAAGAATGCTAGAAGAACTATACATACAGTCATAATCATATTGTAAATCAGAGAGAGACTTTGTACAAAAGTCGATTGCTTGGGTACCTCTGTCCCATTCGTGTTTCTACCGTGAAGCACTTGTGTTTGCATGGCTGTGTTTCGGTTTGAAGGGTGGGATATGGCGTGAATTTACTGGGTACAGAGGAATAACACCTGAGTCCTCAGGAATGGCAACGCATGGAGGGTATCATGGGCGAAACAGTATACTCTGCTATGTCCATGGTACTGCTCATGTCTATAGGCGACGGTTACCACTTTCCACCAGGTGGGCCGTCAGCTTGTTTGCCATTCTAAGTTGTATAAAAAAAAATTAACTTTCATCATCATCAATCATATTATCATCATATCAGACTTTAACTGTCCACTGTTGAACATAAGCCTCCCTCTTCGGAGGTTTTGCCAGTAGTTGCCTTAGTAAGCGGATTGGCAACCGCAGTCAGGCTTTAAAGATGTTTTAAGAGGGATGCTGCTGCCCATCCCTCGTCCTCCCTTAGTCGCCTCTTACGACACCCACGGGAAAGGAAGGGGTGGCCTATTCTATGCCGGGACCACACAGCCATGTTTGAGTATTGCTGATGTTAAATAAATTTCATTGGTGATTTCGATAGCGTAAAATTTTTTAACATTTCATTGTGTTTGCATAGTTCGCTATTTCGTTGGTTATCCACCAATAGTTATAGATGTTTTTTATTACCTATTTGTTTATCTATGTTACATAGATAGAGTTTTTTTTTATCAGAACAATGGAAATTTATTTGAAACCCAATTAATTTACGTTATGTTTGGAATAAATTCAAAATTAGAATGTTTTCTATGACTTGTTTGTAATTTGTCCATGTTAGTTAGGTGGTTAACGATTACCCGCCGGTTTAACTTTCTTCAATTTGCAGCTGTGTTCTGTATCATAATTTACTATTTCTAGGGAAATGGTTTGGTATATATTTAGTGTATGACGTCACATATGAAGACTTTATTCTGTATAAGACTGTAGCATTTCTGTTTAATGAACAGTTGGTTATTTTGTATATTTAATTTATATATTGGAAAACAAAATTGCTATACAGTAAATTGTATTATTATTATTAATTATATCAATGATTCTTAATGGGAATGTTGTAGCTCTATATTTTTACAGTTGATATGCATAAGACGTACATTTATGAGAGCAGTGTCTGAGTCTCCACAATTACAGCGCCATCTATGTATACAGTAAATGAAGTCGTTAGACGAATATGCTACTTTTTACTGGACATAGAGTCTGAACAATGGTTTGTAGCCACCTCTATAAAGGCTTATTGGTCGGGGAGATGTGAGAACCAATTGTTGATTTAGATTCAATCTTCGATTCTAATATTTATTGAGAAAAGCTCCTATATAAAATTGTACTTTACATAGCTTATAATAAGAAATTCACAATGCTAATTATGCAGCAGTGATAGATCTTTGTCCAGTAGTCCATGGATTAGAATAAAGAGGAACTGATGCTATGAAACATTAAATTGAACATGTTTTTTTTTTATCGAATTGAATCATTTAAAATAAAACTCTTTGTTTCTCATGCGAAGTATAGAAAAAACAAATTATAGATTCCGTGATGGTCATCTAGGTCATATTGATTTTGAAGAATTGAATTATAGAAAGGATATGCATGTATCATAAAATAAAAAAAAAATTAAACAGACTTAAAAAAGTTATTTATAGCTAGCATTTATGAAGGTATTTACTTTTCGAAGATTTTTTTCTTGTATTTTTGACGAATTTTTTACTTTGTTTGTCATTTGGCGAAATAAAAAATCCAGCTGTCGTCTTGCTTATTCTGTTTATGCGCAACTCCTCTTTCATGAGCAAGTGAAGGAAATATTTGTTTAAGAATATGACATAAGTGTCATATACATTTCCAGAAGTTTCAATGTAGCATATATATTAAATTGGAATAATTGAAAATTTAGCAGTACATAATTTGTATCGCTGGGCAATAAGTGTTCACAGTGTGTTAACAATTCAAGTATAGAATGAGTTCTATCACTTGCTAAATAAATAATAACATTAAAAATGGTCCTTATTCCATGTATTATTATTACTAAGTTGTAGTTAATTGTATTTTAATTTTTAATAATCGCTTTGCTACAGGGTAACGTAAAGTAAATAATATTCAAACAAAATATTCGATAATTGTGTTATCTCAATGTATTTGGCACAGAGTTGAAATTATATCGAAATTATATTATTAAAATAATAGTGTTCGTTTGTTCGCCTTCTAAGATGCTTTAATGTTAGTTGAAAATAGATAATGCTTTTATTTTATTTTGTTTTATTAAATTATTGGTCTGTGTATATAATTGTTAGTTAATGTAAATAGTAGATATAATATATATTGTTTTAGAACGCAGTGTGATTTATATATATGTCGAAACAATACGGTTTTAAAAATCATAGCGTTAAATAGTCATCAATGGGTATAAATAATATTATTTGAGGGTGCATTTGTTAAAATTATATGTAATTTATTTATCACAGTTTACAAAGATAAATATGCACAGTGTAATAAATAGTACGTATGTTAATATTTATAAATAAATAAATAAATTAGCAGTCAATAGATATAGGTGGTCAAAGCACTAAGGACGTGTATTTTTCTATTATACAGGAATGTAGATTTTCTCATACGTTGTATAACAATTTGTGCTTCGCATTGAGTTGCCTTTCGTTGTTCGGAGAAGACTTACTTCGACGTTATGCCGGCGTTATAAAAACTAATGGAGACACATATAGACAAATTGTGTACCTACTAAAAATTAAAAGAATAAATACTATTGTTTTTCAATTGACTGTGTTTTTATTATTAAAATAAACTTTTTGTTTAATAAGTCCACATTGAATTTAATTTATTTACTTAAAAAAAGAAAGAATATTTTTTATTTTTTTATTATCTAATAATTCTATCATATTAGATAATTTATGACACATACTTTTCTGATTTTTTCAACTATGTTATTAACAGTTTTGTTACTGTCAAAGATGTTTGAAAAGATCTGACTTCAGACGCACTGTGTAGAGTTCCAAATAAAGACTGAATCTATGGCACACTTGATGTGGAATTGTGATTTATTGGCAAGTATGCTTAAGAGTGATATCCAAAGCCAGTAGGTTATAGGTACCTTAAACAGTATATTACCAAAATCTATAAAATGATAGAATAAGGGAGGTGTAAGCATATAGGATCGCAATGAGTCAAAATGTGATAGATTATGGACTGATTTAATATAGTTAATTATTAGAAACAATAAAAAAATCTGAAGTACATATTTATATTTATTTGTATACAAATGAGTTCTAGGCGAGATATTTTTTGTCTATAGGAGAGCTTGTTTTGAGTCGATAAGATAATTTTGTGGCGAGGCCTTGACACTTGGCATCAATTTATATCAGGTACTGGAATTATTTTAATCCTTATCTCTCTTGCTGGTGGGTCACCTAAACAAACAAGTTAATAAGTTTGTTATTTTAAGTTGTGACGATTCCCTGAAGTCTGATTAGAAATGTTTTAGAATCAGTCGATGTTTATCGTATATTTAATGAAATACAATATATTGGGTACAAATTTGAGTGATACTTTGTACAAGATATACACGTTTTAGGATTATTTGCGTTTAAAACTTTAATCATTCTCAAAATAACACGAGGTTGGAAAGCTTCATACCTCGGAATACCAGTCTTAAATTATTCTAATCTCAAAAGGTGAAATTTCTAAATATCATTATCTCAAACATTTTTATTTATTTAAGGTTATTTTCCTCGGGCTAACCCTCTTTTAAAAGGTACATACGCGTTCTCCAACTTGTCTTCGCTTATAACTGAGAGCTCTTCTTATCTTGGGGTGGTCATGTTCCGCTCAGTCCTCATCTAAATACGCCTATGGTCTCAATCTCAAATATCTACTTTTAGACGGTAAAGTATTACGTAAAGTCCATAACTTGGATTACGTAAAGTTTGGTTGGACAAATGAGAAAATACCTAATAGTTAACAAATATTTTACTAATTGATCGCCTACTGAATGAAAAGTGACAGAAATATACAAACGCATAATCTTTTTAAGTGACTAGCCAAAGTGTCCAATAAACTTGTAAAACAAGTTTATTTGACACTTTCAAACTAAGCTCGTCAGAGGCCTGGGCCTTTATTGCTGAATGATGCCCCCAACTTTCAATTCACATTTGTATGTATAAATGTGAAATTTAAAATAGACTTAAATAAACACACATTGAATATGGATATGGAAAATGGAGGCATTTGGAGGTCCCCGGGGCCATTGGCTTTTTTTTATGCAACTTAGAATGGCAAATAAGCTGACTAACCACATGATGAAAAGTGGTAATTGTCGCCTATAGGCATGATCAGTACCATGGACATAACAGAGTATACTTTTTCGCCCATTCTTCTCATGTGTTGCCGTTCCTGAGGACTCAGGTGTTATTCCTCTGTACCCTGTAAATTCACTACTATATCCCACCCTTTAAACCGAAACATGACTGTTTCAAGGTAGAAACACGAATGGGACAGAGATGCTCAAGCTAACGACTTTTGTACAAAGTCTCCCTTCGTTAAAATTCTTAAATAAACATACATAGAATATGGATATGAAAAACTGAGGCATTTGGAGGTCCCCAAGGCCATAGCTTTGGGATGGGCCACTTTTTCCGCCTTCGTCCCCCTATAATCCGCCATTGTTTGTACTTTACTAGAGGGAGACTTTGTACAAAAGTCGATTGCTTGGGTACCTCTGTCCCATTCGTGTTTCAACCGTGAAGCAGTTGTGTTTGCATAGCTGTATTTCGGTTTGAAGGGTGGGATATGCCGTGAATTTACTGGGTACGGAGGAATAACACCTGAGTCCTCAGGAATGGCAACGCATGGGGGAGGTCATGGGCAAAACAGTATACTCTGTTATGTCCATGGTACCGCTCATGTCTATAGGTGACGGTTACCACTTTCCATCAGGTGGGCCGTCAGCTTGTTTGCCATTCTAAGTTGTATAAAAAAAAACTTATAGCCAAATTAGTACTTACTATACTACTACTTATTCTGAAATCAAACTAAAATAATGTTTCTATATGTTTATTTATAAAAAAAGAATCTACATGTTTTAATCTAATTAATATCCATGCTGTTGGTAACCGCCATGATGCCCATGACTACTACCATGATGTCCGCTTTGTCCACCGAAACCGGTGTCGCTACCGAAGCCTCCGCTACCACGCCCACTGTGGCTTGAACCGAAGCCGCCCTGGTCTGCTCCACCGAATCCACGGTCATTGCCGAATCCGCCTTGGCTGCCCCCGTATCCACTGGATCCGTGTCCGCTTTGTCCTGATCCAAATCCGCTTTGCCTACTTGGACTTGAACCGGAGCCAAATCCACGGTCATTGCCGAAGCCGCCTTGGCTGCTCCCGTATCCACTGGATCCGTGTCCACTTTGTCCTGATCCAAAACCGCTTTGCCTACTTTGACCGGAGCCAAATCCACGGTCATTGCCGAAGCCGCCTTGGCTGCTACCATATCCACTAGGTTGAGGCAAGGCTAAAAATATATTTACAAATTAGATCTCTCGACTTTTTTAAAGCAGTGCATCGATTAGATACTCTATTTGTCAATTTTATTATTAATTAATATTAATTTACTAATGTTTGATCACCAATAATGTATCGTCGATGATCGACTGCGCTCTTTTATTTTTTTAATTGAGTCGTTAGCTTGTTTGCCTTTGAGAATTGTATAAAAATCTAATATAACGCTAAGTATTTTCGATATTAGGTTTAAATTTAAATTAATCTAGCTTAAATAAATAGATGACGAGAATTTAAATCGATGGTGGATTTCGAAGAGGGCTAAGACCCTTAAGTAGTATTTTATATATTACTATAAGTGGTAGGTAATATACAGCAATAGTTATATATTGTAGTAGATAGTGTATATGTCCCATTAACAGGTATATTCTAACTAAAATTCAATAAAATGAAAGGTATATAGTAATCAGAAGCGGGTAATATCCGATATCTAAATATTGAGTTATATATATATATATATATATATATATATATATATATATATATATATATATATATATATATATATATATATATATAAATTCCTATTATTATATTATTCCTATATTCCCTTGGTTACGCCATAACTTAAGAACGATTTAATCTATTTCATTTATTTTTTTATGTCTTCTAATACTTTGTACAAGGTTCTGAGGGAAAGAAAATTTAAAAAGATTAAACAGAAGATTGTGAAAGTTTCACTTAACGACTTTTAACTACGCGCGTTTACCAGGACTATGTCTGTCAGGTGAGCTAGTATGTTTATATATTTTATATATAATATAAGAGATTCATACCGTAGCTAGCTACTGCCACTGCCAACAATAAACACGCAATCTGAAACAAAATATACAATAATAATTATAATTATAATGTGTCACACAATTGCATCACTCGGCTGGTCGTCAAGCTAGGCTAGTCTGTGTTATGAGGAACCACGCAATGGATATCTACAGGGCACAAACCAGGACATCCAGACCTAAGTCAAATTAGAAAAGTTCATTTCCTTTTTTTTTGGCTTAACAGAAAATCGATTTCAGGATCTATTTTACGCAAAGAAACGTGCCTTCCACTTCACCACGAAGGTCGTCAAGACACAACAAAATAATAATAAATAATTATTGATACATTTTATTTTTATTAGTAGCACAATTACTTCTTAAACTTAATAATATTTTTCCTAAACTGGGCCAATAAGCTACAAAAATGAGCAATTTAACATAACCAACACGGCGAATCTAGCTGTTAAATAAATTGGAGGCTTATATTTTTTGTCGTTTTTTTTAACTTGTATCGAAAATTAGGTACCATCGTAACTAAAGTATAAATAAATAAAATATAAAAAAATGTTTTTTTTTTTTTAATAATTTATGTCTCTTTTTGACTAACAACATTCTAACTGTTAAATAAGGTTGAGCGCTGTTGTCTGAGATACTGGTTTTATAACGTAGTTCAGACACAGATGTTTAAACTGATCCAAATGTACAAATGAATTCGTACCTATTTTTACTGTAATTTCCAGTGCCGAGTTTGTTACAATCATGGTTATGCAATAAAGTTATTATTATTATTATCTATTTATTTAACTTAAATCGGGTATGCACCATTATATGAAGGTTATCCCACACTAATTAGGTAACTACGTATATAGTACATACTTTTATATATGATTTGCAGTTATATCTGTTTAAACAAAGCACATATTTCTATTAACGACATCGTTAGTAGTTAAGTACAAGCAAGTATACGAAATTGACATATTATTTACATTCTTAAGTTTGAAGTTAATTCCGATACCAATAGCTTATGCTTTTCATACAGTTTGTATATTTCTACAAGCGATATCGTTCCGATAGATACGTTTTCGCTGCCGTATCTGTGCATGAAATACTCGTGCTAACGAAAGCGTATCTATCGATAGATTCGTTTGCTTGTTGTCTAAGGAAATGATTAATTTATTTAAAATTCAATTAAAACACACGACACTTACTTTGAAAGCCATTATTGTCGTCTTATGTGAAGAAAACTTACTGACCTACTGTATTGTGTATGAAGAATTACGTGTTAGTGTTTATATATGTATCGTTATCTCGAATTTGGAAGTATCTGATGACCCGAAGGAAGTTCAATATAATTATCTTTTATAACGTGTTCTATAAGTTGTTTATTGGTATGTTTAGTAAACATCTATATGAGGTAGGTATCTATTTAGCTATTGGTTTCGCAAGAAATGTTATTTTAGTAATTTAGTTCAATATCAAGTCAAAGATTTTTATGATTTATAATTATGATTAGAAGATCCGGCAAACGTTGTTTTGTCCCCTATCGCCACCTACCATGTTATTTTTTTCTTATCGGGATAACAACTTAGCTATCCCTTCGTTTCTGCATGGAAGCGACGCGGTACGTTCGGAATGACCTGTTCGCCCATAATCTGGGGGTCCCTTTGGTTGAGAAGTATGTTGTCGACATGGCGAGAAAAATGTTCGCCCATACCAATAATCTGTGGTCTTGCAGATGCTCGTCCTCCGGACGGCCGCCCCGCTCCCAGGACTCTTTAGAGCGCGGGCGAAGATCCCTTCCAAGCGACGCATTCCCTACCCCTTTTCTTCTCTCTCTTTCTCGACCTTTACTTCCCTTCGGCTTTTACATATATTTTTTTAAATAGTAAGGAACTGTATTTGTGTATATAATTGCTTGTAACGAATGACATTTATTGGTTAGAAATTATGGGAAGAATAGAGAAACATTAGGAAGGCAATAAAAATATATCTATTTATCAGTAAGTTGTATATATTTCAAAGGTACAAATGCAGGTTACCGTAACAGAGCTTATTTGGCAATTTGTGTTACAATGTGAAGTGATTGATTTTCTAGCGAAAATATCCATATGGGCTTGACTCTTGATGATACGATGGATAGCCGTATGGCGTACCCCAATTACCAAGTCTGCTCCAAGGATCAACTTCTGCGGTTCGTGGCGTGAAGTAAAAACCTTTGTTAGCTCCAACGTTTGCTCCTATTTGACTGCCAACTTGTCCACTAGCATCCATGAGTTTCTTTCCAATGCGTCCATTTATACCAGCCTTTGCTAAAGCTCTAGTTTTGGCTCCGGCTTTGCCGGCTACCGCGATACCCTTTCCTCCATATGGGCCGTTCTGTCCGATCTGTAGCCCCACACCAGTGCCTCCCGCTGCACCCCACAGGCCCTTCGCACCAGCATTGAGGTCAAAACCATTTTCATCGGATTCCATATCGTAGCCTAGATGACCGCCCACATCCCAGCCGTATTGAACACTACCACCTACATTAGATTCTAACACACCTGGACGACCTGGAACAAAATGTTACGTTTTAGTATTAAATACGATACTTTTTTTTTATTTTCTTGACATTAATATAACAAATAAAGAAAAAGCAGGGATTGATTTACTTCATGATTTCAATTTATTTTTTATGCATCTTAGAATGGTAAAAAAAAATAACGGCCCACCTGATGCAAAGTGGTAACCATTGCCTATAGGCATGAGCGGATCCATGGACATAACAGAATGTACATTAGATGTAATATTTACCATAGCTTTGTGCCACCACCAACAACAACACGGCGCAGCAAACCTTGAAAAAGAAAACATTACTTTTATTCATTGTACCTATATTACAGGCACGTATCAGATTTGTTAAGAAAAATTTTAGTTTATTACGTTATTAAATTGACATGGACTAACATGTGAGTAAATTCTACCGACTTCCAAAATAATTATTTAAATCTATTCAGAATTAGGAGATATATTTTTTACAAAATTCTTAATAATATTATATACGTGAATGTGAGTTTGTTTGTTATCTAATGGCGTTTTAATGGCATAAGCAATAATTTGAAATTTAGATTACATCTACTATATGGGATGGAGAAAGATATAGGCTACTTTTTATCCAGGTTAGTAAACATATTCCGGTCACATAGATGAATTCACGGGTGAAAACTAGTAAAGAATAAAAACGAAAATATTTTTTTGGATGTTGCTTAAATAAAATAAAATATAAGAAATTGTTAATACTCACAGGTAGAGTCATTTTGTACCGACTTCGTGGACACGGAAGAACTTAATGATCGCACAATGGGAGACCAACACTTTTATAACTGGGAATATGTTGTGATTTATGGCAAAAAGTGATGTCATACTTATTATTATTAATAATACTAAACTACTCATTATATTGTTAATAACTATTTATAATATATATTTGTGAAATTAAATATATTTGTTTTATTACCTCTTAAAGCGGCAGGCATTACATATAGAAGGAAGACGCAAGATTCCGAACCGATACGACAACATAACCTTCAAGAAAAGAGTATATTCCTTTTTAAAAGGCCGGCAGCACACCTGCAATGCCGCTGGTGTTGTGGGTGATCATAGGCGGCGGCGGTCACTTACCACCAGGTGAGCCGCATGCTCGTTTGCCCCCTGTGTTGTAAAAAAAAAAAAATATTTTGTAGCTATTTTTGGGGGAGGTAAATGCTGGAAAGCAAGACATCCATTGCGGCAATCGTGTTTATATTTAATAAGTAATATTTAAGAAAGAAATATATATAATGTAAAATGGTTAAATAAATGCTATTATTATTATTACAATATACTTCAATTGATTTAGTAGCAACTTTTATCGCAGTTAGTTTTTTTAAATAGACGATAATAGAATGGTCCTTTTGCGCTATCGGTATAGGCTGGCAGGGCACCAATGAGGGATGATAGGTGAGGATGTAGTTAGGTCGGTTGGTCCATCGAGGCAACTCAACAAAAATACATCATTATGTATAGGGAATCATGTGGAGGTTAGGCTACTAGTTTCCGTTTTTAAAAATTCATTTTTCTTCTAGGTATCCTAATCATATGGGTTAATGGATTCACTAATATAATGTTTTATGTCTCCCTGATGCATGAACGTAATTATGTATTAAAAGGATATTTGGCTGAAATTTAGAAACACGCATAGTCTACAATATAAAAGGACATAAGCTATTTCCTATACTGATTTCGACATTTTAACTAATGCATGTAAGGTAAGCGTATATTGAAATTATAAAAACAAAATTCATATAAATTATACATAATTGTATAGATAAATATATGATAGAAATACATACTAAATTTTATTTTAATTATATCATAATCATCATATCAGCCTTTAACTGTCCACTGCTGAACATAAGCCTACTTTATGGAAGGTTTTGCCAGTAGTTGCCATGCTTGGCAGGTGGATTGGCAACCGCTTTGAAGATGTTTTTTAGAGGGATGTTGCTGCCCATCCTTCGCCTTCCCTTAGTTGCCTCTTACGACACTCACGTAAAAGGAAGGGGTGACCTATTCTATGCCGGGACCACACCACAATTTTTTAATTATACATATATATGCTATTAACTGCAATAAAGAATTTATAAGTCTATAATATATTTGATTGAATTAGGTTGTGGTGTTATATATTCTTTATTGCACTTGAACAATACATGTAGCGATTTGTTTAACAACTTGTTGCATAACTTGTTGTTATGACTTTTTTTAATTTCTCTCTAGATACATATTTGATTTACTACAGTCGTTATTTCAGTAGGTATAGTGTTTAATTTTTGTAGTTTAATTTTAGTGGTAGACATAATGGAATTACCTTTAACAGGTAATTAATAATACTAATATCTACCTAATTAGTACTAGGTACTCCTGTTTATAGTAAAACACATGAAACATCAAAGACGTTTCACGTGTTATTTTATCTGTAATGTTTATTTTTGTTTGTAAATTATTTTAAGCTAATTATTCATTACGTAGTTGATTTATTTACGCAGACGAAACCGCGGGTTACAACTAGTTTTACGCATTACAATTTCCAAGATCTAATTAATACATTTTATTTAATTTATATGCTATAGTGTCGAAAATAAACAGTAAAATATTAAAATAATATTAGGCATAATATTATTAATTATCAACGAAAGCGAGGAACGCCTCCAATTACTATATTATTATATCCATCAGTAATAAATGAATATATTGTTTTGCCTTTTGTGATTGGTTTATACCAGTTACAATAGTAGGTATAGATTTATGTAAAATACTATAATCAGTATTTTAATACTATGTATATTTATTTATAAGTATAGGTCGGTCTTGGCTTGGTAGTTATTTTTAATAAATTTCTATAGAGGAATAGAATTACAAGATCGTTAAAGTAGTTTATTACAAACAAAAAATCGTGTCTCTTTATAGTATTATATATGTAGTTTTGATATGTACAACCTTTTTTATGTCGAGTTTCAAAAGGATCTGATTCTCAATTAGACTATTTTTTATATTCTTTTTAGTGTATATTTCAGAAATTATAAACAAAATTACCAAAACAAAACAAAACAAAAAATACGCAGTTTGTGCAATTCGTTTACTATTATAAAATAAATCGAAAGTAAAAATTCTATTTACATGACCAGTTAAAATCTACTGAGACCTGCCGCTAACCATTTCTATGGAAATACAACGAAATGGATGTAGAAATCTGGTTGTTTTTATTGTGGGAAATTTATCACTGGAAACCGTCGAGCGCGTCGAATTAATGGAGGATTTTGCCGGCACCCAAGCCGTATCCACCGAGACCGAGACCGCCGAGGCCGAGACCGCCGACAGCAACTGGAACTCCAGCGGCTACGGGTGCCGCTGCAACGACTGCGGGTCCAGCGCCGACGAGGCCACCACCGACAAGGCCGCTACCACCGAGCAGCAAGGCGCCATCATTAGCGGTTCTCGCTACGGAGTCGGCCACAGCCTGGGCTTGTGCGGCCGTGGAGGCTACAGCCGCTGCTTGAGCTCTGGCGGCGTTTGCAATGCGGGCCGCTTCTACGGCGCGAGTATTCGCAATAGCGATGGCCTGTACACGAGCTGCATTAGCTAGACGTTCCGCTTCAGCAGCACGCCCGAGTTCCAAGGCACTGGCGGCGGCGGCGCGTCTGGCGGCGTCCGCGGCTCTCGCGTTTTCGTATGCTGCAGCTTGAGCTCTTTGAATGTTGGCGATACGCGCCGCATCTAAGGCTTGGGCGTTACTGATAGCGTTGACTTGACCGGCTCTTGCAGCGGCTTCGGTCACGCGAGCGCCCTGGATGGCCGCGGCAGCGGAGTTTGCGATTTGAGCGGCCTGGACGGCTTGAGCGTTTTGAATAGCGCTCAGTTGTGCGGCGCCAACGGCAGCAGCGTTGTTGAGTGCTGCGCCGCTACCGATGGTAGGGCCAGCGATGATTGCAGGGCCACCTAATCCGGGGCCAGCGACGATACCAGGTCCACCCAAACCAACTCCTCCTAAACCAGAGAGCAAAGGCGCTCCAACACCAATGATGCCCGATTGCGCAGGGCGGGAATCCTTCTCTGCTTCTGTATACAAAAAATATTTATATGATGACTATACCGCGATCACTGCAGTTGAATGTCAAATATTTTGTACCTTTTATTTTATACTATTTTTATGTTATTTGCTTTGTCTGTGTGAATTTTGGTTGTAAATTATATGGTATACATAAAACTATCTATTACTGTCCAAATCAAGATTTCAAACAAATGAAACGTTTAAAATATTTTTCATTTATAATAACTTGTGTGATTAATAAAAATGATGTACCTTTTCCAAATACTTCACACGCCAACGCGATGACGAAGAAAATCTGTAACAACAATTTTTAATTCTATTTTATACTTTTTGTATTACTAAAATAATTTTATTAACTTCAAATTATTTACAAACAATATATTTTCAACGTTATTAACCTACATATTTCAGCACTGTTTTATCTCAGCTTGTTATACGGTAACTTTATAAATTATAGCAATTGATATTAATAGATAATAATCAACTAAAAAACAATAAAAAAGAACATTTATTACGATAAAAATATTAGATATGAAATACAATGTGATGATTCCATGATTTATATATAAAAATTTAAAGTAATTGACAAATTAAGAGAAATACTCAAGAAAAACTTATGATTTATATTATTTATAATCGTAAGTATCTTACCGTTAGCCGAGACATTCTGTTATTAAATTTCGTTTGCTGGTTACAATACTACCAGATCGCACAGTGCAATGCAATTATATCGGATTGCAAAAATACACGCACTTATATACTTGCACCGAAAATTATTAACATCGTATTTACAATGCTAAACAGATGCACCCCGCCGCCCTATTTGAATATCATTAGGGTATTCAAGCAAAAAATATAGACGGGCATAGATTGCAATAGAAATGAAATCGTTGCCAACTTAGATTAATGACACTGGGATAGCCTGTAAATAACATTTTTTTTATATTACTTTAGTGGCAAATAAGCATACAGCCTGTCTCCGGTGTTTGCAGGAGGATACTTCACTGAATTTGAAATTTAGTTTCTTGCATGGAAAGACATTTCCATATCAAGTATGTATCTTTTTTTAATTAATTAAACTAAACGTAATTAATAAATTAAATAATCAATAAATAAAAAATAAAGTAAACTTAATTAATAAATTTGTATTTATTAATTAAGTTTACTTTTATTTTTATTTTGTTTTGTAGGTAAGTATTTTAATTACGTACATATCACGTACATAGATGCATAGAATATTCGAGATCGTCACGCGCGTACATACTTAGATCTTCTTTCATCATCCATTCTCATTAAGAATATCTACTTGTCATCATATTCGCCATATAGAGGTAAGTTGGTAGTTGCAGACACTAGACTTGTTAGACAATGTTTTTAAACAATTATTCAAATCTGTGCAAAATCTGTGCAATATACTCGTAGACGAATTGAAAATCTCCACATCAGTCAATATGCTATAAATAATACAACGCACATTTGAACAAATTTACCTTATATGACCTTATACCTATCTAATGTAGATAGTACCTATTATTATTATTTGTGATAGAAATAATAAACAAATATGAAGTGTAAGAGACTGTGTATAATGAAATAAATATTATTTTAAATTATGATTACATGTCGATAAAGTAATAGGAGCAAAATTTTATTACATCAAAAACGACTACAAAGGTCGTCTATTTATATTAATATAAACAGGAAGAATGTGTGTTTGAACGCGGGAATCTTTAGACCTATTAGTCGGTATTTGGAAAATAATTTTGGTAATTTTTTTGAGAAACCTTATATTCTATGGCTATTCAATATAACTAGCACAGTCACGAGGTACATCTAGTGCATTATATGGGAGTATTATGGCCTAATGGTATATATCGAAAGGTTGCAAGTTCGAATCTGGCTGAAATCATTAAAAATATCGTGCGACTATTTCAATTTCAGTTAACAAATCAAATTAACCTCAGGTTAGGCAGTAGGCTCGCCCCTAATTATTGAAATAATATGTCGAATTTTGTATTTACTATAATAGTAATAATGAAAAATACCTCTATACGATCAGGGATTATACACGTGTGTATATCTATTTAAATTTTTATAAAAAAATCCTGAGATAAAAGTCCGACGTGGTAAACGTAGGACTTTTACCTCAGTAATCACTCCTGGATTATATAATAGTAATGATAAACATACCACAATACAACCCACATGGTCAAAGTCTAAGAGACTCTAATATTGACTAAATTAGCACGGGATTTACACGTGAGTGATAACCGATTTTTCTATTTTAAAAGAATCTTCGAAGTCGGTTCATAAATGTCGATGTTACTTTTGACTGGAAAATTATTCGATACTGAATAGGTAGGTATGTACTAACAATGAAAAAAAAAATTAAACATTATAAAACAAAATGATATAATGTAATAAACATATTTTTTTTTTAATATTTTAAGGGCTTTTACCTTCTTCAGGTATATCAGTCCTATTGTACCCTGAACTGATTTCTCGGACAAAACTATATCTACCTTCTCTAGACGCGGAAAGAAAATAATTAATGGGCATCAATAATTTACAGAGATGTTCAAAAATTTCTGGTTTAAGTTCAGCTAACATAGATTGAATAAGACCAACATTCAATTTATTTATTTTATAATTTTACAAAATAATATAAAAGTTATACAAAAGGTCCCGCGTGTCAACGACCTATTTTCTTCCATCAACATGATAGTCTTTTCCACTTTGATAAATTGATTTAAAAATTGAAATAATAATTTGCGTTTTATTTACTGGATTTTATATACTAATAATAGCCGTTTGGTTCCGGCATAGAATAAACCACCCCTTCCTTTCCTGTGAGTGTCGATAAGAAGTGACTAAGGCAACTTAATGCTCCTCTTAAAACATAACCGAAGCCTAACTGCGGTTGTCAATCCGCCTGCCAAGCGTGACAACTACTGGCAAAATCCCCTAAGAGGCCTTTGTTCAGCAGTGGACAGTAAACGGCTGATATCGTCATAGATTTTATATAATAGTTTTCGGTGGTTTTCCAATCATTATCATACCAAGTACAATCGTCTTATTTGCGCACGTAATCGTTTGAATAGTAGGTATCTATACTACGCATAATCTGTTAATAAATATTTTTTTAGGTGGATGGCAATGAAACTGTAACCCTTTCAGCGCTATTGGAATTTGCTGGAGACGTACCAGTGCAAGATGATAGGTGAGGATGATAACAGGTCAGTCGGCCCAGTGTTACAAATTCATCAAGATTAATCACGGTGTTACCAATGGGAACCACGTGTAGGTCGTCTTGATAGAGTATATTGCTAGAAATGAGGCTGTTATACCCCATTGCTAGCAATATACCCTTTCCTCCAATAATTTTTGTTGGTTAGACAATGTTACTGTATTTTATCTAAGTACCTATTTAAATCCAAACAATATTATTTAGGCAGATAAATATACATTGTTGGTTAAAAACACTCGTCAATGTTCATTCAACTTTAGTATTTTATTATACTTAGTACGTCACAATGTTTTTATTATCTTATCAGAGGGAGACTTTGTATAAAAATCCTCCGCTTGTCTTCTTCTGTCCCACGCGTGTTTCTGTCGTAAAGCAGCTGTGTTTACAAGTCTATGTTTTGGTTTGAAGGGAATTAATAGGGTACGAAGATAGAACACCACAGTCCTCAAGAAAGCGTATGACGTACCATGGCAATTACAGTGTATTCTGTGATGCCCATGGTGCTGTTTACGTCTATAGGCGATGCAATATTTATCATCATTTCCATCAGGTGGACCGTCAGCATGTTGACCTCTATAGGTACCATGAAAAAAGATTGGCCTTTAAGTAAGTAAAGTACTTTACTTTATAGTGAATATATTAAAGTGGCTCAACTCCATTTATGCAATTAGTTACTTGACCGCTTCTTTGTCTAAAATCTGCAAATCAAACGTCTATAACAGTAACATTACGTATTGGACTAGAATAAAAAAAAAATTGTAAAAACATGAATCAGTCTTCGTTGCGTGTCATTGTTATTCATTAGTTGAGTAATCGATTAAACAGAATACACACATTAATTATTATTTGTATAAATTAGTAATAATTCAGGTATTTGAGGTTCGAATAAATTCTAATCATATTCTAAGGTATAGGAAGTTTCTTTCCGAATGCAGATGGAGTGGTACACACGTCTATGCTAATGTTGTTTACAATGGACAGACACCAGATAAAAAGATGAGAATAAAATTACATTAGATAACTGTAACCGTATATGTAAGGGTTAGAAAAATTGGAACTATGATAAATATCATTCGGCTATATTACAGCGCTATTTAATCTCAAATTAATCTTAAACAGAGCTTGTACTATAGTGATAGACAAAGATATTTTTGTACATATATATATATATATATATATATATATATATATATATATATATATATATTCATAGAAAATAGATAGATAATTTATTTGCATCACTTACAGTACTCAAATAAAAACAGACATACACCGTAAAAAGAGATAAAGAATGCATATACAAAAAAAAACAACGATTTTCTTCTTTCATGCATGTGCCATAGTAATACAAAATGGTCACAATTCAGTTTATTGTTTTGCCCTCAAAAGAGCAAAACACTGAAATTCTGTTGTGGTCAAATACTCCGATTAATACAAATAATATATTCTATATAATTATAAAAGGGGTTGTTAGTAATTGGTTTTAGAAGTCATATTGCTAGCAATATACCCTGTCAGGTCGAACACTACGCGGTTCCCGCTGGAAACCATCGTGGTTGATTCTTGAATTCATCACGATGGACTAACTGACCTGCTTCTATCCTCATCTATCATCCCTCATTGGTACCCCGCTAGGGTATTCCGGTAGCACAGGTGGGGCTACTATGTCATTTTTACCTATTAAAAAAACATATTCAAACATACAAATGTTTGTATGGTGCAGGCATCGAACCCTTGACCATCAGTAGGTGAGTCTGTATGTTAAACCACTACATTATTAAAAGTATTTTTATGTATATTTTTCTTACTATTATAATGAATGTGTGAGTTTCTTAGTTTATAACCTCTTGGCACCTTAACAATTCAATCGTCAGACATATACGATTTCATATTATTTCGGAGGGAAAAGGACATAGATTATTTTTTTACTTGTAAACGAATTAAAGAGACGTAGAAACAGTATTTTTTCACCATTGCGAATCTAGATGCACCATTGTTGAATTTTTAAATATCTAATTCGTTTGAAATTTACGGCGGAACTTGCATAATCTCGGAAATAGGATACATCTTCAGGATATAGGTAATTTGATAATAAATCTCAATTAATTACATAATAATGCTAATCATGAGTTTTATTTGGGTACTAATTATATGTACGCGTAATATAAAAACAAGATATAAATTCTGAATTGAAATACTGTTTTGATGGCTTCGTTTCTCGTACATACTGAGAATATCAAAGTCATTACACATAGATATCTTTATTCTAGATGGAGTAATGCAATACAAATTGCGTATTTAAAATATTTTTGTGTATTGATAATACAAAAATTTAGGTATATGCGTTATTAAGTATATGAATTTTTTTTATACCACTGAGGTGGCAAACAAGCATACGGTCCACCTGATGGTAAGTGGTTATTGTAGGAGAATTACCTAAATTTTTTATTGTAAGGGTAAGTTAAAAATAAAACTATACAAAATTTTCATGTTCATATTTGAAAGAATATTCAATCATATCATCATCAAATCAGGCATTAACTCTTTACTACTGAATATAAGCCTCCCCTTTGGGGGAAAATGCTGGTAGTTGCTACGCTTGACAGGCGGGTTGGCAACCGCAGTAAGGCTTTGGTGGTGTTTTAAGAGGGACGCTGCTGCCCATTCTTCAACAATTTAATTCCCTTAGTCGCCTCTTACGACACCAATGGCAAAGACCATTCTATGCCGGGACCACACGGTGATCTTATTATAAATACAATCAATTATAAGAAAACATTATTTATGTTAAAAATAACTTCTGAAATTTACTGTTGTCTTTAGCTAGAGGCTCCCCAGACGTCCTTCAATTAAGAGAATTAATAGCATGAAGGAAGTCAAACGGCTTCTTTAAAGAGTAAGGTGAAGATAAGAGGATTAAAAAGGATATTGTGGAGTAGAGAAATAATGTGAGTATTCCGGCGAAAACGAATGGAAAGCCACTTATTTGAGTTTAGCACGAAACATTGAAATATAATCATATTTTCTAAGATTGATAATAACGTTCTGAAGTCTTCCATAAGTTCGTTAAGTTGGTTTTCCTAAGAATCCTATATAGTTTGTAACTTAAAGTAGGTATTTATAAAATGAAACAATTTTTTAGGTGTACTATTTACAAGTTATTTATTTCAGATACTTTAAATTACGAAGCTAACTCATTAATAAATAACTATCAACATTTTTCAGTTTTTTCAATCACGGGCACGCCAAACTTCGGCGAAGTCACAATACTGAAAAGAGAAAATATTATGTAATTGCTTTTATTTATATACATATGTACATATATATATTATATCGGAATAAGATCACATTGTCAAGAATATTTTTAAGGAGCTTAAATAGACTAAATCTAGAGACTCTAGAATAAATTAGATGTGAAACATCTGGAAGGAGAAAAATTAAATTGTACGAAAAAATACAATTAACATTATTTACTCAATACGGGAGTTATATTTTAAATTGCATGCAAATGCGGTTTCCTTCTAAATTATACATATAATAAAACTGTAACTAGACCGTATCTGTGCACGCTTCACGCAAAAACTATTGGACGGATTTTGATGAAATTTGGCGTGGTGATAACTCAATACGTATGTATACTTAATTACTACGTAAATGTAGTTGTCGTTATTTAGAGAAAATACAAAGTTTTGCTGTATTTACTGGCTAGCAAGTAGTTTAATCCTACTAATATTATAAATGTGGGATTTTTTTGTATTGTATCAGCCGTTAATTGGCTATTGCTGAACATAGTCTCCCCCAAAAGGGAGGCTTTGCCAGTAGTTGCCACGCTTGGCGGTTGGGTTAACAACTGCAGTTTGGCTTTTGGTGATTTTTTAAGAGGGATGTACCTGCTTGTCCTTCGATCATGGCTCCCTTAGTCGCCTCTTACGACACCCATGGGAAAGGAAGGGGTGGCCTATTCTTTGCCGGGACCTACGCGGCTAAACGTGGGGTATGACAGTGATATTACAAGGTACAGAGGCATAACAACTTCATCCTCAGGAATGGCTAATTTTAGTTAGTATGTATATAAATTATTATTATTACCGCATCTGAGTATTCTATCATTTCTATAAGGTTAACTAGGAAAGAATGCTCGTAGCATTAAGTCCGCTTGAACACGTACATGTACTAATGAATAAATAAAAAATAAATGGCAACGCATGAGGAGTAACAAGGGAAACACAATATACTTTGTTATGTCCATAGTACTGTTCATGTCTATGAACGATATCTGGCATATTAAATTATTTATTATTATGATTTTCAAATTTAATAAAGATCTTTGGATGTTTGTTACTCAGACATGTTCAAACGGCTGTACGTTATTTTCTAAAACTCTTATAATACATAGAATATTTTATAATATACTAATGCATGCAGGCAAAGCCGCGAGAAATATTATAGTTTGCAAAATGTTGCTAATGTTCGCCTTACGACCACGACTAAAAAGAGAGGAAGTCCATTTTAATTTGTTATGTTATTGTTTGGACATGTCGAAGGCGTTAAACCACTGGTTGTTCCTTACACGTAAGCGGCGTCACTTACCCATAGAATAAATATGGCGGAGGCTTCACAAGGGTTTTAGTTGGCATTAAGGAAGAGAGGAAATCTGCTATTGCGCTAGATTTGGTGACTACTGCTTTCTTCGTAGCGTTGGCTACCCCAAGTAACTTCTCTATGATTGTAGATAGTTTTGGTGGAGTTATTACGACGGCTTCCGGCTGAGGGACCTGCAAGTGAATATTTCTTTATTGCTGGCAAGGGTAAACTGGGTAAGAGCCTTATGGAAAGTGGTAAATATGTACCACAAAATATATCCTAATATATTTCTCAATTTGTATGTATGATGGAAGGTAATAAAGTTTTATTGAAATTCATATCAGAAGCTCTTTAAATCAAATTAGTAACAATTCTAAATATTCAATCAATTATTGAAATTTTCTATTTATAATACTATTGGACATTAGCAGACTGTTTTATGGTTGAAATAATTGCTCCTGCTAAGTAGAGCATAGTCTTATCTTTTCATAAAAATTTACTGAAACAGACTGCACAGCGTGAAAACCTCATTGTTAGTGGTACGTAGAACTGAGAATCTACCCATTCTAAAGAATATATTAGAATAAAAATTTTATTAATCAAAAATTCAAAATGGATAAAAAAAATTGAGTCTGTAAGTAATTCAACAATTGAACGTGTTAATACAGTATAAAATGTTATATCGTTTTTCGATCCATTTTTTTTTGTGAAAATATTCAGTTTCGCTGGTAGAACATTCTTTTTAAAGATTGCTTACCGTGTCAATGTCATCCTGTACATATTTAAATTATTTATTGAAAAGTTTATGCTACTTACAGAATAAATAACAGGGTGTATTACAGCTTTCTCGACGCTCTCAACTATAAATGGCTGCTTTGGGGCTGTAACGACCGCGTCTGCTTTGACTGCCTTTGCATTTAAAATAGCATGTTTTGCTATATGTTTTGCTATTGCCCCTTTGATTATTGCACCTTTGGCTGCTAATAGAGCTGCAGTTTTAACTGCAACTCCCTTCGCCGCAAGTAGTGCTGCACCTAAATATTGAAATAGATAATTACATTTGCGTATAATCTTATATTGTTAATTAATCTTTTTTTTTATACAACTTAGAATGGCAAACAAGCTGACGGCCCATCTGATGGAAAGTGGTAACCGTCGCCTATAGATATGAGCATAACAGAGTATACTGTTTCGCCCATGATACCCCCCATGCGTTGCCATTCCTGAGGACTCAGGTGTTATTCCTCTGTACCCAGTAAATGCACGCCATATCCCACCCTTCAAACCGAAATACAGCCATGCAAACACAACTGCTTCATGGTTGAAACACGAATGGGACAGAGGTACCCAAGCAATCTAAGTTATTTATTAAATTTATATTATAATTAAATATATATAAAAATAAGAGCTAGATTATAGAACTCAAGGAGGTTTAGTATATGAAAAAAGAATATACAAAATTCGACATGATTGCAGTGGCAATGAAACAAAGTTTTTATAGTATTCTACAACTATGATGATTTATCATAATCGATTTAAAAAGGGTCCTTATATCAGTTTACTTTTATTAAGTGTCGTTACCTTTGAGTACAGCGCCTTTAGCTACAAGGGCTCCAGCGCCGATCGTGGCAGCGCCCTTCACAACACTTTTGGCAGCTGCAGCCTTGGCAACTGCAGCCTTAGCTGCGATGATGTGCGAGGTGCTGTACGCTGGCTGTACCAGGCACCAGGAGAAGACAATCTGGCAAAAAAGTGTATAAAGTTTTAATTGCTCACAAAATCCTGTTGATCAATTATAAGTGTTATTGATTGGCCGCTGATGGGTTCCTGTCTGCTATTTTGAATTAAAAAATTTGAACTTCGTTAGTTTTGATATAATGGAATAGGTAAATACTAATAAGGAGCTAAGTTTTCGTCAAAATATTATAATAAACGCAATTTATATCGTAATAAAATTATTGTGGAATCAATACCAGGAAAAAAGAATGTACTAAATCGAAACGATATTCCCGACTCTCGTTTACACAAAACAACGATCCTTTATGCTCATATAAATATCATAATAAATGAAAAATTTTATCAAACTCACCGACAGAATAAGTAATTTGACCTCCATTTTACTAGTTATAAAACAAAACTACATTCATATTCAAGTGCAAGGTCATATTTATAACATAGAGATTGCCAAATTCATTAATTACAGTGTCCCTAATGGGCAGCAAAAAGTTATATTAAAAATTAATAATTTACGAGTATAGACCCTGAAATCTACGTCATACGAACTATTTTGATGTAAATTTGCTAATGTATATGATACTACATGCTTACAAGTTAATTAAGTAATTATCGATTACATTCCATCGAATAACTTTTACATTACGCGTCATCAAGTATTGTAATTAGTTGTTATTATCAAGTCAATGACGTTATAAGTATAGACCTTAGATGACATAGATAGAGCGTCCCCATACAAATATTTTACCAAAAACATGTCGAGTTTTTTATCCATGTGTGTGTGAATAAAGTTACCATAACATACATTACTTACTCAGAATCTGGCAGAAATTATATTGTAAGTTTAAATTAAAAAATAAAAACAATGCTTACATATATATTTGAAAAAATAAGATAAATAGCTCATAATGAATTGTTAGTATGCTTATTACTATTAAATATTTTCATTTTTTTTAGTATCGACATTAAATGTGGTTTATATAGTTTTTATATCGTTTACATGGTCGCCATTTTAATTAATTACATTAATTTATAAACAATGTTTATATCTGTGTATTTATATCTTAAAAAATAGTTCCTGGTTTCTCAGATACCAAAATTTTGAAAAATTACCAGATTTGGTAAAATTTTCATTTAATTATTTGCAACACTGAAAGAAAAGTTGGGCTACAAAACATTGACCAGTTTTTGACGTTCTATGCTCTATCTATATCATATATGCACTCAAGATCTGACGCATTGAAAGAATAGTGCGACAAGTGTATTTTCCTATTTTATTTGAATTCTAATGTACTCGTATTTTGTTTTGTTCTGTCGGAATGGGAAACACTTTTTTAGATATCGTTTAAAAATTCTGAAAAAATGTAAGCCAAATCGATGTTTTAAGAGGGATGCTGCTGCCCATCCCTCGCCCTCTCTTAGTCGTCTCTTATGACACCCACGGGAAAGAAAGGGGTGACTTAATTTTAAAATTCTATGCCGGGACTGAGCAAATATCATGTTTTGAGATACTCATATCACAAAATCTCTAAAAATGAGTGTAAACTCTCTTAAATGCTTATTGCGATGTACCATATATTGGTGGAACGTATTTCCACAATGTAAAATACATACAAAGATATTGCATGTAGTCAAATTAAAATCATTTTCAAATGATTCTTTTTTATAAAGTTTTATGGTTCTACTACATATCTCCTGATATATCTTGTATGGTAATAAAGTTAGTGTACCAAAATGTATTTACTTTTTGTAACTATGTTAGTGTTACAAATGCATGACTCACATAAGTAGAGACATGATAATTGTTTTGGTCCATATTTACCAAAATCCATGGAGACGGTAGTTGTAAAATTTTTACCAAAATCTACTAGTAAGTAAAAGGAAATAAATAAATAAAAAATATTTGTGTTCGCGACAATGATTGTATTTTATTTTATGATTATTGGAATGGCAAACAACCTGACGATGTGATGGCATGTGGTCACCATCGAGTATAGACATGTATAGCTTAATGAACTAATATGCCATTATTATTATAAAATGTGGAAAATTTTATAGATGTTTCAATGTTTGGATGGGTGTACTCAGTCAAGTTTAAACTGCTTAACGAGCTATCTGGTATGTTAAAGAAATCAAAATTATTTATTTATACAATTTCACAGTCACTAATGTATATATATTTTTTAAGCATTCAGTTGGCAAAAACAGTCGACTGAAAACATTTATTTATTTAGGGAATATTTATTTATTTATTTATCTAAGAAGAATAAATTAAATATATTATTAAAAATCATGGCCAAACTAATGCCAAGCATATTTCTCTAAAAATAGAAATAGTTTTGTTGTGAAATATTTCTTAATGACAGTTATTAATTTACAGCATTATTCGCATATTAAAAGAATTTTAATCTATTACAAATATCCATTTGAATTAGGTACGATTTTCTAAAATTTGTTTCGTTTTGATGTTCTTGTGTCTAATAAAGTGTTTCATGAACTAGAAATAAATTATATTTCTAATCCATAGAAATATCCATTCGTACATATACCCAAAATATTTTGTTAATCTAGGTTAGATTACTTTATTTTTTACAGGTTATTATTGCAGGTTACCTACGAGATACATGTAGTAAATGATGATTCAGACTATATTTCTAAGAGACGGTTTCAAACAAGAACATTATAGATATTTATGTAATATGTTTATGTTTTATTGTGTTATTTAAACAGTACATTGAACTTTATCATTACGTACCTACTTGTAATTAATGACAATATTTACCAAGAATTGTATTTCCTCCAAATTTGTCGAAATTTTGTTTCCTGTTTATTTAACGGCATCAGAGGCGGTTGACACAGGGTTTAATTTTGGTTTTTCCTTATTTTGTATTGTTTTCCTTATACATATTTTATACATGTATACCGCTTTATTTTTTTAGTTTTTTTTTATGATATCCTGGACTTAAAAAGGGGTAGTCTATACTTAGTCGCCACCCAAACGGTTTCTAACACAAAGGCCCTGACTTCGTATCTAGGTAACAACAAAAACCTTTTTTTTTAAATGGATACGTTACGAGACCCGTTGTGTGTATAGAAAATAAAAATGTTTTATATAAAGACAGTAGAACAAAGTACAAATATTTTATATAATATTATGTGATCGACATAATAACAAAAACTTAATGTAATGTTTTTGTTGTAATATTCGGGCTAAATCTCTGTTGACGGAAAACACCATATTAATTCGAGAGACATAATATAGAGGTTGAGAGCTACATTTACCATAACTGTAAAGGTGGATAAATGAGTCAATATAGTCTTGAGATATTCTTTAATTTTTTATTTAAGACTTTTTAATTATTAAAAAAAATATAAAGACTAGTAGATAAGATGCACTTGATTACACTAAAAATTTATTAAATAACAACACTACTAGCTCTTTAGACTGATAGCATTATATTACCTACACTATCTTTGTATAATAAAAGCTATCTTTTAATATTCTCAGTAATTCCTCAGAAAATGCAGTTAGCATTAAATATTTTTAATAAATTTTATACCTAAACGCAACTCCACAGATTTTTCTATTGAAAGAAAGTAGAACTAACAGTTTGACATGTATGTAAATAATAATTTGCATATAAAAGTCAAGTTCAAGAAGTTTCACTGTTTTGTTCGAAGTCACATCTATGCATCAGTGAATATCTTCAATAGAGATATAAGTTGCTTTAATATTGTAAGCTTTGGTTTTGTAATTATGGAGAAGATATTTGTAACATTAGCTGTGGTAAGTGGAAAAAAAATAATGCCTATTTATTTTTATAATTCAATTCGATTACCACATGAAATTCATTTTTATAAAAAAAAAAGAAAATAATATTAGAAAAGAATTTGATTCTCTTTTTGGAAATTTATGCTACTAACACGAATAATCATTCCATTAAACGATATACTTCTGCTGTATCAAATCGCAGCTCAAGTTTGTAACAAATAAACACAAGTGTGCGCCAGAAATATAAATAAGAAAACAATGGAACAAATTAAATATAATTAAAAAAAGAAATACTAACACGAATAATTATTTATAATAATACATTCACATAATAATTTAAATATTTGAACGTTGGTTATACTATTATGTTTAACTATTCGAGTATGAAATTTGGTTCATGAACCATCCATACTTACGTATTTTAGAGTTATAACTACTATTAAATAAATAATTTATCACAAAATTTTGCGAACTACAAATTGGATCTTTAACTTATAACAAACTCTTGATATCTATTCCACTGGCGAGTCCAGGATTTTGCCTAATTAGAGAATACCTAATTACTATCACATTAGCTGAGTGTTCGACTTTTCCTTCTCTCATACTAATGTAACATATTGTTTCGATTACATACCACATCTTCCTGGTAATGAAGAGATGTAACACATTGGCGTCAATTTTGAAAAAAAAATTATCTATTTCTACAATTAAAATATAAACTTTGAGTTTTATATTACAGCGACATGATTATTTAACGGACCAGTATAAACTAAATTTTTAATAGAATCGCATGCTTTATAAATAGAAACTAACTAGCTTTTTGTATGCTATTTCATACGCGTGGGTTTCAGAATGAAATTCAATGGACTAGATCATTTCTAGATAAAACATACACTAGTTTTTAAATACCTTAGAGTTACACCTTCACACAACTGTGCAAATCACATCCGATTTGGTTTAGTAGTTTTTGTATGATGCGTGATCAAACATTCCAGCAGACAGACAAAATTTCTAAAACTTGTTGTTTTGGATTTTTAAGACCTCTTATGTCAGATTTTGTTATATATTTTCCATGTACATTGTCTAGTCACATTTCGTCATAGTCATAGAATACTGACGGATCTGACAAAGATATAAAGATGACTATGACGATTTTTATTATATTAATAGGACAAGAGTCGTGATGGCCCATAACCATAAAAGTTTTGCTAAACTAACAATTAATTTGTTGAATTTTTTTTAGTGATGAATTTAAGGAATAATATCCTAGAATTGACCCGATCCTTTTATTACTTCACCATACAGATGCCACTGATATGTTCATGATAAATTATATATTTTTCAGATTCTCTTAGTCTCCGTCATTTTGAATACAGTAATGGCACACGAGCGGAGTGAATATACCAAACAAATCAATACGTCAACGGCGGTTCTCTCCAAAATGAAACCCGATATAGTACAAGATGTTATAGATAAAAAATCTATAAAAAAACATAAAAAATCAAAGAGAAACGCATATAGAAGAAACTGGTCATCTAAATTGATGAACTACGGAGGTTATATGCCTCCTTACTTGGTCTTCAACAGAAAAGTTGGTGCTTACTATCCCTATTACAATTATCCAAAAGAACAAGGCATCACGAGACGGAACATGTATACTAAGAAACAGTCATTTAAAAGTTAAAATGGTTGCAATGGACTTAAGTTTCCCTATTTAGTTTATACTGTAAATATAAGAAAATAAAAATTAAAAAGTCTAGATAAAGTCGAAATTGTTAGCATTCTTTGACAAAAATATTCGCCGCTGATACATTCACTGTAGAAACGTGTTAAAAACGACAAAAAAATTGTTTAATCTTATGAAAGAATAAAGAAAGAAATAATATGATTCAGTTGTTAAATTAGTATGGGGAGATTCAACATTTTTAGTTGTTTTTGAATTAGCTATTCACGTAATTTCTCTCTTAATATCTTCTATAGTATATTCTAAGTTTAACTTAATTTTATTTTATTATACTAATAAATTTTAAGTACAATTTCGATTTTACCAGTATACGACTTGATTGAGTACATTAAAGTTTATTTTCCTTTAACTGCATTTCTGCAGATATTTTTTATTTTCCTTAAAAGAATTATGTATCTAATAATAAGTAAGTTATTATTACATGGAGGAAAAAAGAATAAAAAAAATCAATTGTACCTACTCATGCATCATTCGTATACATTTGATATCTGGTTGTGTTACTGAATGTTTGTCCCCTTTACAAAACCAGTTGAGTTATATAATATTGTTTTTAATCCTTGATGCATCATGAAACAAGGTCTTGTATGGTGGGAAATAATTTTAATTAGATAAATAAATGCATTTGTACACTCGTAAGTTTAAGGTAGTTGAGGTTAAAGCCAGATCATTTGACCTATCGTAAAGAATTTACAATACCTAATTTTTTTTCAAAAATACTTTTCATACACTGCAAGAATCACTTTGTCACTGCCATATCGACATCAAAGCGATTAATAAATAATTCATTGCAATGGAAAACTTACTAGAATGTCATTTATTAATAGATGCCATACATTTACGCATACTATAAACAAATACCAAGAAGTTAGTATTGACGTTGTAAGGTAATATAAATAAAATATGTATAGGAATTGTCAACACTGATCAATTATTTTAATTGGTTTATTTTTAATTAAATATGCTTTATGCTTTATGATATGAAGAGTAAAAATATAGATGTAATTGCTAGTAATTTATTAGCTTGCAGTCAATATTATTTCCTTTAGGAGCGAGGATATTACTTAATTTATTTCATTTACATAATACCTACCAACGATATAATTTATTTGTGTTGTGTGAACAATAATTTAAATTCATAATTTTAGTTTTAATTTTTTTATAAAGAAATTACATAGCTACCATTTAGGTTGCAACTAAGGTGGCAATCAAGCATACATACCCATCTGATGGTAAACGGGATGTCACTTTAATTTTCTTTGGTCGGAGCTCCCCAAGGGGAGTCATAAGAAAGAGCTTTATGTAATTTAATTTCATTCCACGTAATTCTAAAACAATTTTTACCTAACCTGACCTGAAAATAATAACAATTAATTAATGAAATAAATAATACTCATGTAATATTTATGAATGAATGAATTTTTTATTGTGCATATTGTGGTAATTACAGGTCGATAGGTAGGTATTCATTTTTAATTATAAAAAATAATAAAAAGTAAAGTAAAATTATTCCATTCCCCCTTTCTCTTATCTCTGAAGTTTCCGAAGCGAATATTTTGATATAATTACAGTTTATAAAAGCATATGTAAATAAATATTTTTACTGTGTAGTCCGAAATGGAATAGGCTACCTCTTCCTTTCCCGTGGGTATCGTAAGAGACGACTAAGGGAAGGCGAGGGATGGGCAGCAGCGTCCCTGTTAAAACGTCTCAAAGCCTAATTACAGTTGCCAATCCGTGTACTAAGCGTAGCAATTAATGGCAAAATCCCTCCAAGGTAGGCTTATGTTCAGCAGTGGACAGTTAAAGTCATATCATGATAATGATGATGTAAATATTTGCATGGAACCCCAATAATAGCCAAATTGGTCCAGATGTTTTTAAGTGATGCGGTTACCAACGAATGGCATTCAATTTTTGTTTAACAGAGTTCTGTGTCCATCAGCAGGAGGCAATACCTGATTATGATGATAGTAATGATATATGAACTTGGTGATAAAGCAATATTTTGTTTAAGAGACAAGCAAGACTAGTGCAGTGGAATAGTTTTATATATTCTATCTATATTATGCTTATATGTATATATATATACCATTATAGCTAATAGGTACCTATGTTGTTTGCTGTAAAACCCGTTTAATGTCTCATAGCTTTTGTATTTTGTTTTATATTCAATTAACATAACGAGATCACACTATCGATGCGATGTTGCAGTCAAACATTGAATGTGATATATTGATTTTTTACATTACAGAAATTAGAAGTTTAATTCAATATTTATGATGATACATGGTTGTACTACTATAATGTAGTCTAAAAATTGTACACTGCTGTATCCGCTGACATTGATGCTCCTTTCCACTTTGGGTTTGTTGGAAGAAAACTCTATCAGAGTTAAACTCGCCTTTGTACTTTTGTTTACCTCTGTCATATTTTTATAACTAATGTGTACAATAAAGTATTAAATAAATAAATAAATACATAAGTCTCGGCAAACATCGTTTTGCTCAAAATCGACACATGTATTTGTATTTTTATGTTTGTTACCTCATATTTCCGTCAATTGTAAACCGATTTAAAAAAAAGAGTGGTTTCATAAAAACTTTATAAAAATCAGTTCTGTAGTTGGGTTTTTATATTAAAATAACTGGTTTTACCATAATTGGTGTCGGTTTTTTGTGGAACACCATTTATTAGTTAAGTTGGAGCAAAGAATGTACATTTACACAATTTCGTTAAATTCGATCGAGCATGAAGATTAGCGTGAACAAATATCGTAACATGGGATTTTTATTATAATATATATAATATAAGGTAATGCTAATAAAGCAGGTATACATAGTCATTCGTTCGTCAATTTCTTTCAAATATATATCAATTTTTTTAGCGTATAGTGATGATGATGAAATTTAATTCATTTCGAGTTAATATAATTAATTTAAAGATATTTATAAGTAACATTATTATCCTTTTTTTTTTAATTATTTAATAAACACATAAAACAGGTCATAACCATAAAAAAACATATGTTTTCGCCGTTTCGTCACAAAACATTTCAGCCATTATCTGTTCACTGCTGGATATAAGCCTTCCACATACACTGCCATAAAGAACGGTCCTGAGCCACCTGCATCCACTGAGTGCCTGCAATGCATTTCAGGTCGTCACTCCATCTAGTGGAGGGGGTCGTCCTACACTGCGTTTGCCCGTACGCATAAGTAACATACAATCATACATATAAGTAACATACAACGTGTTATTGCTGAATTTTATAGAATGCGCATAAATATGTATCTACTTGTAATAGAAGGCATTGGTATAATTACATATATATTGGTATAATTATAAATTGACATAAGGTATAGGTTAGGTTTAATTTAGACACTAATTTGCTGGATATAATGTTAAACATTGTACTTTTTGTAGCCCATTAATTGTATATTTTTATGGGCAATATATCTTTATTTTTGGTCACGTTGATTGCTTTGGTTATTGTATTATTAATAAATTATACATTACATCAATTATATACATAGTGGGCTATTAAATTGGTTGTTGTTGACGTTGGTATGCTCGAATGTGGCTTATTTAGACAATCTTTTGAAAAAACAATGAGGAATCAACGTAGAACATTAAATATAGAAAAAATATCATATAAGTTTATATTATATATATAATATAAACTTGTATGGAATGTACATGTGTTTATATAGTTTTCCATTTATTTTAAAGTAGGTACCTAATATTTTTCTCTTTTTTTTATATTTTCAACTGTACCGCCTACGTACATCTCTATTGCTCCATGGTTGACGGGTAGAAAACACTTTTTGGTGTTATGGCCACTATGTGTACATTTGTTATGTTAGGTACATAACATGAAAATTAAATAAATGAATAAAAGTTATGCATATTTACTTGTCACTTTTTGTAAGTTACTATTTTATTAAGTGACTGCTGCAATACACTTGCATGAGAGATTCTCTCATATTGCTTGAGGTCAGGACAATATGACGTAGTGTTCCGATGGTGTATATACTATATAAACGGGGACAACTTTATGCGGTACTAGATTAGATCTGAGATAGTCTCATAGTCGGAACTGATCAGTGAAAAAAAAAATTGAATATGAACATAATTTTGGTGAGTACGATTTACATGTAAAATAGAATTTTATTATATTTTTTTAAATTCATTGCTATTTTTTTATATTACTTGATGGAAAGTAACAATTATCATCATAGACATGAACTGCATCATGGGCGTCATAGAATTAGCGGCGTCGATGTTGTCAGCTCTAACCACATGTCCAGGGGGTAAAGGGATTGTTAGTAATGGAGACTAAAAATTCCATTGCTAGCAATATACCCAACCAGGTTGACCTCCTCATGGTTAATTTCTATTGAATTCATCATGATAGGCTAACTGGCCTGTTTTCATTCTCATATATCACCCTTCACTGGTGCTCCGCCAACGTATCCCGTTAGCGCAGGCAGGGTTCCCATTCCATTTTCATCCACAAAAAAAAAACCACATGTCCAAGAAAGTGTTCTTACAAAAATTATGTTTTACGATTTTTTACAAGTTAGCTCAAGTAGTGTAAAAGGGCTTCAATTTTACTTGTTAAAAAGGGATTTTATTTATATTTATGACATGTTTTTTTTTATACCACGAAGGTGGCAAACAAGCATATAGCCCAGATGAGCTGTATGCTTGATTGCCACCTGGCAAAAAATATTGTAAATGTGAAAACGATTTTGTTTCTTAGTTTGTTACCAGTGATTAAGTATAGTTTATTTCTTTTTTATTTATATATGAATAGAAAGAACCAAATTTTAGTCAATTTCATGTTTTTCAATAATCTTCGTTTGCTATATTTTCGAATTGGATATATGAAAATTTACTTTAGATGATGCAGTATTCTAAATTCTAAATAATTTCTTGCCTCTTGGCGCATTAATTAACTACTTATCATGAAATTTAGCATGCATATATTTAGGATCTTCATATCAGCTGTTAACTGTCCTTTACTACACATAGTTAGGCTTTGGTGATATTTTATAAGCTACTGCCCAGCCCTCGTTCATAAAGTTCCCTTAGTTGCTTACCCGCGGGAAAAATAGGGGTGGACCATTTTGTGTCGCGACCACACGACAAAGTATTTAGTATATTATGTGCATATAAAAATTCATGTAAACTAGTTTGAAATAAAACACAATGAGTGAGGGTCTATTAATGAGTGGTAAATTTATTTGCATCAATTTCGTCGCGATTAGTTACATTCTAGTATGACGTAAGTAGGTAGGTATTCTTAAGCGAAACAAGTTACATAGTTACTTATTTATTACATTAATTATTGCAACAGTGTCGCTAAGGCAGTTTCTCATAATTATATTAATAGACGTTTACAGGAGGGAAAGGGATTGTTAGTAATGGAGACTGAGAATCCCATTGCTAACAATATACCCAAACAGGTCGACCTCCTCGCGGTTCTCCCTGGAAACTATCATGGTTAATTCCAGATGAAATTATCATGATAGGCTAACTGACCTGTTTTCATCCTCATCGATCACCATTCACTGGTGCCTCGCCAGCGTATCCCGTTGGCACAGGCGGGGTTACCATTCCATTTTCATCCAATAAAAAGAATAACGTAAGTAGGTATTCTTAAGCGAAACAAGTTACATAGTTACTTATTTATTACACTAATTATTGCAACAGTGTCGCTAAGGCAGTTTCTCATAATTATATTAATAGACGTTTACAAATAGAGTGTCCATAAGCGGGACTAAATACGTGATAATGATTAATAAATGATTGGTGACTAATTTGTATTAAATGTTGTGATTGTGTTTAATTGGTCAGCATTAAACGTAAAGTTAAGAATTTTTTTTATTATAGCTAAACCATGTATGCGATATTGTTGGTAGGTAATCAACTGTAGTTTTTAAGTATAATATATACAAAATTCATCATGATGTGGTAGTTAACATTGGTATATAAAACATTCTGAAAAAAATCTCATAAATGAGCTCCAGAAGGAGACTTTGTACAAAAGTCGATTGCTTGGGTACCTCTGTGCCATTGGTGTTTCTACCGTGAAGCAGTTGTGTTTGCATAGCTGTGTTTCAGTTTAAAGGGTGGGATATGGCGTGAATTTACAGGGTACAGAGGAATACACCTGAGTCCTCAGGAATGGCAACGCATGGGGGGTATCATGGACGAAATAGTATACTCTGTTATGTCCATGGTACTGCTCATGTCTATAGGCGACGGTTACCACCTTCCATCAGGTGGGCCGTCAGCTTGTTTGCTAAGTCGTATAAAAAAAGCTATAAAACTGTATAGAAACTCTTTTCTATTTATGATATTTATTACCACAATAGATAATGATAGGTAAGGATTATGAAATTAAAAAAATATACAATTCTAAAATCAAAATATTAACGCTTAATTAAATAAACAAGCGTAATAAGAACATCGTTAGTTACACATATTGTATGTTACATTTCAGGTTGCTGGTCTCGTGGTTGCTGTAGCAGTGGTTGCTACTCAAGGTATGATATTTGGATTAAGAATGCTTTACTGAAAGTCTGTTTAAATTACCTATTAGTTTTCAGAAACGTGTAAATTTTAATATTTCTGAATGATTATCAAGGAAGAATTTTAATAAGTTATCACTGAAATATTAAATTTTGTTTTGATTGTAACATGTCTTTGAAAATTTTAAATGCAAAGTTAATATAAATACTTATTGTTAGATTTATATGCACTAAATAACTTTTTTCTGTCTTCTCTCAATCTTTTTATTTACCTTATGTTACTAAGTACGGCTCCCTAGTTTTTTTTTTCAATGTACATATACATTTTTTTTTTATAATTATCAGATAAAATAAATGCTGGTTTTTAAACGCCTAAAGAGTTGATATATGACAGGTATGAATTTGTTCATACGCGTATTTGCTGTTTAGTTTTTAAATTAATAAAACTATACAAAGAATGGTCGCGAGTTGTACATAATTTTTTATTCAGTGATTACTGGATTAGTGTTATTTTGTTCTTGATATTACTAGTTGTGATATTACTCAGGCAAATCAGACTTTTTCTACTCCTAATGTTTAGTGCAATCATGCACGAGTCGTAGCGTAGGTTTAACCTTATAAAACGCAAATAGTACGCATATAATTAGTACGAGGCTAGATTCAATAGGCACTATAAAACCATTCAAGCCACTAGGACAGGGGTGGCTGATTTGACCAGACCCAAGACCTACTGTTTACTGATGAAACCCTGTACGATGTACCAATTACATATTTCTTGAAATCTCAAATGAAATAACATAGTTCAGTAAACATTTATGTAGTATTGTAGTATTCTTTATTTTATTAAGAGGGAAAGCATAAAATTGAAAATTATTCTTAGTAACTACTTATTTATTTATATTAGTGTGAGTATTGCGTCTGAGCATCTTCCGCTAGATAAGCAAAATATTTTAAATATTTTTGCTTTGCCACGATCGACTAGACTAATAGTAGCGATCAACCCCCCGCTCTAAGGGTCACTCCTGCTTTAGGGGAATAGATATTTTTTTGATGCGGGAAATTTGTATGTCGACATATTCTTATTATACTAGTTCTTAACTATTATGTTGTATGTACACAGCGAGTGGCGGTTTTGAACATAGTAGCCACGGCAGTCATGGGAGTGGATATGGCGGCGGACATGGTGGTTCAGAACATAGCGGTGGCCTAGGCGGACTCAGCAGTGGTACTGGCGGGCATGGCGGTGGTCTAGGAGGACATAGCGGTGGCATCGGCGGACATGGCAGTGGTATCGGCGGACAAAGCGGTGGTCTCGGAGGACATGGCAGTGGTCTTGGAGGACATAGCGGTGGTCTCGGCGGACATAGCGGTGGTCTCGGCGGACAAAGCGGTGGTCTCGGAGGACATAACGGTGGTCTCAGCGGACAAAGCGGTGGTCTCAGCGGACATAGCGGTGGTCTTGGAGCGCATAGCGGTGGTATTGGCGGACATAGCGGTGGTCTCGGAGGACATAGCGGTGGTGTTGGCGGACATGGCGGTTATGGCCACCATTAATTAAAAATAAATATTTTCTTGGAGATTGTATGAATAAAATTGACTGATTATGTTTACGAATTACACGTTTAAAGTTATACATGAAAAAATAAATAAATAACTTCAAACTTTTGTTACATATTTTGATTATTAATTTTCAAAGCCTAATTTACGTATCGAAAGTATTTATTATTAGTATATGATATTTTTTCTACATTTAATTAAAAGTATTTATACTTTGTTTGTATTGAATTTTCGAAAATTCGTAACTAATCTAACTAGCTGTATATAAATATTGCAACAAATAAAATTCAGAAACTGCAGCAAGGTTCTTCAATGGGTGATAATGAAATGGTAATACCGCCAGCGCTATCGGTACACGCTGGTGGGGCACCAGTGAGTGGTGATAGGTGAGGATGAAAGCAGGTCAGTTGACCCATCGTGACTAATTCCGCTAGAATTAACCACGATAGTATAGGTTGACCTGATAAGGCGCATTGCTAGTAATGGGGAAATTAGACCCCATTACTAACAATCCCTTCCTCCCCTACTGCAAGGTTTGGTTAAGTCGGTTTCTTTTTAACAAAATTTTACCTATATCAGATATTTTTTTTAAATGCATCTCGGGAGGGCAAATAAGCTAATAGTCCACCTGATAGGAAGTGATTGCTATGGTCTACATACATACAAAAAAAAGCAAAAAAAAAACAAAAAGCAAAATATATAACACAACAATTTCCTTCTTTTGTGCGTGTGCGCATAGTAACACAAAATGGTCACAACTCAGTTTATAGCTTTGTCCTCAAAAGAGCAAAACACGCGCGAAATTCCTTAATATAAAAAGAAATATGAATATAATACATTGTGTGTGTCCATTACATTTGCCACCATTTAAAATTGTATTCAAAATAAATAAATAAATAACAGATACCATTCGAAGAGGGGTAGTTATATGTATATACTTTAGGAAAACAGATCAGAGTACTATGCAGAATTATTATTATATCTAGGATTCAGGATTATGCCAACTAGACAATCCTAATTTAAGGAGCTTATGGCACTTAGTACATCACTTGTGGCTCCCCGCGTCTTCATTCATGTGATCGGGACAAAAATATCCTCGGTATGTCCTTCTCCAACCAAAATAATAAACTTACTTTCACATTTAAAATATCATAGCAGCTTCGATATAAGAAAGGATGAGGCCATAATCAAAAACATTAATATTCATCATTAACCTTTTACCTTCCTTATTGTGTCTTGTTTTACCTGAAATTTTTTTTTGCTAGAAACATTGGTCGAAATAGAAGGTTCAGAATTTTTTGACCTATTTCGACTATTTTTTTTTTGAGAAAAATGTTCAGTTGCCCTTATTTAGTCTCTTTAATAACATAGTTCCTAATATTAATAGTTATTTTATTTATTTAGAGTAATATTTAATATAGAGAGCTAACGAGCAGCATCCCTGGTAGTAAGTGACTACCGCTGCTCATAAGCATCCGCAACGCCAGAGGCATTGCAAGGGTGCTGCCGGCCTTTTAAAAGGGAATAAGTTGTTTAATTTAAGCATACATGTCGTCTGGAAGTTGATTCTGAATCGTGGTAAATGACGTGTATTGATTTCTACCTATCCCAAGGTAAAATAGCGTGACACTTTATGATAATGTGAAAGAAATGTACAACTAACATGGCAGATTGCAATCTTAACTTCACAGTGATTTAATTGTCGATGCATTGTTATCATTAAACGTATACGGGAGAATGCAATTTAATTGTTCGAACTAATTAATTATAATTACATCGAAATGATCATCCGCCAATTGCATCCTCTTAAGAGACTTGTTATAAAAGCGCGTATCTGCTACATGGTTGTTATTAGTTAGATAGCAGCTTCCAAGAAGTTCAAGGAAATGTCTCGATTTGTGGTAAGTTTTTTTGATTCTGTTTGTTGTCCATAATAATATCATATATAATAATATCACATCTTTTTTTATGCAACTTAGAAGGGCAAATAATCTGACAGCCCACCTGATGGAAAGTGGTAACCGTTGCCTATAGTCCATATGGACTATCATATGGACTATGGACATCATATGGACTCAGATGTTTCTCTTTACCCTGTAAATTCATTGCTATATCCCACCCTTTAAATCGAAACAGCCACACAAACACAATTGCTTCACGGTAGAAATACGAATTGGACAGAGGTGCCCAAGTACCTATATAGCTTCTGTCAACTAGAAGGGAATTTCTATTTAGGAATGACTAGGTACATCTAAATATGTATACTAATTTATAATAGATGACATTTATCGTACGGTAATTTGTTTTTAATTTACTTTTTCCTTTTTATTTTAGTTTATTACCAAAAGCGAATCGAATATTATTTTATTACTGAGATTTTTTTAAACGATAATATAAAAACAAGCTACAATTTTTTTGTTAAACAATATTGATTGTCTGAACGCCCTTTTTAAAAGGAGTTGCAAAAACGGTCTACATAGTCTTATAAACACAAGAAATAAATTAAAGTAGGTTCATATTTAGTGCGTACTGGTGCTATCGGTTCAGTATGAAAGATAAAAATTGTATCCATACTTGATAGGTATGTATGTTTTCCTTTAGGGTTGCTAGATGCGATTTTTTTATTTTTACTCAATCACCAACTTGTATCAATTTCACTATGTTTTGCCATAAATCACAAAATGAACGACAAAGAAACGCGCTTCCATATATTTTATACTTTTACCATTCTTATCCTATCCCATCTTCTGTTTTGCTACCTTTATTCATATATTTTATACATGGCTCCACGATTTACAACTATCAATACTGCCAATTTACTAAAATTTTTCCAGTCCATTTAATTTTTTTCCAAAATTTCGATAACAAAAACTTTTATCCAAAATTATAAAAAAAAAAAATATCCTAATCTGACAATGCTGTCCTTTAAAAAAAGCTTGTTTATTTTCATTAATACTATTGCTGAATCCTGGAGTGTTTTACTTCTTCTGTACACTGTATACTGTATGTAATAAGAATTTTACATCAATTGCCGCTTTTTAATCTTAATAATATTTCTTTCTCATTGAAAAAAAAAAAAGAGTTTATATAATACAAGAATCGATGTCTGTCAATTTAAGTATAAGACAGACAGCTTTTTCTTAAGATATTATTATTAACTAGTGGCCCATTCCGGCTTCGCACGAGTGGTCATTTTTACATTTTAAAAAGTGGCCATTAAGGCTGCACACGCAACGGAAACTTAAAAATAAAGTAACTTCTCCCGTTTTCCCAACATTTCCTTTCACTGCTCTGCTCCTATTGATCGTAGCGTAATGAAAAGTATACTATAACCTGCCCAGGAGTATAAAAAATAATTGTACCAAGTTTTATTAAAATCCGTCGAGTAGTTTTTGTTTCTATAACGAACATACAGACAGACAGACAAAAATTTTACTGATTGCATTTTTGGCATCAGTATCGATCACTAATCATACCCTGATAGTTATTTTGGAAATATATATCATGTACACAATTGACCACTCTACAGATTTATTATAAGTATAGATATATGTATAATGCATTTGAACACAAATGATATAAGCGTAATATGTCAGCTTATTTCTGAAAGCATTTCTTTTTATCAAAGCAAATGTTAAATATTAAAATTTGTAGTGTTTCCCGCTATATTTTACTGATTTGATTTTATATATTATACAGATTTTTGTCTGCGTCCTTATGCTGGCATCGGCAATGGTGACCGCCGACATGCCATCGGAAGTGAAGCCTTCCGACCAGAAGCTCCCTGATACCAAGATTCCTGACACACCTAAATTGCCCGAAACCAAAGGACTTCCGAGTCTTGGAGGGAAGAGCAAGTAGCACTGTTCCTCGGAATCGATCTGCACCCGACGAAAACCACGCATCTTATATAGTTACATTGAGTAGAATTATTCATGTAATAGAATAAGTACAAAGAAACACATTTTTGCTATATGGAATTTTTAAAAAAGATTATTTACCGTGTTGAATGTACAAAATAAATTACGCTGCAGCAATCCTTCTTTTTTTTAACACTAGCTGTATCCCGCGGCTTTGCCCGCGAATCTGTCTGTGAATATAAAGTATTCTATATGCTAAGTTAGGGTATAACCTATCCGCATGCCAAATTTCATTTAAATCCTTTCAGTGGTTTTTGTGTGAAAGAGTGACAGACTTCCATCTATCTTCACAAACTTTCGCATTTATGTTAGTGGTAGGACTAGCAGTGTCCTGCGGCTTTGTCGAATAGTTATTTTATTCATGAAATGAACTATCAAAAGAAAAAATAATTTTTCAAATTCGGCAGGTATATGCAGAGATTATCGCGTTCAAATAAATAAACAAACTAAATATTAGTATTGAGATTTTCTGATAAGGTTGTTATTTCAGACATGTGTAATTTCAATATAAACCGAATACAAAGCTATCGTCTGATAAGCTAATAGGTCTTTGAGTGCAACGAAATTGGATTAAAAAGTTAATTTGAAGAATATTAGAAAGCGCCACCTTCACGTGAATCGAGAGTGGATGACATATTACAATTAAATACAGTTTTTAGATATTGAACTCGATTAGTGGATCTATAGAAAAACTAGCTGATTCCGTAAACGTTGTTTTTCTATATACATTATTTCTAGAATTATACATGAAAATTTATCCTACTACAATTATTATATTGTATTGCCATCTTGCAACTCTATTGCAGCATATAAAAATCGCGATTAAAAAACAGGAGTTGATCGTAAAACGGTGAAAATTTGAGGTTGTATGTATTTTTCAATGCTAAATCATAATAAAATAAAAATGGAAAAATATGTCAAAAAATAAAAAAAAAATTTTGGGGAGGGTCACCCTTATCATTGAGGTGTATAAAAAATAAATGTTGGCCGATTCTCAGACCTATCCAATATGCACACAAAATTTCATAAAAATCGGTAAAGCCGTTTCGGAGGAGTATATAAGATTTATTAACCCAGCTGGCATTAATTTGCCTGGTAATTAAAACTTATTTGTTTATATGACATGAGTTTGATTATTTAAAAGAAATATACTTATGCATCGACCTAGATGAGGTAATCATAGATATAAATTGACTTTTGCCATTGTGGTTAAATTAACATTCAGTTTGTTACCAAATCGGGTAAATTGACTGTAAATTACATGATTAAGTATTTCATGTGGACATTACTGAAGATCGTGGGCTAGATTTTACCCAAGTGCCAAAAAAGAGGTGTAATATTTACAAAGCGCTGGCATGTTAACATTATTTTTATATTTTTGTAATGTTATTTTGTCTTATTATAAAAAATGGGTGGTTTGGTTCTAATAACTGAAATAAGTCGTTGGATTTATAAGTAATATCTTAAAGTTATATTTCTAATAAAGTATTTAATAATATAACAATAAAAAATTAACGACTGTCATAATTAAAGTTTATTATTATACGTATTAATAAAGTTCACTGTACTTATAGCAGTTGTCAAATATTTACTATTATTTTCTTTAAATTAAAATGAATTCTAACCTATATATGAGTAGATATAATATGAAAAGAAGACTCATTGTAAGAATTTTATTAATAGATTAATTGATTTTATTGGGCATCATTAGTTCTTAAAAAAAATTAGCGATCCGTCCCGGCTTCGTTCTGGTTGATAGACGATAGAAAGATAAATTAGAATTTTATTTAATATAGCTTCAATGGGCGATTTTTTTATACCTTCGGATATATTTTAGCAAATAAATGTAATTATTCATGATATTATTATAATTATTCATCATATATAATATAGTTTAATTAATACATTAATAATTTATTTACATATTAAGTAAGTAAGTATATATAATTATATGATGAATATATATACCTATATATATATATATATATATATATATATATATATCACATCTATAGACAGGGCAATGCGTCTCTAATTATGTTATAATCGTTTGGGACTGGTTGATGGTTGTAGTATGAAACCGTGCACAGTATATTTCTGTATATAGGACATTCTAACGGGCCCTTCTATAACGACAGAGTTTCGACATCACATTTATGAGGAGCTTATTCAATGCTGTATCATGTAAAAACACGAGCACGTTAGAGCACGGAACGTGCTCGTGAACGGATCACGTGTTCTCTAGAGTCTAGAGTACTAAAATTAGTATTAATAAAAACAAAAAAAGGTCATACACTATATTTATATATTATCTACATACTTTCACTCATCGACGTTACGTATGATCGTGTTCACGATTTGATAGCATGATTTTGATGAAATGTACCTATTGGAATTATTCAAATATTGAAAAATATGTTAATTCATTCAGAATATTCTATGAAATTTACCGTGTGGTCCCGGCATAAATGGACGAACGATGGGCAGCAATTGCCCTTTTAAAACATCTCTAAAACCTAACTGTAATTGCCAATCCGCTTGCCAAGCGTGGCAACTAAAGCGCCCACCCCCAAGGGGAAGGCTGCTTATGTTCAGCAGTGGACAATTAAAAGCTGATATGATGAGTCTATAAAATGAATTATCTGAAATGAAGGATCTAAATTAAATCGAGGACAAATGAAGGTAAGGTATACAGGATGTTTATGTAACTCATTTCTACTCTACATCGACTCCTATTTAGAAATTTATAATAAAATTAATATTACTTCAAATAAAAGAAAAAAAATGTTTATTATTTACTATATTTTTGTAATTAATGCATACCTACAGTACATCTTTGTAAACCCACTATCTTTTAATCAGTTTCTTAACATATTTCTTTACATTACAATCAGTAAGTATTTATTTGTAACAAGTACTGTATATCGTGTCTTGTGCTCGCTCAGGGTAGTGCTGTTACATGTATTTCTTGACATAATAAAAATTATCCTCAAAAATACTACCATGACAACTCTTTTAAATTGTTTGTAGATAGATAAAACTATAAAATCCAAATTGACACAAGAGTAACTTATTTTTAATTATACCAGCTAGAAAAGTATCTAACTTTTTTACAGTCTTACTGCTTCCAATTCGTTCCATATTTGAACTTTAATGTGAGTTTAAACATTGTACCATAGAGCATCAATTATCTCATTTATCTGCGACTATCTGAGACGCTGTCGTTGGAATCCCCTTCGTTGCTGTTATCGGGAACCGGAGGTGGATTTGGAGTGGTGTTGGTGATGGTGACGGTAGTTGTGGTGCTACTGTCTGCGGGCGGTGCGGGGTTATCATCGGCTGCAGACGTCGCAGCGACCAGTAGCACGCAGGCAGCGAAAAGTATCTGAAATTTAGAAATTTTAAGTCGATATTTAAAGGCACGTAATTTTCTCGAAATATTTTTATAACTACCCAGTGCAAATGATCTCCAGCGTGAACAGAATTATCGAGATATTGTTTTGATTATGTATTTTATTGGTGTGGTATTAAATGAGAATATCATTGGAGTATCAATAGAATAAATTAAGTAAGTTTTCACTTACTTAGTTTATCTTGTCAATAAAAAAAACTTAAAGAACGGTAGTGGTATAGTTAAATAGACAACCTTTACTAACGTTAACAGACCACACTATGATATCGTTTAAAAAGAAACAAAAATTTAATGCAAACGATAAACTTTAAAATATTAAAACTAGAAAAAAAATATGGTATATTTGATTGGTCAATGAATTATTTAATTATCATATCAGCCGTTAGCTGAACATATGAGTAGGCTACCCCCTATTGGGGTGGCTTTGTTTTTTTAATGGGTGATAATGGAATGGTAACCCCACCCGCGCTATCGGTATACACCGGCGGGGTACAAATGAGGGATGATAGGTGAGGACGAAGCAGGTCAGTTAGCCCATCGTGACGAATTGGATAAGAATTGTTCACGATGGTTTCCAGGGGAGACCAAGTGGAGGGTGTATTGTTAACAATGAGGTTGTTAAATCTCATTACTAACAATCTCTTTGGGGTGGCTTTGTTAGTAGTTACACGGATTGGTGTTCAGTTAGGCTTTGGTAATGTTTAAAGAGGAACACTGTTGCCCATCAGACGATCATTAAGTTTTTTTAATCGCTTCTCACGACATCCACGGGAAAGAAAGGGATAGCGCAGTCTATATCAGGACCATACGGCGAATTATCTAAATAATAATAATAATTAAAATTTTCTATTAGTTGTTTGACTTTATATTCATGTATATTATTCTATATAATTTCCTGTAATTGTTTATATCTATAATAAGTTTACTATTGTAATCTTATGGAGGAAACAATAAATAATATCTATTTAAGATTAATATCACTATTACTAAAAATTACCAAGAATGAAATACTTACGGCAAATTTCCCCATATTGAAAGGTTGACGGACAAAGAACCGTTGATCGTGAAGTCTTCTGTGGACTTGAGGAAGGAACAGCTACATATCCTTTTATATCTAAAGTCCATTAATGATGCGTGTGAAATGATGAAATGAGCTTGGACAATTGGATAATGACACAAATTGCTACGGGAAACAATTAGACAGACAATTAAAATGACGTTCATGATTAGGAAAAAATATTGATAGATTAACAATGAAGCGCCTAGGAGGTTCCGCACCATTATAAGTTTAAGGTGATAAACTGGCGTATGATCTAAGCAGTCATCAGCACTTATTATATTAGTAAGTAGCCTACGGATGTCTACAGGACACGTGTAAGTTGCTGTGATATTATTGGTATAATTATGCATATTAATATTGTGCCACTCATATAATTATGGTTACGACTGTAATTACAAATGGTATATTTAGAGACATATGTTGCCATTATGGTGTTAATAACATAAAACCAAAAGTTTTCATTTTGATCTATTTTCCTATTGATCGAAGGATTTAATAGTGGGATTAAATTTTTCATTTATGGACCAAATAAACAGTAGGTCTACATTTTAGCGTAGATGTAGTCAAAAAGGCAAAAATTAAGCAGTATATTTCTCGGAAGATCTATATTGTTAGATAGTAATTAAAATAATTTTGTTTAACAAATCATTACAATAAAAATACTAATAATATTAATTAATAATAAAATACTAAAAATAGTAATAATAAAATATAATTTCATTCAAATTAACTCAGTATTGATAAACAAAGTAATTCACGTATTCATTTATATAATAGCTAAGTAGTTATGGGTTTCATTGATGTAATTACTTAAGGTAGAAAGGGAGGGAGACTTTGATTGAGAGATAGATAATAGGTACAAAAAAGTGACCTAGCAATATTTTATTCGAATTTTTAGAATACAAAACCATAAAAACATGCTTATTTTATGATTTAGATACCTTTTCATTTCATCTCATTACTGTAGCTATATACAGAATTACTAAAATATTAAAAATACAAACATATAACTTCATACATAGTCTCTGACAATTATGTTGAAGCCTTTAATAAAAGGTTCTCTAAGAAGTCAATTGTTATACAAACTAACAAATGACGTTGGTTAATGATGTTGGTAGTTCTTATATATCTTCTTATCTGTATGTAAATTAGGTTACCAGTATATACTGTTAGTATTATCTGGTTTAACTTTATGTTATAAAGTTAAATTAAAAAGTAAAAACGATACAAAACGGACTCCAACGAATATATTTGAAAGAACAAAATAATCAATGCTTAATGGTCTATAATAGTCCATAATGATGCTCATCTTTACTGAATTTATATCTGAGTATAGTTATAAAACAATTTGCAAAAATATAAATTATAAATTAAAAATAACCTATGGTAAATACTATAGGTATTGGCGACCCGCACGCATGCTAAAGGTAAAGGAGTTAAGGGGCCGCCTGAAAATCAGCGCTATATAGGTACATCTCGCTGGAGCTGTATATATATAGCAACAGCTGAGGCGGCTCCTATTACAAGCAACGTTAATTGTTCTTTTTTTCTTTTTGTTGTTTTAATATTTATTTTCTTAATTATGGTAATAAAGGTCATCTATCTATCTATCTATCTATAGGTTATTTTTTTGTTCTGTCACAAATCAATTTTGCTCGGCTGTGTTTATGCGATTATGTTTCGATTTGAAGGTTGGGATATAGCACTGAAATTAGAGTAGTGCATAATGTTTCATAAAGATGTATTCTATGATCTTCATGGATTGCTGTCCATGTTAATAGACGACAGTTGCCAATTTATGTTGTAAGCGGAGAAGAAAGGCATTGGAGACAATGTTATTGAAATAAAACTCGGACTAGATATCTGAATAGCAATTACATTATTTTTATTTTGTAAATATTAATAATATCTGTGCATGTCATAACATTTGGGTTATTTAATAATTAACAGAGGTGTGAAGTATGCTTGCAAATTTAAACAGTTTTTACTTTCCACCGCGAGCGCCGGGGAACGCATCTGAAACGAAAATAACATTTTGATAAATTCACATACTGTTTTTTTGATGACGGCAATAAGTGTATTTAGTACTAGTTGCATAAAAGGATTATATGTTAATCTGGGATATATACAAAATCTCATTTAAAGCTGTTTAAACGTTTGTGTCATTGAGTAATATATCCAAATAAAAATATTACAACACACTCATTCCGTAAATCGAATTATAATATTAGTAAAAAAATTAAAGATAAGGATTTGATGCTACGAATAAGTATTGTTCGCGCGTCTAAATTACCCAAAAAATTAATACAGACAAAATGTACGATATGCATTACAATGTCTTTTTTTCCGGCCATTGCTTTGGTTCATTGTTGTCTAAAATTGGTATTATAATTGTTAAAACCAAAAAACCTTTAGTTTTTATCAAGTAATTGTATCCTTGAGCTAAAATAAGTATTTATATAATTATTTTGATGATATAATATTATTATAAACTTACATTGCTTGTAGGGGTAGTTGGGACTAGGACGGCTGCCTTCAACCAATGCGGGTCCGGTGCCTGCAAAAAAAAGTATATAAATGTACTAAACATTCTACTGAAATACAATTATATTCTGTGATTCTACAGGCATTTAAAAAATTAATAATATTATTAGAATTCATTTAAACATATAACAATTATAGGAACCCTAATGGCTTTGTCAGTAGATATTAATTATTAATTCTATAATATCAGAAACATTTGTTATTGTTAAAGTTCAATAAGTAAGTAATAAATTAATGAAGATGAAATAGAACGGGCACTTACAAGGCGACATGCATTGTGGATATTCAAGAATCTGAACTAAAAAATCTAGTAAATAAACAGCTTTTGAACTTACTAATTGGTTCGTATCCACCGTTGGAGTTTGCTGTAAAATAAAATAAAAAAAAACATATAATTTTAATGTATAATAAATATATGAAATATATAAAAAATATTTAAACAAATAGAGATCCTTCTATTGGATAAGTCCGCCATTGTATATTAAATCTTTTAACGTGTACAATCTAAATTAAGTACAATAAAGATTTTACAATACAAAACAATAATTTCATGTAAGAAATCTGGTCAAGCTTTCGTGTTCTATCTGAAAGTGTTATAACGTATATATCGATACCTACCGATACATGAATTCGCCATGTATTTAGAGGCAGTAGTTAAGATATTCAAATATAATTACTCTATGTATATGTTGTTTACTATTTTAAGAAAATATTATTTATATTAGATGTACTAATACAATCAAATATTTAATAATATAATTAAATATTTTTTCACTATCTCTATTATAACAACTGGTGAACAAAACAACAATTGGTGAATTTGTCACGATGGCCAACTGATCCGTTGTCATTCAGTTTCATTCTCACCTATTGTCCTTCATTGGCGTTTTGCCAGCATATATTGAGTTACAATTCCCTAATCACCCATTAAAAAAAATCGATTATAAAAAAGAAAATACTCACGGTTCGTGGGCCTGTAGAACTGTGGGTCGGGGTTGTTGATTACTGTAACAATGCATTAATATATGTTATTAATATTTCCATCTCATGAGAGTTCTTTTTTTAAATTATTTCAAAAAGGAGGAGGTTCTAAATTTGTAAAATTTATTAAACTTTACGAATTTATAGACTTTTATTGGACATTATTATTTATCTATTATTAAATTTTCCATCGAAAGTTTGTTTGATAAAGATCGCTTATATTTAAGGTTTAATGCATTCATATAATTATTTATATTAAGATATTGTTGGGGAGTTGTCAAAAAAGATAATATAATATTATATTATTACATTACTATTATAGGATACTATCAATTCTAAATCGATTTTGTAGACATTTCTTTAATCTGTAAAGTTTAATCCCAAACTTTGAAGATTCATAACAGAACATAATTATCAATTTCAAATCATTTCTTTTATGAATTAAAAAATTTAAAAATATTACAAAATTGATCACTCACCGAAGTCCCCACCATTTTGGGCTGAAAAATAAAATTATTTAATAAGAATGGGTTACGCACTAAAATAAACTATTAAAAATATTTTACATAATATTATTGACATAACTCCCTTAAAGTGGAGGCCTTTGTTCTGTAGTGGATAGTTAACGGCTGATTTAAAACAAATATGGTATCTGTGTAAGGAAAAAGGCCTTTGGCACTTGAATCACTATTAGGGATGAAAGAGGTCTGGCGTGATGTTAGACAGGTAAACATGAATACGGGTGTGTGTATACAGTATAAAGTTTGTAATACATAGGTTCATTTAAGTTTATTTATATATATATATAAAATATAATATTACTGTAAGTGTAAAATATCCTTACGGTTTGTGGGCCTGTAGAAGCCAGGGTCAGGGTTGGTGATTACAGCTGTAACAATAAACAATTAATGATTGTTCTGTTTGACGACTTTCTTGTTTCAGTATATTTATGTTCAAATATACCTATAACAAAAAAATATTATAGATAACTGGATGATAGGTCTTGATGTCAGTCTGCTGAGCACGTCATCGTGATAAAATGAATGACTGGACGTAAGTATCTATTTCAACGAAATTCTCTAATTAATTAAATATTATAGGAACAAAATTAAAGAACTTTTCTCGAACGGTACTTAAATATTCGGTCATTTATTTTCCTTTAGGAACGGAATGCGAAAAAAAAATTATAATGAAATAAATGAAACTGATATTATAGTTTTATTGACATTGTTTTATTGAAAGAATCATGAGATTCAGATTGATCAATTCATGGTGTTAAGTCACTTAGAACGTGGAGTTGGATTGTCATGTTCTTATATAAAGATTACATACAATTGGCCAATTTAATCACTTATTTTTTTTTAGAATTAATTTATCACGTAGATTGTATCGCGGATACATTTAGTTATTTATAAAAAAAATGTGTCAAATTACCACCATCAGATTACATAAATTTTAAATAGAGTAAAATCGATTCTATAAAAGAAAAAATGAAATAATACATTACTGAAAACCTGAGCCAATAAAACATAATACACTGAAGGTAAGGAGTAGTAATAAATATTAAATTATATAGGTAGGTAATGGAAATCCATAATGAATAAACGAAGCTTGTCTCTTTGTCCGCTAACCATTGTTAAAGTAAAGCAATTCTAATGTAATGTTTATGGAATGAATATTAATTCAAAAAGATTGAAATATGACAGATAAATTAGATGTTTGGCTTTGGTATATAGTAAATGTTATAATATTTTTATAAGGTAATTTAAATGCATAAGCAAAAGCAGGAAAATCTCACCATGCTATGATTCTCACTCCTCAGCCTTAAATGAATAACCTACTATGCGAATATTCATTATAATATCCAATATTTCTACTTTGGTCATTTTTTGGGGTTTCTTTTATAATTTTATATTTTATTTCTAAGCGAATTTCATTGACTGATAAGGATAATAATAAATCATGTAAAAAATGCAAACCTAACCCAACTAAATGTGTGAATCAAGACGAAGTTGTGCTAAGTATTTATGTAATTTATTAACTATAGCATGCGCGACTTACTGTCTTGGCTGTTGGGATCGCTGTTGTCTACAACTTTAACTGAAAATTTGTAATACAAATTCAATTAATATGCCTAATATAAACATTGAAAATGTAGTTCTTTATTCAATATCTGATTTTCAAAAAATTTACAATATATTTATAAGTAATTAATTTGTAATTAATGTACTTATAATAAAACACACATGAGTGTGGCTAAAATATTTACAATTTTATAATTATTATTATGAATAGATTTTATTTCAATAAGTACGTTATACATTTTACCTCTATAATCGGGATTCTCGTCCACTACATTGACTGAAACAAAGGAGTTAAACAGAGATGTAAGCAGTTAGATATAGCATTATCAACGATAGTTATGACAAGTAGGCAGTTATATGTACACAGATCATAAAAAAGTAAAGTATGTTAGAAGAGTAAATAGATAACACAGCGAAACAAACACATAAGCTATATGTAGGTTGTGGTAAAAACAACCTCATGTTTTATTAACGGAGCATTATTATCAAAATAAAAAAAGAGTTTTTACATGAGTATAAATTACAAATGTGGATGAAGCAGGTGATAGAAGCGGTAAAAACAAAGACAGAGATAATTACTAAATATATTACTTTATATATGAAAGGAAATTTATATTCTATAACCTAAGAATAAATTTACTTTTACATAATAAATATGTATTCTTAAGGACAAACACGACCGAAGATGAAAACCATTTAAACATGTAGTTTTTACTATATTTAATTTTTTGGGACTAAAGTGTAAACTTAACTAAATTCGTGGTAATTATGATTTCCATAGCTCTTTATAAAACATATGAGTAGTTTATATAGTATTTCATGTAATATTTTTAAATACCTGTCACATATTTTACGTACCTCTGTCTTGGGCCGAAGCCATCGCTACTATAGCGACGAGGACGATCTGGGAAAGAAAAAATAACTTCATTATGCTAATTTTCAATTAGTAATGAAAGTAAACACTTGTGCGTATACTGAAGTCGACACAATCAATAATTTCTTTCATCATAGCTTATTTATTTAATAGTTTAGCCATCACGTATATGCCGTGTTATCGATAATTTGGTGTCAAATTGTCATCAGATGAATTTTTCTTTCCGATAAGATAATCTGGATGCTGTATCAGTGCTACATGCAAAATAGACATGCTGTATACGTATTTATTTTCATTTATATCTCTTAAATTAACAATTATTTTTTCGTAATTATTGGCAGAAAGCTAAATCCATTCTGATCCTAGTTAAGATTGTTGGTTGGTTTAATTACGGTAATTTTAATAGTATATTTTTATATATAAAATAGATATATCCAATAATTTTGCTCATGATTAACAACAGTCGTTTAAAGTCTAAACTTAACGTTTTCCAAGCGTTCATAACATCGTACCTACAATTGCTGTCTCTATGAGTCCTTTAGGAGCTATAGATCAGATTTATTTTGAATATTTTTGCAATGGTTAGTTGATCTGTCGGCTATTTGCTATTTATTGACTATTCTTATGGTATGTATAACTATAGGTACTCATGCGAAGATTTTGTTCTTAGTACTCAGTTAATTGTTTATATTTTCCTGTGTAAAGTATGTACAATAAAGGTTTTACTATAACAACATCCACTGCGATCTCACAAATATACAGAAGTTTTATTATCTACAAATTATCTTTGGCGACACACTTATACTTTGATTGATAGACTTCCGCTTGTCAGTATTAGAAATCTCTCGAACAGGAAATCAGATAGAATAATCATTTGTATACATTGTGTTTATGTTGTTCTTTATGAATCTACGTCTACCTTTTAGAATATCTCTTTTCGCGAATAATAACAGTCGGTATATGGAAGGAATCGATAGAATATTGGCTCGTCGCCGTGTGCCAAAATCTTAAAAACTTGAGACAACTCGTTGGTAATTGGAACAAGATTTTAATTTTTATTTTTCGTGCGAATTTATTTTTTGTTCTAGTTCGACAATATTATTATTTCGGATTCAGAATCAAATATTGAACTTGCTGTATAATTTTTGGATCGCGGGACAATAATGGCATCAAAGTACACATAGATAAATTATTTCTAATTTTGTATATAACTACCATTATGATTTATTTTGGTTTGTTTTTTCTTGTTTATTACTTAAACTTAGATATATTTGTGTTAAAAGTTTTAATCTAGTCAAATGCTAAATTATATAAAGATAAATAAAATTTATTTAAGGTTCAAATAGAAATGAAATTTTTACCTTTCTTATGACAATATTTGCGAATTGCTAGACATCTGAACAAACAAAGCGCAAACTGTACATAATGTTTGTCATGACTATGAATAGAAACAGAGACTAAGTTGTTAAATGTATGCAGAAATATATTTATTAACTTTTATATATTTAATATGCTGCAAGTGAAATTGATAGCTTATTTTTAATGTCCATTTTACACTTTTTAATAAGTAGATACAATATTGTGTGTAATATTTTAGAATTTATTGCGTATCAGAGATGATCTAAGATGGCAAACTAAACATATTAATAATAATTGATTTTATTAGATTATAATTATGAAAAAAATTGTAGCTATGGAATCAATACGGGAGTTAATTTAATATATTGATTGCACAAAATTTATTAAATCGGTTCAGTATCTTGTGAAAATATCGCATAATAAACAAGATACAGCTAAAATAAGAATAGCAACTTTTTAAAGTCGTGTAAATAAATTTCACTCATTTCACTGCCACTTATCATTTTGCTTATCAACTATAAATTTGTACACAGAAACATAAAATGAAGCAACCGACTTGAGAACTTCTCTTTGAAGTTGGTTAATAATTAGCTACCTACTTATTTTTAGGAGAGCAAGCACTTTAACAAATTTAGACCAGATATTTTGCGACGATTCTTTTCAATATTGGCCGGGAATTTGATAAGCGCTTAGGTTATAACTAAAATTTGTTGATTAACTAATCACTGCGTGATCGTGTGACACGTAAACTGCTAATGAAAAGATAAGTAATCGAATATTTATCACATACCTATACTTGTGTGTAAGTTTAATTAAAATTGTTTGGAATACGGCATAGTCTAAAAAAAGTTTGCGTTAATTACGTAGATACATATTTACACCAGTTACTGTTTAGTCCTCGTATTACAATATACCACCAAAAATCAGCGCTACGGATACTCCGCAGCTTAATACTGAGTTGGACTTTTCAAAATAGAGGCACATAAAATTACCAAAAAATTTTTGTTTCGCTTATAAATTCATGAATTGTGTACTTGTAATGGTAATTAAATAATTTATCTATCTATCTGTCTTTTATTATTAAAATTCACGCGTACTAAGTGGCGGTCAAAAGTTGACATTACAAATAGGTGATCGAATTTTAAAATTAAGATTAATTCTTCTAATTAGTAAAAAAAAAAAGAAAAGATAAAAGGAGAATATTAAATCTAATTCTTTAGCAATTCCATCTGTTTGCGTGTATCAGGTCAGTTAACTTTTATGCACATCTTCCTCCTTTATTGAGTAATTGACAATAAATTTTTAACGGATCTTTTGTTATATGTTTTGATCTTCTCTCACAAAGAGGCCACGGCCTTTCTGCCATTATCAAGGTCAGCACGTAAATAAAATGTTTGCTCTTTTTTTGTCATTTCGTTTAGTTGTGTCTGTTGTGTAGACAATTGCATCACCACTCTTTATATTAGTATTTATGTAAACCAATCTATGTATGTTGGGATAAAAGTGTTTACCTATTATAATTTTTTACTAGTTATTGGACATATTTATAGATATGATCACATTTTTGTTCTTTAAGCATAAAATGGGAATCTTTAGGAAATCAGTAACTATTTTACCAGAGGGAGACTACAAAAGTCGATTGTTTGGGTACCTTTGTCCCATTCGTGTTTCTACCGTGAAGCAGTTGTGTTTGCATGGCTGTGTTTCGGTTTGAAGGGTGGGATATGGCGTGAATTTATAGGGTACAGAGGAATAACATCTGAATGCTCAGGATTGGCAACGCATGGGGGGTATCATGGGCGAAACAGTATACTCTGTTTTGTCCATGGTACTGCCCATGTCTATAGGCGACGGTTACCACTTTCCGTCAGGTGGGCCGTCAGCTTGTTTGCCATTCTAAGTTGTATAAAAAGAAACATATTAATTTAAAACATTGTGCAGAATTTTTTTATGTAACGTAGAATGGTAAACAAACTAATTGCCTATTCGAAAGAAATTGATTACTGCCGCTTGTAGACACGAAAAAAAAACATTGACATTACAGAATATTCTGTGATCCCAATGTCCTCTTGCGTTGCCGTTTCTAAAGACTATGGTGTTATGCCTCCATAACCTGTAATTACATGCCATGGAAGAACACTGCTTCACGACAGAAACACGAGCAATGTAAAGTAGGACTGTGAGGAATTTAATACATGAGTGTGTGGCATACCTATTATAATATAATAAAAGATTTTAGGTGCTATATTCATTTGTACTTTACTATGAATTTTTAGTGATCAAATACGGTTTAATAAATATAGAAAAATAGGTAATATAAGTATTAACAACGATTAAATTGAATTCAAATATCATAATAAAGACTATTTCGTTTCTGTTATAAAATATTGACTTTGGTTTTTCTTTCGGTGTGTGTGTTTTTTCTTTTGTTACAAACTAAGTCCACAAATATACGATATATGCACATTTGTACACAGCATTTAATTTTGAATTATAATCTAATTCTTTTGTTTTCTATTTCCTATAAGTTTTTTTTATCAACAACTGTGTTTTTGTCTGCTAATATATCATGTAAATTAATTGCAAATTTGTTAAATTTAATACTAGTCTATTAAATACCGTGATTCCATTTTAAAATGTCATAAACCTCTCACTAGATAGTGATTAGGTATATAATAGACAGAACAACTTTTTAAGCAAATTCAAAAGAGAACGTCTTAATTTGCAATTTAAAAGTCTTTATTTTTTTATGTGTATGTTACAGAACATCTTAAACAATTCTCAATTGCTTATAACGGTTTTATAATTTTTAGTATTATTCCCATATGGATCTTATTTTTAATTTCCTATGATAGGAAAAAAGTCACTTTGTTATACACTAATATTGAGTAGCGTGTAATCAATTGGCTAGTAGATAAAAATTAATTTAATAATTATAAAACAAATCGTTTGAAACTATATCCAAGCAAAACTCACCACAGCTCCTTTCATTGTTAAAAAGTAAAATGAAAATCGGTCACAAATAAAACGAAACGTGTCAAGTCTGAACTTAATGTGTTATTTCGTGTACTAAGCGTATTCTTTTATAGCTGTGACTAGATAACCTACACCGACCCGGGCAAATATTGTAAGATTCGCTTGTTTAAACAACTCTAAGGTTCCAACGAACATACATGATTTTCCTTTATGTATTCCGCTAAATTTACGAATTTATTTTGACAATGTTTACAATGTAAACACGTGGCTGTACACAATGATCGTTTTCGGTGAAAGGTACAATAATATTTTTAAATGACGTCTTGTATTTGTTAACAGGAAATTTACTAATTTAAAAATGTATAAATGTTATTGTTCTTATCTCCTATTAATTTATTTTTTCGTTTAAATTCTCAGAAACAATAAAATACGTAAGTATTAAGTAGGTATTTAGTTATTTCCCGCGCGAATGGGTATTACATTTAGATAATAGGTAATATTTTTCATCAATTTTCGATTTCAGCTGACAATAAATATCTTCTCTATATAATGTCATAAGGCTTCTGAGCCATATATAGTGGTTATATACTTCCAAAATCCACGCGCATACAGTCCGGGGTAAAAGCTAGTTTGATATTAAATTAATAACTTGCATACATTTTTTTGAGTGACCACAAACACCGTGACACGTGATATACATATAACGGTCCTGTTATATGTATATCACGTATCACGGTGTTTGTGGTCATATTCCTTCAAAACGGCTCGACCGATTTTTATAATTTTTTTATGTATATTTGTATAAGAATAGGCCGTAAAGTATATTTCATACCACTAGATGTTTAGGGTGTCCTTGTCCCCAATTTATACCTAAGCCAGAACAACATTTGCTGGGTTAGCCAGTTTTTTTTATAACAAGGTATATGAACTAAGGGAAACATCATATATATATATAGTTTTAATGTCATAAATGTATTTACGCTAAGTTTGAGCTTCCTTTTCGTACATTTATTAAGGTACATCATTGAGAAAATTAATTATCTATTGCGTTGCCCATAAGGCTGTATGCGCTTATTTCCTTTACCGCTCTCTATTGGATAAACGAATAAAAACATCAAAATGTCAAATTTACTTACTAATGTTCATGAATCGGCTTTTGTTTCCGATTCTAAAAATACGTATTTAGTAACAGGAACTTATGAATATTATCATTACATGTGCGATGGATTTGATGATAGGGTGATTATTTTGATATATAAAATTTTTGATGTATAATATTCCAATTCGTAAGAATTTTAGGTTATGTTTATTTACATTTTCAGGGTTGGGGATGTGGCTATAGAACTTTACAGACGATATGTTCCTGGATGAACTATAACTATCAAAATAAGGAGGTTCCCTCTTTGAGAGAAATACAAGACATTTTGGTACAGTTGGAAGACAAGCCGAAATCATTTTTAGGATCAAGACAGTGGATTGGCAGTTTTGAAGTAAGATCCAGTCTGGTTTTATTTTTATTTTTTGTATTGAATGTGAAGTTGTTGTAATAGTGAATAATATCCTTTATGGACTTTAAACGATTTATATATAGGTAGGTATTATAAATGTTATTGAATAAAATAGGAATCAATATTAACCCAATACCCAAGGTGTAATGTTTTGCAAGTCCCTAATAATAAAGACATTTAAAATTAAGAAAGTGTACTCACCATTGAACTATTACTGTTTTTCTAGTTAGTTAGTTTAGTTAGTTATCATTTGTACAATTAGGGTTAATGACTCTAAACTTGTATTAAGTTTACTGCAATAATGGAAAAGTTATCACTTTAGATAAATATCTTTTGTCAACAATAATATAAGTATACTTATCTAACATTGTTGTATTTTAGATATATTATTATTTATTTTCAGGTATGTCTAGTTATAGATAAATTGTATGATGTCCCATGTAAAATAGTTCATGTAAATAAAGGAGATGAGTTGCAAAAAATTGTGGAAGTTCTTGTGACACATTTCAAAACGTTTGGCAGTCCTGTGATGATGGGTGGAGATGTTGACTGTTCATCTAAAGGCATCATGGGCATTCGGTTGGGGGAAAGGGATGCAAGTTTATTGATAGTGGTTAGTTCTTGTAAAATACTTTATTCACTTTATTAATAATAATGTTAATTAATAATTTAAATTTAGTATTAATTTACAAAAATAATTTTTTAATCAAAATAATGAGATTCCCAAATCTACTATATTTATATTTATAGTTTGTGATCTTCTCTATTATAATATCTATTATAATTCTGAATACATTTTTGATTATTTTAATTAAAAGTATTTATTCTCATGTTACCCATGTATTTTGTATTATATATATTAATGTGACTAAATTTGAAATTGTTTAAAAAATACATCATAGTCATATTTAATATTTACCTTATTTGAGAAATAAACTTTCTTTTTTTTCAGGCCACCATGTGAGATAATTTTATTCTAGAATACCTTAATTTGTCTTGATATGGTCTATTAGTTACAAAATAAATCAATTTTCACATTTCAGGATCCTCACTACGTTGGAAGGGAACAGACTAAAGAATTCCTCTTCAATAAAGGTTGGGTGAAATGGCAGCCACTACAGGATTTTTTAAGTTCCTCATTCTACAATTTATGCCTGCCTCAAGTTAAAGCACAGTATAAAAATGAAGATATGAGTAGATAATATATAAGTATAAAATATGTAAGGAATAAAGGTATATATTTCCGTTTATGAAATAAAATGTTAAAGGAAATGTAATAATCAGTCTTTATTTCAAAATTCATAACTATATTAGTCTTAAATTGTTTAATACTGACATTAATACTAATTAGAATCATAATCATAATACTTACTAAATCAGTCAAAAGGACAAAACATTATTAGACTGTTTTAAGCATAAGACACACTTAATGTGACTAAAGTATAAATTTAAATTAATGTATACTCCAGTAATCAATGTAATAGTTATTTACAATCTGTATAATTATTCTGCTATATAAGTGAGTGCTCAGATGAGTGACTTTTTGCTCACAAAGGAAACAATTCCCAATGTATTTCAACTGAAGACCCCACAGACAAGCATGCAAGGCAATTTTTGTATTTGGAAAGATTAACAACGAATACACATGATTGTCACTTGTCAAAGAAAAGTAAAATAAAACCTTATAACAGGCTATCTAGCCAGCATGACAAAAATGAGTTAGAATCTTCTCCTTATGATACTTATCCCCAGTAGTGGGATATGTGATCTCTTGCAAGATGTCGTTATGCTAGTGTCATTGTGAATTCATAATGAAACTACGCAAATAATATTACGAAACATTTGACAGATTAGCTATATCATAATTCAGTCTGAGTTCATAATGAGACAAACACCCTGGAGGATCCAGTGGCTGCAGTGTTCCGCGGTCCACAGGTCGGACTCGAACACCAACCCTACGCCCATCGCGTTGCGCCGCTGCGATGTCGTGTACACGGGCGTCCGTAGTGTGTTCTAGAAACAAGAAATATACATATTTGTTCATATTTATTTTAAGTAGGTCACTGCAAATATGGAGAATTTCTGCCAATGAGACTGAAGATATATTTTGTCACTAATAAATTTACGCAAAGTGTAAATAGTAGTATCTTATCTACTTAAATTTGACCCCATGACCAAATTTGACAGTCCGGCCACGGAGTACCAACACCATAACTAGGTATTTCTATAATGTGAAAGTAAGTTTGTAACCTCTTGGCACCATAACCATAACGGAGAAGGACAAAGGCTATAGAAATGTGTAGGCACATTAATATTTTTCTGTCTTCAACTAAACAAACATCCTTTTAGTAGTTTACATAATACGTATTTATTTATGTTCATATATAATTTGTTATCTGTAGCGGAAATAACCGTTTTTTTTAGTAATTCTATAATCAAGGTCACCGTTCGACTGCAATTTACGCATATTTAGACTGTATTGTTGTTGAAAAATTGTGTTGTTTAGGGGAAATTGATTTACGAAAATTTTCTGGATGGTTAAATAGTAAATATTTTAAAATGCTATAGCTACATCATGCCATAATAATAAAGCGGTAGATAAAAAAAAATATGTAGGAAGCAAAACAGCAAAAAATTTAAAGCAATAAAAGTAAAAAGTTCATTCCAGGGTCGTAAAAGTGAAAAGCAATGAAATAGCAAAAAAAAGGCAACAAAGCTAATAAAAGTGAAATAGCAAAAAGCAAATAAAAGTACAATAGTTAACCTGCAGTTTGAGTTTGTGGAACTCGATGGGTATGATGTACATAATGGGGAGCTCTGTGACGAGGACTTTAGGATGCGAGCGTCGCAGGCAGCCTTCCTCCAGGTCCCATCGCGCACCTTCCAGGTACAATCCGCGGACGTAGCAACCCTAAGTACATATGCAATGCCTGTATGTATGGCTATTATAATAGGCTATGTAGAACATCGTAGCTGTTACGAATATGATGTCGATTACTATCCTATATATCTAAATCATACGTTACAATATGATTTTTTTTTTTTGTAATTTGGAATAGCAACAAATTTCTGGTCACCGTAATGAAAGTAGTAACCAGTTTTTCCTAAATATAACGATAAGACATTCATATACGAAAACCACGTATCAATAAAGAGTTGCAAAGTTGCTTCATAATCTACGTTGGTAGTTTGACGTAATTTTTTTGGGTGCCGAGAAAATTTTGTTTAAGAGCCCCAGACACGTTAAAGTTAGCCTTGGGGTTACCAATTCATCAAAATAATATGATGAAGATTTGATTATTGTTTGTAATGGAAAAACAAAGAAAATACTTAATCGATTTAAAAAAACTCTTAATATACCTATAGAAAGCTATATTAACAGCGAGTAATATGCACTGTATTTTATCTACCCGTGTCAATCGAGACAGGATGTTAGCAAAATTAAAAAAGACCAGTACGGTGCCGGGTCGCTCCTCGATATCGTCGGGCGAGGTCCACTTGGTGACGCGCGTGAACTGCGTGGAGCGGTCGAGTGGCCAGGTGTAGAGGCGACAAGCGATCTGCACGTGCGCGATCAAGTATGACTCCGGAATGTGCAGCCCCGACAGCCACATCACCACCGGCTCCTCCATCGTCGCCTGTGTGTAGTGGTATTTTTTTATGATGCGTAGTATATCTAATAAATTGAGGGCCTATCTAATGGAAAGTAGTAACCGTCGCCTATAGAAATGAATAGCACTATGAAAATTACAGAATACATTATCATTGGATATCAGTTTGTGTTGCTATTTTTGAGCAATGATGTTAACTCTATTTCCACTTCTCGTCTTCATCATCAAATTGGCTCGATGTTACATAAGTATTTCTACACAATCAGACACAATAAGAAGTTAAAAAATAGTCGGCAAATTTTGAACTGAAATATAAAATGACGTGTTGTAATTTGAAGTGTTCCTTTGTTTATGTTAAATTCCCAATTTGCAATACAGTGTAAAACACTAATAGTTAAAATAAATTTATAAAAAAAGCTATATATTTAATCCTTAAAACAATAAATGTGTAATTCAGCTTATTTGTAGATAACAAACAAACTCATCTTGATGTTTTAAGTAATCAACGGTATGGTATTTTAGGTGGAAAAATAGTAAGTGATGGTTATGCGGATGAAGTTGCGTGTAAAAGCTAGTTATAAATAGTTATTGTCAAAGAAAAAAAAAATCATATTATGATAAATCATAAAGTAAGTAACATTATAATCACAAAATTTAATAAATCGGTCGCCAACGTCCATACCACGTTGAAAACACCGGTTCTCGTCCGATCACCGAAGTTAAGCAACGTCGGGCGCGGTCAGTACTTGGATGGGTGACCGCCTGGGAACACCGCGTGACGTTGGCTTTTTTATAGATATTCTTCTAGATTCTTTTTTATTAATTTATCAGAAAAAAGAAACATGGCGAAGGACCGACCCAGTTTGTGTACTGCTTGGTGCGCGCAATGAAGTGGTCCATCCATCCGCCGAGCCGCTTGCACGTGGCGGGCGCGAGCTGCCGCCAAACGAGTGGCAGCTGCCCGTTGAACAGACTGTAGGCCACGTTGTCCAATACTGCATCCATGCCGATCTCGCCGGCCAGTGCCTTCCGCAGCAACGACAACGTGCTGTGCATGCGGCTGATTAGCCGGTTGAACCTACGTGTACACATACATTGATGGCATCACACGTCCAAATACTTTACACTAGTAGTAGTAAAGCCCATATTTCCCTTTTTAGTCCGTTTTTCTTTTCTCCATATTGCTAGAGAAATATATCCTGCCGTGTCGATGCCTCGGCATAGAATAGGCCTCCCCTTCCTTTCCCGTGGGTGTCGTAAGAGGCGACGAAGGTAACTTAATGGTCGAGGGATGGGTAGCAGCGTCCCTCTTAAAACATTACTAAAGGCTTGACTACGATTGCTAACATGCCTGCTAACCAACTGCTGCCAACGTGGTAACTACTAGCAACCCCCCCCCCCCTGATCTATGGGGGAGGCCTGTGGGCGGTTAATGGCTGAGATGATGATGATGAATATGTCCTATCAGATTGATCTCTACGCGGTCCTCTTTGGAAACCATTGTGGTTAATTCCTAGTGAATTTATCGCGGGCTAACTAACCTGAAGGCCTACCATGAAATGTTAAATTAAATAATGTTTAATTAAATGGAAATTTCAGGGCCGGACGAAACACAAATTTTATGTTAAAATTACATAATAGACACTGTTTAAAAATATTAAACATGTGATAATGTTGTTTATTTAAACTCTTATGGTTGGATTTATGACAAACAAAATGTTAAGCTCCATTTACTAGGCCGATTTCGGTATGAACAAAAAAATTAAATTGAATTCGAATATTCGGAATTTCATTTCACGGTAGATCCCCTGATCCTTACATATCATCTGTCAATATATATCTATCGACATCAGCTATATATTATATATCAATATACTGATAGCGCAAATGGAGTTGCAATCCCCTTTAAAAACACACATATGTGTTGCGCACGGCTTACGCACAACAATGGATGTGAAATGAAATATTTATTTGCTTTAGACAGATGTTTAACATAATAAAGGCCATGTGACGACAGAACTTTATGACATCTGTTTAATTGCCTTAAAATTGTAGGCATGCAAAATTAATTTATTGAATAAATTAAATCTTTTCTGTCGCATGGCCTTTAAAATATTAAAAGTCTGTTTAAAGCAAATATTTCATTTACTTTCATTTGTGAACGAAATCATGGTGAGGGTTTTTTAATGGATGACAATGGAATTGTAACTCCGTCTGGGCTAACGGTATACGCTGGCGAGGCAACAGTAAGGAATGATAGGTGAGGATGAAAAGACAGGCCAGTTAGCCTATCGTGATGAATGCACCTGGAATTAAGCACGATGGTTTCCATGGGGGACCACGTGGAGGTTGATCAGTCAGGCTATATTGCTAGCAATGAGACTGCTAGTTCGTATTACTAACAATCTTCCCCCGAAGGTGAGAGGATAGTAGCACGAATTTTAACACTTCGTGCGAGTGTGTCGCCTTCTAGTGTCTAGTCATATTCAATAAATAAAGTATGCGGCCTTAGCGGGTCACCTCTCGAGCTCCTGCAGCAGCACGACGAGCGTGGGCGTGATGTTCATCTCGAACTGCTTGCGCACGCGCCACACCTCGTACTGCGCGGGCAGCTTGCTCAGCACGTCCACCGCGATCGTGTCGATGAAGTCCTCGCGGCTCATCGCGCCACTACCTTCGCCTGGTTACACAGAATATAATTGTGTCACAAAAAAAACCGACCTCAACTATGACAAAAACTTGATTTAAAAACTAAACTACTGTTTTTTTTTTTTTTATAAAATGTCTATAGAACCAATCTCCGTATATCCTTTAAGATAATAAATAATTTTCCAAATCGGTTTACATTTGATGTAGTTATGATTAACCGTTCATTTTTTTAGTCGTTCAACTGATTTTAATGAAATATTGTAAATGTGTATTGTTTGCTCCAATTCGATTTAGTCTAATAAAAAAAATGTCCCGGTAGGTGGTGATAGGAAGCAAAATAACGTTTACCGGGTCATGATTAAATAAATTATGAAATTGACTTTTTTTATTGTGATTCTATCGCTTAGTTCGGAATATCGTTATATATTGAAAAAAACTTAACAAGAAACTCGACAACAGATATGTTATTTACAAGTTTGGAAATTTGATTGTACAACAAATATATAGCACATTAATAAAACATTTTATAAGCCACTATCAAATACCTACCAATACAGTATCTCTGACTATTGTTAAAATTTGGACAGCATAGGTTTTTTTTTTAATTTACTTGAGCAAAGACAACGATAGTCTGTTTAGATAGAACGTTATAAAAATGTTTGAATTCTCTAAATGAAATTAGTAACCAATCAAAGCATTTAGTCGATTTTTCATTTGTACTATAATTTTTTTAATGGGCGAAAATGGAATAGCAACCCAGCCTACGCCATCGGTATACGCTGGCGGGGCAATAGGATAAAGATGAACGTAGGTCAGTTGGCCCAATCCAAAAATTCCAAAATGACAAGAATTAAACTGGACAGTTTCCAGAGGAAACCGCGTGGAGGTCAACCTGATAGAATATATTGCTAGCAATGGGAGTGTTATAACTCATTACTAACAATACCTTTTCACCTCATGTGCTACTATTAGATATCAGCAAAGTGTCTTATTATTAGGTTCTAATGATATACTTAAAATATAAAATAAATCATTTTAGTTACTGACCTGACGCACCATCTCTCACTAGGAAGCATCCATGATAATGTTGTGTTTATATTAAAAAAATAATAATGTATCTTATTGCAAATACTTAATGGTCAATTACATTAGTTTTCATTTTTCGAAACAAAGCAACAATTTGTTAAGCAGACAGTACATAGATAGAGATATTTCCCACTATATAATAATTACTTACGTTCCGATTTTGTTACTGGCAGCGTAAAGTAAATGAAACATTAATTTAAAAAATAATAAAACACAACTTGTGTTTTATTGTGTACAAAATGTAGAAAAAAAATTAAATATTTATGGTCCCATCCTGACCACTATTACATGTAAATAATGTTCGTATGTTACTTCTGAACCCTTATACAAATCGACCAATCATTAAATTTGGTATCGTACGGTTTGGTACGTGGTAATCGTAATGCAATATAGATTTTTTGTGACAATATTAATTCGCTGTATACCTATATATGTATGCAATTTATAATAACTGATTGTGATTGAAGTAAACTTTGATGATCGTTGATGATCGAAATAGATGATTTTATAATTATACTTGCTTTTACACGCGACTTCGCCTGCGTGACGGAGATATGTTTTCTGACCGAGATAAAAAGTAGCCAAATCCTATAGTGATTGGTTAAGCGATTTAAGCGCTATAAGGTAACAAACAAACTCACTTTTACAATCATAGTAATAAGGATACCGCTATCATGTACACAAAATCATCGGAAACTAGTGTAAAATATTTTACCAATTAAATAATATAAATTTATCACTAAAAATCAAATTTTAATTTGCTAATGAAAGAGACGTGATATACGGTATCAATACATGCTACAATTAAAAATTAAATGCAAAAATTAAAAAAATAATAAAATTACATTGAAAACAGCCATCTTTTATGGACACTCCTGGTAATATGGCTGTTTCCTATAAACTTATAACAAACTCTAATTATAAAAAGTGACCAATGTGAACACTCACTGGTCTGTGGTTGTAGCTCGATGAGGTGTCCCCACATCTCGCGCACCGCCTGGCTGAAGTAGCCGATCTCCGCGTTGGGGTGTAGCCCGAACACCTCCGGCGTATTCGCCAACGGCAGGGTGTCGATGAAACCTGTCATATAATGTGAATGACGTATTGTTTTAATGGGATGGAAATGGAATGTTAACTCTTCCTGCGCTATCGGTATTCGCTAGATAATTGGTAAGGATTAAGTCAGATTAGTTCGCAGATTGTGGCGAATTCATCTGGAATTAACCACGATGGTTTTTACTTTTTTAATAGAATGGTAACCCCGCAATTGCTAACGATATACGCTGGCGCAGTACCATCGAGGGATGACAGGTGAGCATGAAAGATTAGACCACAATATGGTTTACAGGGGAACCACCGCGTGGAGGTCCACCTGATAGAGTACATTGCTAGCAATCATTAACAACCCCCTTCTCCCCCACAACTACAATGGTTTTCAGGGGGACCGCGTGGAGTTCAACTACTCGTATTGCTAGTAATGGGGTTCTCCCTCTAGTCGCTATATAGTTCCCTCAGTATATAGTTCCTTTCACAAGCTACGTATTTATTAGGCGTGTAGGTCCACGACATAAATTGGGTTACCCCTTCCTTTCCCGTGGGTATCGTAAAAGACGACTAAGGAAACTTATGGTTAAGGGATGGGCAGTAGCGTCCCTCTTAAAACACCAATAACCAAACTGCGGTGGCCAATCCGCCTGCCAAGCGTGGAAACTACTGGCAAAACCTCTCTTATCGGGGAGGCTATGTTCAGCAGTGGACAGTTAACAGTGGTAATATGGGCAACAGGGGGGGAGGGGGGGTTATTAATAATGCGGACTACCAGTCTCATTGTTAGCAATATGTCCAAAAAGGTCGACCTCCACGTGGTCCCCCCTGGAAACCATCGTTCTGAATTCCAAGTGAATTCATCACGATGGGCTTGATGACCTGCTTTTTCATTCTCACCATCTCTCACTGGTGCCCCGCCAGTGTATACCAATAGCGCAGGCACCCCGCCTGCGCTATCGGTATACACTACCATTCCAATATCATTCATTAAAAAAAAATATGGACAACAAAACATACCTAGAATATTAGTCTAAATTTTATGTTACAATGTTTTCTCTTAATTGTTTATTTGACAACATCGCTAACCGATATAGTCGTCTCGCTCGCCCTCTGGCGGTATCACGTAGTCGAACGTGGCGTCGTGGTAGAAGTGGAACGGCTGGAACTTGTCGAACAGGAACTCGCCCATGTACTCGTCCATGTAGGTGCGCACCACGCGACGGTCGAAGTCGTCGATCACTCGCCCGCCGTACATCACCTGATCACAGTTCACATTACAATATCTATTATGCGGATAGTCCGTTATTAAGGGGTATTAGTAACTCATTACAAGCAAATACAGTATATTGACAGTATATCACAGCTGAACATAGGCCCTCCCCTATAGACTCCCATAAGGAACGGTCCTGAGCCAACTGCATCCAATGACTCCCTGCAATGTATTTCAGGTCGTCACTCCATTTAGTAGGTGATCTTTTGCCCTTACGGGGTCGCCACTCAAGAACCTTTCTTCCCCGTCTGTTGACTGTTCTTCGAGCTATGTGACCAGCCCATTGCCACTTCAGCTTACTTATCCTTCGGGTTATGTCGGTTATTTTGGTTCTTTTGAGGATATCCTCGTATCGGATTCTATATATTCCATATACATAGTAATATTATCTATTAGATTAATCTTTATGTCTCTCGAACGTCTCTGGGAGCTACCATGGTTAATTTTAAATGAATTCGTGACGGTGGGCCTACTGACGTGCTTCCAACGTGTATTAATTATCCCTTATGTTAAACCGATAAAGCCAGCATTTACCAGGTAGCATAGCACAAGTAGCATTTACATCATATATTTTTTAAAAAGAAATTATCATATGTGTAGAGAGGGGATTATTAGTAACAGGGACTTTTTTTTGATGGGTGAAAATAGTATGGTAACCCCGCCTGCGCTAACAGGATACGCTGGCGGAGCAACAGTGAAGGATGATAGATGAGCATGAAAACAGGCCAGTTAGCCATCATGATGAATTCATCAGGAATTAATCATGATAGTTTCTAGGAAGAACCGCGAGGAGGTCGACCTGGTTGGGTATATTGCTAGTAATGGGATTCTCAGTCTCCATTACACCCAGTAAAAGGGACTACCTACTTCATTGTTGGCGTTTGACACGAGCGTGTAACGGGTTAATATATCTATACCTCTCCGAAGAGGTACTTGAGTGTAGCCCAGGGTATCGGCCCATTGGTGGCGGCGCAGCGGTCCAGGTAGCACTGCAGGATCTGCATGCTCACCACGAAATCCGACTCGCTGAAGTCGTACGCTATATTCCAACCAATTTTGTCATACTTGCGACGTTCCTGCAATGACAAAAGTTGTAGAATTCTCGACAAAAAAAAAACAGATTGATGTAATTATATATGCACTATGTGTTTTTTAACAACCACGTTGTTTATATTCATAGGTCTTTATTGTTGTTTGCTTGATTGCTATTTCATGTTTTAATTAATTACATTGTTTTTTATACCACTGAGGTGGCAAACAAGCATACGGCTCACCTGATGGTGAGCGGTTACCGTCGCCTAGGAACGCCTGCAATACCAGAGGCATTACGCGCGCGTTGCTGACCCTAAAGAAACCTGTTCATCCCTGTTTTTTAAAGAGCTCCATGCTGTAATCTTTTGGAAAAACTGTTCGTTACTGACAACTTATTCACTATTTAAGTTTTAATTATTTTATAATTATTCTAATTATGTTTCTTTTAGGCAACTTCGAGTGGCAAACAAGCTGACAGTCCACTTTATGAAAAGCGGTAATCGCCGCCTCCTTATAGCTAAACGTGAACAGCATTATGAACATCACAAAATATGACGATGCCTAAAACCGACAATTTCTGTTATTTTTTTTTTTAAATTCAACTGCGATAATGGCAAATATGTTCTCCTTTAACCAAAGGTTGTCTGTAAGAGATTGCCATAGCGATAAAACCGCTTTTTGTACCTTTATATGTATATTACAATCTGTATTTATGTTACTGTATTTAACATGAATTGTTCAATTGTCATTGTATATCTTTGTTTATGGTGCAATAAAGGGTTAAATAAATAAATAAAATAAATATGTATCTTGGGTACACTGCCTTGGTGTGGTGCGTTGGGGGATTACTTATAATTAGTATTTAAGGAATTTTATATTAACTTTAAGTTATTGTTTTTATATAATAATTAAAATAAATATGTTCATGTTTGTTACAACAAATCGGTCACCTTTATTGCTTAATAAATTACAAAAGCGATACCTGCACCACTGCATGGAAGAACGCGAGCACGTATACGAGCTTCTTGAAATGCGGATGCGGACACTCCTCAAGTGCGTGCGCGCGCATCTTGAAGTATGTGTTTCGCAGGTTCAACTTCAGTCCGTTAGGGGGCTCCGTCACCACTGGGACAGATAATATAATACTACTAGCTAAATCAACAAACGTTTTGCCACTTATCGCGACCTATTGAATCCATTGTCTTATTGGGTTAAAAATTATCCTATCTCTCTAGCAGGAGCAAAAAATTTTATTAAAATCGCATTTCATTAAAGAAAAACTAACAGCTAGTATATTTCATAATAAAAAAAAGAACAGATTATTTACAAAGATCGCCTGCGCTATCGGCAGAGTACTAGTGAGGGACGGTGAAGTACTTTTTTTAGTGGGTGAAGATGAAATGGTAACCGCCTGCACTATCGGTATATGCTGGCGGGGCACCAGTGAGGAGTGATAGGTGAGGAAGAAACAGGTTACTTGACCCACTCTGACGAATTCAACTAGAAATAAACACGACGGTTTCCGAAGGAACCACGTGGAGGTCGACCTGATAGGGTATATTGTTAGTAATGGGGCTATAATAGATCTGTTACACCTCATTACTAACAATCCCTTTTCCTTCCCAGGAGTGTGAAGTTTTTTTTTATGGGTGAAAATGGTATGGTAACCCCGCCTGCGATAACGGGATACGCTGGCGGAGCACAAGTGAAGGGTGATAGATAAGAATGAAAATAGACCAGTTAGCCCATCATGATGAATTCATCAGGAATTAACCATGATAGTTTCCAGGGGGAACCGCGAGGAGGTCGACCTGGTTGGATATTGGATATTGCTAGTAATGGGATTCTCAGTCTCCATTACTAACAATCCCTTTCCCCCCAGGAGTGTGAAGTTAGGTTAGGTTGTCTATCATGACGAATGTAACATACACAGGAATTAAACACAATGGTTTCCGGGCAATAACAATATTTTTTACTGTTTTGGAAATACCCCATCCAGTTTTAAACTAAGCAAATATTATGTTATATATTTTAAACAACTGATAATATATACTTGTTAATATATGTATACTAACAATATATTTATATCCATAAATAGAAAACCTTCAGATTAATTCAAACACTTTTAACTACAAACGTTTGTTTGCACGGGTCTTAAACTATCAGACATCAAGGTTGCTACCAATCATTACTAATATTATAAATCTGAAAGATAGTTTGTTTATTTTTTAGTATAGCGCATTAAAGGTTTAATCAATCACTATGAAATTTGATATACACGTACTATATGGAATGGAAAATGTCATAATTAGATCAGTCGTTATCTGTCCACTGCGGAGAACATAAGACTCCTCCATTGACTAGTTTTCTAGGAATTTTGCCAGTAGATACCACGTTTGGCAGGCGGTTTGGCAACCGCAGTTTGGCTTTTGGTGATGTTTTAAGAGGGGTGTTGCTGTATATCACTCGACCATTAAGTTCCCTTAGTCGGAAAAGGAAGGGGTGGCCTATTCTATGCCGGGACCACATGGCAGATGGAAAGGGATTATCCCAGCTACGCGAAGTCTCGTCACAGGTAAAGTTAGTACTAGTTAGATGAATATATATATATATATTCATCTAACTAGTACTAACTTTATATATATATTTATTTATTTATTTATTTTGGTATATTTTTAATGGCCCATCCGGCAGTGCAACATTGATAGGTTGTTTATTAGTTTATCCGGAAAGCTAAGTCAGAGGCTTTGTACAACAAAGGTGGCCTAAAAACTCTTGACACTAGAGGGTGTTAATCTTACGTGAGTACTGGAGTTACCCACCTTTGAGCGACTTCTGCAATATTCCGATTGGGAAAGTTGGCGTGGGGTCCGTGGTCAGCCAGAGCCGGTACTCAGGGTGCGGCTTTTCCATCAGCTCGAGCTGTTTTTCTAACTCGCGTAGGAACGACACCAGTAAATGGCAGTTCTGCAGTATCAGCCATTGTCCGTGAGAGATAGCGCCCTCGAGTAGCGCCAGTGCCGCCTGATACATCAATCAGACCAACTAAACTAAATTTCAAACCATATTTATCGATCGATATTTCAAACTAGTGGTGTGTAACATATAGCAATATCTACATAAGGCGAAGTGACTTTATGTGTAATTTAAGGCGAAAAGGTAGTAAAAACACACTATGAGTATAATTTTTCATGCAAATTGATTTCAATAGGGGTTTTAACGTTATTGGGAAATTTTTTACTCGTGTGAAGCCAGGACGGGTCATTAATTTAATTATAAAAATTAAACTACAATATGGGGTATGGTGCTAACCCCTTCCTGTCCTTGCCCCAGCGAGAGGTACTTGAACTTGCCACCGCCAAAGCCGCATCGGTCCGCCAACTTCATGAGGTCCGCTGTGGGGTCTGAACCCGGACTCAGAATGAACACCACTGGCGTGTATGGGGTCGTTTGTTCTACTATCATGTCTAAACTGAAATGGCGTGTACGTAAAGAGTTAATAAATAACTTATTAAAATGAAATAATAATTAGAATAAAATGAATAAAAATGGGAATTGGCATTATTCTTGTCAGCGCCATTAATAAATTTAAATATTGAAATATAAAAGATGTTTAAAGTAACATAAAATGGCAAAAAGCCAACGTCACGCGGTGTTCCCAGGCGGTCACCCATCCAAGTACTGACCGCGCCCGACGTTGCTTAACTTCGGTGATCGGACGAGAACCGGTGTTTTCAACGTGGTATGGACGTTGGCGATTAGTTATTTGAATATAAATATCACTTTATAATAAAATATTTTAACACATGATAATATAGAAATTAATAATAGTGTATATGTAAACCGCGAACAAATGTATATGCCCACTTTCATTCGCAGCTTAGACTGCATGACCGGTAGCAGTATGATTCGTGCGATCTTCACTGTGTGACCATGCGGTCCACTTGTGGTGTCATCCGCAGCGACCGGTCAGTCTCGATACCGAGGAACACACTGTGCGCCTCACATTTAATGGGTTGCCCACGGAGGCAGAGGCGGCGGGTGAGTAGTGCCACAGTCTTTTTCAGATTAATGGCGGTGCGCCACTTGTCTAGTCATTCAGGGAAGCATTCCAGCAAACACTGCATCTTACGTGTAAACTTAAAAGTAATATTCGATAAAATAATGTAATGTAAATGACTTTATGATATTTAATATGTTTCATGAAGTGAAATTTACTTATTTATAAAGATTAAATATCTGCGATGTAATAAACAAAAGAAAATATTGTGATAAAAATATTAAAATGAATATTTGCCAACGTCCATACCAATACAATTGCTTCACGACAAAACAACGAATGGGACAGAGGTACTCGAGCAGACAGTATTTGTATAAAGTCTTCTTTTGGCATTAATGAAATCTAATTTGTCCCAAGAAAAAAAATATATGTTTCCAAAAAATAAATATTTGTGATATATAATAAACAAAAGACAACATTGTGATAAAAATATTAAATTAAACAGTCGCCAACGTCCATACCACGTTGAAAACACCGGTTCTCGTCCGATCACCGAAGTTAAGCAACGTCGGGCGCGGTCAGTACTTGGATGGGTGACCGCCTGGGAACACCGCGTGACGTTGGCTTTTTTTTGCACTTTGAGTTGTGCATTTAAGTATGTCTAGTAATATCTTTTTAATTCAAATTAGGACTACGATCAAATTATATCCAATTGAACGGTGTCAGTTTTTACGAGACACAAGCTACTGACCTGATGACCGGCGGCGTAATGTACTCCTCGCCCATGGTAACGGTGATGTAGTCTGTGATGGCGCGGTAGATGCGGTCGACGCGGAAGCATCGCAGTAACATCAGCAGCTCGAACGGTTGCACCCGCTCACGGTATCCGTTTGGCACCTCCAAGGACTCGGGCGTGTCGCTGTCGAACCACTGGCGGCCATACAATATATTTATTTAATAATCTTTACGACTTTGTGCTGTTACGTGGATAATAAAATACAAGGTTGTGTCTTCTCCGTTCCAAATATAATATAATTGGTTGAAAGATATATATTGAAAGAAAAATTTAAAATTACTGTCGCCAACGTCCATACCACGTTGAAAACACCGGTTCTCGTCCGATCACCGAAGTTAAGCAACGTCGGGCGCGGTCAGTACTTGGATGGGTGACCGCCTGGGAACACCGCGTGACGTTGGCTTTTTTATTTTCGATATTTTTCTTGATTCATTCTAGTTTTTTAAATTAATTTATTACTTTTTTTATTACTATCTTGTTCATTGAGAACCCGTTATTATTATTGAGAACTAAATTTTGCATATAACTTTAATTTTTTTTGTTATGTCTATAATTTCTGTCGCTATTTTTATGCAACGACCTTCTAATGTGTGAATTAAACTACCTATATATAGAGTTCTACATTTTATTATATACTTTGGGGGGGGGGGGGGGGGGGGGGGGGGGGGGGGTTCCCCTAAAGTATATAATAAAAGCAAAAATGTATAACTATGTATAAAAAATATATGATGTCCTGTATGGTATTTAATTCACTCTTATTGTGTCATTCTTCTTTGCCACGACCCTCAGCGATATCCTTTGTAAAATACAGTAACATGCCCCTAGTGTGCTCGTTCTCAAATATGTGTTCAATGTTATTTTCCGATAATGTTTCTTCTATCCGACACTCACAGTCATAACGGGTTTTGGAAATCTTGGGCATTATAAGATGGTATGCTGTATGGTTTAACTTTAAGTTAACCCACGGTCAAATTACTTATTCTATGTGTTTTATAACAGATAAAAATACGAGTGGTAACTCCGTCTGCGCTGTTGGTTTAGAATGGTTTTTTACTAATGAGATTACAAGTATCCAATACTAGCAATTTCCTTTTAAGATGATTACATTAAATGTTTACCTCTTGCCAGATATTGACACTGCTGGTAATGTGATCAGGCAACTCGCCAAAGGACTCTGGGAAGTCGACGCTTAATTTCATTATATCTTGCCATCCCTGGAGAAATAATAATGCAGTTAAGTTATAAAAAATTAATTTAATAAAATTTAGTGCCAGTCAAATATAGGTAGAAGCCTGAAATTTCGTATGGGACTTCTAAAAATGAGGTAGGTGGGCAATAATAAAATTATTTACACAGAGCGATCTAATGTCAAACTAAACATAACTTATTCTATGGGTACTAAACAATTAATAGAAATACATATGCAAACTTTTTGTAAATACGAAAAAAGCTCAGATCAAGCGGTTAAAGCGGTTGTATATTACGCGTATGGAATTCCCAACCACAGGAAGATGAGACAGTATATTAAACCAAGGCACAAATAATATAATACTATACAAGACCGGGGGAGAAAGAACTGTTAGTAATGGGAATTAACAACACCATTGCTAGCATTACACTATCAGGTCGAATTCCGTGCGGTTCCGCCTGGAAAACATCGCGATTTCGTTGAAATCGTCACGATGGGCCTACTGACCTGCTTTATCCTCACCTACCATCATCTCTTACTGGTGTCCCGATAACGTATACGGATGACGCAGGTGGAGTCACCGCTACATAAACAACGCTGACATTTTCTGTGGAAATTGTTATAGGAACGGAGACGATAGTGGTTCGTGCGAAATTAAAACCAATTTGACTAAGTATGGATATTTAGAATCTATTTTCTGTCTCTCTAACTATATCAGTATAAGAGAATCATATTAAATTCTGAATTCCCTAAACACATATCTCTATATATGCCTAGGTAGGTATTTCTATATATTTCTTACCTGCGACGGTATCCAAGAGGCGGGACACGCTCGCAACGATTTCTCTAGCGAGACGTTACCCTTGATGAAGAAGTCCAACTGTGCCTGGCTCACGTTACCCTCACTCTGTTCCAACTTTATATCCATTTGGAACGAGAAGAGAAGCTTGTGACGCTCAAATATACCTGCAAGTGTATGATAGTATAAAATTTTTACTTAAAACAGTTTCTTATAATAATTACTACAAAATATTATAAATTCATCACAATGGGCCAGTTGACCTGCTTTCATTTTCACTTGTCATCCCTCGCTTGTACCCTGCCAGCGTAAACCGATAGCGCAGGCGGAGTAACTATATATGTATATTGTAGTTAGAATACCTATATATTGCCTCAATAACGAACATATTAAATATCGGTATCTAATATACATATAATATCGAAACACCCGATCGAAATGAATCCGACTGGTATGGGCGATGTCGAAATGGGTAACGACCTTTTCTTCCACTATCAGGCTACGGTAACCACTTACCATTAGGTGGGCCGTATGCTTGTTTGCCACCTCAGTGGTATAAAAAAAATAATTGTCCGGAGGAATCCCATATATAGATATCGGAGCAATACCGATTGAACTCGTGATTAATTTTTATTTACAAAAGTTTGTATACAAAGTAATTAAGAGGCCTTCCACTCTAAAAGTCGTGACGTTGCGATCATCTATCTCATTGACTTACCGGTGCACCCGTAGTCGTATACATTCTTAGTGAGCATATCGATGATATTCCTCAAACGTTTCACCAAGATGACGTTTGGCATCGCTTTGCGTAACGAGAACGAGAATACCTGTGTAAATTATAAATAAATTATTACTTGTCATAAAGAAGAAAATTATTTTTTATTACGTCATGAGACGCAGGTATGAGTAAGTAATATTATAATCACAAAATATAACAAATCGGTTGCCAACGTCCATACCACGTTGAAAACACCGGTTCTCGTCCGATCACCGAAGTTAAGCAACGTCGGGCGCGGTCAGTACTTGGATGGGTGACCGCCTGGGAACACCGCGTGACGTTGGCTTTTTTATCGATATTTTTATATCAATATTTTAGTAATGAAAGTATTATTGTAAATTGTCAATCTATGTTTTTTTTTTTTTTAATAATTTAAAAATACGAAGATGTTGGTGGAGCAAATATTCTATACGAGGAAAAATATGTACTAAGTAATAATACTAACATTTCTCTCTGCTTAGCCTACACTGCAAGGGACTTGACGTTAAGATAAATAGAATACTAACATCTAAATAGGACGAGAGCGAGTACTGGTACATGCTGTTGACGCCCGCCATGTCGGATAGTACGAAGAACAGTATGGATCCGCGTTTGGCGACCGGCCGGTATCCGTCACGTAGAATTTCTATGTCTTTTGTTGTAGCTTCGGCGAGCTCCAATTTTTCCATTACCTAGAAATAAAATATATAAAAAAAAAATATTACATAATCACATCGATTACTTTGTTCTCAATTCTTCAAGATATAATACATATCCTAGTGTGTTAGTGAATTTTGATTAAGAACAAAAAGAAGAGTTAAGAAGCAGAATGATTTTTTTTTCTATATCACGCTAATATCCGGGATCGTTCAATCGATTTTAATGAAAATTGGAAATTTATACTCCTACTTTTTTTATATTTAGAATGATGAACAAACTGATGTCTAACCTGATGGAAAGTAGTAACCGTCATCTATAGACATGAACACAGAATGTACTGTATTGTGACACATGTATTGTCATTCTATTTTATGATAAAAAGAAGTATCTTAAAGGATTCGAGTCCATTACGCTATAGGAGATATATTATTACCTGATTCCTCATAATCATCGGCTTTTGAACAATATGTAATGTAAGAATTGTTGCAAGTAAGAACGTGCATATATATTGCGCGGACGAATGATTGCATACTTTAATTAAAAAGGCGTTTTTTGATACATCGTAAACTAATGTAGATGTTTGTGAAGAAAAAAGTTTCAATATAAAACCAGAAACACGTTTGCGGGGTACATGTTTTATAGATCTGTCATAAACGATCAACGTATTAGTTCACTAACAGAGCACTTTTTAAATCAATAATCAGAAACATTGAAAATTGTTCAAATGTTTTTGAAAAATTTCCAGATAATTGTGAAGTTGTCACACTTCGGTAAGCTAAAGGATTAATGTTTTTAAGATATACCTCTGCAGCTTTTGACTTGGTGTTCTCTAGCGTGTTGACGAGCTCCACATTGTCGAGCATGTTACCCGTGGAGGTGGCCAGTTCTCGTAGCAGCGAGTCCTCCAATCCGGACAGCAGGCTCTTGTTGGCGCTGGTCTCGATGATCAAACTCTCGCGTTGTTCCTCCAAGTCGGCGCGCTCCGCTCGAACTACCACGCTGAGGAGCTGGTCTTCTAAGCCCTAATTGATTATATAGTCAAATATATCGATTGAATGAGTATTACAGTAATTCACCATAACACGGTACGATATCGTACGATTTCATCGTTGTGTATGTAATTTTATTAAACAATTTTCTGTGACGATATCATGAACATGTACGAAAATTTAAAAGCGTCTTTTTATAATTGTATACTTTGTCTTATCTTTTTTTTTAATTGTTTTATTATTATTTTTTGTTATGCAGCTTTTCCTGCACATTTGTTGCCATAAAAAACTCAAATTGGAAATAAGACTTTGAAAACGATACGATTTTATTTTAAAATGAGCTTGCTTTTTTCTTAAAAAAAATATTCAAATATAAGCTACGTCCTGTAGCTTAGCGGACGTGAATAAGGGTAAAATGTATGTGTTAATCCCTCCAGGGTGGTCCAATAATGTACCAAATTTTATCCAAAACACTCACAATTAAATAACAAATAATTTCATACTCGTAATACTTACTGTATAATTAGAAGGAAAGGGATTAATAGTAATGTGGATTTCCAGTCTGATAGGTTGATCTCCGCATGGTTCCTCCTGAAAACTATTGTGCTGAATTTCAGGTGTATTCATCACGATGGACTAACTGACTTGCCCTTTCCTTCTCACTTATAATCCCTCACTGGTGCCCTGCCAGCGTTTACCGTTAGTGCAGGCGGAGTTTTACTTTCCATTATTATCCATTAAAAAACTATATAACTAGTGTGGAATTTAGTTCGATTAAATACTTACTTATTTACATACTAACCTGTACTGTGACAGTGTAGTTGATAACGACAGCTTTCGCGTACGCGGCGGGGTTGAACTGAGGGTTAGCCAGTTTTGTGGTCAGGTACATACGAAAGTTTGGATCGTAATCGACTTCTGAACTGCCCAGCATTACGAATGTGCGACCACTTTCCACTAAAAAAATATATATGATTCATTAAATAAAATAAAATTAGTAAAAAATCAATGTCACGCGGTGTTTTCAGGTGGTTACCCATCCAAGTACTGACTGCGCCTGACGTTGCTTAACTTCGATCGGACGAGAGCCGGTGTTTTCAACGTCTGGAGATATGGACATTGGTAATTCACTTATAGGTTCTATTATATACTTGGTATTTTAAAATTATATTTAACTGGCTGACCGGGCAAACGTTGTTTTGTCCTTTATAGGTCACTTAACAGAATAAAAATATCCTTTCAAGTTAGAACAATAATAAACATTTGCAAAATTTCATAAAATCTATTAAGGAATTTCGGAGATAAGCGTGAACGAACATCAAGACATGGGAAATAAAATACAGATATAAATGCAATTTTCAGTAAACATTTTATTTATATATTCTATTCTATTTATTTGACTAGAAAGCCTTATTTAATTTCTGTAAGCATGTATTTGGCAACACGATTCCCGTTTTCTACAGGACAGGATCAGTCTAGTGTAGGAATCAATGTTAAACTTTGTGCTTATAAAAACATACTTTGCTAATAAATACATTTTTACATTTTATATTTTATTTGTATATTATTATCATCATTTTATGTTATTTATGTATTAATTGGGTAAAGATATTATTATTATTATTAGCTGATTGGTAAAGAATGCTACTAGCATTAACGCCATCTTTTGGTCCCTATTTTCTTTGGGGTCAATAAAATTATTTAAATAAATAAATCATTTAACTTCATTCCAAGAGATAATAATATCACAATTTGACTGACTTTTGTTTAGTACATAATCACGGATCATAATATGTAGTTACTAGGTATGTAAGCTCAAGTTAATTTGACTTTTAATAGTGATCTTTCCATGAAGGGTATCATATCTACCAAGTCGTAAATGTTATTAAAATATAAAAAAGAGGGTTAAAAACTCTTGTAAACTCTTGTTACAAAAATAAAGTGGAACAAAAAAGCCAACGTCACGCGGTGTTCCCAGGCGGTCACCCATCCAAGTACTGGCCGCGCCCGACGTTGCTTAACTTCGGTGATCGGACGAGAACCGGTGTTTTCAACGTGGTATGGACGTTGGCGATTAGTTATTTGAATAACGTCTTCGCATAGCGTATTATATTATCTGTGACATAGCTATAAAATTTTATTTTTATATGTACAACTAGGTTATTGTTCGCTACTTTATACGCGTGGATTTCAGAAAAACCAATGAATACTTCACTTGTAAATGGCGTATCAAGATCAAATATACACCAATTTTTTAGAGACCCCCCCTTCTGGAATACAGCTGAGAATATCGCATCCAATTTTTTGTAGTAGTTTTTGCGTGATGTAGGAATAAATATACAGACAGACGGATAGACAAAATAAAAATTTGTATAATTTTTCTTAAACATTTCTCACTTACAGACATCATCTAGTTACAATTTTATTATTAGTACGATTTTGAATTATTCAAGGTAACACTAATTTGTTAATTTAGTACAATGACTTTATGCAAACATGTTAGTGCATAAAATTATCTACAACAATAGATAACATTATACCAACTACAGCGAATTTGGTACTATTTATATCATATATACCTGTTTACTTATAACACTTTTATTTTGTTATTTTAATTTCATAACTGTTTAGTTAATCGGCATCACATAATAAAACTGAATTATTGATTAATCCTATCGCCAACGTCCATACCACGTTGAAAACACCGGTTCTCGTCCGATCACCGAAGTTAAGCAACGTCGGGCGCGGTCAGTACTTGGATGGGTGACCGCCTGGGAACACCGCGTGACGTTGGCTTTTTGTCCACTTTATTTGTAAGAAAAGATTACAATATTTTCAACCCTATTTTTTACTCCTTATTAATGTTTAAATCTGACGATGACACTGCTCGTAGAATGACAATTCAAAAGATGTCCTAAAATAAAGAAATTATTTAACCACATTGGAAAATGAAACTACTTAAATAACAGACAGAAAGAAAAAAAAATACAAAAAAAATATTGAAAATAAATACACAAAATTAAAGGATGTTTTGTATGTATGCACTAATTTAAATTAATATATTTTTTATGCAACTTAGAATGTTAAACAAGTTAACGGCCTGTCTGATGGAAAGTGGTAACCGTCGTCTATGAATAATGAACCGTACCATTGACATTTTTTTAGAACTTTGAGGGTTTATGTAGTTCTCTATGTCTAGTAATAAAAAAAGATAATATTTCTATGAAAAATCTACATAATTATGTATTTACTGTCAATAGAAAATAGTGTGTCGCCCATGATACGCTTCGCCCGTTGCCATTCCTGAGGACTAAGATGTTATGCCTTTGTACTTTGTAATTTCTTTGCTATATCCAGTCCTTTTAATCGGAACAATCAAGCAAATACAACTGTTTCACGGCAGAAACACGAATGGGACCGAGGTACTCAAGCAGATCGACTCTTGTACAAAGTTTTTCTTTGGTATTAATGACGTCTAATCTGTCCCACGAAAAAATTATATGTTTACAAAAATTAAATATTTGTGATATAATATAATAAACAAAAGACAACATTGTAATACAAATATTAAAATAAATCGTTGCCAACGTCCATACCACATTGAAAACACCGGTTCTCGTCCGATCACCGAAGTTAAGCAACGTCGGGCGCGGTCAGTACTTGGATGGGTGACCGCCTGGGAACACCGCGTGACGTTGGCTTTTTGCTGGGCGCGCAAATGTAACAACTTATATACTTTTAAAAATACCTTTTATATTTTTTTCTAACACGTTGTCGACCACAGGGTCGATGTACTCGTTTACATCCTGGAAGAGCACCGGCATACCGTACTTGATGGCCATCTCTAATTGACGCAGGAATTGTGGGTCGTTGAATGATAACACCTGTTGAAACACAAAAAAACATCACTAAGTAAATACATGCACGATAGGCATTATTAATTTCTTTTACAAGGAGACGTTGTCTAAAAAAATTAGGTCATCAAGCATATTTCCGATCCGATAGGGCATCGTAACCTTCTAGAGCATATTCCTTTTTAAAACGATGGCAGCACACCAGAAATTCCTTCGGTGTTGCCGACAACGACGGCAGTCACTTTCCGACTCAACATATTTGTTTGCCTCCTGTGTTTTAAAAAAAAGAATTGGTTCGCCAAATGGTGATCAGATACTGGAGTTTCAGAATATTATAATCACTGGCACATTTTTTGCCGTTAAAATTAAAATTGGAACATAGCATTCAAGCAAATTGTGAGAGTAAATGCTGAGACGCTACATTACTAAGGTCGTCATACATAAGCATGATAAAATTTTAAAAATTGACGCAAGTGAGAATCGAACCTGGAGTCAAAGTGCAAAACAAAAAAAAAATTGACAAAATTGATGATTATATATATAGTAAAGTAATGAATTCTATGTCGAACCTTGAGGTTATTCTTGGCTTCCTTCTTTTTGATCCATGTGAGGGCTTGCGTCTGAGGATCGATACACAGAGGGAAACGAGAGGCGCGAATAGTCAGTATGCCGTTCTGTACCGACAATTCGTCGGGTGGCAGGCCTTCAGAGCTCCACCTGTGTGTAAAACCATTGTATTTAGGAGGAGCGGTAGTAATGGGAATAAACAGCCTCCTTTACTAGCAAGCAATATATTTGATCGAACACCATTTGGTGTGTATGGTGAATTGTATTTCCGCCGCTTATTATTTGAATTCTCAAAGTGTTTATCTTGATGGTGCAATGGACCTTGTTTAATGTGCACCTGCCACCGTCGTTTAACTGTACTCGTAATAATAAAATATTATTTTTTTTTATTTAGGTACAAACTCCACCTTTTTTAGGCAACAAAAGAATTATTATTTGCTTAGAATTTTCTCCAAAAAGAAATATTATTTAATGCAAAAAGCCAACGTCACGCGGTGTTCCCAGGCGGTCACCCATCCAAGTACTGACCGCGCCCGACGTTGCTTAACTTCGGTGATCGGACGAGAACCGGTGTTTTCAGCGTAGTATGGACGTTGGCAAATGTTTCATTAAATTTTATATACAGATTTTAGTGGTGAATAAATATTGACGAATGATGTATATAAGATTGATTTCTTTTTTCATAACAACAATATTTATTATCTTAATAATGCAAGTTATTATAATTAGAATATTAGTTCTATTAGAATTGATTGGAGTATTTGATTCATCGAGTGAGTAAACGAATTATTTGTATGTATAAATAATACTTACGTTGAGATTTATGCTTACTTTTGTGCAGAAGCAAATTATGGAGAATTTCAATTCAGTTAGGGAAAGATTGCACAGTTTTAATTAGCTGATAGACTGAAGCAGCAGCAGAAGTTTTGCACACGTGTAGCCAGTTCTAAAGAAACCTTTTAACACCATAGACACTTCAGCAAAAAGTTTAAGCTACAATACGAAAAATTACATACCCACTAATTTCAACTTCGTTGGTAAGATTCTTCTCGATGGTGAACGGCGTTGTTAACGGGATACCTCTTTCTGTGACGTCACCCAACCAATCCTCGTATATCATAGTTTGCCGAAACGAAAACGAGAATGGTCCTGCATAGCTCAAGAACGACGCGGCGAGTAGGCAGTTGCCGATCAGTCTAGACTGTTCCACGTACAAAGCAGCTAAGTCTATAGTCCACCGTTTCTGTTCGCTGGACAACCCTGACATTAGTTTGTCAGCGGCCACCAATCGCCTCATCATGATATCCGTTTCTTCCTGCAACTCCTGACGTCGCAGCATTGCCGTCTCGTATCTATTGTTCAAACCATCGAGCGTGCGTTGCAGCCGATCAATTTCGCGGTTCAACGAAGCTAGATAGTTGACTGCTTCGGTGTATTCCTTCTCGAGGGTTTCCACTTTATCTTTCTTTGGTTTCACTTCTTTGTAGACAGCGCAGTAATCAAGAACAGCTGTTACGAATTTTAGTAAGCCGTATCTGCAGATAACAAAAAATGTATTTAACATACATACATATCTGTCACGCCTGTCTCCTATTAGGGTAGGCAGAAACAATGGAACGCCAAATGCTTCGATTCAAACAAACTCTTTACTAAATCTTTAAATACATTTAAAGATTTAGTAAAGAGTTTAAACAACCTTGAAAAAACAATTAGAGAAAATTATATCTCCTCTAATGTTTTTTTTAATTAAATTAAAAAAATAAGCAATGGTGTCGAATATATAATTCAACACTATTCTATTTTTACAGTTATCAACATTCCGTTGAGAATAAAAAGTTAAATTACAAAAAAAAAAAAAGAAAAAATAGATATACGCAATTATTTCATCATCATCATCATATCAGTCTTTATCTGTACACTGCTTAACATAAGCCTCCCCTTTGAAGGGTATTGCCAGTAGTTACCAATTTAAATAAAATTAATTAAATTTAATAAAACAAAGCAATTATTTACTTTACTAATGGTCCCCTTTCCTGTCAATATTTTATACACTCAATTTTAAATACAATATAATTATTTAAGTTTTTCTATCAGCTATCTAGTACCCATAGTACAAACTCTGTTTAGTTTAAGACCAGATGGAGAGCGCCATTTGGCGCTATAAAATGTGCTGTGTATTTATTTCCTCGTTATATTTATTTATTTAATAAGGTTCACCTACAAGTTTTACATTTTACATGTTACTTAATCAATAACACAAAAAATAATTTTGCCTAATGTAAAAGTATTTTACAGGCGAACATCACATGCATTATTATAATATTTAATCATTATTAACAATGACAATAACAGTATTTGAATAATAAATAGATTATGAACTTATGTCTAGGATTTTCCTCAATAAGTTATATCTGCTGCTATGGATCCAAAATTGATGTCAATTTGATCGCTGTGAGCATCCTACATAATCTGGGTACAGGCGAGTTGGCTCCTAACACTGTTTTTTTTTTTTTTTTTTAACGGAGGACATAAAGGTGTTATCTGTTTCCGAGGTATTCTAGAGGGAACATTTATTCGTATAATAATCATTATATTCGTATAATATTTAGAGATCACTAACCCAGCTTTACTGATCTGCTGCATAGTGTCCAATTTCTTGCTCTTCTTCATATGTGCCTTCACTGCTTTCACTTGGTTTTGTGTGATTAGATCGCAGTTCATCTCTTGCAGGTTGCGTAAGAAGTTAGGGTCTGCCATCATGCCCTTCGCGCCCTTCCAGCTCACGTCCTTTATCCCGCGGATAATTACCACACATTCGCAGACCACCTGGAAAACGGATTGTTTTTATAATCTGTATATTCTATATATAATTGTTGATTAATTTATTATGATGGATCAAATGATCTGCTTTCATCTTCATCTATCATCTCTCACTGTTCTGTCAGTGTATACCGATAGTGCAAGCGAGATTAGCATTTCATTATCACCTACTTAAAATATGTAATTTAAAGGGGGGAAAGTATTGTTAGTGAAGGGAACTAATGGTTTCTGAAATCGACACAATATGCTAACTGACTTGAATGACTTCATCTTAATCCATCATTCCTTATCTTTGTTCCGCCCTAGACAGATGTACATTGACCAAAATAGGTAACGGGTTTAGGTATTGAAAAAGGATTACAAAGTTTTTTCCGTCATGGAATGGTAAATAAGCTGATGCCCTATTTGATGGAAAGTGCAAGTGTGAAACACAAATGCACGTTAATTAATCCATGGTAATCATAGATAAATGAATAATATTTGTTTTCTTTTTCTATGATAATAATCTTCATGCGTTACTATCCCAGGGGACTATGTGTTACACCTATGAACAAAGGACAAGATACATCTAATAAATAAATATTATTATCCACATTTAAAATACCTGCACGGCTTCCGGTGGGGTAGCAAACGATCTTATTTCAGTGATATCGTTTTTGTCGAGATCAGCGAGCGCCAGTCTGGCTGCTTCAAGCGCTGGCATCGCTGCGGACAGCGCTTCTTCCGCTTCCGATTTTTCTGCGGCTATGACAACGCTCTGCTCTGTGATCTCGGCGGATTTGATAGCGGCCACCTGCTGTTTGCCCACTGCCGCCTCCGTGGCTGAAAATATTTATTAAGCATCCTGTCGTTGTCGGAATAACCTATTAACATTCTAGACTTTGGCTGACCTATTTTCACAAGAGAAAGTACAAGTACAAGCCAGGAGGGTCGTATAATCATTTGGGAGGAAGTTTTTGTAGCTTCTTACCACATTCTAGGTTGACGATTGGTAACACTATACGAAGTCATAAATGAAATAAATGTAACTTCATATATTGTGATACTAGCAGCGTTCACAGCTTCATCCATGTGTTAGTTCAAATTAAAACAATTTATTCATTCAATTTTACTTTTTAACACTATAAAAAAATATAATCCTTTCATTTTCCTGTCTTTAGTGAAATTTTATAATATTTTTTTTTATATTAAATATAATGATTTATAAAAACTGATTTCTATATTCCTCACTTAAATTATGCGAAATAAACTCATTTGTATACATTTTGATCTTTTATATTTTGATAATTTAAATAATATTCAATAGCAGAATGTTCACCTGTAGAAATCTCCTTTAGTAGTATCTCGCACTCCTTGGTCTGCTCGGCGACTATGACTTTCTGGACGGCGAGTTTCGCGTTTAGGTCTTCTAATTGTACGTTTGCTTCCTCGATCTTGGCTAACCCTCCCTTAAGACGTTCGCACTGTTCCAAGCAAACATATTAGTCGAATCCCGAGACACGTTACTTATTCATTATCATCATCATCATCATTATACCAGCCGTTATTAGTCCACCGTTGAACATGGATCTGAGTGAAGAATGTAAACGCTGAAAATTAAATACTACGCTAATTTACTAAACTATAATTTCATATGCAAGAGATTCTTACAACATACATCAAATGGGGGGAAAGGGATTGTTAGCAATGGAGTTTGATAGCCCCATTGCTAGCAATATGCCCTATTAGGTTGACCTCCACGTGGTTCCCTCTGGAAACCATCGTGAACAATTCTTGTTGAATTCGTCACGATGGGCCAACTGACCTGCCTTCAACGTTACCTGTCATCCTTCACTGGTGCCCCGCCAGCGTATCCCGATAGCGCAGGCGGGGTTACCATTCCATTATTACCCATTAAAAAAACACATCAAATTTAACACATTTTGTGACGTTTCATATAAAAAATTCTCATGTGTAGTGATTGTGTTATTTAAATTCACAATCGCCAACGTCCATACCACGTTGAAAACACCGGTTCTCGTCCGATCACCGAAGTTAAGCAACGTCGGGCGCGGTCAGTACTTGGATGGGTGACCGCCTGGGAACACCGCGTGACGTTGGCTTTTTGCCTCCGATAGTTTTATATAATTAATAGAAATTATAATAATTTCTTATATGTTTTTTTTTTAAGTTATCAAACAAAACGCTCATTTCTGAAAAAATTGCAAATTAACTAATCCCTGTTATATTTTCTGCGTTATTTGGATTTTGCTTAGAAAGTTTTAATATCAATAAAGTTGCAGTGATGGTTTAATGGAAATCCTATAACATGATACGTGATGATTAAGTTTAATTTTAATTCATTAGCTAAATAACAAATCGTTTAATTTGATTAAAATTCAATCGCACTGGATTTCGAAATGAAAAGTCTAGGAATGTGATTAAAAATAACCATTACGTACAACGTACAAAATACAAACGTCATTAATATCAATGAAGCGTCCATTGTGATAATTACTTATAGAGTAAAATTCGCCAACGTCCATACCACGTTGAAAACACCGGTTCTCGTCCGATCACCGAAGTTAAGCAACGTCGGGCGCGGTCAGTACTTGGATGGGTGACCGCCTGGGAACACCGCGTGACGTTGGCTTTTTATTTAGTTTTATTTTTGTAATGAGATTACAAGATTTTGACAATATTTTTTACTCCTTGATAATATTTAGGTCTGACGATAACACTACTCGTAAAGTGACCACTAATTAGAATATAAATTTTTGTGGTTATGTCTTTAATAATTTTATAGATGCGCATTGGGCATTATTAAAATTTATTGAAATGAAACCACCTAAATAATAGAAAGAAATAAATACAATGACAATACAAAGTTTATTAAAAATCTATTCAGGCAGTCTCAATATTATTATACTGTTTAACCCTGCGTACAGCATATGCCCCAGAAATTAATTTAGTTGCAATGTTAAACAAACTAACGATATGAACCGTACCATTGATTTTTTTTAACTTTGAGGATTTACAGTTTTCAACATCGAGTAATACAAATGTAGTATCTTTACGAAAAATCCACATATGTATTTACTGTTGATATAGTGTCACCCATGATACTGTTTTTGCGTTGCCATTCGTAAGGCCTAAGATGTTATGCCTCTGTACTTTGTAATCAGCAGCCAAGCAAATACAATTGCTTTACGACAGAAACACGAAAATGGGACAGAGGTACTCGAGCAGACGGCATTTGTATAAAGTCTCCTTTTGGCATTAATGACATCTAATTTGTCCTACGAAAAAAAAAATATGTTTCCAAAAAATAAATATTTGTGATATAATAAACAAAAGACAACATTGTGATGTAAATATTAAAATAAACAGTCGCCAACGTCCATACCACGTTGAAAACACCGGTTCTCGTCCGATCACCGAAGTTAAGCAACGTCGGGCGCGGTCAGTACTTGGATGGGTGACCGCCTGGGAACACCGCGTGACGTTGGCTTTTTATTAATTTTTAGTTACCATTATTGTTATAATTTCTATAATAGCATGTGTTACGTGAGCCTATAGACATATTAAATGAGATCAACTGTAATACTTATAAATAAGCCGATTTTGTTTTATAACATTTGTTTGCTCTAGCTTTGCCATTATCCTTCAGATTTAATTAGAAAAACGGAAGCAAAGTATCTTCAAGATAGCATTATTTAAAACAATTGTGTTCGTCCCTAGGCAAAGTAAGTATATTCCCGTACATACTATATTATTAAATTACGTCTAAAATACAGAACTTTCATATGCAACTCTCACAGTACCCGCCATTAGGTTATTTATTCATGTTAAACTTAATTTGAGAGGGCTTAAAACCTGATTGAGCTGCCCTATAAATTGTCAATAAAAGCATTTGCAAAAACAAAACAATCCAGTTTGTTGTGATGATGTGAACCATTCACGTGATGTAAATCTATAAATAAAAGTTTATAATAAGTCGCCAGGCGCCTTACCTGTGCGACGATGAAGGCGTCCTTCTCATTGAGCAGCACGATGTAGTTGGTGAGATAGTCCATGTAGTGTTTGGGCGTCACATAGTTGTTCCTGCGCAGGCGCAGCAGGAACTCGACCGAGTACCGCGCCACCGACATGTGCACGTGCACCACGTGCTCCACTATTATCGGACGGAACTCATCCGGGATTTTCTGAACCTAATTTGTACAATTAAATACCTAACGTTAGGAGGATTTTTTTTGAGTTAATTTTTGTGTCATTATCATTTCATATGCCCATTGTCCTTTGCTAACCATGGGCATATATACTATATTATCTGTGCCATAGGTCTCAATTTTATTCCTGTGCGTGTCGAATATTTTTTAAGGAAGTCGTCTTTTTTAATTGCAATAAACTCTATTACTTCGTTTCCACGTTATGTTTCGATTGACTGGATTATGATGTATGGGTATATATTCAGGGCGTTGCAAGTAATCATGGCTACTAACTATCTAATATATGCCTGTTTGCCGCCCTCGCGTGACTTTATCATCATCGAGTATTGCTGTAGGAGACGGCAAAAAATGACTTGTATTGTTAAGATGTTTACGTACATCAGCGAGGAACACGTTAGCGACAGCAAGAAGCGCTTGCTTTGGCCACGGAAACTGCCAGTCGATAGTGGTATTGTTAACAAGGCCGGGGAAACTGCGACACCTGCAATTTTAGTTTTATTTAACATTATATATTACTTTTATAGTATTTGTTTATTAGATGATTATATGTTGTTTTTTAAAATTGTTAGTTTAATTCGATTTTGTTGGGGTTCAGTATGAACGCTTTTAATACCTAGGTAGGATACCGGTTAAACTGTCGGTTACAATAAAAAAAAATACAACTGATATATTAAATGTATAGAATTTTTTATGTTTTTTGTAGATTATTTGCATAATATATAGCATACAAATTTAGCAATTTTACTATAAACACACTAAATTTATGTTGAGAATATCTTTCGTCGAATTTAAAGGACTGGCAAGTCGAGTTAAATATGTAGAGGAATCTTGTTTGCGAACAAAAAGGCCATTTTCTATCAAGGCCTTTAAGTATGTCATGGGACTTCATAAATAATAATCTCTGTTTTAAAAATATTGTTATTGGCACTGTTAGGTCTATTGTTCTAAAACTGTAATGTATATTGTTGTTAATTATTTTGTAAATGACTGTTTGTTGCCATAAATAAATAAATAAAAATGTATGTGTTTACCTATTTCGTAGTATGTCACCGCTGGGTGACATTGACAGCACCACGTGAAGATTGTCAGCACATTTGTTGCAAAAAAAGTTCCAAACTGCATCTCTGGAAAAAAGTGTATAACTACATTTTCTGCAAAAAGCCAACGTCACGCGGTATTCCCAGGCGGTCTCCCATCCAAGTACTAACCAGGCTCGACGTTGCTTAACTTCGGTGATCGGACGAGAACCGGTGCTTTCAACGTGATATGGACGTTGGCGACGAGACAACTAAATGTTACCGTCTTATCTTGAAATGTCTTATAAAGCGAACCTATAATAGATTTAAATAGTACCACTTTATATTATTCTTAAATCAATTTATTATAAAATGATAGCTAGATGGCATTATAACTAAGTCTTCAATACTTCAAAACATGGACTGAATAGAATTAGATTAAGATTGCATATCAAAAAAAAAAAAAAAACGTTATGGGCTTTTCTAAGATTATTTTTTTAAATCGAAAACATAGTACCATATATATGAATATTTACAAAACTAGTACATACTTGGCAACCCCATATCCAGCTTCGTTACTTTCGTTGCGGACTGCGTTGATGATCGCGTCCTTTTCATCATCACTGAACAGCGCCGGAATCATACCGATCATAAGGATGTTATTGATGAATTCCAGGAAGCTCTCCTCCAGGATCTGATGCAAGACATTAATTAGAAGGCTGAAATTTTTGAGCCTCGGTCCGAAGATTTTTCTTTTTATTGAGATAAAATACTCGTTTGTACGACTATTTATTCAATACTGGAATCGAGTACATGAAAGTAGATGAAGCTATCTATGATACTCAATTTATTTATGCTAATAACATCACAGTGTAAGTAAGGTACATCCAGTAGTCCAACACATATATCAAACGATTACATATCAATTCAAGACGTATGTATTTGTTTAGACACGTCGTTAGGTAAAAGTTCTTTAAAATGTGTATAAAATGTGTAAGAATAGACATATGGGCTGAATACATTAAAATAATGCTATATTAATGGAACCTTTTAAAACACTGTATTTTGCAAGTAAATTATTTATTCTAGACTGTGTCGTTAGTATGGACCTGTGCGGCAGTGAAGAGGAACACGGTCTTCTTGCCGTCGACGCCGAGCTGGTTGTACATCCGCTTCATGTCATCCTTGAACGTGTTCTCGTTGTAGTTGCGGGTCACCGTTATCTCGAACACATCGCAGCCTTCCAAAGAAGAGGTCTACATTTAAAATTGGCAATTTTACGTTATGCCAAAAGTGACGTCTGATAGATGTTTGAATATTATATCACTACGAAGTTACACATTATTTTTTTTTATTACCTACTAAATTGTGAATTAAACATTTTCCAATAAATCAAATAATTGAACAAAACGGTATCATTAAGCAACTACCAATGTATTTTTTTATGCGTGAAAATGGCATGGTTACCTCTCCTGCGCTATCGGTATACACTAGCGGGGTACCAGTGAGCGGTGACAGGTGAGGATGAAAAGACAGGTCAGTTAGCCCATTGTGACGAATTCAATGACAAATTGGTCACGAAAGTTTCCAGGGGGAACCGCTTGGAGGTCGACCTGATAGGGTATATTGATAGCAATGGGGACTAAACTCCTCATTACTAACAATCCCTTCCCCCCACTGCCAATGTATTGACTACTAATAACGAAACTTTTTAATTTTTCAAAGCAATTCAAGTCTATATTTAGAATGCAGTCAAGCGTTGTCCGGTTGCTTGCAACGTTTAGGTACGATTACAATGCGTACCGGCAGCGAAGGCAGCTAGGCGACATATGGACTTCTTCCCGGAGCCGCCGACACCGATGATCATGGCGTTACCGCGGTCCATGCGCAGGATGCGCTGCAGCCGCGTCAGATGCTCGAGGCAGTCCTCGAACAGCACCACAGACATCTTGCTTATGCGCTCGTTGTACTCATCCAGGATCTGGGGATTAAAGTTTCTTTATACACACAAACGTGATGATCAAACGTACGACCCGCTTGATGGTAAGCAGTGGTGGGAATACACTATCCTCTGCACCAAGACCTTCTAAACTGCGTCCGTAATGAGACCTCTTTTTTTTTTTTTTTTTAAAGGGTGATAATGAAATAGTAACCCCGCCTGCGCTACCGGTATACACTGGCGGGGCACCAGTGAAAGATGATATTATATGTGAGGATGAAGCAGGTCAGTTAGCCCTTCGTGACGAATTTAACAAGAGTTATTTATGATGGTTTCCAGGGGGAACCACGTGGAGGTCGACCTGATAGGGTATATTGTTAGCAATGGGACTGGTAAATTCCATTGTTAAGAGTCCCTTTCCCCCTCAAATACATACTACACTATATCAGCCGTTAATTGTTCACTGCTGAACATAGGCCTTCCTTATAAGGGTTTTTAATGGATAATAATGGAATGGTCACCCCGCCTGCGCGAGAGAGTGCGCAAGTGCCTGGGCACCAGTGAGAGATGATAGGTAAGAATGAAAAAGCAGGTCAGTCAAGCAAGCAACTATCATGGAATTCAGCGCGATGGTTTCCAAAAGGGACCACGGGGAGGTCGACCTGTTAAGGTATATTGTTAGCAATGGGAGTAGTAATCTGCATTACTAATAACACAAATTTAAAACTTCGTTTTATTAACCCTCTGACCGGGCATCCCGCGATTTCCGTGTGCTGTATCTACTTGTTTAATTTTACGCATCCCGCGATTTGGACGTGCTCGCATTTTTAATGTTTATTGACGTTGTTATTCCGTGATTTTTGTTTTGATAAATTGATAGTGTTTCTCAGAATCTCGCTAGATGGCTAAATACTTGTAATACTGTTTGTTGTCGAAGCGATGTTTTAATGTTATGAAAAAAAAAAATACGCGATCAGAGTGTTAATAATTAAAGATTGTATTATACAAAAAAAAAAAAAAAAAAAGATTCCAATTGTGACAAAACCAGTTATTTTGTTTTTAAAACTGAACAGATATTTATAAAGTTTTAACCGAATTGAGAACCTCTTTCTTTTTGAAATCGGTTGAAAATAACATTGGTAGGTAACCTCTTGGAAAAGGAAGTAGACAGCTTCGTAGTCGAGCAAGTCCTCGTAGTATCGAATCTCTTCCTCGTCGAGTGCGTTCCGATAGTCGCCGAACAGCAATGGGTCGCGGATGACGTATTCTTCAAGCTATAAGTTCAAAATAATCATTTTCTAAATTATTATCAATTGACGTAATTCAAAAATAATAATTAGTAAGTATCAAATAATTGAGACATCTATTTTGTAAATTTTGTAAATAAAATAGGTATTATTCTGCTGCGCAAGAAAGAAAATTTGGTTCGATATTAATTTAGGATCAATAGGACAGAAAGTCTTATTTAATTATAATAATTTTATTATATTTATTCGAGACTATATTGGCTTAATTTGTCAGTAATATATAAATATTTATTTATTTATTCTTATAAATATAGTTATAAGAATTTTAAAAGGATTGTCAATTTCAGTTCAGAGTTAGTAAACATATCCTGCAAGAAAAAAAAAGCTTTCGAAAAAAGATTCTTAAGTTAATTTTTTAATTGTAAAAGCAGCAACAAAAAGCCAACGTCACGCGGTGTTCCCAGGCGGTCACCCATCCAAGTACTGACCGCGCCCGACGTTGCTTAACTTCGGTGATCGGACGAGAACCGGTGTTTTCAACGTGGTATGGACGTTGGCAACAAAATACTTCAATTACAATGTTCCTTTTAGGAATTGATGAAAAGACTTACTAGTATAGTATTATATTATCTGTGACTTGGGTAATATATGGCAATCAGATTTTAATGTCAGCATTATCTATGTACTAATTAATGACATTGAGTCTTGACTACTTAATTAAAATATATTCATATTAAAACAGAAACACTGAAATACATATAAAAAAAATATATACTAACAGTAAGTTCTCGTTCCACTACCGTCTCTTGCTCCTCCTCAATAGTGGTTTCTGGTTCCACAGTCTCAGCTGGCTTTGCCTTTGGTTCTATCATAAAATCTATGGAAAAATGTGACCAATAACCTAATATTTATATTTTACATATCGAAATCAATTGCCGTTTGGTACCGGCTTAGAGTGGGCCATCCCTTTCTTTCACGTGGGTGTCGAAAGAGGTGACTACGGGAATTTAATGGTCGATACATAAGCAGCAGTGTTCCTCTTAAAATATCACCAAAGTCTAATTGCGATTGCCAAGCCGCCTGCTAAATGTGGCAATTACTGGCAAATTCACCATTTATAGGGGAGGCCTATGTTGTAAAAATTATATGAATTTAGTATATTATCTTCAATTAAGATTATTTAAATTTCATGATTATTTTTTAACACAGATTTTGTATAAAAACTCATACACAATAATCAACACACAGAACAATATTGACGAGTTTCAGTATTGTTCTCATCTTGTAACATCAATTTTTATTAACAATTTTTTTTCATTTCTGTCAAAAATTCAAATAAATTCCATTTTATTCACTCTTTTTTAAATTACAATTTAAGACTTTTTTGTACCTACAGTTAAGCTTTACAAACAAATATAACCCACCGTCCTCCTCTTCTTCTGTAGGTTTCTCCTCCTCCTCGGGGATAACGATCTCTTCAAGTACGACGGGCTCCTCCTCCGGGAAATATTTTATCACGTGCTCTTGTATATGGCCACGCATCAGTTCGTTGTCCTAAAAAATATACGAAATAGTCCATATTGAGATACAGACTGTATGGTTCCAATGTGTATAATGTGAGAGAGGTTGTGTGGTAAACTTGTGAGGGAAAGAGATACATGCCTGCGTGCTGATGAGACGGTCGCAAATGACACGTATGAACTCGTTCCGCCAGCAACGTACTACCGCCCGTTTCTCGCTAAAGAAGTTCGGATGCGTGAGGCACATGCCGGCTGCTATACGTGACAGGTCGCGAAGATTGAAGATGTAGTGGAACTTGGCTGGTGTCGGTGGTAACTCCATTATTATTATCTGTGCGTTGTTAAAGGAAAATTTTGTTATTAAGATTCGTAAGTACATATTATATTTTGTTAGTAAAAACAAGATAGGTAAGTTTTTTCGTAATTCTTCTTTCATCCATTCTCTCCAATTGGCGTTGATTTGGATATTTGGACATAATCCTAATAACGTTACTTATTTAATTATGCGCATAATGTCATAACCACAAAGAATATCACCATGGTCATTACGTAAACTCACTATATATATATGTATATATAGTTCCGCATAGAGAAGTAAATTTTTGCTATTTGCATAAAAATTATAAAACAAGGCTATAATAAGAACGTATAATAAATTACTTAATACAGTAACACAATTGCCGAGAAATAAATTTAAAAATAAAATAAAGACATATTTTGAGCAACATCCTTTTTACAACGTAACTGAATACCTAAATGCCAATGTTACATTATGACATATTATTATTTATTTATACTTAACAGTAATAAGTGTGACAATTCAAATTTTATAATTTCTAGTCATCATTATGGACATGTAGTTACCATTATATTGACATGTAATTAATTTATAAATTTATTTTTATTTTATATATCAAATGTTTTTACCATTGTTATTACTTATTATATTAATTTAAAAATCATACTGTAATATTGACTTGCAATTCTGTGACGAAAACTGTTAAACTCTTGCGATTCTAAGTATTACAAAAAAATACGACTTACTTTGTACAGGTCGAGCGTCATCTGCACTATTTTCTCGACAATATTCTGTATCTCTTCGGGGAATATGCTGAAGTGGCCGGTTAAGATCGAGACGTAGATATGCCGTAGTGTTGCCTCCGATGGAAATTGAAGGTTGTACACAGAGAACATTGATATGAATCGAGGATCCACCTGCGGAATTAAAAAAAAAGAATAATATTGTTGGATAGAATGGGTGGACAGTGTATCTTTTGTAGTGAACGTTTTGTAGTACTAAAGTTTTGGAAATACACTATTTCAGAAATGGAGTGCACATGTGCGTGATTAAAAATTATAAATATAAAAGTGATAAAATTAAAGAAATGACAAAAAGCCAACGTCACGCGGTGTTCCCAGGCGGTCACCCATCCAAGTACTGACCGCGCCCGACGTTGCTTAACTTCGGTGATCGGACGAGAACCGGTGTTTTCAACGTGGTATGGACGTTGGCGACAGTCTCTTTCAATAAGGTATTCAGTAACTACTGAAGTACATGTGATATTGAATAAAAATATTCTTTAATTTAAATCTTAATTATATATATGGGCGCAAGCGTTATTATCTATAGTTGCGTCACAGATAATATAATACTATGGTTGCGTTAAATAGAACGAAAAAAAATTAACTTAGTATTACTTTTATAATTAAATGTACAATATCTTCATAAACACAAATGATTTTCTATTAAATTATAAATTCAAAATTAAATGTTTGTATTCCCTTTTGCTAAAAAACAGAAATCTTTACTATATGTATTATTTGAATGTATTAAATTAACAAATTAATCAAAATCAATGTTTTATAATAGAGTAAACTATTGTAAGTAATTGTATTCACTTACTGAATGACTGTTTAGTATTTTTACTACATCGCATTTTTAAATTAAATATTGCACGATGTTAAGGTTCAACATGATTATAAATAAATCAATTTATAATACTTAGTTATTTCTAGAAAGGTGTAATAAAATAAATAAATAAATAAAGTTGTGAAACTATGAGCGAGTCTACAAGCGTGCACTTAAATTAATTGAAAAACTATTCCGTTCGTGTACTCGAGCATAGTTATAAAGAGTATAAAAACAGAACATTCAGTCCAATAGCGACTTAGATAACATATATTGCTGATACCTGAGAGTTATAAATATAAGTGTAATTGGAAGTAAGAAAATAAAATAGTATAAATAAGAAAAGCATAATTTGTTTATTCGAAATAATTATATTAATAATTATTATTAATTTAAATGATCCAACCTATAGTTACAATGAATGACGAAGGATGAACCAAGACAAATCAAGTGATGTTAGTAATACTGAGATCACTATGTCTAAAAATCAGGTAGACACCCCTGCTTCGTTATATATATATATATATATATATATATATATATATATATATATATATATATATATATATATATATATATATATATATATATATATATATATATATATATATATATATATATATAAGCCAGGATCCAGAATGTATAGCAAAGATGTTTATGGATAAATTTAATTTGTCATCGAACAAATCTAATAACGAGAGAGCGACCGGTAGTGGTTCGGACTCTTCTTGCTCATCGCAGTCCAACACTAGCGCCCTCCACGTTACAGGGAAGGATATTTTAAAATGTGTGAGGGATATGAAGCGTGGCAAATCCCCTGGGCACGACGGACTTAGCGTTGAACACTTATTATGTGCTAGCCCATTATTGTTTGAGAAAATTGCCTTATTCTTCAATGCATGTATGGATCATGGCTACCTGCCAAGAGACTTTATGAGGACTATTGTAATACCTATTGTAAAGAACAGAACGGGTGATGTCTCTAGTATTACAAATTATCGTCCTATCTCATTAGCCACTATTATTTCTAGATTATTTGAGCGCATAATTAACAAATACTTTTCAGAGGACTTCCTACCACTAAATAATGCACAATTCGGTTTTCGTAGGGGACTGGCTACGGATTTGGCTATTTTTTCATTGAAAAATACTGTAAGACAATACATATCCAGAAAAACTTCTGTTTATGCTTGTTTTTTGGACATCAGCCGTGCTTTTGATACAGTTAACTATAATTTGCTTTGGAATAAATTGCGTGAGACAAGGGTTCCACCTAATATTACAAATATACTGGAATTTTGGTACGAAAACCAGTTAAATCAAATTAGATGGGGTAACGTGTTGTCGGAGAGCTACAAACTTACATGTGGAGTTAGACAAGGTGGGCTGACCTCACCTGTTCTGTTTAATTTATATATCAATGATTTGATTGGCCGACTCAGTGGGACTAGAGTTGGCTGCCATATCGGTGGTGTAAGCCTAAATAATATCAGTTATGCGGACGACATGGTCTTGCTGAGTCCGTCAGCCAATGGTCTTAGAAAACTAATTGAAATATGTGAACAATATGCAAAGATACATCATTTAACATATAATGTCAATAAATCGGAAATTATTATTTTTAAATATGGAAAGGGACCTGAAATTTTGCCAAAAATTAATTTATGTGGGAATACTTTAAAAATAGTTAATAAATTTAAATATCTTGGACATATGTTGACAGAAGATCTGAAAGATGATAGCGATCTGGAGAGACAAAGGCGTAACATTGCATGTAGAAGCAATATGCTGGCTAGACGATTTAACCACTGTTCGAAGCTAGTCAAATTGACATTGTTTAAGTCTTATTGTCAGGCTTTCTACACCAGCCAGTTATGGTATAGTTATACGAAAAGGGCTTATAACACACTGCGTGTGCAATACAATAACGCATTCCGAGCGATGCTCAACTTGCCATGGCGGTGTAGTGCGTCTGGCATGTTTGCAGAGAACAGGGTTAATGATTTTTTTGCTATTTTACGTAATTATAAGGCAAAATTTCATGACAGATTAATGACAACAAGTAATAATATTGTAAAGACTGTATTTCTCACAGCATACCTGACGACAAGAGATTTTATAACGAAATAATTTAAATTGGTATTTTATAATTCATGTATATTTTAAAAATAATAATAACAATTTATTTAATTAATAATATAAAAATGTTAACTATGGGTATATACCTGAAAATAAAGAGATTTATTATTATTATTATTTTTAAATTTTACCAGAATTCTCATCTCCCCTCTTAAGGAGAGGAGATGGCAACTAACCCCCGGCAGAAGCACAGTCGGCCGGGGTTCAGGGCCCCAGGGAGAGAAACCGGCGTACAATGCGGGCAGAATCTAAGAGCACCGCTTTCTGCATCTTTCCCGGGAGTGAGCCGCCTCGGAATCCCAACCGTCTGAGATGTTGTTCCAGACTGGTTGGGATAAGACCGTTCACCGACATAACGATTGGGATGATTTCGGTAGATGTCACCCCCACATTTCGGTCACCTCGTGAGCCAGGTCGAGATATTTTCTCTTCTTCTCGGTTTCGGCTTTCACGAGGTTCTCGTCATGCGGTATGGTGACATCCACCAAAAACACCCTCGAAAGTGCCCGGTCCATCACCACGATATCAGGTTTGTTCGCAAGAACAGTCCTGTCCGTGATGATGGATCGGTCCCAGTAGAGCCTGACGCTGTCGCTTTCGAGGACCGGCTGTGGCTCGTACTTATAGTACGGCAACCTCTCATTCGCGAGGCCGTACTTCAGAGCTAGCTCTTGATGGAGTATTTTGGCTACCTGGTTGTGCCTGTGCAAGTACTCTGTGTTGGCAAGAGCTGAACAACCCGAAAGCACATGTCTGAGTGACTCTCCAGGATGGCGACATGCTCGACAGATGTCCTCAGTGCCATCCTTCAGAATGTGCTTTCGGTAATTGTTCGTCTTAACCACCTGATCCTGTATTGCACAGACAAAACCCTCGGTCTCTCCGAAGAGATCACCGAACTGTAGCCAGTGCACGGAGGTCTTCGTGTTTACGTACGGCCCGTGAAGGGCTTTGAAGAACCTTCCGTGCAACTCCTTCTCTTTCCATACGGCCTCCCGCTGAGAGGTACCCAAAACTTCGGGTTTTCGCCAGTCCTCTTTAGCCAGAGAAAGAGGGGTGAATCCTTTGTCACATTCTATGACCTCTCTATGCAAACCCTCGCCTCTTTTCTCCAGAAAATATGTCCTGAGGCTGTCAATCTCGCGGTTGTGCATGGTCTTAACGCTTAACAAGCCTCGACCACCAGCTTTCCGCGGGATATACAGCCTCATGACTGACGATTTCGGGTGATGCATTCTATGGAGGGTCATAGTTGTGCGGACTTTACGATCCAGGGCTTCGAGTTCGGTTTGAGACCATCTGAGCACGCCAAAAGTGTAAAGGAGTACGGGTATGACCCAGCCGTTATAAGCTCGGATTTTATTGGCGCCCGACAAAGAACTTTTCAGTACTCTTGTAAGGCGCGCAAAAAATTCCTCGCGGACTGACTGTTTCATATCCGTCTCCTTCACACCAATGTTTTGTGACATGCCCAGATACCGGTATGTTTCAGCCTCGGAGAGGGTTTTAATATTAGAGGGATCTGTGGCGATCCCTTCAGTTTGAGTGACCCGTCCCCTCTGCACATGGAGGACCGCGCACTTGTCTATTCCGAGCGCCATCCTAATAGAGCTGCTATAATCGTTTACGATATTTAGCAGCTCCGTCAGGCGTTCGACGCTCGGAGCTAGCAGTTTCAAGTCATCCATGTACAGAAGGTGAGACACTCGTGTACCTCCTCTCCGATACTGAAATCCAGTCCCCGAATTCTCCAGTAAAGTACTGAGTGGATTCAGGGACAGGCAAAACCAAAGTGGACTCAAACAATCGCCCTGGAATATTCCCCTCTTTATCTCTATCCGGTCAGCGGTATCCGTCAATCGCTCGTCCTGGATAGTCAGGATCGTCGTCCACTGCCTCATGCATGCCTCCAAGAACACTCGAACTGTACCGTCGATCTTGTACAGCTCGAGTATCCTCCGGAGCCATGAATGGGGCACGGAATCGAACGCCTTTTTATAATCTATCCAGGCGGCGGAGAAATTCCGACGGTTCCGCTTGACCACGTGCCCAGCGACAGCATCAATGAGGAGCAGCTCCTTCGATCCGCGGCTACCGCCCCTGCATCCGTTCTGAGCGCTAGATAGGATCTTATTCTCGTACACATGACGAGAGATCTTAGCGCTCA